TTATTTAATATAGCTATTATATTTATATATTATTTAATCTTCTACTTACTAATAGTTATACTATAGTTTAATCTTATTATCTTTATAAATCTTATATTTTTATTCTTAATATATTTCTACTAGAAGTTCTCTCTTTATATACTCTTTAGAGTATTTTTTTAAATTTTCTTTAAAAATAGTATAAAGCTCTATTCTATAGTATTAATAGATAAATTATTATATTTAAACTATACTATATTTTCTAGATATTCTTTTATTTAGAAATAAAAAAAAGTTATTTAGTACTTTTTCTTATTAATATATAATATACTAGATATTATAATATATTATCTAGGATTTTAATCTATAATTATATCTTCTACTAGTATTTATATATATTAGATTCTTATATCTATTACTAGGGTATTAGATAGTATCTATAGTATCTCTTCTATATAATATTATTCTATATATCTTCTTAAGATTTTATATTTATATTTTTTATTAATAGTAGATATAGAGTTTATTATATTTAATCTTAATTTTATCTCTAGTAAATATATATTAATCTTATTCTTTAGGGGTATATTTAATAAGTTTATTTATATAGTAGAATATATATTTATATTTAGTAAAAGATTTAATATTTATAATATTTTTTCTATCTTTAAACTTCTTTTTAAGTTCCTAGAGAATATATATAATATATTATTAGTTTTCTTCTAATACTATTTATTCTCTCTTTTTATTATTAATTTTTAATATCTTATAGAATTTTAATATAGGTTTTCTAGAAAATATAGATATTATAGTAATTATATAGTTTTCTTTCTAAGTAGTTTTTCTAATTATTCTAAGTATTTTAATTTTAGTTTTTTTAATTACTTCTAATTATTTCTTATTTTTTTTAATAGATTTCTAATTCTTCTGCTTTTTTAGCTTAGAATATTATAGTAAAATATATCTAATCTTATTATAATTATAATATTTATATTTTTCTATAGCTTCTAGTTTTATAAGATCTATATATATTCTAAAAACTATAAATTACTACTATTATTATAATTAATTAGTATTAGTATAGTAGATTATTTTTTTACTATAAGTATACTAATAATACTATTAATTATTAATTCTTATAACTATAGTTATATATTTATAAATACTTACTAGTTTATTTTTTTTATAAAGTTCCTTCTAAACTTCTTTCTTTAATCTATTAAAATAATAAGATATAGTATACTTCTAGTTCTATCTAGTCTTTACTAAAAGCTAGAAATATCTATTACTAAATATAAAAGTAGGTTCTATCTATAAGAGCTTATTAATTTTATACTCTATTTTATATTTCTTATCTTAGATTCTAAAGATTTATTAGAGAATCTCTATAAAGTAATTAAAACTTATTATAATATTAATAGTTTATTAGCTCTTTTAATTATTAAGATATTTCTTTATAATAAGTTTAAACTAATTAAATATAGCTTTCTTAAGTTATAAATAGATATATATAACTTATTATTTATTACTATTAAGAGTAATAAAGAAATAATTAAAATATACTTAGAGTTAAATTATAAAGCTTTAAAGCTTATTCTAAGTTCTATTAAATATCTTAGATAGTAGTAGTTTAAATAATACTCTTAGTTCTCTTTCTTAAGCTATAGTCTAAGCTTAGATCTAAAGATTAGTATTCTAAGTAGCTTACTATTCTATAAAAATAATAGTAATAGCTATTTCTTATTATATAGTTATAAGATATTTCTAAAGCTAGAGAATCTAGATTTATAGAAGCTTAAGCTTAGTATTATTATTTCTATTACTATTATTATTATTACTATCTTTATTTATAGTATTATTATTATTTAGAGTAGATAGATTATTAATAATAGGGTTCTACTATTAGACTAGAGAAACTATAATAACTATAATATCTTCTTTATTATTATATAGTAATTAAAATAAGATAATTAGCTAAATAAGAGTTATTAATATATAATAATTAGATAATTTATACTAAATAGAATTTAAAGTAGATTAGAATTAAATTAATTAGAATATTATTCTAAATAGTATAATTAGATTATTTTAAGCTATATAATATAAATTACTATTAATATATAAGTATTATAGAGCTAGTAATAATAGATATATAAATAATTATATTAATAACTATCTAAGAGAGTATTCTATCTAATAAAATAAATATATATATATATTAGAGAATTATTAATATTTAGTAATAATTTATTATTCTAGATTATTAGAATTATTATAAGATTCTAATAATCTACTAGTAATTAGTTAGAAAAAGTAGAGTAATCTATATAACTTTAATATATAATAATATAACTTATAATACTAGTTTAGTTTAATAATTAGAAATAGATAATTATAATTTAAAAGATAAATATAACTAGCTAGATTATCTCTTTTTTTATTATTCTAATTATTTAATATTATCTTAAGAACTAATATTAGAAATATAATCTACTATATAACTAGTAGTTTATAATAACTAAGAATAACTAGACTATTAATAAGATTAATCTAAATTAGATTAAATATTTTAATTTCTATATAGCTCTTTATATAAAAAAAGTATATTAAATACTAATTCTTAATAGTTATAAGAGCTACTATTTAGTTAATTTTAAGATCTACTATTAAAAATAGAAAATTATTATAATCTATATATTTTCTTACTTTTTCTACTTTCTTTAGCTATTAGATATTAGTTATTTTAAATTACTTAAATAATTATATAGATAAAAAATTAAAAGTTTAATATAGATATATATTATCTATATTAATAAGCTTAAATTTTTCTTTATTTTTTATATAGTTTTCTTTTATTTCTTTATAGAGAAAAATATCTAGATAGACTTTATTAGATCTAATCTAATACTATATAATCTAGAGAGAGTTCTTTTAAAATTAAATATAGTATTATAAATACTAATATTATTAGAAATCCTATTTAAAATAAAATAATTCTAAATTCTAAAAATATTATAGATTATATATAAGATAAATATATAGTCTAAGTATATTAAATTTTAAATCTTAATTTATTAAAATAACTTTCTAATCTCTATATTAACTATAGTAGATTAATTTATAAAGAAAGTAATTATAATAATATACTAAATAGCTTTTTTATATACTAAGATCTATAATCTTTATATAGTAAATAAGATACTAAATAAGTACTAAAGAGCTAAAAAAAGCTATATATAGTTTAAAGGGTTTTTAACTATATAGAATAGAATAGATTTATTAGATTAGAAGGATATAGATAAATAGCTAAAAGAGGAAGATTATAAAAGTAATAATTAGAAAGAGTAAGCTTATATAAAGACTTTATAATATAATAATTATAGAAAGCCTGATTATAATATTTAAATCTATAAGGAGACTAAAGAAAAGTTTAATAAATTAATTTCTAATATTATTATTATAGATAATTAGCTATTATTATTTTAATTAACTTTATTATATAAGGGATAGATAGAAGTAATCAGCTTACTTATATAATCAGCTTACTTATAGATTATATTACTTACTTTATAACATGATTTGTCCGTGAGCTGAGCGCTGGGCTGCTATTCAGTCTATTTGAAATTCTACTCTATGTTAATAGGATTAGAATATTTGATGTCTCCAAGCGAAACTCCTTGTAGGCGGATGTGATAATTCGAGATGGAGGCTGACCGATTGCTGGGCCGTCTGCCACGGCAGCCATCCCGACATCGGCAACGTTAGCACATAATGACATCAACAGATTGACAGCCCAAGGATCAGCAAGGCATCAATGAACAACGGCCTACTTCCTCTATCATAATTTCCAGCAGTGTTGCTCAAACTAATTCAACCAACCATAGGGTATTTTCCGCGATCATGACAGACAAACCAGTAGTGACGCTGCTCCAGCAGCTCATGGAAATTCCCTCCACAAGCGAAGAGGAGAACAAAGTCGGAGTATTTCTTGCCAAGTATCTCCAAGACCTTGGCTACACGGTCGAATTGATACCCATCGCCCCCGACTCCGACAGATGCAATGTATACGCCTACCTGGGCAGCGCCCGCAAGGCACGGACATGCCTGAGCTCGCACATGGATACGGTGCCGCCGCACATCGATTTTCGCCGAGAGGGAGACGTCATCTATGGCCGCGGGGCGTGTGATGACAAAGGCCCGCTCGCAGCGCAGGTGATTGCTCTTGAGGAGCTGCGCGCTGAGGGAGCTGTCAAGGAGGGCGACGCGTCTCTGCTATTTGTGGTCGGGGAGGAGAAAGGAGGAGTCGGCATGTTTGCCGCCAATGACATGGATCTCTCCTGGGAGGCAATCATGTTTGGCGAGCCGACGGAGAGCAAGCTCGTTGTTGGCCATAAGGGCCACTTCGTCTTTGAGCTCCATGTCAAGGGCTTCGCTGCGCATTCCGGATATCCTGATAAAGGTAAGAGCGCCATCTCCATCCTCGTGGCGCTCTTGTCAGAGCTTGAGACACTAGATTTGCCGAGGTCTGAATTGCTGGGACCATCAACCTTTCACTGCGCAAAGATTAATGGCGGGGAGGCATTCAACATTATCGCGGCGGAGGCATCTGCTACATGTGCTGTACGAATTGCCACGAGTCTTGAGGATATTCAAAAGAAGGTTGCGGGCGTCATCAGCAAGTATCCAGACGTGTCCATGAAGCAGCTGTTTGGATACTCTGAAACGCTTCTGGATTACGACATCGAAGGTCTGTTCGTCGTTTGTCTGTATTGTGAACCCTTTGCTAATAGCTGTTGTCATCTAGGCCTTGACTCGATGCCTGTCGCCTACGGTACCGATGTCCCGCGACTAAAGGGCGACCATAAGAGGTATTTGTATGGGCCAGGATCCATTCAAGATGCTCACGGGGTAAATGAAAAGGTGACGATCCCAGACTTGGTCGAGGCAGTCGCAGTTTATAAACGACTTGTAAAGACATGCCTGGCAAGGCAATAGAAGATTACGATCTCATCACTTGCTGGCTATGGAAGACCTGGAAAGAATCAAGTTGCCCCTCCATGAAGGAGGCTGCGCTGTGTAATAAAGAATGATTATGAAGACGTACGCCCGTCGGTGAACGAACGAGTGCTAATGCAGCATGGGCGTGTAATTCTGCCTTGCTGCTTAAGCCTAGGTGGATTTCGACGACAACGAAAACAATGCTTGCCAGCACTGATAGCTCTAGGCTCTGTGGCGAAGGATCCAGCCGGCTTTGCAGTGCCCGGATGGCCGAACCATATTGCTGAAGCGAATAACGGGTTGCTGAGCCTGCAAGGTCCGTGCCAGGGCAGTATCGACTCCTCCCGAGAGCCCCAATAGCGAGTGCAGCGTGGTAGATGGTAGCTTCTGTCGTGGCCGCTTGTAGAATCAGGGTCTCCCAGATGGGCTGCTCAAAGTAGAGGGAGATTTCTGGGGCACAGACGACCCGGAAGTAGTCCATATGAAGCCCATCAAGGTTAAGCAAAGGTGAGGCATGTTGAGGATTATGCACCAAAGGGTTGGGCAGCAAGCGAGCGATGTTGCCTGAACCTGCTAGAGGGAGAGGCTTGGGGAAATCACACTTCCACCCAGCGCTGATACATTCCAAGCAGGCCGGCTTAGACTCGTCGCATTTCTTGTGACGGATCCTGTAACAGAATTAGTCACAGTATTCTCTGTATTTGGAGTCCTGGCGAATCTTGGGCGAAGCGAAAGGAGAGGTAAACAATGGCGAGCGGGGAAGAGTTGGCTTGGTCAACTTACTTGCATGTCAAACAACCCGTCTTCACTTTCCGGGCCCCCCTGGCTGCAACACGGATTCTCTTGGAAGTTTCTTGATGCCCACCAGTGAATTTCATCGCGACTTAAAAGTGCAAGGATGCTTCATGCCAAGCAGACACCAGGAAGGGGAGTTAAGGCCTGCGGCGTTAAGAGATTTCTTACGCCGGCCCCCACCGTCAGCCGAGCTATTGGCAATAATGATGAGCGCCCTGTCCCTCTGATAGTGCGCCAAGGGACTTTCAGAGGGACGCGGCTCCCATCGCTCATTGATGGCAGCGAAGTCTGAGCTTCTGACTTGCGACAACCAGCCGTTTACAGGTCCGGCCAACCTCCCCACCACCAAACAAGGCACAAGCTTCGGAGATCGAGGTTCGGCCTTTAATTTATCATTACGAGATTCTTGGCAGTGCCAAATGCAGGGAGAGTTTTAGCCAAGACTTCCCTTTTCGGCGCGCGCGATAACAGAAACGCGATCCCTCCAATGCCCTGCCGGACAATATGGTTTAGGTTGCTGACCTTTCCGTTCATAAGCACGGGAGTTTGTGAACCGTCGCCCGCTAAGGCTAAGCACTCAACGGCGCCTCGTGTTTGAGAATTGTTGATACTCACGGTCCGGCCAGGGGCTTTGCCAATCATAACCCCAGTCCTGGCATCTGCCCCTTTTTTCTTCAAGATTGTCCTGAACCTGTGACACTACCCATGGTGAAATGCTTTATTCTGGCAGTTTTCAACGGTTTTGTGCCGAGAAATTGCGAGAAATGAAACAAAATCGTGGGGAAAAGTGAAACCTTGACGGGACGCTTATCTCATAGATTCTTAGATTTCCGACAATAAGGCTACCGGAATGGGCAGGGACGCCGTCGACGAGGTATCAGATTTTACTCCAGGGGCAAATGGCGGAAATAGATAACTAGACTACTCTGTTGAGTGTTGATTTTCTTTTGGTTATGTCAGTGTATTCAAGTTCTTCGGCCAGGTTCGCCAGTATTGTCATTCTCTTTCTACTTCGTTCGCTTCGTCCATTTCACTCGCTCTCTCGCAGTTTCAGTTCCCAAATATTTCCGATTGTCCTCATCTGAAGAGCACAGGATGCTTTCCACCGCAAAAATGGCGCTTGCCGCCGGCCTTTTGGCCGAGGCCGTCTACGGCTATGCCCAAGTCAACATCATGGCACCCATCTTCTACAAGAACATTGATCCCATCGTTTTCCCCGGCAGCTACAGCGAGTCCCATCTGCACACGTTCTTTGGTTCCGACGGCGTGACTGCCAACACCAAGACCAGTGCAGAACTCCAGTCCGGGTGCACCAACGCCGGCAACCCCAACGACTTGTCCGTCTACTGGGTCCCGACCCTGGTTTACACCAAAGATGGCGGCAGCTCTTATTCTCCCGTCCCGCTGTTCCGCTTCAGCGCATACTACAGCCTAGGTGATACACAAGCCGAGGTGCCCATCCCCCAGAATCTAAGGATGCTTGCTGGTGATGCCTCAGCCCAGTCTGCGAGCGCCAGCCCTGCAGACGCCAAGGTTGAGTGGTTCTGCGAGGGCGACAGCGTCGCTCTCGACGCGAATGGCTTCCCCAAGAGCACCTGCTCTACCCATCTCCAGACTCTGCTTTACTTCCCCAACTGTGTCGACGAGTCGACCCTCGAGGTCGCCTACAAGAGCCGCACATACGGCACAACCAACTGGTGCCCCAAGAACATGAAGTCTATGCCACAGCTTCGCTTCAGCATCAGGTACGACCTGCGCAAGGCGCTGCCCAATGGCTGGAGCGGCACTGCCCCCTTCAAGCTCGCCTGCGGAAACGCGTACTGCTCCCACGGCGATTTCATCAACGGCTGGACTGAAGAGTCAGCCAAGAACATGGTCGCCGCCACTGCTTCCAAGCAAAAATTCATTGCTGTCGAGGGTTCCCTTGGCTCTGAGAAGCCAAACTGCAAGCCCGCTGATTCCGAGCCCAGCAAGGGCACTTCCGACTACGCTCAGAGCGTAGCGTTGATGGGCAAGCGCTCCGTCGACTCTGCTGGCTGGACATCACGATCCAGATTTGCCAGATGGTTTTAAAATGGGGACATGTGCTATGAGACTCCCTTTGGATTGAAAGAAGATTGGTTTGAACATACAGTGGTGTAGGCTGGTTCCTACGCACCGGATTCAATATCTTACTAGTTCACTAGCCAATTCTTTAAAGCGTCGAGTAGAAAATAAACCCAATGACAAAGCATCTAAACCATACTTCGGGATGATTGAATAAAAGAATAATATGTTCGAACGGCGCCTGGGGTCTTACGTCCGAGTCCTGACCTGCCTCACCTTAAACGAGCTTGTCCCTAATAATGCAATAGATGCCGTGATGCGCCCAGAATAATTAACAGTGCACCTTCAAATTAGACTACAGCGCTCAGATTTCTACGTAATATAGGATTTGGGACGTGTAGCTGTTTGTAGGGCAGCGTGTTTCTACCTCTTGTTCAAATCCATATTAACACATCCACACAGTTTTTGACGATTTTGTTATGTTGCAGCATACACCTCGGTCAAGTGAAGACACCATTGTGCCTACCAAAGAATGCTTAGTTCAATTATTCGACGACGTAGGTGCCGCTTTGGCTACTTCCAGACTCCATTCACGTCCATCAGCGGTTGTTGACACCCTATAGCTCCACGGTATTGTAGAGAGGGATACCATGGTCAAAATGGCCACCCGGGATAATCTTCCAGTGAGATATACCCGAAATATTATTTGAGTTAGCATAAGTTAAGAGAGAAGAGTTCCGATAGATGTAATTTATCCTGGACGTGGCTAGTTCGCTGTGTTCCATCTATCACCTAGCATTTCTGAAGTTCTCAACAGAAAAATGGAACAAGAAACGGGTCATGTTTCGAAAGTTGCATTGCATGTGTGGCACAATTATCTGGAATTACATTCGCTTTCTAGCGGGAGAGCCTTGATTGGAAACACCCCCGACCAGCACATGCTTGACTATGATAACCTTACAAGAAGAGACCTATGATTGGTCCGCAACTGATTTGTCTATGCCTCTCAGAAGGTTTACCAAGACGTTCACAAGTCGAAGGCTAAATTTGAGCACCAAAATATAGATATCTATGGAGGCAATGATGACCCAATTGAACTGGATTCTTGGACTAGTTGGAAGGAGTTACTGCATGATTCTCATCTCAAGCCCTTGAAATAGTTCTTTGATGAGGTATATAGGAACTGATTGACTAGGCTCTGGGAGAATAAAGCGTGATAGAAGCGGTAGATAACAGCAAAAATCACATGGTTTTTTCATTAGGTAGAATTTAGAGAATTGGCTAGGTGGCAAACAATGTAAATAAATGAGGGGCTTCAAGTAGACATGAACACTGCCAGAAGAAAGACATCAAAAAGGATCAAAGATTTTGCAAATTGAAGTCCGTTCTTGCCTCACCGTTTAGACTTTCAGGCATGCCTGTGTTCATTCGGAAGAGAAGTGCTTCTGGGAACCGCCGTTCTCGTACTTCGTTTAGCTTGCATAGGAGACCTCGCATCTTCGCCTCGGGACCTCCGCCATGCTCGCAAGGTGGAGCCTCGTTCATTCTCTCTTCTCGCTTGAACTGAGTGCAGCACAGCCTCAGCGGTAGATTTTGGCCCCAAGCTAAGACCCCTTAATTCCATCCTAAAATTTTCGTTCAGTCATGGATGGATCGACGTATAGCTAAAATTATTGGAAACGAAGTCATTACTCGCATGAGTCAACCAGCATTTAAATTCTACGCAAACTCTCCTTCACACTTTCGATCCCACATCATACTCCTCGCTTCTCCTAGCATCCTGTCTTGTGTTTTGTGTTCCTTATTCAATTAAAGACGATCGTTTCTATTCGGCGATGTCTGGCACTCTAGGGAACTCGGCGCCTAATTCCCATCTTAATGTCTTCGGACGGGAAGCATCGGACGACTTGGTAGTATTCCGTCTTTACCACTACGACCCAACACTGATAGGCGCTGTTGTCTTTGTTCTTCTTTTTCTTGGCACTAGTGTTGTCCACACATGGCAGTTGTATCGCTCTAGGTGTTGGTTTGCTATTCCGCTAATCGTCGGTGGCCTGTGTAAGATTTCTCCTATACATAGACGGGCCTTTCCAACGTCAGTTCACAGTCTCGCTGACATTATTCATTTATTCGACTAGTTGAGGTCATTGGATATGCAGGACGTTGCGTGTCTAGTAAAGAGAGCCCAAATTGGACACTGGGTCCATACATCATCCAGGCAATCCTACTGTTGGTGGCCCCAGCGTTATTTGCAGCAACGATCTATATGGAATTAGGCCGAATTATGATCTTAGTTCGGGGCGAGAATAGAGCTGTGATCAGAAGAACATGGCTTACAAAGGCCTTTGTCGGCGGTGACATACTCTCCTTTTTCTTGCAAGGCGGAGGTAAGTACTTGTGCCTGCGAATTTGGAGGAGCCTACGAACTGACGTGAGATTTCCTTAGGTGGCGGATATCAAGCAAGCGGTACACTCGAGGCCCTGAAAGCGGGTTCAGACATCATTATTGCCGGCCTATTTGTGCAGCTTTTATTCTTTGGAGTGTTTCTCGTCGTTTCTGTTCTGTTCCATCGCTCGATCGTCCGGATACCAACCAGCCACTCCGCAAACCCCAACGTCCCTTGGAAGCGACACCTCAAAGTTCTCTACCTAACCGGCACGTTGATCATGATCCGATCAATCTTTCGAGCCGTCGAGTATTTGCAGGGATTCAATGGATATCTGCTACGACACGAGGCCTATCTCTACGTCTTCGACGCCGCTCTCATGCTTCTTGTCATGATAATATTCAATTTCGTTCACCCTGGGGAGATTATAATGACATCTGGATATGATCAACCCAAATCCGATGGAGAGATTGAGCTCATTAGTCAGGGTCGTCACGAACGCCTGTACTCCAACGCGTAAACAGGGAGATGTCCACGATCCTCAAGACATGGATTTTATTTGGTCGCGATTCAAACCAGAAGGCTTTGCTGATTCTGATGGGCGTTATTTAGAATGTTAGGTACATTACGAGTTTGGAGAAAATCGTGCATAAGATAGAGATCTACTACGGAAAGGACATAGATAGTATTATATCCATAACAATACAGAAAAAATGGCATAGCTAGCTACCTGCCTCCATCATACGGCGGCTCCGTTCAGTCCATTGTTTCCAATAATCTCCCAGAACCTCCTCAGCAGCACTTATAATATTCCTCCCCCAGCCACTAAAACACCAAATGTGGTCCAGCGAATTCAACATGGCGCCGAAGAATGTGAATAACACAAGGGCTGGAGGCTGCCGTTGTTGCAACCTTTCAAAGTACTGCTCAGGCACGCAATGAATGAATACCAAGGGACCGGCCCACTGTCGGTTGTAGCTTGAATCATCTATATCATCAACTCGTGCGCCTTGGAATTGCACCATGAACATTCTGCATTGCTTTAAAAGCCGCAGCACGAGCTCGTACATGGCAATGTCTTCGCGCTGGCTTTGAGCCCACACCACCTCGATTCCATCAAAGTATTCAGAGGCCGCCATGCCATCGAGGTCCAGGCTATCCCAGTTGTTGATACTGAATAGCTTTTCCAAGCGCCCAAACCGTATATGGTCGAAGACTGTGCCAAGGACAGTCCCGACGCCGCGAACCATGGGGATCCATTCAGCACCGAGAAGAATGGCCCTGCGGCGCGATACGTCGTTAGCGTCTGGTTCGGGTTTCTTGTTTATGGCGAAGGTGTAGAAAATATTCAGAGTCGTGAACAAGACGAGTGCCTCGCCGTTGCTGGCATTGGCGGAGTAGAGAGTTTCACTGAAGCCCTGGAGAGCTTTCCCATGATGGCGGATAGCAGTGACAACATGGTGCCTCTCGTGCGCTGGATTTGTTTCGGCTAGATGGAGGCTTGTAATGCTGAAGATGGCTTGAAGCAGAAATATATGCTGCAGGCCAATTTGGGGACATACTAAACCCCAGAGATGATCGTATTTAGGTGTTTGGTAAATAGTCCGACTGGTAGTTGTGGTCCAATGGTGGAGAAGTGCCAAGTCTTCGAGGCAAAAGTGTGTAGGACAAAGAGCATAAGCTTCGGGAGAGGTCAGAAAGGGCGAGGAATAAGAAGGCGATTGGGCATGTTCAGAGTGATGCCCGTCATCTGACAAGGAGGGCGACTGAGATTCTGTGGCTGAGAAGGTGTAGGACTGCCGATCCCTGCTGGGGTAGACGCAAGTTGTGAGCCGACGGACGCAATTGCCACATGAAGGCTTGCCCTCGTTGCACTATCAAGTATCAGCCAGTGAAGGAGGGAGATGATGGGTGGCGAGAAAGGCATGCGTGCTCGTCGCGGAACAAAGCACCAGCGCGCTCGTTTGTCGTGGTTACCTTGACTCGGCGTCTTTTGCATTCGAAGCAGCCCAATCTCGACTTGACGTGGACCTTACGTCGGATTGGGGCTGAAGCGGTAGAAGCACCTGCAGCTCCGTCGTCATCCATCGCTTCGTATAGGTACCTCCTAAGCAAAGAAGATCCTTCTGGCTGGTTCGGGTGAGCGAGGGCCACCTCGAGAATGTAAAACGAAATCCGAAGATGACATCAAATGCAGGATGCGAGTTTGCTCTTATTCTGGAACAGCTTCCTCCAGTTGCCTACCGACCACAGCCCCCGTTTTAGCTTGAGTTTCGGGTGGGTACAGCACCAGGACGAGCTCATTAGTACGAAGTACGAGGCATGTGGGGGAATGTACGAGGTGGTTACGAACTACGAGGCTTGTTTCGAGCCTTACTGAGAACTAATTCGACCATTCCATCTCCACCTTGAAGGCCAAAGACCCTAGGGAGCGGACCAGCCCACACCATTGACGTGCGAAAGTAGGGCTTTATGACTCGTTCCGTCGGCAACTCATATCATTAGGCTGGGAATAGTCTAGTTCCTATCAAGGAAATTGGATGAGGTTGGCGGGGATCTGAGCCAAACCGGCCTTGGATACTCCAGGCCGATTCGTTTAAAACAGCTCGTCCGCCTGTTAGAAAATCAAATTGTATTTCGGTTTCCATACCGAATTTCACCTGAACAAACGACGCCAGGAACAATAGTACCCATCGACGATGAGTGACACTCGCCCAGCAGATGTCCCGGAGGTCTTCGATTTCCAACTCTACAGATATAATCCTTCCTTGCCTGCAGCGGTTACGGCCGTGATCGTTTTCACCATCCTCACAGTGTTGCATGTCTGGCGCTTATACAAGGCTCGGGCGAAATACTTCATCGCTTTTACGCTTGGGGGGGCTTGTAAGTCATCACCATGCTCTCGGATATCCTTTAGCCGTCTCCTAACTGACAGATCCTAATGACAGTTCAATTGGTCGGATATGCGGGCAGGATATGGAGCCACTACGATGAATCCTCTATTGGAGGCTTCGTGATGCAAGCTATTCTCATCCTCGTTGCACCAGCGCTCTACGCCGCCTCGATATACATGATCCTTGGCCGTCTCATCCGAACACTACAAGCGTCTGATTTATCTCTTGTCCCGCCCAAATGGGTCACTCGAATATTTGTTGCGGGAGATGTTGTCGCCTTTTCCCTTCAAGCGGGAGGGGGCGGCGTTCAAGCAGCCGGCACATTGGAACTCTACAACATCGGCGAAAAGATCATCATCACGGGTCTCTTTGTTCAGATAGCCTTTTTTGGCTTCTTCGTTATTACCTCCATCTTGTTTCACCATCGCCTCAACTCCCGACCTACCGAAGTGGCATTAACAGGAAGTGTACCCTGGAGACGATACTTGTACGTGCTATATGCAACCAGCATGATAATTCTGGTTCGAAGCGTATTCAGGGTCGTGGAGTATCTTCAAGGAAATGCCGGGTATCTCATCTCACGAGAGATTTTTCTCTACGTTTTTGATACTATCCTCATGGCTGCAGTGATGCTGATTTTCCTGCTGTGGTATGTGCAGCATCTAGAGCAACAGAAAGTCCTGGAGCAGTTGGAGTTGAGCAGCTCGTAACAGCAATCAGAGCCTGAGTCAGTGCAGCCCGTTAGAGACAGATCCGGCGCATAGATTCAAAATGCATTATCTTGCCATCTCCATTAGTTTTAAAGCTCTTTGACGCGGAATTGGGGTTAGTGGTATATAATTCTTTATTTCCACGAACCAGTAAAGCGTAACAGGACCACCAACCAGTCAAGTATTACATAGTTTCATCATCGTTTATAGATTTCTCGGTTGTATTTTAGCGAAAGGATCCGAAAACCTGATACATATTACCCACTAGCTGTCACTCTTATCCTATCTAGGCACCCAATAATCTCTTTTCACAATACAGCCTGTCTGAAAACATTGCGAATCACTAGCTGCCTTGTGTTGGTACTCCATTTAGACTTTTTCTAAGAATCCCAGATTCAGTATCGTCACCTTAGTATTTGAAATTTAGTACATTCAGTCTCTCGGCCTAGCTAACACTGCCGCCCTGCTTCGCTCTTTGTCCACCCTTCGAAAATAATAACTCAATACATCAATCAAAAAGTATTAGCACATAGATAATATACAGGATTGAATGCGTTCACAGCTGGGAGTTCGGTAGGTAGAGCTATGACTGATAGATGCTACCATCCAGAGGAAGCGTCCCATTAGCCAAAAAGGTATCTAACACGGCCCTTGTATCCCCCAATAGAAAATGACTCAAGTGCCCAGACCCGTTCCTGGTAATGCTCACAGCATTGGGAAGCTGCTGTCTGACACCATCTGCCCACACGCTACTACATGAGGGATCATACACGGAGTGCGCTATCAAAACCGGCGGCGCTCGCTGGGTGATTGTCGTATTCAGGAACACTTGCCCATTAGTGAGGGGAGCTGGCCACCCTAAGCATCTGCTTTGATAGTAATATGTCTGAGAGGCTCCGGCAGTCAGGGGAGCAAATGGTTGAACTGCCTGTAATCTGAGTTCTAGATCTGTCGCTGATCTCGCCTGGTGGAGCCAGTCCTGGCAGCCGATAGCAAGATATGAGAATGGCGAGCCCTCGATTGACGTAGCATTTTGTGTCAATGCTAGAGGAGTTGAAAGAGCGGTAGCGTTGCCATTGGATGCTTCTAGCAACGCGGCTCCAAGGCCGGTCCAGTTGGAGGCGTATGATAAATCTACAAATTGTAGAAAGCTCTGGGCATTGTATCTGATATCCTCGCCTGTTACGTTTGGCTGGCATGTCCGGTTGCAACTTGGGGCGGGGATTGGGGAGGCATCAGCCTTGAGTAGAAGGTCGGTGAAAACCTGTCTAGTGTTGTTACCGTTCAGAGCACAAGTGTTGTTGGTGTCACACCACTGAAAGAACTGGTTAAGCGTAGCCTCATAAGTTGAAGACTCCGTCAGCAAGGCAGAAGGTTCAGATTGTGAATGATCGACCGGCCCATCCAATGCCATTCGACCGACAGTGTTGGGGAATAAAGAGAGATACTGCTGGCCCAACAATGTACCATAGGACAGACCAAGGAGGTTGAACTTGGTGGCGTTTAGCGCGCGTCGAACCAGCTCGTGATCTTTCGCAACATGAACCGTGTCCAGGTTATTGAGAAGAGGCCCCGTGAGATTCGCGCAACTCTGCCCGAATTGGCGGTTGTAGCTAACTAAAGCTTGATAGCTGGCGTTATCACTCACGAAAGTGCGTATTCGTTGGTTGTATATGTTTGGGTCGCACTTTATGGGCGTGCTATAGCCCACACCACGCGGGTCGAGACCAATGATGGTGTATACTCTCCTCACAGCATCCGATACTCCGAAGTTGGGCACAAATTGTCCTGCCGCAACGAGGGTGCTAGCACCCACACCGGGCCCGCCTGGGTTGAAGAACAAGGGGTTTTGCGTGCCATTTCCAGTGGAATTGAGCCGTGTCAGAAACAGTGAGACGGTTTGATTTCCATCAGCAGCGGTTGAGTTACCCGACTTATATGACAAGGGAACTGGAATAGAGCCACAGTCCACGCCTGGAGGAATGCCAGGGGGGCAAGCGGACCAACGTATGGTAGGCGCCGTGCCATTATTGGTCGCATTTTGTGCAAAAACAGTCCAGATATGGAGGAAAACTGAGTATATCAAGGCACTTGAGAAAAAGCGAAGGTTAAGAATTCCAACCATCTTGCTGGGCGGCCGGGGAAGGGTTGAATAACTGGTTCTTTAGGCGGATGGTCGACTTATAATGCTGTGGTTCTGACTTGTGTCCGTTACTCGCTGCTGATGACACCGCAGTGGTGGATAGACGTAAAATCTGATTATATTCATACAACGATATGTGGACGAACGATTGAAGCACAAGTATAAAGGTAGAGGGGTTTCAAGATCTTGAATACAAGTTTCCCCAGATTCCACAGGGCTGTGCCGCTTCCCGTTGAGATCGGCTAGCCGTAGCCACAACATTCAAGTCGGCTAGAAGATGTAACATGGGACCAATAAGAATCAAGACTTGCTGTTCATGTGCGGATGGTTCGGGCACTATCGACAATGAGTGACATCACCACCCAAAAAATATATTGAATCACACTGAGTTTATGACATAAGATGTGCATCAGCCAACGCAAGCCCGTGACGTGGACTTGCTTCAGCCGCGTGTTTTGGGCGCGTCGAATACTAACGGCATCTGGAGATGAATTAATGACGGAGCAGAAATCCATCACTTCACTGTACGTGAAAAGCATTGAAGGAAACTTCCACGCCTCAATCATATGGAATTAGTCTTGAAGTTACCTTGGCTAGTTAAAATGGATACTGTTCCACTTCATCATCTTTGCCAGGGATATGAAGAGTCCTGTGAACGGGACCGGTTCATCAGCAATCAATTTGGACTTCAGGAATGAGTTATAAACGCTTGAGTAAAGTGAGCTGATTCCGCTGGATTTGGCTAATGGCACCTGAAACCAGATGCAGATTCATACCCACGCAAATCAGTGCTAAGTGCGGCCAAATGAACGCCAACACCTATATTTCCCCTACTTCACAATGTGCCACCTTAAGCGTAGGTACCATGGCGGCTGTCAAAATGTCTACCGCTGACGAAGGAGTAACGCTAGAGGGTTATTCGACAACCGGATGCTCGGGATCACCTGCCATCACGATTACCGAGAAGGATATCTGCATCGACCTCACTGGTCTAGGTATCTTGAGCTGGAAGGGCATTTTCTAACTAATACTCTCACTGGAGAAGCTATTAAATGGGAGAAATACCAAGAGGGCAAACCAAAGTGGCGTATACCAATCTGTGAGCTCTGTCTCGCGAGGCCTTTCCAAACTTGGCACACATTGCATTAAACAAGACATGGCGCTAGAAGTGACAAGATATTTTCTCAGGCTTGACAACGATATTGTGTATCTGAACTTGGTGCTTGCAAAGTAAAGCATCCATCACTCCAAACAGAGACTTGTTAGCTACCTCTAGATATTTGGTCAACTAGAGACGTAATCGATCCGAACCGAGAATACTGATGACAGGCAACAACTTTGTCTTATATAAATTGAAGATAGCCTTGAACGGGAAGTCACTTGTGTCACAAACCCGAGGACAACGAAGCGGTTCTATGCAAGGGAAGGCGACTCTTTCGTCGTTGGATGACCAATTCTTAACTCAGGATTTTCCTCCAGAACCCTTCGCAGGCCACGTCTTCAAACTCTTTCCGTTCTTTTAAGGAGGAACCAAATCTTGAAAATCTTCAGTTGATGTTCACGTTTTATTTATCGGCTTCAAAATGAGGCTTTAAAAGGAGGGCATGGATATGAAAAAAGAAGAGAAAAAGAAAAGTTGGACGAACAGGGAATCGAACCCTGGACCACTCCCAGGCTAGTTATTGCAAACATGCTAAGGGAGTATTATACCACTAAACCATTCGCCCCAGACGAGTTTTTTCGCTTTCTGAATTACGTTCCTATGTTGGATGGCTCTCATCCCGGAAATCGATCTCACGTCCTCAATCCGAAATTTTTGACATACTGTTCAGGCATCTGGTCAATTACAAGTTTCAAAAAACTTATCCTGAGCAGCTGTAGATGCATCCTCAAGACACTCTTCCTTTTGCTGCTGTAAGATAGCTGCGTCTTGGGATATCCCGTAACTTAATCCCTCGACCCGGCATATCATCTTTTGGCATTCTACCTACTCGTTTCACAGGCGTAGAGAAATAGGGGAGATATAAATGATGATATAACCTCCGTTAAACTGACAGAGAACACAGTAAAACATTATAGAGATTGTCGCAAATCCAACGGTAGCAACCAGGTGTAATGCCAACCCTCCATAACAAACCCTTAAAATATATCTCTTTCATTACCCAACATTAGCAAGCCCTTGGTTGTCTGCCATGACAGTTGAAGAAGCAGTAGCGTAAGGTAGAAATAGATGGTACCTTACACAGGTTCAACACGTTCCTTTATCATTGATAAAGTACAATAAGCAACTTCGGCGTATTGGGAACGGCATCTATTTTGCTTCAAAATTGCTTGGTGGCGCTCCTCGGTAGCTTTGAAGTGCAATACATCTATACGAAATAGGGTGATACAAATGAGGAAATAATAATTCATGGTTACAGGGAGAGGGCCACCGCGCTTCTAATTTAATACTGGACCCTGTGCCGCATGGCCACATTGGCTCATTCTGTAGTGTTTCGGGGCGCAGAAGTGCCTCATGTGGCCGAGATGGTGGCATGCAAACGGCACCCTTATAATTGCTAATAATCTACTGCATGCTGTGCATTCTAACAGGAGGGACTTGAGTTACCATGATATTTCACGATCCTAGGAATAGCGTCTTGGCAGATCCTTCAAGATTGTGTATGAAGACCAAATGATGACTTCGTTGCTCAGTACCGGGCATAGCATCCTGTCCCCTACGCCCTGCTAGCTCCTAAGCTTACTCGAATTCGAGAAAGGCTCACCAACATGGTAGCGTGCCACGCTTATATTTGGAAATAGAAACAGGAAGGATGTGCGGTCTCAATGCTTGAACAGGGACAAGAAGATGAAATGGCTAAAAAAGCGGCAGAGCTCGTTAACAGCTCGAGGTATAAAACTGCCAAGCTCGTCCTCGCGGACTAGAATATCAAATGATCACAGCAGTCAACAGAGTTGCGAATTCCATTCCCCAAGAACCGACGTCATTCTTTTGGAGTAACAAACAAAATATTTTCTGCAAACATGCGGCCGTCAATTGCAGCCATACTGGCTGTGTGTGTTTGTTCCTCTGAGGCTGCGATAATTGGTGTTTTGGCGCCTGAGTCGATCCGGATTGGTTCCGTGGCCGATCTCAAGATCTGGACTGGCAGTGTAAAGCCACGCGCCGATGACATCGCCGTCGCTTTTGGGTGGTCTTCCCGCGATTCTGCAGTCGAGGGGAACATTGGGAATCTTCTGCGGTACACTTACCTTGGGCCCTGTAAGTTCCATTCCCCTGATTAATCATCCAGAAGTAAGTCAATTTTGCAATACGAATATACTGACAACTCCGATACGCAGACGAGTCCAACCTAGGCCTCTTCAATATATCAATCCCCGTACGATTTCCGGCCGATATCCCCAAGGGTGAAGGTGTTATCTCGGCATCCATCTTCAGTTTGCTACATGATCAAAATGTTGCCCACTTAAGAAACTTCCAGATCAATGTCACCTTCGACGACAAGACCACCTCTCCTAATTACGTCTTTCAATGAGGCCATTCAAGTTGGGAAAATCTCGGTTGGCATTTGGGGCAACTTTTGCAGCAGACTGCTCAAAATAGACGACGGCAATGCTTCTCAATTGGCCAACAGGAGGGGTGATGTATATTAGTATGATTTGACTACTGCTATATCAGTTAGTTCTTCATCTCTCAGCGTTGAATCATCTTCGATTAGATTAGTATTTACAAATTCTATTTTCATACTCATTTGAGGAAAGCATGCCCTAAGTTAGAACTTCGCATTACCTCTTAACAGCAGAAGCAAACTAACATGCGTGAGGCTGGTTCCATACGAGCCCAATTCGGCCGACTTACACAGGCCAAAACCAGTAATATTCTTCCAAAACCCACACAAATGTGTATAATACAGTTACGCCACAGGATCTGATGCCAAGACGGGATATTGGCAAACCTCTTGGCTGATCCTGCTACGCCCCTGCCAAGTTGTTGTAGGAGCGGAGCCCATCGCACAGCCACTCGCAAAAAAAAGTCTGACCAAACTGCCCGAGATAACGCCCATGAAAGAGCCCAGTGCACTGAGAAAAGAACAAAGATGAATATGATGGTATTTAATGGCACAATCTTCCACCTCTTGAGTTCGTACAAGCAGCGCTTATATCGACCAGTCCTTCTCATTCGGCCAATTACAGCCAACTTAGTCCCCGTTGCCAGCCTGAAGATTGTCGGACGCATTTGAGCAATCATGGAAGTTGGGGTCCCCCGAGACTTTCTGTTGGACGCGGACGACCAAGTCCAGAGTCCGCTTTTCCGGCTACCGCTGGAAGTTCGGCGTACAATATACGAACTTGCCTTCAGGGAGCAGCCTGTTGACGACGGCAACTACGTCAAAGGCATCAGTGAAGAAAATTTCATAGTGGATGAGTGTCAAAACCAGCACGATTCTGCTCACAATGCTATTGAAATTGACGGAACGCTGCCCAATTGGCTTCGCCCGGGGTGTACCACTCGGTTGAAGACAGAGACAGCCCTGCTCAGGACCTGCCAGTTAGTGTATATCGAAGCGTCTTCGCTCCTCGTATCTACAATGGTACTTAGATGCTATCAAGGCTATGGTCCTAGAGTCAGGCCATACCGATATCTCAAGCGCTTAACCGATGGGCAGCGTTCAGACGTGCATCGCCTCCATTTATTCACTCAAGTACGAGACTTCGACCGCCATGGTCCTTGGCTTCGACAACAGCTCGAGCCGGTTGCGAAAAGCCTTCAACACCTCACCATCACTCTACGTGATCTAGGGGGCTCGCCGGAAACACCCATGCTTCTCAATCCCTACCAATCGGGAGTGGCCAAAAGCCAAGCCATAGGCCAATTCATGGAAAATACGGAGAAGGGCGAAGAATTGAATATTCCACCAGCCAGCTGGACCAGCAGCTTCGCTTTTTTTCCAGCTCTAAAAACTCTCACAATGGAGTTAGAAGACCAAGAAGAGAGGGAGAGCGAGTTGGAATCACTTGCACAGTGGGCAACAACTTGGAAGTTCCCGCTTGGGGGTAACCAGTTCATGAGCTCAAAGACAGCCCCCTCGAGTCGGGCATGGCAGCGCCCTCGGCCGCAATGTGATGATGAATTCTACGGTTCCTACAAACCCCCACCGCGTATAATCACCTGGACAGTTCGATGGGATGCGCCGCCTACTAGGACAGTTGCCAATGATGATACGAGCCAGGAGGAGGTAATGCCAACAACCAGGGAGACTAATGATGAGCCCCTTTTTCAACGTCCAGCCTACGATCCGCGCTTAGGGGGGCTTAACTCAATCTTTGCGCATGCGTCAGAATCAAGTCTTCGCGAACTGGCAGAGTGGGGGGTCATATAAGAAAATGCCTCGAGGCTTACTATTAGTGCAATATTTCTGTTTGACTCGATCTTCTTTCGCCTGCTCCTTTCCCTTAGAGCATATGTTTTGGCCTTTTAGGTCTAGATAGCATTACAAATCCCACGCGCGTAATACACACACAAGTATGAGTGGCATACTACGAGGAACTCACAATAATCGTCCCATACTCTGAGTTATTATACCAAACATACCCTTTAGAGGAACTTGACATGTTTTTTTTTAACATAAGCAGATGCTTTTATAGACAGAAAAGACAAGGGAATTGCTCTAGCAAAGGGGGAAATATCTTCAATGCAATCATGGGGATCGTACCAGCTCCGTTTGCTTAGCTTCGTAGTCAAAAAGATGTAAGAGAAAATAGAATAATCAACAGCAATGGAAGTTGCCAGGACAATGAATATTAGTAGTCGAAAAGACAAAAAGCTTTATTACTGTAGTCTCCATCAATATTATATGCTACTACCCCATCTCTTCAGTGTTTCCGTGCACGGCGGGGATTATTCTATTTAGGTGAACGGGAAACGGGATCTTAGTGACTCGGCTACTACTATAACGACCCCTACTCATCGTCTTGTGTAAACAACTTAAGGTAATCCGAGTATCTTGTTGGGACGACTTCGGTTGCTACCTTCGTCGGTCTGACTGGCTCGCGGTCCATCAAATCTCGGATAATGCCTTCCTTGATCTCGGTAGCTAGACCTTCTATAGCGCTCCCGTCGGTGTCCATAGCCAGGCCATTACGTCTTCCCACTTCAGCTTGTAAAAACGAGTTGAATTCTTTCGAGCAAGCAGCCATTTCGATTGCTTTCCCCACACTGAGCTTGACATCCTTGACTCTGTCATGCTCCATGTTCATCGCGGGGAGGATCCTAATTTCTTGGTTCTGATCATGCTCGACGAAAGCCGGCACTGTGAACCAGCCGGAAAGCGAAAGGGTTGAAAGGGAGTACGTGGTGGCCAGAGGGATGAGAATATCTGACCAAAAGCATCGCTGTAGACCTTGCGAAGGGGGGCCGGCAATTGCGCAATCTCTTAGTCCAACATATTCAAGGGTGTGTCCATGGAAGCTGAGGAAATCCAAGAAATCAGATGTCAAGAATTCAACCTGCGAAAACCGGAGCCTTCGTATGCGATGCCATGTGTACTCTCTCGGTAGAATATAAGCTGAATTGGCGTAGTAAATCCCAGTCCCGAAGAATGCGCCATTGATACTGACTTCCAAGACTTCGAGATGGGGAGCCGAGCATAGAAACTTCTTGAGTCGGTTCTTGGACAGAATTCGGTCGGCCCTCTCCCTCTCATCATCTTCACTCGCGGCCCAGATGCATAATTTCAACGTGCGGAGACTCTGGATGCATTTCCTTATCTGGGAGTAGACCTCATCTTCCTCCTGGAAAACTTCGAGAGCGAGTGCATCGACCTGTAGAGTCCTCAGTTGAGATTCAGTGAAGGCGCCTAACAACGATGATAGCAAGCAAACACCAGGAAGGGCGATTTTGTGCGGGAAGACGCTAAAATTGAAAGCTGGCAAGACAGAGCAGTGTGTCAAATCACCGTGCCGTTGACTAAGAAATTGGTAAGCCTGGTTGCTGCGTAAATGATCTGGCTGGAAGCCCCTGGCGTCTCGGATATGCAAATTCTGCAGGTTATTGAAGCGCCGACAAGCAATCTGGAGGTCTTGTGAAGTCTGCAAGGTCTTGAAAGCTTCGTCTTGGGCAGCCAGCAGTAGATTGTAATGCATCATGCTCTCCGCCCAGTCATCCTCTGAAAGGCCGACTTCGTGCGCCACATGATTCCCAGAGGTCAACGGCTTTGTCATAGAAAACTTCAAAGACCTGATAGTACTGTAAGGATAAAAGACGTTCATCAAGCAAACGACTGTAGATGTATGGCGGCTGAAAACGGGATCTGAGGATATGTCGCGCAGCCGGTTGATGCTCTCGGGCACCAGCGCAAAAGTCACTCTTGCGCCTAAGGCAGGGAGGCCAACTTCGCCAAATAACCGGCAGACTAAGCGGAAATTAGATAGATCGGTGTCGTTCGCGAGACGTTTGCATATTTGCAGGAGGAGTTCATTGGGCAGGGATGACAGGGTGATCGCCATCGTGCCTAAGTAGGACTAGGACGATAGTTATGGGTTTCAGAAGGCAACACAATTGCCGTCAATAAATTGTAGACAATCAGAGAAGCAGAGGAAAGTGGCGACTGCTGGCGAGCGTGGACTGAGGGCTGGAATCATGAGAGGTGTACGGATGAGATGGATGGATTCTGGATGGATTGTGGATGAGGGGCAGTAACACTACATGCATACGCCCTATCATAGAATCCCTAAGCTCATTAGCTAGATTGGTCAGCGCCCACTAAGTGCTGGTCGCGCATATCGTCTCAGGTCAGCATCCAAACTCAGCCCTGGCTTTCCTTGATCACACCGGTTGTCGGTGGTGTTGTTGTTATTGTTCAACGCCGATAGATCCTGAAGGCAAAGGGCGCCTATCTAGAGCTATGTATATACTATTTACATGTATGTTGTCCTATACAGGAAGGTGTTGATCACGCTAGTGGAAGTATATCATCTAAAATCATATATTTGCGCCTTGTACTCTGGCTTGGCTGGCACGTCAATACTAGGTAGGCTCCATGAACGGAATCGAGAGGCCTAGGAGTTGTCCGTGGTAATTCAAGCCTCAAATACAAATATCTTCACTTATATACGCCACAACTGCTTACAATTAAGGCAGTGATTCAATTCTAGACTCTTTCCCCCGAGTATCTAGGCTCCAGAGTCGCCTCGGCTATCATTCTGCTCTGTAAATCTGCTTTCCCTAGCGATATCTTCCATCGAATAATCATCATTCGACGTGAAGTCCTTCTGAATAAACTGCAATGCGATTTATTTTTCATCAATAATCTCACCATCTCGGACTTCTTCAGGCTTATAGCAAGCGCACTGCGGCAACGTCGCTGCCTCGCCAACCCAGAATGTATCCACTGCCCACTTGTATAGCCTCCAGAGTGCACTGACGAACACGATATCGGCCACAAGGACTGCCATGATTAGGTTAGCGGGGTTCTTGAGCACCCTGACTTTGCATAGATATGTCGTAGAAAGCACAGCCGGCTCAATAGTCAGATCGACGCTCGGAAACTCCGATGGGTCAAAAGATTTGGTACCAGTATCGTGGAGTCCCCAGCTGAATGCGCTACTCAGGTTCTTGCGGGTAAACGCGAGGCTTTGGGTAAAGTCTTTTAGGAGAGCTGGCCGACTTAGTATATTCGGCATAGAGGCGTCATCGCGCCCCAGGTCCGCCAGAACTGTAAAATATGTGGCTTTGGTGAAGTTATTTGCTGACTCCCAAAAATCCAAATCGGGAACATCGTCGCCTCCAAGCGCAGCAAACGTAGTCATGTTCCTTCGTGAGGCACAAAAGTCGATGAAGGTGCGAGTATCTGGATCCTGCCTCCGGTTTAAGAAACAGTCAAGACGCAAGAAGTCTTTGTCCATAATGTCCTGCTCTGTAGCAATCTGCTTCTCTGGTGGCAAGTCGACCGAGACAACCCCGTTGTACCAGCGATTATCCCGTTTTTTATTGCTTTCTGCAAACTTCCACATCATATCGGCCCAGTAAGTTCGCATCATAGAGTAGCCCCAATGAAGATTCGCCTGGTGCGACTGGTTACTGTAGATAAAGGACCGGTAGTGTCGATAGGGCGAGCCCACGGGATCGAAAGGCCCATTGAGCTGGACGTAGGTTCGCCCTTCTTTACTACCGAAATAGCACACAATTATCGTAGTCACTGTCCCGCCGACAGGCAACATGGCCATTTGCGATGCTGATCGCGTTTGAATATCAAAATCACAAAAGATGGAGGAGATATTGCATTGCTGAAGAGGCTGGTTATGGTAAACTAAGGACCCAAGGTTCTCGGTCTGTTCATCATCTGTAAGCTTCCATACACTTTCGATTGTGTAAGGAATTGCTGATTTATTTGTGTATATCTGGGCCTGGAGCGGGATGACGGTATCTTCGCAGCTCGGGAGTGCTCCGACGAGGAATGTGGGCCAATTTGACAGCCAATCCCTCTGAGAGCTTGTTTCATTTGGATTGACGGATGATCTCGGAGTTAACTCGTATCCTTGGCCCGCAACGTTGAGGAGAGAGAACCCGGCTATGGCAATCACCCCACCGACGGCTAATACTGGTGTGAACCACCGGTAGGGATAGTGTCGTGTCAAGGAGTAAGAGTACAATGACTTGTACATGATGGAAAGAAGCCCCGGCTTGCCAGCCAAGATCACAGCAGGTAAAAATGGAAGAAACCGAATGCGTCCCGATTACAATCCCATCCACAAGGCACTAGCACTCGGATGGAGAAGCGGCAACGACGATAATAAGAACAAAGTGACAAGAACGTACATTTTTATTTTCTAGCCACTACTGTAGAAATGTCGACATCTTGGTTCCAAGTATGAAATAGGGGGAGGCACGATAGTGACTGCAGGTGGGATTTTGGGGGCATATCATTGTAGCCCCCAAAGTGAGCCATTGATTCTGAACATTTATCGCATGCGTAATGCTGAACTGTCAGCATGACGAGCATTTTCCATATCGCCTCATCCTTAAGTTGTATCGACCTGTTCGCATGCGTTTCGTTGGCGTGGGTATTCACGAAGAGCTTATCTTGAAACAAATGTAGTCGCTCCGTTTCTTCTTAACTACCCTCGACTTACTCCTTACTTCAAGATGCAGGGCCGATTTCAGCACCTATCTAGATGTGAATATCATAAAGGCTCTCTATTTTGACTCCTTCTAATGTTATAAAGCCTAAACCAAAGGTTAAGACATTCTATTCTAGTGGGGGGTTCTAATGGTCAATTTCCTCCCATTCGTTACGTCGACTTTAGGGTAGTGCGCTAGGAATATCCATCTCCCCGTAACAGGCTTGTCCTCGCAATATTGGGTTGACTGTTCAATTTTCTAACAGGTTTTGGTGATGTAAATTTCTAGTCACACGATGAGACCAAATCACATGATACAGGGAGAAGAGCTTGCGATTTCAACTAAAATATAAGTTCAATTGTACACTACGAAGTAAAGAGTATCTATTGGGTATCATCCTTGCCGGCACTCTTGCCATGATCTTTTGAATGGACCGACGCCAAAGCTTTCAACTCTATTGAATTCTCCTCACTTGAAGACCGTTCACTGACAACCCTCACTTCCTGGGTTTTCATGACACCGCCCATGGAAGACGCCTTCGATCGAAGAACGTCCTGAAGAGCCTCCTGGGACTCCTGCCAACCGGCCGTTGACATAATCATGACGGAATTTCGACCGTATTTCGAAGGAGGACCGTAGCGACTAGGTCTCTTGGATTTCGATCCAGATTCTATCCCAGTGCCGGGTCCCTGAGGGTTCGATTGGGATTGGGACTTATTCCTAAAGTAGCTTCTTTGGCTGGATTTTAACTCCTGGTATAGCATTCTCCTGCTCCGAGTTAGCGAGTGTGAAATATAGGAAGCAGGAAGCCTCGGCTGTACGTACAGGACGGGAATGCAAACTGCCATGATTGAGGCCGCGGGTTCCGTGAGGGTCCAAATCGTTAGATCAACACGGTCATAAGTGATGTCTGGACTTGTCATGTTCACAACCAGCACGGCCTTCACGATTCCACAAATTCCAGCTCTACATTGTTGTTAGCGGCGCTCGAACTCGAGTATCAAAGTATTGGGGAAAGCATACATAGCACCCAAGCTCATTGCGAGAGCGACTCCAAGCTTCTCTCGCATCCTCATGGTAAGCCCCATTAGAATCTTCCAGGGCAGGAACGCTAAAACGAAATCCAGGATTGCCGAGTAATCTGTTCGGGCAGCATGTTAGATTGACTCGGTATAGAGACGACCCTCTGCTTGCAACTTACAGGCGGCAAATAGTTGGTATTTTGTCAGGTTCTGCTTATTCCAACATGTGCCGGGCACTTTCCCGTCCCAAACCTTCTCCGGGGGGCTACATTTCGCGAAGCCAAATATCCAGACCAGATTCATGGAAATGTTGATCGATACAATCACGAAAATGAGAAAATATTTCATCCAGTTGTTCGTTGCGATTCGGTATAGCGTCATAGCGAAGGAGGTCTTGCTCGTCGTCGTGGCGATGATCCCGAAAGCCGCAACAAGAATCGTGTTAAGGTTGATTTTTTTCATATTCTCGTCACTAATCGTCGACATGTGTTGGCCGAACCCAAGAGTGACGATATAGGAATTGATAGACACTGCAATAGCAAGGGATATCTAAATCGAGAAGCATCCCGTGCGTCAGAGAAGCTGCATGGCATCAACAGGGGGGAACAGACTCGATCAACATACCCAGGAAATGATCAGCAGGTGGTCGTCCCACCACAGACCTCTGCTGCGCCATAACTTGCAGTATACGCGCAGAAACAACAATATGGCACTCGCAGCGGTCAACGACCAGCAAGAGGCAAGAAGCCTAGTGCCTCGTTCGTCAGCCATTTGGAGAGCTTGGTGCAGATCTGTTGCGCTGCAAAATCTGGGGCGACCGTGGTTCAAAAAGGAGAACTTGGAGGGTGGGCAATGACAAGGACGAGAGTGTATTTCAAGGACAATCCCTGAAATTTCGATCTTTTGGCACTTCTTACGAGATGCCTTAGCCTCGGAATAGTAAAACTTAATCCATTGGTCAGGGGTCAATGAAATAGCGAACAAGCGAGGCCACTACGACGTAGAGGGGCGCAGGGCATCATCACCTTACCTCAGGCGCAAGGGATCGGCACCGCTACTAGCAATCGTTCGAAAACGCGTGCTGAAGTGGTTGCAAGAAGTAGAGTACCTTGAGTACTCGCACAGGTTCAAGGCTAGACTTGACTAACACCTGACTCACATGTACCTGAATTTCCCAAGGGGTTATTCTCTTTCGATTTCTCAAATAATCATTGTCATCGCATTGGAGATTGAAATTGCAACGGACCCAAGCATCCACTGCGGTTCTCGCCTGCCCGTCTGATGGTTGTGGCACATGGCGCGAGGGAGCGGCTCGCATATACAATTTTGGCTAGCCAGGGCGGATGAGGGTTCCGAGACTCGTTAGCCTCTTCAGCTGCCTCGACGGTGCCCCAGGACACGAGGACCCTAATGAGGCAGTGGCCAGCTTAGGCTGGATCTGGGGCCGGTCGAGCCGGGAAATGATTAATTCTCTTCTACCGAGATTTAAGCTTTCGATATTAATTAACCCGTCGGTAGGTAAGGGAATAGTCGGCCGCCTTGGGATGGCATAGAATCATGACATATAAAGGTCAAAAGCTATAATATATACTGCTTTTGAAAGACTCGACAGGCTATTTCAGGTGAGAACGGTGCACCACCGTGGACAGGAGAGTTTGGTCGGTAGCGATCTCAGCAACTAAGAATAATAAAGAGGTCTCGTCCATATGCTAGACATAATCGTGTCCTTTTATTTTATGTTCATCGCAAAGTCAAGGTGATCGCTGATAGTACTGCAATAAGTAAAGAACAAGCAAGACTCATGAGGCTGCTCACGCCAGAGCATACTCATCTTTGACCTACCAGATCTAGCAACGTAGGCCGGAAAAACTCTGGATGTGCCACATGGTGGTGTGATGATAACCACCTGGATGACCTTCTCGTCTATGAATTTGGGACTAGCATTGCATGGAAACACCGGGGTCTATGTCAAACAGCGCCTACTTTCAGCTTCACTGGGTCGCCTTGGAAATGCGGGTTTTGCCTGCATGAGAAATGGAAAGTGCTCAACAGTGACATACAAAACTGGAGCATCTAGCCCATCACGACATAGTCCGGGGGTTCCAAGCTACGCTAATGTGTCGTTGGGCTAAACATCCGGGCTCAGTGCCGGAAGAATGCCGCTTAGAGATACTGATGGGTACATTCCGCATAACGGTGGCGGCATGAGGCAACTGAAATGACGGCTCGGGCCAGATGAACGCTTGAGGAAGCTTCTGCTTCATAGCTAATTTCAGAGAATGTATTCAGCACTAAGTGTCCAACTTCGTCAGGCACAACAGATATGTGCTCGCTCCTAATGACCCGAGTGACCGGAACTACACCTCGTTTCAGTGTAGTCGATCGACAATCCGGAAGTCTCCAGGACTTTAAAGTGTTTAGCGTGGCGTGGCATGATGGATATGGTAGGGATCAACAAAACAGGAGAAGCTTGCGGTGACAATCCCAACCTTGGAGGGACGATTGGCTAATTGCACGGAAATTTGCAGTCGTGGCAACGTGGGTACGAGGCAATTACCTTGAGTATTCGTAATACGGGCTGACCACTTTTTCCAACAGATTTAAAACAGCTTCGACGATCAGCTGAAAAGCCGGTTCTGCAACCCGTCCCTCCTTTGCATTAGCTTGGCCCGAGAAGCAACGTGTTCGCTGTTGGAAAGAGTTCAAGATGTCTTCCCACGTGCTAAGCATCCTGTTGTTTGCTGTTTCCGGCCTGGCCCTATGTGAGTCTTCAGGGCACCATTCGGGGCCTGGTCACCACGAGACACACCCGGCTACCCCTTCGGCACATCTCTCAAACGGCACCTATCTAGGGGTGCATAGTAGAGAGTATGACCAAGACTACTTCCTCGGTATCCCATACGCCCAGCCTCCCATCGGCTCTCGGCGCTTTGCGCCACCCCAAGCTCTTACAGAGTCGTTTGACGAGCCTCGATCAGCCACCGAGTATGGGCTGATGTGTATCGGGTATGGATCCGATACCGCCAACCTAGGGAACCCCATCTCTGAGGATTGTTTGACCCTCAATGTTGTGCGTCCGGCTGGCGTTGAGGCCGGCGACGACCTTCCGGTTGGCATCTGGGTACATGGTGGTGTAAGTGTCTTCTTGACCCTTTGTTTGATGACGTCGTGTTGCTAATTTGTTTTGTGGACAGAGCTATGTGATGGGCGGCTCGCGCGATCCTCGATACAACCTGAGCTATATCGTTGAACAATCTGTATCAGAGAACAAGCCCATGGTTGCTGTGTCAATCAACTATCGTCTCTCATACTGGGGCTTCTTGTTTGGCAAGGAAATGAACCAGGCCGGAGCCGGCAACATTGCTTTCAAGGATCAACGCATGGCACTGCAATGGGTTCAAGACAACATCGCCGAATTTGGTGGCAATCCTAAGAAGGTCACAGTATGGGGAGAGTCTGCTGGTGCCCGTTCCTTGGGAATGCAGCTCGTTGCATATGATGGAAATAATAGCGGCCTATTCCAAAGTGCTATTCTTGAGAGTGGTAGCCCCGTCGCCCAGTTTGGTGATGCCGACGTCTGGCAACCATATTTCGATGCTCTTGTCCAGAAGACTGGATGCGGTGCGGCCTCTGATAGACTGGAATGCCTAAGAGGGCTGCCGTGGCAAACTCTTAATGACGTGTTCAACAAGACCACGCCCCTGAATGCCACATCGCCTACTCTCACTGCTGTGGTTGATGGTGACTTCATCACGGCCCAGGGATCCAAACTCTTGAAGGAGGGCAAGTTCGCCCGCGTCCCACTTCTCCTCGGGAACAATTTCGATGAGGGTACGGCATACGCCAAGCAAGGTATCAACACTGATGCGCAATTCGAAGCCTGGCTCGCAACGTTTGGGTTAAACCAGGATCAGATTTCAAAAGTCAAGGAACTTTACCCTGATGACCCAGACCTGGGTATCCCAGCCTCCTTCATTGGCCGACCTACAGACTCGTTTGGCAGCCAGTGGAAGCGTGTGGCAGCTTTTGCAGGAGACTATCAGCAACACAGTGGTAGAAGACTTCTGGCTGAGTCGTACGCCAGTGCCAACCTTCCCGTGTACTCTTACATGTGGAATGTATACGTTAATGGACTTGGGGCAATCTATGGTGCAACTCATTTCCAGGAGGTTGCATTTGTCTTCAACAACATCTACGGACGTGGCTACGCCATCAATCCATTTGAGAACAAGCCGATAACATACATCCAGCTGGCAGATCTGATGAGCAGGATGTGGGTATCATTCATCCATGATAATGACCCCAACGTGCAAAAGAATCACCGTCACAAGGGTGTCGCTTGGCCGAAATACACGACTGACCAGCCTGACAATCTCGTCTTCGACACTAATATTCTTGGTTTACGGTACATCGCGAAGGATGATTACCGAAAGACTGAAATATCTTACCTCTTGAATTCTATTTTCGAGTAATTTCATGTTCTTTCGACAGGTCTCAGTAGGGAAGGGAACTGCGATTGGTCTCTATTGATACAAGCTTGTAATAACCCAGCGTGGTGACTATTTAATGAACCATCGAGTCGGGCTTGGTGCGACTTGTAATTAACCACACTTTAAGCTGGTTTTTTTTTATAGATTTTACTAGATGATTAGATTATGAATACAGAGGTCAATGAAATCTCAACGCTTTCAAGCGCAAACACTGGTTCAGTACCTTCTTGGCGATTTGCCAACGCCATTTTACTGTGGTGTCACTTCTTCAATCCCCTGTATTCGCAAGTTTCCCAGGGCCTGGGCACCCAGATAGGCATTTGGCCAGGCTGAATGTTTCACTCGTAGGACCAAGGCGCTAGAAGAGGATGAATATGCAAAATCCGCGACCGTAGCCAGTGTCAGCATAGTGGAAGATACGGTGACCAACGGCCGTCCAAAAATACCGACAGATGGGTTGAATAATATCTCATTTCAATCCATCAAAGCACGAGACCGTCTATCAAGCCAAATTCCAAGCACTCTATTGTTTCTTGTGTGGCACGCGTTACTTAGCTCAATAGCTCAAACCCTGTCTGCAATGAGCCTCCAGATGGCTCCAGCTCTTTGACCGTGGTTCCGGTCGCAGTTCGGAGTGACATGACTCAAAATGGTGCAAACGGACAGATTATACGAAGAAAAACGTATTGTAATCAGTGGATAAAAACTTTCGGTATTACAATAGCGGCATCCAGTTCTTCCCTCATACTCCTCACTGTAGCTTCAATTTTGCAAACTATCCAAGTCAATAGATGCGGACCAGGCGAACCGTTAGGGTGCTGTCGAATGCTCATAAACCTTCAATCTGTCAGGGTGTTTCAGGTCGTGTCCAAATGCTGTAGCTGTAAGTGCCCATTACGAGCATATAGCTAACTGCAGCTGGATGATTCAAACTATAATCAATCCTTCAAGAGAAATGGGACATTACACCTACATTGATGTCATTACCGCATAGACCGAGTTATTCCGTTCCTATCGTACGTATCGTTTGCCTTCGGACCAATCGGTTGGTCCGCTTCTAATTAGAAGCAACGGCCTGGCATTCCATCACAGGAGGGGGGATCGGACACACAATTGTAAACGTTTGCAGAGCAAGATTAAGTTATTGTTCTCGCCAATAAGCCGTCAAGGTTAAAGGAGGCTTCAATTGCCGAAGGTTGGCAGTAGAAGTGCCGGATTAAGGTAGTCTAATGTGAAGAATGGAAATCGCTGGACTTTTTCATTTCTCAAACCGGTAGCTCCAGCCCCTATCTTCCATTTTGAACCTAGTTCGAAGCTTTTTCTACATACGTGACTGACTAGCATTCCAGGACCAGCGGACACGGTCTTTTCGTCCTCCCCGTTCGTGTTTGTTTATGAATTAGATAGGCTGCTAGACAGCTACCAGTGCAAATTTCCTCACCACATCAATTTCACAGACCATCCCTCACATCCCGGTGGCCAATTCTAGGCCTCCGTTATGGGACCTGATCTACTACAGTAACGATGCTCGAATGGCATCCTCCGCCAGGCTCTGACGGGCATCTGCTCTTCAAGATAAACATCGCCTTCATTGCTGTTTCTACCGTCATTGTAGCGACTCGCCTGATAATAAGAGGGTTTGTCATTCGCAGTCTCGGGATCGATGACCTGGTCTCTACCATTGGGCTTGTAAGTAGATTGTGATATGTCCCGGACGCCGGCTTGATCACTGATTAACAGCAAAGGCCTTTCTGGTCACTTTCTCGGCAATGGAAATCCAAGGTTGGAATCTCCTTTCCTGGCAAATTTGGGTAGCGTCTAATCTTCTCAGCCGTCTTCAATGGATCAGGAACACGAATGGACGAGGTCCCACCAGACAAGCTTATCAAGTTCTTCAATGTCAGCCAGTCTCTATTCACTTTCTGCAGTCATACAAGACTAAAAAAACAGCAGATGCTCCCAATAGAGAGACTACTCTATTTCTGGGCTATAGGTTTTGTGCGGCTCTCTGTGGTTGCCTTCTATCCTCGTCTTAAATGCAACGACAGTCTGTTCCCCTGCCCACCGATTAATCCAGCTAGGTCCTCTGACATGATTATATTTAGGGTGGTTCATTTGGAGTATCTACATCATCGTCTTCATTATTGTTGCCAGCACGATTATCCCCTTCTTCTGGTTCCTGGTCAGCTGTAAGCACATCCCGTAAGTCAGCCCTTGTTTTATCCCGCTTCATAGCCTATTTCACGGCCGTTGAGACTGAAGCCTAATCTATGCTACTGGATAGTGATATGTGGGATTATTCGGCCCCGAACAGAGAATGCCGCAGTATCTGGCCACAGCTATGGATGTTAAGTGGAATCTGTGCCGTAGGAATCGCCCTTGACCTCTGTCTACTCGCTGTCCCGATCGTGGTGATTTGGAAATCGATGAAGTTCTCCAATAAGCTACCTCAAGTGCTCCTTGTGTTCTCCGTCGGCATTTTTGCAATGATTACTTCGGTGGTCCGCTTGGTTATCATGTGTACTACTGACTACACAATAAATGTGTAAGTGCAAAAGACCTTTCTTAGAGCAAAGATCGTTTTTATATGTCAAAGAAGTCACATTCTGATGTATTCTACGTTTACTTAGGACCTATAAGATGATCACCATCGGTCTCTGGACAAGTCTTGAAGGCCACGTTGGGCTCTGGACGGCATGCTTTCCGGCTCTTCAGCCTCTTCTCCGAGACATTGGCCATTTCTGGTTCAGCTTACTAGGTAAAGGCGGCTCGCTTAGGAAGTGTACTGGAACGTCAAAAAACCTCATCGAGAACTCCGAGGCGAACAGCCGCAATATCTCAGTTGTGTGATAGAACAGATACCTCGGAGCTGGGCTGTTCGGTTTTCGATACTCCAACCTTCAAATTCCAGAATAATGTAAGCCGAGATTATACTCCTGGGTCCCTTAGCTGTCTCGTTCAAGAATCCGACTTCTATACCTCGGATGAGCACGCCAGCCTCTTCTCCTTCTAACAATCTCGACCTGAAATAGATCGTCGGAGATTTCATCGGCCACAAAAAGGAATGGTTGGTACTCTGACCTCCCCCCATCTCACACACGGAAACACTTGAAGTCCCACCTCAAAAGAATCAGTGGATGTCGGTAGGTGAATGTGTGGGAATCCAACCAACAATATCCAAGTGAACTACGCTGCCTGGAAGAGGAATTATCACACGTCATACTGGGAATAACTACCATGACTTCAACGGAAAAGGGCTTTTTTACCATTTCAAATAGGAATAACAATAATCTCAAGATAGAAGCCCCTCAACAAGTGGTATTGGAGGTGTGATTCACCAATACTCCGGTGGCCGTTTTCTGCACAGAAGCGTCAGATAACCATTCTCAAGCAGATATCAAACTACACATCAGCGGGCTTAAATTCAAAACATTACTAATAAAAACGAAGCGTCTGCACACTTTGGGAAAATACTAAGTAAAAATAGAATCATGTGGTCTCGTAAATTTTCAGCCTTCATTAATATCGCTGTGTTCACATGCAGTTCTAAATCACAGGCCTAACAAGAATGCTATCCGAGTACAGATCCCATTATGACTTCCTGAATTACTGCATGGGCCAGTTCCCAAGCTCGCACTGGTACTTGGCAGTGCCGGTAGGTCCCTTTGACTGGTCACCGTCCCACCAAGAGGCCTTGTAGTCAAGGTGGACTTGCTCATCACGCGCAACACCAGCCTTGAGGAAGACCTCGTCCTGCTTGCAGAAGGGCAGGGGCTTGTTGGAGTCGCAATCCGTGGCAACAAAAATCGCCTTACCGCCGGCCGTGCCGGACTTGGTCTTGTAAGCCCGGGTGACACACATGTCGCCGTCGACACGGTTGGCGCACCACTTATTGATGATGTTCTTGTGGATATCGGCCTTAGCGCTTCGGCCGCAAGAACTGGAGATATCTCTGTCAGCTAATCATATATCATGCATGAAGGTGAGAAAACTTACGTCACCATATAAGGGACAAATGTCCAGTAGCCGCAGTTGTCCTTCAGGTCATCGGGCTTGCTGTGGGAGATGCCGTTGGCAGTAGACTTGGAGTCCGAGAAGGAGAATGAAGCTCCCAGGCTAAAGGCACTGTGGCTAATACCAAAGTTGAAGCTGGTGGTCTCGGTGATAGTTACGGACTGAGTGATTGAAAGGGAACAGTCGCTGCCAGCTCGGCAACTGGCGTTGTCGAAGGGCTGTTCCTTTCCGAAGGTCCAGGATAGGTTCTGCTCACAGTAGGACTCACACTTGATAGGATGTCAGTAAACAGAGAAAGAAGGTAGTTATGGAAAATGGGTGATGCTAACATTATTGCCGATCTTGATAGGGCAGTACCAATCTCCCTGTGAACCCTGCTTGAGCTCGTTCTTCTTAGGGCAGCTCTCGTCCTTCTTGTGCTCCTCGACATTCTCCGGGCTGAAACAGTTGTCATTGATCCAGGGCGATTCAGGCTGGTCCACGCGACCCTCAAGCTCTCCGTTAAGACGGGCGATCTCACGATCCATCATGGCTGGGTCGATATCATCTACCGGTACAGCCGCAGCCAGGGCGGTGGGCAGAAGGAAGAGCCCTTCGAGGATGAATGAGTAACGCATCGTTCAGGTGTATTTCTTGAAAGGAATGTAATTAAAGAATGACTAAAGCGAGTTTAGCTGAAGAACAAGACCGAGTTGCTCGAGGCAAGAACAAAAGTCTAGGAACGGCCTTCAGGTTCTTATACTCTGCTAGACAATGTTGCCAGGAACAGGCACCAGTTTAGAAGTTCGTTCTCGGGCCAATGTCATTGTGCAAGTGCAGCCATACTGCAGGGTTCGTTCTCATCGATCGGCACTGACAAGGCACGGCATATTTGCACGGTAGTTCACACCCTGCTCGAGCAAGGAGCACGAGACCATAATTTGTCTAACTTGACTCTATATTTATCTTCCTAGTAAAACCGTCCGCCCAGCTGCCCTTATCATCCCCAAATAGTGGGGCTTGCCTCATGACTGCAAAAGTAAGGAGGTTAGCCAACATGGGTTGAGCTTGTTGGCTTGGCAAAGGCTGACGAAGTTTCAGGACCGCTGGGTCGGCCTAATCCGAGAATGTAAGGCGAGCAAAAGGGGTTTCTCTCTTGGGAAGTTCAGATCCCAGAAGAAAGATGGGGCACGCGTAGACTCAAGCTAGAAAATTCCAAAAGATTTCCATTCGGTCTTTCTTCCAGGTCTCCCCAGAAGAAACATCAGATGCTTGTTGTAAGTGGCGAAAAAGACGACAACTGCAGCAACAGTCAGGAATTGCCTCTTGGCTCGATGGATCTCCTCCTAAGAATAACGGTCGGGGGCTACGAAAGCCCTCGACGATGCTCCTATCACCAGATGCATTTGAGCAGCTCCTCAATTATGCAATAAAATCAATTCAAACAGATGAATTGCTACTGGTTTATAATGCATGACCGTAATGCGTGACAGTATCTCTGTTAATCAACATCTCTGAATGCAATTATCCTCATAAGGTGTTATGGGCGTCCTCTTCTCGAAATTATGAACTATTTCATGAGCGAGCGCCCTAAAACAGCGTCATACCTAGAAGACTCCCGGCCCTTAAAATTGGAGAAGGATGGGGTTTGAGCCATGAACTACCAGGGCACGTGTAGCTGGTCGCGCAAGGACGCTGTTAGAGCTGAATGTTTTTGGAAGGTCGTCAGATCAGAAAAGAGGAGAGACAACACATTGATACCGTGGAATCATCAGCCCACAGGAGATACCTAGAATGGCAGTAACTTGGCTTTCATAGTTAAATAAGTACTTCTTCTATCTATCTATTCAAAAAGTCAATTGACTCGAGCGAACAGTCGCTATCAAGAGAACTCGTCCACCCTCCTAGCATAGAAAGAGCTCATAAACCATATTTGCCAACCTCGCCATTGAAGCTCGGATTCCTCCATAGAGGCGCCGAAGCGAGTCTCTGTCCTTGTATGATCAAGGCTGGTGTTTGGCTGTTCGTGTGTAAGCGGGAAGTGACGTGGAGGTACAGGGATCTGAGGAAATTAAAGTTACCCGCGAAAGGTTGAAACACGATCCTACAGAACCCTCCAACAATCACTATCATGTGTTGTTGAGTAGGCCGACTTTCCTCACAGCCAAGACCAAATTCCTTCTTCCATTACGATGCTTAGTTGATGCTTCCCAGTACTAATATAAAACCGATGTATCTTTTCCTTTCAGAAAAGTACTCCATCATGTCCCTCTGTGGTTCCAATTTTCTAAGCCAGGATACGGAAGAACAGAGATTCAAGGCCGAGGCTATTTAATTGCCTTGCCTACATTATCTAATAAGCCATCACTACGGAAGTATCCACGGGGTAAGGAAGTGGACAATAGTGGCGCTCACCACCATGCAATACATAACTTTTGGGTAGAGGACCATACCCAATGCAAACCTTGGCAATGCCTGAGAATCCTGTGTCGGTTAGTTTTCATGTCATGGCAACATTTCGATACTATCTACTCCGTAATTCAACTGTGCTCTAATTAGATGTTTCTACCAGCACTCATTAGAAGATAACGAGTACTGAAACAACTGGGTAGAATATGTGTACGGTATTACCAGTAATTTCTTCTCTCTAAGCAATAAAAGGCAAGGAGGCACTAAGATAAGAATTCATGTTAAACTTTGCTCTTGCCTGCATGTGGCTTATTTTTACGCAACTAAACATTGTATGGTGGATGCATGCCAATGACACGAACTGCCCCTGCCCCTATGACTAGCTACTAAGGGATTAAAGTACGACATCTTATTCATGACAATGGAAACAGTTCTCACACGACAGTTTGCCGGTGTCGTTCGAGAATACCCTCGGTCATGACATATGGAGTCTTGGAATGCATGTTGTGGTCAATACGAACAGGCCGCCGGACGGAATCAGGCATCACGAATTCTGAAAATAAAAACGGCTTGCTAACAAATGACAGGAGAACACACGCCTCTTCCTAACAATGTTGGCAAATTGGGTGCCACTACAGGCTTCCAAACGAGGTCTCCTTTGCCATGCCACAGCATCTTCGCCCTAGTAGCGAGACCTGGTTCTGATTGAGTGACCTTCTTCTCAAGGTTAGCAAGCCATACTGAATGTAAAGTCAAGAAGTTACAGGGTGCTCACGCTCTTGACGAGGGGCAGATCTTCCGTCGGCAATGGCATCAAAAAGCTCTGCCTCGTTGCTTGCCATTGGAGCCGATACTCGGACGTAGCCCTTGCTACCTTGAATGTAGTAGCTAGTTCTGCTTTCATTTCTATCTCGAGTAACTTCCACCTCAGTATCAGGTGGAACGACCACAGCCGTCTCGCGTGGCTCCCGATGGGCTACCCTATAATCTTCCCGTTCGCCTCTTCTCTCTGGCCGGTCGACTCGATCTGGCTCGGACGCTTCGCGACGCGGAAGGTCCTCCTTATGAACAGTCCGTTGACCAGTGATGGCATGGAACCAACTTCGGTGTGGCTGCCTTTGACGTGGCGGTTCGTCAACAGGGCCGTTCTCAATCATGCGATTGTAGGCGCCATTGTCACCGATAAGTCGTTGATGTTCATTGTGCTCGTGCCTTTTTGGCTGGTGTACTGCCATACTAAGCTGGGCTAGCCGAGCAGCATGAGAACTGTTCGGTGGGGAGACGGCCGAGAAGGAGGCGCGATTCTGATTGTTGGCGCTCGAGTAGTAGACACCATCGCCATTCTGCTCTTCCTGATCGAAGTTTGAGGCGCGTCTAGGCATCGCGAGATGTACGAGTGAATATTGATGGGAACAGGAATGATTCTAGATGTCAAGGCTGTGGCTCTGTCAGGTTATCCCGGTGCGGAATAGTCCACTTCTCAGTGAGCAGGGAAACCTGGGAGTCTCTGGCATTTACAGTATCTCTTTTGGATTATCTGGACTACGTATCAGGCCGCATGAGTCTAATGTCATACGGCTAACGTCATAAAGAACAGCTGGCACGTAAACCTCCGCTTGCGTGGAATTGCATTTTGAGTGGCGGCTGACGGGCAATAGCTCAACAATTGTGCAAAATGGAAGCCAATGATCTATCAACACGTTGTTTTAGTTACATGCTCTGTCATATTTTAAATCTCACGGCTTAAGCGAGCTCTAGATATACATGTATCAGTACTTTCGAGCGATCGTTTGTGCCCACCTTTGTCCTCGTCATCGATTTTGAAGGCCTTGACAGAGCAGAGAGGGTGGCCAAAGGAATACTTACGGCTAATGGTGTCCAGAGGCCCCTCCGTGGGGTCTAAAACATGTTTTACTGGAACATCTTCACGGAGTGATCCTCTATTGTCCATCCTCATCTTCTAAAAACCACACACCTAACCCTAAATTAACCTTCCTCGCACATACAACTCAGCCATAAACTCACAATGGGCCTTCGTGACTGGTTCAGAAGATTTGTGAGCAAAGTCAAGGAGGTTTTCGGAATATACGACAAATATACAGACTTCACCGCAACAGCCTACTTCTCTGACGGTGCCGAGATGACATTCACCGGAAGGCCATGGGGCAACGAATTCGAGCTCTTCAAATATAACGCCGATACTTATGCATATGCCGTATCAATGAACATGTCAGGAAGTTTTTGGAGATTTACCTAGGCAGAACAGATTAAGGAAGTGGATGGTAGATGGGGGTAGGACCGCTTGGATTAACTCAAACGGAATTTCGTATGGTTGTGAGAGAGTAATTCAGCCAAATACGATGGATGGATGGGGATGAGAAGGTTCGAGTACAAAGTAAAAAACAGCAATCAAAATGCCAGATCCGACATCTCAACACAAAGAATACGTAATTCAGTCAAACAAAATCACCACAATCTCAATTCATCCATCATCTTTACTCAATGGCATCTGAAGCTTAAATGAGACTTCATACTTGCTATGGTGTGAAAAAATAACTCAAATACTCTACTACTGCTGCTGCCATACTAAGTGAACTTAGACCATATCATAGTCAAGACCCAAGACCGAGTACATGAAGAGCCTCGAGTCCACACGATTTGAGGAGACGAGCTTCCTTGCCGGCTGTGATACACACCATCTTTAGAACGCAAGTAGACAGGGTTATCGTAACAATTCCTAAGATTGTTTCATTAGCCAACGCCAAACGTGCTAGATCATTAGAAAACTAACATCGATATGATGCAATTCGTTCGGCGATATCCAAGGCTCTGCTTGTCATCGGGCTCCCGTCTGGACCAGAGTAGGTGAGACTAGCTCGAGAATTCTGGACTTGGAACGTGACCGGCTGGCGAGGAGCAACATGGCCGACAGCTGAGGAATTGTTCTTATAAGCAACAATGCCACCGCTGCCTTGGCTGACAATGTCCCACTGAGGCATGTTGCTGGATTCGGATTGATAGGAGATGTTAAACAAATGGTAGAATGAAACTAATGTGTAAAGGGTAAATAGATGAAAATGTCAAAGCTGGGAAATGGTAGAAGTATATCTATCAGGCGGGGTTTAACTCGCACGCGGGGAATATACCCCATATCCCATGAATGTGTTGGCACGTCTTGCCAACTCAGGATCATGACACGGCTAGATCAGTCCACCGGAAGCAGGAAGAATTGCACTTTACCAAATCTTGTGACCTCTTGTCAGCTCACCGCGATTTTCCAACATGCCTAATACTTTCTTATTCCAGATGAACTAGGATTATGACGTGTCTATCAACACTATTATTTATCCAAGACCCAGTAGAATTGCAGATGCGGGCTGATCGGCATCAGCCCCAAGAACGCCTCATCCCTTAGCTCTCCCACATCGCACAATTGTGCGCAGTTTCGACACATTTGTATCGATACATCCACAGATCAGGCCGCAATTACTAGTCTGGGCTCGTATATTGTCTCATTTGTCCCGTTAGATGATGCCAGCCCATCTTGGCTAGTCCAGATTTTGACGAGGGTTACATACTCATTGGCCATCCACCATCCACCATCAACAAGGAGATAAGGCGCGGGCCTATGTTTGGTTCGGAGAGGTTGAACCAGCCGTCTCATTGCATTAAATATGACTGTGAGATGGATCACACTCCCGTAATAGTGCTTATGGCGCGGGGATATCGCTCAGATTATCATTTTTGTCTATTGAGTATCACTTTCATATTCCCTCATCCCCAACTACCAGCTGTATTACACACTTACTAGACGGAAAATGATTTGTAGCAAACGTAATTGCCTCTTTCTCTGTCTTCCATTCGTTATTCTTTATCTTACTTAGGTAACCGTATCCCGTTTTGGAAAGTCTGGCGCATGTGCAGAAAGCGGCATTTCCCGATATCCCAACTAAACCAACATAGTCCAGACAGTAACTCCCCATTATCCTATTTCACTCCCCTTCCTTCGTAAAAGCCCCATAACGTTAAGTCATTGCTATTATTAATGAAGATGCTCGATACTAGTACACTTGCCATAGTCGGTTTACAACACTAATTTGAAAGAGGGGGGAGATGTGCTATCCTGTTGCGCCCGAAATTCTCCAACTTCTTTTGCAAAATACATTGTCTCCTCACTCCAGAGAGGAGAAATATGTGTTGAGGGGAGATATAGACCTGTTTTAACCCTAACTCCATCGTCTCGCAAGTCTCTGAAGAGCCACTGAAGAAGGTTGCATGTCCATCTTTTCTCATTCGTCTCCTGTTCAATTTCAACCTTCAAAATTCCATATTTAATTTTATTCAGTGGCGACAGCTTCTGTTTCAGACCCCTTCCACCAACGCCAGATAGCCTTGCACCAGAACCAAGTCTCAATTGTGCCAAAAATAGAGATGATCCCCAGGACAAGAATCTTCATGTTTTTGCTAAGGCCCAGGCTACTAAGGCTGAAGCTCGGCATCTCAATGTCTCCATTGTTATTTTTGCTGCCGTCGGCCTGCTTCTGGCTGCCATTTTTGGCATTGAGGCGCGCGGCGTAGGTAGAGAGCAGCCGGTGTTGGATTGGTGCGCGATTGGTGATGATTCTACTGCTGCGAAGCGTGGCGCGGGTGAGAGAAATAAGGTTGCGGTTCATCTTAAATTTTGTATCGCCCTGATCAGATCGACGGGGTTAATTAATTGAAGGAGCGTGAGGTTGTTGGGTCGATTGAGGTGGGAATAAGCAGCAGCAGGATGAAAATTTCGATGAGGTAAGGTGAGACGAAGAGCCTGAGGCACATAAGGAATGAAGTCCCAAAGATCCAATCTAGTCGATCAGTGAGATGAGATGAGATTGATTGAGGCTGAGCAGAAGAACCCTGGTTGGCTGACTCTCTGAATTGGATACCTGCAGTTCTCATCCACGATGAGCAGCCTCAGCCCAATACTCAAAACTAACCGAAGACTTCTTCTCGTTCCATATTCTATTCCGATATTCCAAGTTACGGTAGGTCTATAACGGTGTCAGATTGGGAAGGCCCACGGTCATCATTACCGCGTAAAGCATTAGATCTCCTTTTCCTTGTATACCCCTGCCTTCAGTAGAGAGTCGTGCTTAGCTTCAAGTGGCCCGCTTAAATAGACGAGCCTTGCATGGTGAGCAGGGCTACGTTCTTAGAAACACGAAGCTCATCGATGACTGCCGATATGTAGGGAGTCAAATCCCAGCCTTAAGGTGGCGCCTAGAATGATCAAAGGCTTCTTTCATTGGATGCGACCCAACGACTTTCCCGACATCGCCCTCCAGACAGCAAGCAGAAACGCTGCTAACTCGTTAGTATCATTTCAAGCCGGTGATCTGGGAATAAGTCAGCACAACCGTCAGCCTTGGCAAGGCAAATACATGGGTATGGGGCAGATATGTGGTTTTATATGACCGATTGCCGGCAGTTGGCGCAGGGAAATATGTCACTCTTCTATATCCGTAGGGTTCGAGCTAAACTTCGCTTAAAAACCATGTAATTATCTCGTTAAGAGTAACAACCTTACTTCCAAAGGGACAAGGAATGAAAAGCAGGAAGCAAGTAATGAGTTCATTTGCTAGATTGGGAGTAGCTTCCCGCACTATGCTAGACATACAATTTGGGTAAAAGTTGCGACTATGAAACACACATCTCCAAGGTTCCTCTTAACCAGAATGCTTGATCCAGTAGGCCTGTGGGTTGCACCACCCCTTGAGCCCAAGTTCACCCCATTCCATCCCAAGACCACTTTCCTTGTGGCCTCCAAATGGCACATTGGGTGCAAGTTCAAAGGCGGTATTAACCCAGATGCTGCCTGCCTCGAGCTGCTCGGCCATCCGTTTCGCTCGCGAAACATCCTTACTCCAAACTGATCCCCCAAGACCGAACCTGGTGGCATTAGCACGAGCAATCACGTCCTCTTCATCTTTCCATTTAAGAACAGGAGCGGTAGGTCCAAAAGGCTCCTCGGTGACAATCTTGGAGTCCTCGGGAGGGCTATCAATGATTGTGGCAGGGATGTAGAAGCCCTTATTCTCCCCATTATTGGGTTCTGGCACGCCACCTAGTGCTGTCTTCCAATTATCCTTTTCAATGTGGGAGTAAAAGTTCTGCAGCTTCTCATACTGCATGCGGTTTTGAATAGGGCCAAAGAAAGCCTGGGCCTCAGTATGGTCGCCCTTGGGAAACTTCTTGGTAGCCTCCACGAGAGCTGCGAGGAACTTGTCATATATGTTCTCGTGAACATAGATTCGCTTGACATTCATGCAGATTGCCCCACGTGAACAAACGTGAGAAAGGCAATCTATATTAGAATTGATTAGCTTCCCTGGATGCGGGATAAGAGAAAGAAGAGGACATACCTTGGGGACCACAGCCTCAATATCTACATCGTCACAGATGATCGCAGCATCGTTGCCGCCCAGTTCCAATGTAACACGCTTCAACGTGGATGCACATGCCGCCATGATCCTCTTTCCTGTCTCCACGGATCCAGTAAAGCCAATCTTAGCAATGTCTGGGTGGGCAGTGAAGTGTGGTCCAAGACTCTCGTCTCCGCTGAGCGCTTGAAGGACTCCAGGCGGAAGAATTATAGCGCCAAGTTCGGCAATTTTGAGCGCGGAATAAGGACTAAAGGGGGACGGCTTCCAGATGAAGGCGTTTCCGGCGAGCAGAGCTGGGAATACCTTTCCGACGCCGATGGCAAGTGGAAAGTTCCATGGAATAATGCCTGCAACTACGCCGAGGGGGACATATCGCACGATAGCCGTTCTCTGGAGCATATCAACATCAGTTTGGCACGTATTGGTGTTGGTAAGGTAGATGGCGACTTACGTCTTCATCGTCGATTGGCTTCTCTTCCTTGAGACGCATCTTGGGGGTTTCACGGGCCAGGCCCATTGTCAGGTCGAATTCGAAGCCGGCAGCTTGAGGCGGCTTGCCGAGCTCTTTGCCGAGAAGCTCGATGATCTGCGACTTGTTCGCCTCGATAGCGTCTGCAAACTTGTTCAGATATTGGGCACGCTCATCAAATGACAGCTTGCTCCAGGTAGAGTAGGCAGTTTTGGCGACCTTCACGGCACGGTCAAGGTCCTCTTTGGTCGAGACCGGGACTTCCCAGAGAGGTTCCTCGTTCGAGGGGCAAATGGCGTGCCGCGTAGCAGATGTTGAAGTCAATTCATTGTTGATGACATTGTGGTATTTCTACCAGATAACCATACACATCAGCCGAAACTCTCCACAAACGATTGTGGCGCTTACCTCGAAATTGAGTACGTAGTTTGCCATGCTTGGTAACCAGAACTTGGATCAAGATTGTAGTTGGCGAAGCTTAGACACGAGAAGTAACAATTAAAGTAGTAAGGAGAAATCGGAATAAGCTGCTGGATATAGGAACCAAATATTTCGAAAGCTCGATTGACAGAATTCGAAGACTTTGGCTTGTGCCCCGCTGTAGTTCGAGCGAAGATGAGGAATCTTCTGCCGTTTTTAAACAGAACAACCATCAAGCATCAGGAGGGGTAAGTAGTAGATCATTCACTCCATGGGACCTATACGAAAGATGCAGATCGTAGCGTGAATTCTCTAGACCACCGTGCGTAGCAACTGGTTTCAGAGCTCATCCATGCATGGAGACATGCATGAAGTAACCTCACGGACCAACTGCTATGTCCTACTATGCCGGTACCAGCGCCCAAATTGGTCTGCTGACCACCCACTTAGAGGAATTGCATCCTTGCAACTTTTTACGCCAGCGTAGCATTTTGGCATCGTAAGGGCATGAAATTGCAGATGCAGGTCATATATCCAGTCCACAAGGTTGAAGACTGTTGTTTGTCTTGGCTCTCGGAGAAATCCAGGGCTAGCAGCCAAGACTGATCTGCGGTTGCAACTTGCAAGGGTATAATGTAGCGGGCTAGCAACTGGTTGTTCAGCCTTGCAGTCGATTTCCTCTAGACCATGTCCATGGCTGGGTAGCATTGGGTAGAGTTCGAGTGGGCTTGGATGTCATCACTACCTCAATGTAGGTGGCATCTTATAATCCCACCCATACCATGTCACCCAATTGAATAAAGAGAAACTGGCCTTCTCTTTATCCAACGGCCGTGGTCACCCTATAATCGGCTAATCCCCATACAGAGCCCTTATATTAGAGAAATAAAGATGCAAAGCCTGTCCTCTGCAGGCAATGGATTGAATAAAAATTGCACGCTCAAAGCATACGGTAAAGCTCCTCACAAGTCTGTGGCAGCAGTGAATTGCATTTAGAACTATACAAAACCTCTCGAAAACCAATCGAGGGACAAAAGGCGCCAGCGCCCATAATCTAAAACCATCCAAGTAATTTTACGCCTTAAAAAACCTTTCCACCAAATTTCCTCATGCTCTTCAATTCATCTCTCATGCCAATAAAGGAAACCTCCAACTGCCGCTACCGCATATCACATAAATGCAAGTGCTTGGTCTATCAGTTTTCCTGTGCTTCCAGTACCAATTACTTCCTTTTAGATTTCGACTTAGCCGTAGACTTGGGAGCAGCCGTAGGCTTGGGCTTAGCTTTTGGAGCAGCCTTGGCCTTCCTGGCTTTCGCTGGGGGCTGACTCTGTTCCTCAGTCTCTTCTCTGGCTGCAGCCGCTGCCTCCTCTTCTTTCTTTACCTTCAGAGTGGCCACTCGCTTGCTCCTCCGGGGAGCTTCGACTGGAGCGGCAACCTTTCTCTTTCTCGACCGAGGCGGATCCTCGCTCACCGGCCCAGGTTTCGGCGCTGCTGAAGTGAGAGGATCAACAGTGATTTCGTTTTCCACTGCGTGGCTGTCCGTGGAAATATCCACTTGAACCGCCTGGTCGCGAGTAGTACGTTTTAAAATTTGGTTATGAGGGGCGGCAGGGTTGCCTTCTGTTGGCGACACTTGTGACTCTTGATTTTCTGCGGCTGTCATAGGATTCGATGGCGCATCTCGTCCAGTCTCGTCAGTAGCTACCGGACTCTGGTCACTAACTGCCGGAGTCTGTTCGGTAGTTGCAGGAGTTTGATCAGTAGCTGCGGGAGTCTGATCCGTAGTTGCCGGAACCTGGTCGGTAGCTGTGGGAGCCTGGTCAGCAACTGTGTGAGTCTGCTCGACAGCTGTAGGAATCTGCTCGACAGCTGTAGGAATCTGCTCGACAGCTGTGGGAATCTGCTCGGTAGCTGTGGAAATCTGCTCGGTAGCTGCAGGTGTCTGGTCTCGGGCTTTGCATTCTTTGCAGTCCTTTCTACCCTCCAGCTCGGCGCGTATCAGGGGAATCTGGTCCCGTGCCCATACAGCCAGCCTCTCGTAGCAAAACACCTTTCTGGCAGCGATACACCAGGGCCAGTCAGTTTCGTATGGGCTGTAGGTGAGCTCCCAACACTTTTCAGACAGATCTCGCTCGCGCTGCTCGTTGGCCACATAGTTCTCGTCGAGTAATCGAATCTCCTCTTCGACCCCTGATTTCGCTTCTTCGGTCGCGGCCTCTCTTAGCCTCTTGAGCAGCACTTCCTTCTGCTGTTGAAGGCTCCTACGCACATCATCGATTGGCAAGACTGGTCCCCGCACCCAGGCGTCAAACATCATCGACTGGACGTCTTTGAGCGTCGTACCCTCGGGCACATGCCCGCTGGAGCGCAAATTCTCCAAGAAGTCCTCGCCGTTGAGCCTGTGATCAACCATCTCCTGAGTCGCCCACCCCAGATGCAGATATATGAAGCTGACATATTCCTGCCACGTCACCAATTCGTCTTGGTCGTTCAGACGAAGCTCGAGCGCAGCCGGTCGCGAGATGCCGTACTGTTTCAGGATGCTCAGAACGGCTCTCTCGTACCTTTGAAACTCCACAAATGCCCTCTCTTTGTACCATTTCAGAGTCGGAACTCCGAAGTCATCCCCGCTTGTTCCCACCCTGTATGTTGGATCGGCACGCCCATAGAGGTTACGGTTGACGCGTTGCCATATTCGAAATCTAGCCCAGTGGTCGTGCTGCTTTCTGAACACTCTAGCATCTGCGTAGTAGTCCTTGTGTAGCGCGGCCTCATAATACATCCAAGGTGATGTAATATGATACTTGAGCTCCGGGTTTTTGGCGACTGCGTCGAGGTCATCGATATTATAACACGGTCGGCCGCCCTCTTTCAGAAAATATTTATGATGCCATCTCTCCCAGTTCTTTTCTTCTTCGAATAGTTCCGCCGGGCCCTTGAACTCCTCAGTTCGTTTGTGGTGATAGATACGATCGAGCCCAATTATGTCGGAGTCGCGAACCACGCGCTCCATGGAGTTGTCGAAACGATCGCAGTCGAACTGTCTTATGCGATCTGCGGCTTGTCTGAGAGTTGGTCAGTATTGTGGTCAGAGGACTAATACGCCAAGAACTAGAACCGCCATGGCTCACTCACCGAAATTTCTGCACAATGTTCTGTTGCTGATCGGTGGTTAGATCGTCCGACCATGCTGTGGATGTGGTCACTGTGCACTCCCCAGTCTGTCTGAGGTGGTCGAGGGCGAAAAGGACAAACTCGTCCTCGCTCATAGCCACTATGGCGGCCAGCCTCTTCTTGGTCGCTATGGGTTTCCGTGAGGGTGCCATGTTTTTACTTTTCGTTGTTTACGACTAGCGATGTTTACGACAAGTGGTGGTGATTCCAATGAGAGCTGAAGATTTTATAGAAGTAAATCAGAGACATCATAGTCATCACAATGAGTTAAACAAACAAGTTATGAACAAAGCCCTCAGTTTGCTTGTTTTGTATTACAAAATGAAAGGCTTCAAAATGTTTCTGAAGGCAAGTTGAACACATGGAGAGGTTAGCATTGCCCAATGCATTGTCAACTATCTATTAGGGTTTGTTCTCAAAGGGGATTTTTTTCCAGAAGGAGTAGGCAAACAACATTCAACAATGCGACTCAGGCTAGAAACCGAGTAGCAAGCTGGTGCAAGTCAAAAACGAGGTTGGCTGTTCACGGTGTAGATCGCAGATAATGCTGAGTGTCCAGCGACTGTCAATCACAGCGACAGGAAGAATGGCCCACATTCAGGTCGATCATCCTCGGAGATTTGGGATCTGAATTGCGGGCACTCGCTGATCGGTTCTCGCTCGGGTCAGGTCGGAGGTAGCAAGTACCGTCACAATTATCCGGTTTGGATATGCTGCAGGCCAGTAGCATTGATCTTATTGTCCCAGGGAGAAGGGTCGCGCTGCGCCCCAGTTCGATAACCACCCTCCAATCAGGCCAGACGAGTCCAAGCAGCAGGGGCTTCGGCTTGGAGTCAGCTTCGTCACCGCCTGGGCGAGCAGACACCGCGCTGCACGTAGGTACAAGCGTGCTGGCCCAGTGCCATGGTAACACGGGCAGGCTTCAGCTCTACCTCGACCCGGTCAGCCACCGCCGGAACGTACAAATTCAGGCAGGAGTGCGAAGAACTGGGTATGATCACCGACGGTGCTTGAGGCGGAGCTAGTGAGCTCGCGTGCGCAGAGGATTGGGAGCGGCCGACTTGCATTCCCTGGCCAGGTGGTGCGAAGAGGAAGATGTGTGAGTAGATTTGACTGTTTATGAGTCAAACGGCCAACATTGTTACACACAAAGGTAAGCAGATTATACACCTTGAGAGAGCGAGCTCCCGCCAAGAAGGCCTTGTTGGTGATAGGCCATGGCTGAAGGAGGGGAAGCAGAATACGATATCAGCTTGGAGTGGCGCTGTCACTTGACTGGTGTTGCTGCATGTGCTGTCTCAGAAGCCTAGCAAGAAAAAGCAAAAACGAGAGGGGAAAGAAAGATAGATGGTTAACGCAAGAACAAGGATGTGGGAAGTGCCGCTGTGCTATTTTGGTGTTTGAAAGCTTAATGACGATGCTGGACGATGCCAAGCAGCCACAATTTCCAGGCAGAAACGACGGAACCACCCAGAAGACGCCGCGCTACACCCACTGAGAGACCCTCTGAGGCACCCGCTAAGACGCGTCGGGGAGCCTGAGCTGCAGTGGCCTGTCAGGGCACACAACCACTGTGGGTCAGCTCCCCAGGGCGCAGCCATTGCCGTTTTCCTGTTTGGGCTTCGGGCACCGCCAGCTGAAAACCGGCAGTCGTCACAATGAGTCCATCCGTGATTGTGATGTGATTGCAGCTCTCCCCCTCGACAAGATGCCAGGCGCAGGGCGTGCATATTCTCACAACTCACAATCCCAAATACGACATTCCGCGGCTTCAGAGGTGCCGGATTGGCCCCAGTATCTTCCGTCCGGCGAAGCATGAGATATCCGAGCGCCCACTCCTCCCGACAGTAGCTCGCTTCGTTTCTATTTCAAAGTGATGCCTCCCCCACTCTATCCCAAGTGCTAGCCTTTCGATCGTCACAGTTCTGTTCACCCTCTCTCTACTCTGGTCTGTCTCTCTGCTCTTCACGTATCATCACCAGAAACATAGAACAGGCGCCCACAATGAGCAAGTCCGCACCCTCAGACAAAGACGCGGGGTTCAAGCGTGCAAACGAAATCAGCAGCTCCATGCTGGGCATGCCAGGATATGCCGATGACTCCATGCTATTCGTCGTCCGGTTTGCCAATAAACTCAAGGTATCTACGTGCTCAATTGATTACTTCCCCCCAGAATGTGTGATTGCCGCCCTCTTTCGTCCAGACTGACGCCTCCGCCGCAGACTCGGCTCAGCCAGAGAGACCACGACCAGTTCTGGAAGTCCCTCGACGCCATGACCAAGGCCAGCGCCAGGCCCGCTGAGGAATTCGGTGGTGTCGAGGGCCGCGCCCAACACGTCTCGGAGCTGCGACAGGCCACCCTCGAGTCTGTCAAGGACTACCCGGACCTTGTCCAGGAGTTCGACCACTTCTGCAGCGTGTCGAGGGCGCAATTCAAGAAGTATAGGGGAGAGGCCCCCTCGGCTTCCTCCTCTTCAACACCAGCGACGTCGGAGACGAGCTGACGGTGGAGCGTATCGCGATGGCCCCTCGATCTGCCCAGCAGGCTAGATCTCAAGCTTCGGCATGGTCTCGTGATACAATCGCAGAGATGCGAGTGACAATGTGATGGTTATGATGATGATGATTTTTGGTGTTTGGTCTTGGATCTCTGCTTCGTGATACCATGTGTACGTAATCTGCAATCTGCTGAATACATCAATCTTCTCTCTTTGAATGTCACGTCGGCTCGCCTTGCCTACACTCAATATCTGCCCATGCATATGAGGGCCGCCGATCTCACGAACCAGGCTCCTGCAAAGTGCAATTCGCATTCAATGCGAGATGGGGCATTTCCCCCTCAGCTGAGAAAATGAGATCAACACAGCCTCAATATTACACAAGGGAGCAGGCCAAAGTTCCGTTATACTGCGCTGGGCACGCGATACCCGCTTTTGGTCTTATCCAGAGAGTGCATCCAAGATACTGCGGTCAGGTCTGTAATTGAGCCGATGTTGCATTGCCTCAGAAACAAGGCTGCATCGCGACCGTTCCCTCGGGAGCCACTTACCCTAGACCGTGATCTGGCCAACTGGCCGCCAGCTGACGTCGATGTGGCCAGAAAGCTCCGTCGCTCTGCGCTGCGTTGTCTTACCTAACGGCCAATCCACCGCCAAGCTGCAAGCTGCAGCATCAGTCGCTCACCGTCGGCCCTCAAAAGTCCAATCTGTCCACCACGAGCTGGCCGAGCCATCACTGCGAACGAGGGCGTCCCCCACCGCCTCACCACCTACCAAACCTTCTCTTCTCCCTCTTTAATTTGACCTTTTTACTCCGCCATTGTCCTCTCCGACTCCCCTCCCCCACCCGAAAAGGCCAACCGAAAGGCCACCCAACATCCCACCCCTGACGAAGCCGGAAACCGCCCACGAACTCCTCCCACCATGTCGAATTACTATCCCCAGCAGCAACAGCAGCAGCAGGGCCCTTACGCCCCCTCAGGCCCCCAGAACCTCCAATTCTACCCGTCGAGCTACTCCCCAGCACCAGGCGGCGGCGCCCAGGGTGGCTATGGATATGGCGGTCCAGGTGCCAGTGCCAACGCGCCCGGAGGCTTCACATCTCCTGGTTTTGGAGGCCCCAGTGTATCGGTGTCAGGCAGGATGGGCGATCAGGGTGGACTGAGCACTGGCTGGCTGGCCGCTTTCTCCACGGAGGGCTATGACGGCGAGCCTGCGCTACTGGAAGAATTGGGAGTCGACTTCAGGTTGATGACAGAAAAGGTACAGCTCGACTGCCATTTCCCGAGCGGTTAAGAGGCTTATCCCTTCCAAAACAATATGCTGATACTTCTTGTTTCCTCAGACTCTTGCCGTTCTCAACCCCTTCCGGCCGATCAACCAACACATCATGGACGACTCAGATATAGCCGGACCACTCCTCTTCTTCTTCCTGTAGGTCCCAAAGCCCAGCTCGACACACTTACCAACCCCGTCGCAGGCGCACAACTGACAATCCCACGCCCACAGATTCGGCACGTTCCTCCTCTTCTCCGGCAAAGTCCACTTCGGCTACATCTACGGCCTCGCCCTCCTCGGCTCCTCCTCCCTCCACATCATCCTCTCCCTCATGTCCCCGACCGAGTCCCAGCAGCAGCAGCAGGAGCCCCAGCAGTACCCCGACCACGGCAGCGGCGCGCCCGGCTCCCACCACGGCGGCCACTTCTCCTCGACCCTCACCTTCGGCCGCTCCGCCAGCGTCCTCGGCTACTGCCTCCTGCCCCTCGTCGTCACCTCCCTCATCGGCGTCGTCATGCCCATGAACACCCTCTTCGGGCACCTCATCACGTCCGCCTCCATCCTGTGGTGCACGTACAGCGCGAGCGGCATGTTCTGCGCCGTGGGGCGCATGCGCGGGATGCGCGTCCTAGTGGCATACCCCCTGGCGCTATTCTACATTGGATTCGGGCTCATGTCCATCTTCAGCAGCAGAGGCGTTGGATCTCCACTGCAGGCGAGCCCTTAAGCCTCGAACCGGGCAGGAATATACATGGTGTGGTAGGAAGAGATTGGTGTACAGCATATAGGAAGGTGTAAAAAGGAAGGACCTCGTCCGGTGGGCGAGGTGACGGCCTGGGGAATCCGCGAGGTAGTTCTCTTGAGTCTGCCAGGCCTGGTTTATATACGCGGACAGAGATTTAGTGACAAGCCATCTACTTCTCGTCAAAAAAGAGGATTAGGGGCAGCTTGGGAGCACTGGCGTCAAGGCTGCTGGGACATAAAGGGTGACACTTTGGTTGTAGTTTATCATATACTCGCGCACAATGAAGCGATTAAAGAAAGCAGCATATGATCTCGTACCTGTTGAAGCTAATAGAGGAGCGGAAGCTCGCGAGTAACCTAAGCTACAGGAAGTCCGGCCCAGCAATTCCACAGCTGAAGGCAATCGAGCAAAATAATCATACGCTCCAGCGTAGATATGAAACCAGCCGTTCATATTATCCCACCCCAGATTTTAAGTGGTTGAAGCAAAAGAATCCACGCAATGCAAAGCCCTGAAGTAATCAGCCAGGCCACTCTCTCAAAGATTAACGGCAGAAATGTCTACCAAACCAGAACCATGTTAAACCATTATACTACCTCAGTAGTTGTTGGAGCGATTTCCGATAGAATGGCCACGTGTCGAACGATCTCCAGACAGTTTTAAGTGGTGGGATTCGACAAAAGCCACAAGTCCTTTGGAGCCTCAGGTGAGATCCAGCTGGCACTCGTGGGTTCCGAGCTTCTTGCCTTTGAAATAGACTGTAAAGATCGTTGACGCTCCGGATGGCACCATTTCCGCTTCGTAGTTCATCTTCTTACACTTTTCATCTTGTGGAGATATGAAAAGGTCAAAATCTTTGACCAGATGACTTGTTTGGCAGTACATCGAACCCATCTTAGTAACAGATCCGTCGAGTCGGTCCGGCGGGTCGTCCAGCTCGCATTGAAGCAATTTCATGGTGATCCCCTTCTTGTTTGAATCTTTCTCGAAAATGTGGTAGAAAAAGTGCTTGATGGGCTCAGCCGCCATGACCACATCCCCCTAAGTCCATGTAAGTAAAATTATCAAGATACGGATAGGTAACGTTACCATCGACGAACCTTCTTCAAGTACCATAGCATCTGGCGCTGTGCCATCCATTTACCTTCAAGACGGCCCCAGTATTTGTCCTCTTCGCGATGGAAGCCTTGTATGAACGGCCGACTTACTTCAACACCTAGGCTAAGCCTAGCGATAGTCGAGACCACGGACATGTGTGCCCGGGTAGAAAGGCCGGCGGGGTTTCCGTTGAGTCTGTCCATAAAGCCCTTATAGACGGCTCCTCGACATATCGCGCTGCGTCTGTTACATGAAGAAGGAATGTTAGAGGGTTTTCAAATCTCATCGGTACCGTCCGTTAAGAAAGCCAGGCTTGGGATCAACTTACGGTTTCGCTCCACCAGCTTGCAAGACCTCTGGCCTACCCTTGTACTTGTTAGACAGATATTCATAAAGGTAGGGGCTTGAACCAAGCCCTCCAACCAGAATGATAGCCGTGACGGGGTAAGGGGCAGACTTCGAGATCTGCCGAGAAACGAGATCCCCAATCTTGGCAAATGATTCATCAAATGCCTTCTGAATGTCCAAACTAGAGGGTACCAATCGATTAGCATTGGATGCTGGGCAGTTGGGACAGATATTCTTACGCAGAGAAGTAGATTCGTCCCTCTATAATCTTCGGTTCTCGAGATTGGTCATTCATATCTTTCTTCGTTGCAAATGCCTCGGCCGGGACGCTGATGATGTATTTCTTCTTGTCGTTCTTCAACGAAAAGATTGTCTTGGTGCCATGTTCCCACTGGGAGTGCATGATTTCGCCGATGCCTTTCAGAGTTAGATTGAACCAGTGGCGGCCGAGTCGAGCTTTGCAAATGAGACGAAACTTCTCATCGATGAACATTCCTCCACAAATTCCCGCTAGAAAACGGTGTTAGTCATTCCAGCCAAGTATGAAGAACAAGTCGGGTTATAACTAACCTTCGCCTCCAGCAGCCTCGTGTAGCTCGATTGGATCCAAGCTCCCAACCTTGTATGTAATGATGTCCTTTGCAAGAGAATTAACAAACTGCAAAACGCCGATAAGTAATGGGGCTATCTATACTTACGACAGTGCCGCCACCTGCATCACAGATCATGTAAACATCATCAGCCTTCAGGTGACGCTCTTTCTCCCAGATCGTGGCGAGTGCCGCGGCTTCTGGCTCCATGGCAAACGAAAGGACAGTCTCCCCAGCAGGGCGATCTGAAGTGATGCCAGCACGTTTCGCTGCATCCTTCATGGCTCGCCTCGCATAGTCCTTCCAGCTGGCGGGGACAGTGAGGACAACATGGAACTTGAGTGCGTCCACAAGAGTTGGCGACCGTGCCTTGGCAATGATTTCGAGAGTGTGCTCCCAAAGCTCTCTCAGATAGTCCGCGATTACTTCGACTGGTGTCTTGCCGAGTTTGTCTAGGAGTTGTCGCGCTCGTTGAAGAGGTTCAGATTTTTTGATCTCTTTGGGGACATCCTCATCGCGGAGAAGCAAAAGCTTGAACCAGGAGAGGCGGTCTTTCTCTTCAAAGGGAACTTGGTAACCCCATGACTGAGTGCCGTCGGGTTTGTAGACCAAGGCGGTAGGGACCTTCGCCTCTTCCAGGTCGGCATCGGGCCAAATGGTAATGAAATTGATCTGGTCGTTTCCGAAGTCTTCCGCTGTAGCCCAGCCAACACCAGAGTAGCTAATGAAGAATGGTAAATTAGAATTCTAATGGCGAGAAACTTTGTATATTTCACTCACGTCGTCCCAAAATCGATACCGATGACCAAAAACTCATCCAACTCTGTACCTCTTGTTGCTTTAAACTTCTTTGTGACCGCCTTTGGGTCCCAAGAATCATGATTAGCATGCCTTTTTTTCGGCATGGCGGCTAAAGATGCAGAATGTATTAAGCACTTGTGCTTGGTGATGATTAATGAGATGTCGGCTGGCTGCAATACGGGTTGAGGTTAGTTGGTAGGCAGAGGTTGTTGGGGAGTTGAGAAGTGGGGAGGTGGAAGATTGGAGAAGATGAAGCGTGCAAGATGAAGGTGAGTTTTCGCGGGATGAAGGACGGGGCCTTGAAATATGGGCATGCCAGCTGCTCCTAAGAGATGTGTGAGGTTGTGCGTTATTGTCTGTTGCACAAACAAACTCTGCTGAATCCACCATCTCTCACCTGCACCTCAGATTCTTTTTTTCATCAATTCAACCTTCATCTTGTTTCCTCTGCTAGTCATTACTCGGATGGGTTTTCGTTCATCTGCTGCAGTTGCAAGGCCCTGTATGTGAATCTTCCCTCACCTTCCCCTTTTTCCTTTTTATTTTTTTACAGAACATAGCCTATCCCATTGTTTTCGATCCACATGACTCTTCCCACGCACTCACATTCACACAAACTACCACTCGCCTTCACGTAAACTAACATCCATGTAGCCTAGAAGAGCTCAGTTTTCCAAAAGAACCCCGAGAATTTGCTTCCCAAATCACAGCTTTAGGCCAAAGCAAAGCGTCAAACAAGAATACAATGAACATGAATCCCGCCTCTTCCTCAGACCCGCTTCAGATATCAAAGACAAGAGTTACCAAAGGTGAGGAACCTGCAGAACAGCAAGACTGTTTCACTTTCGAACCAACTCCAGAAAGGAGCCCTGTACCGAATCAAGCGCCCGAGGCAAATCCTATCGCACCACAACGCCGAAAAGTGCCTACTCGGAAATTGGGAAGACGCAGGAATAATTTGCCTCTGGTCAAACTGGACCGCAAGAATCGCAGGCATAATTTGCCTCAGGACAAACTAAACCACAAGAACCGCAGGCAGAATTCACCTCTGGACAGACTGGACCGCAAGAACCACAGGCATAATGTACTCTTGGACAAACTAGACCGCAAGAAAACAAGGCGTCAGAAAATAGAATGGAAGAAAACACTCCTGCTACAACAGTTTTCGAACGAATTACGCATTGCGAAGTCGGACCTGGAAACATGCCAAAAGCAGGAGCAAGCACTGCGTCAGAGCGAAGCCCATGCCTATGCCCAGGCACGCGAATTCGAAAACGCGCTTAAAACTGAGAAAAGCATGCACACTCAAGCCGAGTCCCAGCTCTCTGCTGCACGGCAAGAAGCATCAACACTTCGTCAGGCAGCAGTTAACGCCCATGCTCAAGCAGTCCAGCTCGAAAAAGCGCTCGATGATGAGAGACACTTTCACGCTGAAACCGAGTCCAAGCTCTCTGCTACACAGCAAGATGCAGAAGCATTTTGTCAATCAGCAGCCAACGCCCATGCTCAAGCAGGCCAGTTCGAAAAAGTGCTTAATGATGAGAGACACTTTCACACCAAAACCAAGTCCGAGCTCTCTGGTGCACGACAAGAAGTAACAGCACTTCGCCAAGACCAAGTGAAAGCCCGTCATGACCGAAACATGATGAGAAAGGAGATGAAAGAGAAACAAGTCATTCTTAACGAGGCATTGGAGGAACGCGACAAGGCAAAGGAAATGGCCGCCTCGACTCGTCAAGGGCAACTGAAAGCTATTTCTGAGCTGAACAAAGCTATGCGATTGAACCAAGGGTCTGACCAGTCTACCGACTCACAATTGGTCCAGAAGATGGTTGGGCTCCGTAATAACATTCGTGATTGGTCGTTAACCTATTTTATCACGGAATCCGAAAACCTCCCAAGGCCTTCCAATCAAGACATGAAAAACCTGGACGAAATTGGACTTGAATCCGTTATGCGCAAAGATTTCCTTGAGAGATCCCTGCAAGACTCAACAATACGCCCAACAGTTGCTCGTTCGGTTCTCTGGGGGTTCCTTCAAAGAGACGTTTTCCGACAGTATCTATGGGTGATGAAACCATATAGCAGGTGGGTGAGAGACACTCACCAATACCTCTGTACGTATGCTTAGCTGAGGCTCCGCTCCGCTCCCCCAATATTCAATGTGCCCCAGGTGTGGACTGACATAATATTTAGCATCTAAGATGATGACAAAGTATTCCCAAGATTCTGATGAGAAATCTCAAAAGTTCAACATTTGGCGGGCAAATGGAAGTGCCATGTTCTCTCAGGCACCAAGGCCAGGCCAGAAACGCGTGTTGAGAAATCGCATAATCACCCAATTGGTAACAACAACCATACTCTTGTTGAAACCCCTTCTCGCAAGTCAAGATCAGAAGGATGCCGAGGACGAGTTATACCAAATCATGGATCAAGCCTTGGCCTTGGATGAGGAGCTGTGCCGGCAGGTTGCAAATCTCTCGGTCCGGTACCTAGAAAACTCTTTAGGCTTGGTGGGAGCTCACTTTAATCCGCAAACGATGACTACGGAGATTGGTAGCAAGGATGCTACAGCAGAAGATGTTGTCTCAGTGGTTCTTGCCCCTGCCTTGGTCAAGCGAGGCAACTCAGCCGGCAACGATTTTGACAAGCAGATCATACTGGTGCCGATGGAGGTTACTTGCCAGCCTGCCGAGCCCAAGCCAGCTCCGCGCGCAAGTCCAATCCTAGTCCAAACTTCAACTCCAAGCCCAGGGGCTTAGGATAGTTTTCAAGGCATGGGTTGTTCAGTCAACTGAGAAAAGGAGAAAGCGGAGGTAGTCATAAGGAAGACAGTTGATGCAATTGGCTTGTCAATCGGTTGCACCTTGAATGATAATAGGTCCAGCTTCAGAGCGGAGAGTAGAAGTTTAGCGTGCGGGGAGGTTGAATCTAAAGACGGTTCTGTACGCGCAAGGAAACTGAAAATCGACAGAAGGGAATGGCTTTGCTTTAAGCCGGTCGCGTGGTCAAGATTCAATCAGAGCTCAGTCATCAAATTGAAAGTTGCATCGTTCTACGGCGATTCTTGCAGTGAGATAGTGCCAGGGCAGGGATATGATAGGGGTCCAGGACAGAACGGGTAGTGGGGGCTAGTGCGGCAGTAGAGCAAATAATACACAGACTATTAGTTGTGCTCAGTGAATGGTCTGGTGCTGTTTCGGGTCTCATTTTACGCGGGTGCATGAGTGTGTGGGCGCTTCGTATAGAGAAGGCGTTTGATTCGCCGCATCGGTCGGGCATGTTTTGGCTAGCGGTGGACGGCTGAGCAAATCGCATCGATCCCGGCGTGTCAAAGTCAGGGGCAAGGGGGAAAAGCTTGTCGCTGGAATGTGTGTTGGTATTCTTAGATAATCCTGGCCGTCCCGTATGTCTCTCTCTGCCTGCCCCCAACGAATGGACCACAGTACCTACATACCCAGGTAATCACAGCAGATACCAGAGATCTACCGCCAGAATGCTACTCAAAAAGGCCCGCGTCATGGCCGTCGGCCTGGCCCTGCTGCTGTGCCTGCTTGTCTACTGGCACCGCCAATGGACCGCCGAGGAGGAGTTCCCCGTCGTCGCCCAGCTGCCGCCGCTGGAGATGCCGCCGTGGCCCATCGCCGAGGAGCTGTGGCGGGCGCCTGGCAACAGCTCCTGGAAGCCAACCTTCCCCGTCTCCAAGATGGCGAGGCCGCCCATGGCCGAGACGGAGCCGCTGCCCCAGATCCAGGCCACCTTCGACGTCGAGTCGATGCAGGCCCAGGCCACCCGCCTCGAGCGCCAGAACGCCGTGCGCGCCGCCTTCCTGGCCTCGTGGCACGCCTACAAGAAGCACGCCTGGATGGCCGACGAGCTGCGGCCCATGTCGGGCGAGAAGCACAACGCCCTGGGCGGCTGGGCCGCAACCGTCGTCGACTCACTCGACACCCTCTGGATCATGGGCCTGCACGACGAGTTCGCCAAGGCCGTCGCCGCGCTCGAGGGCGTCTCCTTCAACCGCACCCGCCTGGCCGAGGTCAACACCTTCAAGACCACCGTCCACTACCTCGGCGGCTTCCTGTCCGCCTTTGAGCTTAGCGGCGACGTCCGCCTCCTGCGCAAGGCCGTCGAGGTCGGCGACATGATGTACAAGGCCTTCGACACCCCCAGCCACATGCCCGTCACCCGCTGGAACGCCCGCGCCGCCGTCACCGGGCTCAACCAGACCGCCGCCGCCAACGCCGAGGCCGCCGAGGTAGTCGGGCTGTCGATGGAGTTCACGCGCCTGTCGCAGATCACCGGCGACCCCAAGTGGTTCGACGCCGTCCAGCGCGTCAACGAGCGCTTCGCCGCCGCCCAGGACGACACCGCGCTGCCCGGCATGTGGCCGCAGAGCATCGACGCCCGCCAGGTCCGCCTCACCTCGGGCACCGTCTTCTCCCTCGGCTCCAGCGGCGACTCCATGTACGAGCACCTCCCCAAGATGGCCGTCCTCACCGGCGGCCAGCTGCCCGTCTACCAGTCCATGTACGAGAAGGCCATCAACACCTCGCGCCGCACCAACTTCTTCCGCCCCATGCTCCCGGGCATGCAGGACGTCCTCGTCGCCGACACCGTCCACGCCAAGGAGGTCGACGGCGAGCGCCGCATCAACTACGATTACCGCGCCCAGCACGGCGCTTGCTTCGCCGGCGCCATGCTCGCCCTCGGCAGCCGCCTCTTCGGCCGCCCGAAGGACCTCGCCCTCGCCTCCAAGCTCACCGACGGCTGCGTCCTCACCGCCCAGGCCTTTCCCTTCGGCATCATGCCCGAGTCCGTCGCCGTCGCCCCCTGCATGTCCGCCAGCACCTGCAAGTGGGACGACGACCAGTGGCGCCGCGAGGTCCTCATGGCCCACGACATGAGTCCCGCCAACATCTCCCTCGCCCAGCCCCTCATCGACGCCGCCAGCCTCCCACCGGGCTTCACCCGCGTCCACGACTCCCGCTACACCCTCCGCTCCGAGGCCGTCGAGAGCGTCTTCGTCCTCTACCGCGCCACCGCCCGCCCCGACCTCCCCGACGCCGCCTGGGACATGTTCACCGCCATCGACGCCGTCACCAGGGCCGACATGGGCCACACCGCCGTCTCCGACGTCACCAACCCGAAGCGCGACCCGGACGGCATGAACTCCATGGGCACCGTCTGGATGGGCTCAACCCTCAAGTACTTCTACCTCATGTTCTGCGACCCCCAGATGCTCAGCCTCGACGAGTACGTCTTCAACACCGAGGGCCACCCCATGAAGCGGCTGAGGCGCGCCGCCGTCGAGCCATGAGCTGTGAGGCTAGAGGAGGGGGAAAGGGCGCTGGCTGGCCCAGCGGTGTATTTTTGGCTATTTTAGATCTGTCCTTTGGGCTTCTTATATGTTTTGGGAGAGGAACAATTTTTACCTCGTTCAAGGGAGCGATGGACTATGGGAGAAAAGAATGATCTCGGCAATGTTTAATGAAAAGGGGACGGAAGGCGAGGCTACTACTTGGATATACATGCACTCATTCCTATTTTACCCATTACTGGTATTTGTTTGTTACATTTTCTGCTTTTGGGGTTTGTTCATAGCACAGGACATCATTATGGTTACATTAGACAGGCAATTTATCACATCACATCACTCTGCAAGCATTTAGCCTCATGAATCTAGTAAGAAAGTGGGTAGTAGGTCCCCTTCTTGACATAATGCCATTCATTACGCTGTCTGCCCACAACTTCACTACCCAGCCGAGCTTCATGTGAAGCCAATAATCAACATGCGTAACTCAAGATCCAAATGCATCTCTATATCGATATGTTACATGCCTCCGTGGCCTCTGACTGAGGCAAGGGGCGCAAAATGAAAAATAAGAAACGTGATAAAAAAAAGTCAAAATAGCCGCTGCGCCATCGAACGTGCATCCTCGTCGCTGTCATTCTCTCCGTTCAATCCTCGTTCGACAAGTAATTAAGCCCGCCTCGCTCGCCTGTATTTTTAAAACCCCGGAGCCGAATGTGCAAGAACCCTCGATGCATCGAAATAAAAACAAGCATAAAATTAAAATCAATCAAGATGCACAGGACCAGTGGGAGCTGTGCTTGTCTGAGGCCAGCCTTCAGCAGCAGAATCACAGACCATGTTCGTACCAGATATCTCGCCAGCCATGTGAACAAGGCAGAATAGCTGCAGGAACATGCTTAGTGGCCGTTGACGCCGTTAGTCTTGGGAGCATCGTCAGGGATACCCCAAAGAACCGAATACTGACCACCGGCGCCGGCGCCGATAATCTTCTTTCCGCGGATGGCAGTGTTGTCAATCAGAGTAGGCTTCTCGATGTCGTCGATAGTGCCCTGGCCAGTCTGGTAGTTGCTTGAGAAACCCCAAGAATAGACCTGGCCATCCTTTGACACTGCGAAGCTGTTGTCAGTGCCGGCATTAACGGCGACAATTCCTGAGACGTCTGGGCACTGTTAGCAGAGAACCAAAAAAGAACTTGTTATTGTTGGCTAAAGCTTACCTGGGACAACGGTGGGCACGAAAAGGATACGAGGAGTATCGCGATCATCAAAGATGGCGTTCTCCTTGGTCAGAGTGCTGGGATCAATACCGACCTGGCTGCCATCAACACGGCCCCATGTAAGCAGCTCGCCCTTGGCAGAGCAGGCAAGAGAGTGGTGGCCACCACCGTCAATCTCGGTGACCTTGTATTCCTCAAGGGCCTCGATCTTGGCAGGCTTCAGGATAACGGCAGCATCCTCACCAGCATTGCCTTCAACACCGACCTCGCCGAAGTTGTTGAGACCCCAGCCCCAAACATTGTTATTCTTGTCGATGGCGAAGCTGTGGTAGGAACCGCAGGCAACCTGGGTGATCTTGCCACGGGGAAGGCCGACGCCCTGAGGAATGAGAGAGGAGAGCTTGTTGCGTTCGATGATACGGCGACCGAGCTGGTTCTGCTGTCCGCAGCCCCAGGCAACGACATTACCCTTGGCGTCGAGAGCAAGAATGTGGTTGGCACCAGCGGCCATGGTCTTGATGTTCTTCAACTCGGGGAGGAGGATGGGGGTCTGCTGAATCTTAATCGTGGGAGTGAAGCCGAGAATGCCGTCGCTGGATCGGAATGTGCCCCAGCCGTAAACGCGACCATCCTCAGTCAAGGCGAAGCTGGCACTGTCACAAGCAATGACTTGGACAAACTTGGTGTTCTCGGCAAAGTACTCCTCGGAGACCTCGCCCGGTGTGCTCTCCATGGGGTTGATACCCGTGTCATCGTCATCATCCTCAGAATCAGAGTCTTCGGCCTTGTCCATGTCGCGTAGCCCACCATCCCAGTTGGTGTCGCGTCCGAGGGCACCCTGGTCATTGACACCCCAGGTCAGAATCTTATTGTTGCGAGTGAGGGCGATAACGTGCATGCCACCGGCAGAGATCTGGACGATGCCGGCATCCTTGGTAGACAGGTTGTCGTTGAGACGGGGTCGCTTAACATCAATGGGCTTCTTGCCGTTTACGCGTTTGCTTCCCAGACCGAGCTCGCCAGAGGTTCCCTCGCCAAAGACGTAGATATCAAGGACCTGAGTAGGTGCATCGTTGATCTTCTTTCCAATCGCGACCTGGGGTCTCGTGGACTTCTTGGGGGCCTCGGCCTTCTTGGGGGCGGGTTTAGCGGGGGCAGGCTCGACGGCAGGCTCGGCAGACTCGGCCTTGGTCTTAGACTTCTTTGTTACAGACTTCTGGGAGTCCTCTTCGGGGTCGTCCTCAGCCTTGCGCTTCTTCGACGCGCCGTTGGTGGTGGGCTTGGGCTCGGCCTTCTTGGGGGCAGCAGCCTTCTTGGTTGCGGCCTTGGGGGCAGCAGCAGTCTTTGAAGCGGTGGCCTTGGTAGTCTTCGCGGGAGCCTTGGGGGCGGCCTCCTTCGCGGCGGCCTTCTTGGGTGCAGCCTTTGCAACAGCAGCCTTCTTGGGAGCGGTCTCCTTTACGGCGGCCTTCTTCGTCGTCGTGGCGGGCTTCGCAGCCGCAGCTTTAGCTCGAGGTGCCATGGCAAAAACGCGACGGAGCGATTGTGATAAAGGGAAGGGGGTTATGTGATGGGAAATCCGCGCGTTGGATCACTTGGGGATATGAATCTGATAAAACCACCATGCAAATTGATGGAGGGAAAACCAAACCGCGACGTGGACGTGGACGGAGATGGGTTGAAAACAGCGCGGCGCGGTGCGAGGGAGGATTTTTTGGGCTGCAAACCAAGTACCCGCTGCTATGTTATCGAGTGGACTTTTTTTGTTTGGTGGTGCCACACCCACGTATCTGGTCCAGTGCGCGCAGCGCCCACCGTGTTCCCCAGAACAATCGATTTGTCCGGCAGAAACCCGCAATTGAGTAGGCGGTGAAGCGAAGTGTCCCATTGTTCAGGTGTTCATCAGCAATCAGCTCCACTAAAAACTGATCCACAGGAGCTCTTAGGGCCAAACGGCCCCTGTAGCTCCCTGGGAAAACGCTCGAGCTTTGTTCGCTAACTCAGATCTCGAGGAACCACGAGCGTGGGAGTGAGGCAAGGGTCCGTCTCTGGCAGCTCTTGAGCATTGTGCAATGCATCCTCACCGATTCACGACTCGACCGACAATAGCGAAGTGGGTTCGATTGGGCCGCTCACAGGCCGCCACGCTTTTCCCTTCCCAATTCGAGCAGCCTGCAATGGTGTCTCGAATTCGTGATTTGTTGCTCCTTTAGTCAGCCACCACAATAAAATGCTGGTCACATAGCGCGTCAGTCTGGCTTCGGCTCCCTGAATCTGTTTTTTTTTTCGTCTATTGTCTTTGGTGAGGTCTGTTTGCCAACCGAGTTAATGTAGGAGCAATACACAGGTTCCTTTGTTTTGAGACATCTTCACATCGTAGGTAGTCGTACAATCAAATGCCTCCCACAACCCCACGCCCGAATACCCATAAACCTAGCAGGGAGCAAACAGCAAGCCCTGAGAAAAAGCAATGGCGGCCAAAAAGTCACCCCATCAATCATTACGTATCGCAGTCAATGCAAAGACCCCATGCCCCAAACTCCGAGTTCCCAATGCCGATCACCACTCCACAAACCCGCTACTCTGACCGATGCAGATAGTCGGCTCATTTGGTGGTGAAGTCAATCTCGTTGGCCGGGTTGAACCCGCCGTCAGTAGCCTTCTCACAGGTGCAAGCCCCTACATGATTACGGTCAGCCATGGATGGTTCGCCACAATGAACAAAGAATTTGCCAGGGAGTCGCAGGGAGGCGGCTCGGTTCCACATTGACTTACCTGAGGGTCGGCTGCCACAGGCACAGGTGGAATTGCCCAGAGAGGCGTTCTCCGTGTTGGCTCTGTCACAGGTGCATTGGCCAGCTGGGCGAGCACGGCACGAGCATCGAGCGCCAGTGACTTGGTTCTCGGCCGCTGCCTTGGCGCAGCTGCAGTGAAGAGCTGACTTCTCGCCGCAAGAGCAGGTTGCCTTTTGGGCTGTAGAGAGGATGTCAGTACAAGTTGAAAAGGTGCTTTGTAATGTATTGGGGGAGTGCGTACCACAGGTGCACTCAGCGCCGGAGCCTTGGCAGGTGGAGGGCTTGACAGTCATGTTGATGGTTGTAGGTTGCGTAAACAGAACAGACGTTGTAGGAGTTTTAGATTGAAGGTCGTAAAGAGAGATCGTTTCGAATTATAACTGAAATGATTGATGAGACTGATATATAACTTGTCAGGAAGATCAGATTGACCGTCGATGCACTGCTCTTTTGTACCTGATGATGGTTTCGGAAGCCCACTAAAAATGGCTGGACTGAGGCGTAATTGGAGAGCCGCTGATTGGCTGGGCCACAGAATCAGCCAATCAGACGCTACATATTTCCAACCACACCGTAATCTAGCCTGATGTTAAGTTCTAGCCTTTTCTCTGATTCCAACTTGGTACGTCATGACAGACCATCTCGCTGTTCTCCGACACTATTTGCCTTCGATTACGCATTGCGGACGTTTCCGTGCTAAACCATGTCTTGAATTGACAAAGGGGTTTGATGTGTCTCTACTTGTGATTGTTAATCTGCCCAATTGAGAGGAAGGCCCAGATGGTCATCATCGAGAATGGGAACATTCACACCGACTTCTCAACTGTTGATCTCTCATCACCCCTATCTTGCGACTTCACTTCCATTATTCTCCATCTAAAAAATTATCATCTGATGTGACTATCTAAATGAATTCTTATATATTAGTCTCGGAATTCGTACAATCGCATCGATGCTGGTTCTAGTCCGCTCTGGTCCCGGGTAGGCAATATGACATCACACCATCGACAACAATCAAAGTGAAGGTCGTTCATCGCTGTTTCGGCTCTCCCTAGTCTTGAGAACGCGTTTCGCTTCTGCGGCGGCCTGCAATCTCGTCAATCAACTGCCCCAATACCTCCTCATCGTCTGGTCCATATTCATCTTCCGTCGGGTTCGGCCCAGCATCGTCATTCCAATATGTGCCATCGCACTCGGAATAACGAAGCCTGACATCCTCCCACTCACGCGCCGACCATTGACCCGAGTAGAACCGGGGATCTGAATCATCTAGTGCCCCATGGCGGGACAGCTCCTTCGAGTCCTCGTCGTATTCAATCTGAAGCTGCGACACCACCTCGAAGACTTCGAGAGAGTGCATGGATTCCCGGAAACGCTGGAGGATTTGGGACCACCGAAGCTCGGGAACTATCTCGACCATGCCTGTCCCTTCCCCGTTGTAACGGTTCATGATGTCGATGCGGGGGTAATTGACATTCGAGACCTCGATGTCGTTCCCCTGCGCGTCCTGCCCGACGACGGTCGAGGGCCCAGGCAGCGGGCCTGGAATGTTGCCGCGGTGGAGCACAGAGCATTGGTCGAGATACAGCCTCTTCAGACCCCCGCGTTCTCTGCCTTGGCTTATGATCCAGTCAATCTGCCACTCGTGGCTGAGGACGTAGTTGCCGAGAGCCAACGTCTCCAGCTTGGGGAACCCGCCCTGCGAATGGTTGACTGTGCGGAAGTCCATCTTGGGGTTCCACCCCCACGGGTCCATGCAGTAGAGGGAGAGCACCCTCAAGTTGGCCGCAAGGGAGGGGGAGAGCCAAGTCTGCTGGAGAGTATCGAAAAAGTCATACTGTTGCTTGAAGACCTCGTCATTATGCTCCTCAAGGACGATGTAGAGCTTGAGGCTAGTGATGGTGCCGGAATCAATAACTGCGCGAAAAGCCTCCGAGGTTGTGAGTCGCTCGTCGTTGAACCCTTCCAGATTGTGCACCTCGAGCAGCTTGATGGGGATGGCTGGCATCGGAGTGTCATCTGGCTCGTCATCTTCTTCGCCATTTGCGTTGTCAAAATCCCAGTCTAGGTTCGCTCCCTCGTCAATCTCCAGCTGGCGCTCTGCGGTCCATGTGCCAGCGAGGCACTCAAAGACGGTCTGCAAGACGCGGTAGCGGAAATCGTGCGTCTCCTCTACGGCCACCCAGGTGCGGTCCTCGTAGTCTTCCCCGCCGCAGTGCTCATTGAAGTCAACGCCGAGAGCCTTGAGGTTGGAGAAGAAGCGCAGATGTGGCAGGGCCCTCATAAAAGGTGCCGGGATCTCATACGACGCATTGCGACGGTATTCAAAGCCACCACCCACGTTTGTGTCAATGATGATCTCCCGCACGTGGCACCGAAGCGATTCATTCTGCGCCACCTGGAGGAAGCGGTCTGCTTCACCCCCAGCAGCGGAGAGCCGAAGACGGCGGAAGAGCGACGGCGTTGCTACCGAGCAGGCTGAGTGGCTGAGGAGTCTGCAATTGCGTAGTGTTGGTTTGTCAATATGAGAGAAGACGAAATATAGAATGTCAGCTGAAAGCTTGACATTCGAGTTTGCATTATGAGACATAGTTGTCATAGTGTGTCGGTGAACGGTCGGTTGTGTTGCGTGAATCTTGGCGAGAGAGTGTCAAGGAAACAACAAGGAAACAACAACGAAGTGGGTAGCACCACTCCTCTTTGGGGTTGTATTATAGGATATTACTTAAGCTAAATTAGATAGGAATATACGCTTAGAGGAGATAATCATCCGAGGAGCAACCCCTGCCGTAACTAGAGCCTCAAATGGGTGGCTCATGATGATACATCGCGATATCTTTCCCGCGCGGCGGCCAAAAAGGGAAACTGACGAAACTGCAGGGAGGCTCTTCCACTTATAATAAGATTTTCATGGCATTACTTTCTCGTTGCCTGCCTGAACATATTCGAATACTTTTCTTTTAACTAAAATGTCATCTTAACCAGCGTTTCTACCCTTAGGTTATGTTCTTGGAGACTTCCAGCTACGCACATACACTGACGCAATCATTTTTCTAAAAATCCATCATTTCTCTTCACTTTCTAGGGTTTAGTCCATGGCAAGGATTGGATATTCGGATAGCTGTGGACCGTCCGTACCTCTAAAGGGACCCTGCAACATTAAGAATTTCAGGTAACGAACCCAACTCTCCATCCAAGTCCTATTGTAGGAAAGTCATATCTATCGACATATTCAAAAAGTAGTTGGAAAGCCACTACTAATCCTATCCTTGGCCTCAATGTAACAAATAAGATGAATTTACTTAGATGTTTATTGGTTATAAAGGTGTAACTTGCTTCTATATGTGGTGTATACGATAGTTCGGAATAGGAAAAAAAAAAAGTTTGGTTCTATTTCACATTTATTTTATATGGCTATGAAATTTATAATGCTGCATACTTACGAATATTGCATTGCGGATAGCATTTACTACCTCTCTGTGGTCTGGTTCGGTGCTGCAAGATCTGGCCGTATTGTGGTAACTACCTCCTTAGGGATGAAAGACTGTCAAATTGCGCCTAGGCTACGGGCCGGCTTTTCTATTTTGATTCATTCATCTATGAATATAAGCCTTTCTCGTGTCTGCTAATAAATCATATGATAGATCACACGTAATGATACGGTACATCGCTGAACATTAGCCAGAGTGCATGGCTGCTTTCCCTCGTCTTATCCTGTCGAGATAACCAACAACGCCATTGTTCCGAATTGAATAATCTACAAGCGCGATTGACAGGACGACTAGGCCAAGATCAACAGGAACATACAGGAACATACAGGTGTCAGACAAATTCCCGAAGATGTCGTTCGAAATGGCCCAACCACGCTGCTAAACGTTGCCCTACCACATACTCAGCATCGGCCGATCAAAAACGGATCTACCGATGCCAAACGACTAAGCACATGCTGCATAAAAGTATAATAATAAGAGGCCCTGATGCGGGGTTTGATGGGGGCGCAGCTTTCTCTACACTACGGCACCTCTAGCTGCACTTACATGCATGTGCTACTGGGTGAGGGATGACGTATTAATTCGTCGACCGCTGGTAATGTACATACGGTACTTTCCACAGCTGATGGCTTGAACTATCGGTCAGGATATGCGGTATCCCTGCCCCTCACGACAAAGGGAAACATCACATTCTGTGTTTGCAATACGAGCAAAGTGAAACAGTGGGATAGCCGAGGGGAAAGACATTATGAAACATCCCGGGTGCTAACACAGCAAAACCCGACCTAAAAAAAGAGGCTGGGAGAGGCAGCAAGAATCGACCGCTCTACTATTAGCACCTATTCAGGGAGACTTTGCGTGCTTTGGCTTGGGCAGCTGAACGTTGGTGGTGGGTAAGCCTAGACGCCAGGCGTGATCGGTTGGACCGACCATTGTCGACTGCGTTTCTGCCTTTTTGCTTCTCCCGTTTCACGGGGTAGGCGGTTATTCATCCCGACTGCCTAGGTTAAATATAGCAGCTGCACAAACAAACTCTACCTCAGGTACTCTGGTGATATGTGAGCAGCGGCGGCATCGCTAGCTGCAGGCCATGCCGCCATTGACGCAAGAGTGCAAAGACACATGCCCAGCTTATTCATTGTTCTGCCAAGCCCGTGTGAACTTACACATGCAGTCTATTGGAGGCGCGTCGACGGACAGAGTCTAGTCTGGGTGCTGCCTTGATCCGGAGTCATCGCCATGGCTTGCGACTAAGGGAAAGACGAGGCTTTCTCGACCGCTACGAAAATAAACTCACCCGCTAGCCATGGCTGTGGTCCAATCCAGGTTCTGCGTCTGTGGGGAGGCCATCAGCTGCTACGTGGCGGTCTGACCGGAGCTGAAAACCCAAAGGCAACTAAGACGAGCTAGATGTGCCACTTCTGGATCTTGCCGGCGGACGTGCATTGAGGCATTGAGCAGTGTTGTTTGTGTATGTACCGCTGCCAAGGGAGATGACTCCTCTGCGACTGTTGGAAGAGAGACTACAAGGGCGATTCCCGCTGATCCATGACCCGGCGGGATGGATATGGGATTGGATGGTTGGCTCACAACTGCCGTCGAGGATGCAGGGATGAGGCAGTGCGCGAAGTGGTGGTCAGTCCGGAACAGCCACCGACTTGCCAAGCCGCCCTCGCCTGTTTCCTACTCGTCGAAGGTTGATTTGAGGTCCCCGACCGATAGCCGGTAGGGCTAGATCCAAGCCCGCTCCATCGTCTTGAGCATGCAGCTAGGCCTGGCCTGGCTAAGACGGACTGCCTGCGGTATGTGACTGAATGGCTACATGGCGGCCTAGAACATGCATCGCCCGGCCTCTGTTGCAAGTAATAGGGCTCAGCTGCCTGGCTAGCCACCTCATTGGCAAGCCACTCAGGTATCAATGGCCAGTCATGGAGCTGGGCTGGCTGGATCTGAAAATAAAACATCTCGCCGTCTCCAGTTCTTCACCATGCTTCTCTATCGCTCCTCCAGAGTCAGAAGCTTGCCTATATCTTCTCATTCCAAGCCACATCATCGCCTCTGACTACTGGAAGTATCAAGTCGACCCCAATATCAAGCAAGCATGCGTTTCTCGGGCGCCCTCATCTTTGGGCTCGCCATTAGAGGCAGTCTCCAGCAAACTCCTCCGACATCAGGTGCAGCTGCGCCGACCAGCGCGGCAGTGGCACCAACATCTGCAGCAGTAGCACCATCATCTGCTGTAGTGGCCCCCTCGAGTGTCCCTCAAGCTTCGAGTGCACCTCCGGCGTCAAGTGCTGCCCAACCCTCGAGTGTTCAACGGCAATCCAGTGCGCAGGCCCCGGCATCCTCTGCCGCTGCACCCAGCGTGGCCCCTTCGGCGAGCGGACCGGCAAGCCAATCTTCTGCGGCCGGAGCTTCGTCCCAGGTGGCACCCACTTCGGCGGGAGGACAAACTTCACGAGCGGCCACATCTGGCGCCCAGGCCACATCTGCGGTAATAGCACCATCCTCACAAGCACCTCCCACCTCACAAGCACCTCCGTCTTCACAAGTACCTCCGTCCTCACAAGCACCTGCATCCTCACGAGCACCCGCATCCTCACAAGCATCTGCATCCTCTCAAGCACCTCCATCCTCACAAGCGCCTCCATCCTCACAGGTTCGTCCATCCTCGCAGCCGCCTCCATCCTCACAACTACCTCCCACATCCCAGCCCACCTCCGTACCGAGAGCAACGTCGACTAACTCCCAGGAGGCCACCCAAGGTTCATCCGCTTCTAGAGGCTCCGGCACCACACTGGCCACGGCCACTTCTGGAGGATCCCAGACCGTCGGAGGAACCGCAACCAGCCGCTCCGGTTCCGCTGCCACGACGACAACCACCTCGTCTGCCACCGCCGCGGTATCCTCTGCCAAGCTGGACTCGGCGACCGTGGGTCAGAATGCCGTGGTGACGCAGGTCTCAGGAAAACCTGCAGTGTAAGTCCAAACATCAGCCATCAATCTCCATCGAGTGTCGTGAGCTAACATGAATTACCCAGTGTCATGAACGCACCAGCCAACGACAAATCATCCTTCACCGTCGAGGCCAAAAAACCCGACGACGTCAAGCCCGGCGAGAGCATCAGGGTCCTCGCCACCATCATAGTAGGGCCCTCAGGCAACGGCAAGCGAGCCCTCCTCGACCGCCGACAGTCCGGCGGCGTGTGCCAGCTGCAGATGCAGATCGACGGCACCTCCGTGTACGACGCCCAGGTGTCGGCCGCCGGCGCCGGCGGTGCCACGATGGACATCGCCACGAACGGCGCGCAGGCGGCCACGGACATGCCCAAGATCAACGTCACCCAGATCTGCGGGTCGACGCCTGTCGAGGTCACCGTCACCAACATGTTCGTAACGAGCGTCAACGGCGGCGTGATGAACCCGGATGTCGGCCCCAGCTCGACTGGCTCGGGAGGTGGTGATAACGGCGGGAGCACTACCTCGGGAACCAGGACTGGCTCAGCCACTACCAGCACTCAGAGTGCTACTGGTGGAGGTAACAACAATAACAACGGTGGCCATTCTGCTCTCGACGCTTCGCGGTCCTCCATCTGGGCTCTCTGCTTGATGGTCCCCGCCGTTGTTCTCGCTATCTGAGATGGACCGCAGTGAGTAGAGTAATCTGGTCGTATGCTATGCTCGCGACCTGATGTCAACACAATGTCCCCCTCGCCTGGCTTACAGGCTTAATGATGATGAAGTACGTATTCGACAAGACTAAATGACGGTCTTGTCACTCCACACTCCCTTGGAAGGATCAGCACATGGCAGCGGTGATTTGTTCCGTTTCTTTCTCTCTCTAGCGCGTCGGCATATCTTTCTTTCTTGGATTGGATTTCTTTTTGGGTCGTTTTTTTTGTTGACTGCATCTTTCCTTAACATGGCACCTGGCTTAGAGCCCGTTAGAAAGAAGAAGAATATACTCATGTTTCCGCCACGGGCAGCGGACTCCAACTCCATGTTGCAAATCTGGTGATCCCCAGCGCCGTGAATATTGTCATCCACCTCACCCATTAGGCCAGATGGCAGCCAGGAGCCAGTCCATTTGGAGAAGCTTCTCCGTTATCTTGGGCATGTCATTGCGCATGGATTGATCTCGGAAAGGGTTGCATCTGATCTGCTACCCCGCTCCAGTTCTGGATGAGACGACCTCGCGCTCTCCAATTGGAATGAGGATACCCGGTCTGCAGAGTGACGGATGAATGAAGAGCCAGAAAAGCGTCGAGATGTGCCGCCGGAAAGGAGCCGGAAGACAGCTGTAGTGCCCCGCCTCCGCACTAAACTACAGCGGCCTACAGGGGCCTGCGAGAGACTTTACAGGGGGCCTGCAGCGGGCCTCTCCCCAGATCCATCAACCCTGCATAAGCGGACGCGGCCATCTCACAGCCAAGGATGGATCTTCGCCCGCTGGTCCTTGCTTTCCAGCTTGCCAGTGCTTCGGAATGTGGTTACATTCGCGAATGTATTTCCTGGGATGTGCTCAATCCAGTAGGTCTGTTGGATTCTAGCCTTCGGTTGACCGGACTGGCGTGCGGTATGTAAAGGTTGAGCTGTCTTCCATCTCACCGCCCGGTCCATCTGCCTCTGTTCCCCCTACACAGGCCGCGTCAGATCACAACCAGGGCTCTGAGACAGAAAAAAACTCCAGCTCAACTCCAGCTCACCTTCCCTCGTGGGAGCCACCTCCGTCACAAGAAAGGCTCGACACACCCGGGCAAACCCGCCATTCCATTCTCTTTCTTTGCAGCTTTTAGTTGTTAGAAGCCGAGATGGACAAGGGCGAGGTCGCCGATTTGGCTTCCTTCAAGCATGTGGACGATCCGTCCCAGAATCCTGACAGCGGAGTAGCTGCGACTGACAGGTGAGTTGGATTTCCGTTCTGTGTTTCTTTTCTTCCGTTTCCAGGTTTCTAATATTTGCTGTGTTTGCAGATACGGCCATGCATTGGTGGAATATGACCCAGCGACCGAGAGGCATCTTCGCAACAAGATCGACCTCTACATCGTGCCAATCGTGGCCCTGCTCTATCTTTTCTGCTTCATTGACCGTGCAAACATCGGTAAGTAATCATACCGTCTCTACAAGAGACTAGCTGTTGCGTCGACTTGTAAACTAACCCATCGTGATAGGCAATGCCAAAATCGCCGGACTCGAGAAGGACCTCGGCATGAAGGGCTACGACTACAACGGCGTGGTCTCCGTCTTCTACGTCTCCTACATCCTCTTCGAGATCCCGCTCAACCTTCTCTGCAAGTGGATGGGCCCCGGCTGGTTCATCCCCATCACCACCCTCCTCTTCGGCATCGTCTCGCTGGGCACTGCCTTCGCCACCACGCTCGCCCAGCTCTCAGCGGTCCGCTTCCTCCTTGGCATCTTCGAGGCTGGCATGATGCCCGGCATCGCCTACTACCTCTCCCGATGGTACCGCCGCTCCGAGCTGGCCTTCCGCCTGGCCCTGTACCTGGTCATGGCCCCCCTCGCCGGCGCCTTCGGCGGCCTCCTCGCCTCCGGCATCCTCAGCCTCGAAAAGTTCGGCTCCCTGCACTCCTGGCGCATGATCTTCGCCATCGAGGGCATCGTCACCATCGGCCTGGGGCTCATAGGCCTCGTCTTCCTCACCGACCGTCCCGAGACCGCCCGCTGGCTCACCCCGGAGGAGAAGCGCCTCGCCGTCCTGCGCGTCAAGTCGGAGCGCGTGGGCACCACCACCGTCCTCGACAAGATGGACAAGCGCAAGCTCATCCTCGGCATCCGCTGCCCCGTCACCCTCAGCATCGCCGTCGCCTTCATGCTCAACAACATCACCGTCCAGGGCCTCGCCTTCTTCCTCCCCACCATCGTCGGCGGCATCTACCCGCAGGCCTCCACCGTCCGCAAGCAGCTCTACACCGTGCCCCCCTACATCGTCGGCGCCTTCTTCGTCCTCTTCCTGCCCCTCGTCAGCTGGAGGATCGACCGCCGCCAGATCCTCCTCATCGGCTCCGCGCCCCTCGTCATGGTCGGCTACTGCATGTTCCTCGGTTCCCAGGACCAGGCCGTCCGCTACGGCGCTACCTTCCTCATCACCAGCTCCCTCTTCGTCCTGGGTCCCCTCTCCAACGCCCAGGTCTCCGCCAACGTCGTCAGCGACACCGCCCGCAGCTCCGCCATCGGCACAAACGTCATGATGGGCAACATCGGCGGCCTCGTCAGCGGCTGGTCCTTCCTCCCCTGGGACGGGCCGGACTATCACATCGGCAACGGGCTGAACCTGGCCGCGGCGGGCACGGTGCTCATCGTGTGCTCCTTGACCCTGGTGTGGATGAACCGGGATAACAAGAGGCGCGATCAGCTTGACGTGGATGCCGAGTTGAGCGGGCTGACCGAGCAGCAGATCGAGGACTTGGACTGGAAGCACCCGGCCTTCAGGTGGCGACCATAGGTCGTTTCATAGCGTAGAAATGCAGACCCAGAGAGAGTGGTCGTTAAGGGTAGCAAAGGAGTGCGTAACCCGTCGTCTAGTTTTTATCAGAGCATAGGACCCAAATGGAATAAACAGGATGCGACGTTGCCTCGCACATTGACTTGTAATACTTCTTTTCATACACCATGCACAAGTGGTATCTTGCGTAGGTTGGACAGAGCTTGAGAACAGGCGGCTGCTACCTTGAGAACAGGCAGGCAGCAGCCGCCTTTCGCAACTTCCCATCACCTCCTCAGCCCCGAGGGCACTAAAGAGGCTAGAATTACCCTCTCCACAGCTTCGCGTGAAGCGACACTGCAGTGAGAGAAAAGTGATAACTTTCGTTACCGGGTTCACACAATTCACCCCAGCGTGAAGTGAGAGACAGCAAGCTGTCTCTCAACATCAGACCAGAGACAATAACCATAGAGGATTGTTGCCTTGGGAGACAGACAAACCTTATGGGTGGGATTACCCAGCTCATCCAATTGGAAGAATAGGGTGCACCAAGTCAGCGTCGGCGACAAGCCGGGATATCCTAGAGATAAGCTGCATAGCATAGAAAATGAAAAGACAACATGGGGACAAAGAAAAAAGGGGGAAAGTAAGCTTCAAATTCTATGTTAGTTAGTACCCGGACAGATATGCCGAAGCCTCCGACAGCAACAAGGGGCACCGGTAGGCTTCGCCGGTCTGGAACTCCCGAATGAAAATTCATCGTAATATACACATCTTATTTGATCCTTTTTGCCACTCGTTCGTTCGTGTCGAGTCCGTCCAATCCTATATCGTGACCGTCCGCAACGCCGAAAAAGTCAAAGTGGTATCATCGTACAAAATCGTCATGAAAATAGAGGAAAATCAACATGGGCAAGACGCAATGGGTCGACAAAGACAAGAGAATGAGGTCGAGCTTAATCCGAGCAGGGGCCGATGGTCTTCTCGTGAACATGTCGGAGAAAGTCTCTTTGCCTTCGGAAGGATGAGTAGTTGCCCTCTAAAATCACATCAAGGATACCACCAGTGGCCCGGCCCTCGCCGATCGACCTTATTCTTTCATTGAGAAGTGCGTAGGCTTCGTCGAACCTAGCTACGATAGACCGAGTATTGGAAGAACCGCCCGAGATGTCGTTAGACACATTGTTTGGGTCGATAATGGAAAAGCGTCCGTTATTTCTGTAGGTCAAGCTCGACACGTCCGACTAGATATGCGACTTCGTTAGCAATAAGAAACACCAATAAAACTCGGATGGAGCGGGACAACACGTTACCTTGCGGATATAGCCAATGCGCCTGCCTGTGAGAGAAATTGCGTTTTGCTCGTACTGAAAGTTACGACCATAGAGCTGGAAAAACTCCAGCAACATCTCTCCGAGGTGGTGTTCGGGTACCAAGTTTCGACTCTGCACTTGAGGCATGAGTTGCAACATACTGACGACCAGACAGATAACGGAAAATCCTCCGATGCCTCCGTTCACAGGCTCGTTGAGGCCTCGCATGAGGAGGAAATGCTTGATGACAGTAACAAGAATTGGCATGGCGGGATAGGTTGCCTTCCAGTTCAGGAAAGTGTCAACTGCCTCAACACCGCCGAGATTCTCGAAAGAAACATCTACCTTGAGGCCAGTGGCTTTATCAACAAACTTGACCAAGGGAATGCGAGCATGGGCAATGACCTCGATCGCATCGTCCTCTGCGACCTTCTGCGCAGTCAAGAGCTTCCTGAATTTGTAGAGCCAATTCTTTGCGCTCAAGTAAGTAGGTGGGCCGCCACGGGAGAAACTGGCCGAGCAAATAACAAGATCCATGTCAGCTGTTGGCAGGTAGAGTTCCGACATGAAAGAGCCGAATGGATGAACAGTGGCACTAGCAAAGTTTCTACCATCGCGGCGCATAGCTCGTCTCAGGTTTTCGACTAGGTTTTCGCGAATCTTCTGCTCAAACTTTCGTGGGCGAACGAAGTTGTAAAAATCCATCACTTCTTGGTGTAGACTATTGGTAGGCATGTGTTAGAAAGATAGTTTTCTTGGAACAGCGGGCATCATCCGACATATCGCTTGTTTAGGGATGGAAAACTCACCGGAAGGCTAGGCTAGCTGTGTCGGAGTGATCATCCGTGGCCCAAGGGCACGGTGGTTCACCCTTCACGATAGCCCAATCCTCAACGATAGCACCATTGGCCGGCCGCATGTTGGCTTTCTTGAGCTGCCCGTAATCCGGCGGCTTGATCTCGTCGTCTGCTGTACGTTTTCGGGATCCTAGATCGTTTCGGGAGTCTACGTTATAAACATTGGGGCGCTGGCTTTTTGGTCCGGTTGGCGGAGGGGGAACGGAGCTCGAGGCAGCTGGTAATGACGAGCCTTTCACTTTGAAGTCTGCCTGGCGGGGTTGTGTAGGTGGCGGAGGAGGTGAGAAGCGGGGAGGAGGCGGCGGCGGCGGCGGCTGCTCGACTTCCGCTTCACCTTCGTCGCTACTCGAGTCAAACGCAATAAAATCTTCTACGTCTGGAGGAGCAGACTGGCTCTGTGCGGCGTCGTTTCTCGCTTTCCGAATCAGCGCAACCACGTCCTTCTTCTTACCCAGAGTCTCGTCAGGGCACGGGAGAGCAGTATAAGGGTCAGGGTTAGACCACTTCGGTGTAGAGTTTGACACATCGCCGTTCGTGGCTGCGGAGGTCTTGACACGCTTCTTTGCAGGCTCTTGGGAATCGGTGTCGTAATCGAGGTCGTCGGCTTCAGAATCGGAAGAAATGTCCATACCTTGCTCTTCGTCTTCGTCAGTGAGATCATCGAGGTTCCGGAATTTTGCAGCAGCGTCGCTATCGATGAGACTTTCTTCCGGAAGGTTGTGTATTGAGTTGGAGAGAAGGGCACGCTCGGACAAATGAGGGGGTACCCAGCGTCGTCCACCTCGTCCGCCTCGTCCACCTCGCCCCCGTCCCCCTCGCCCATCCCGTCCGTCTCGGCCATCTCGACGAGGTCCTCTATCATCCCTTCGATGGCTGTCAAACGAGGGAGGAGGGTATGAGGGAGGAGGAAGCTCAGCTACGCCGGCTGGCTTATCGAAGCGGAAAGTGAAGTCGCCCTGGGGAGGCTTGATTGAGGCGTCGTCTCCACGACTGAACATGTCTGTTATACGAAGCTGCTCGCCGCGTCGCCCATTGATTGGGCGCCAACTGTCGCCTCCGTTCATTCTTCCACCCCCAGAGCGGTCGCGTCCGGATGGGCTCGCCGGGCGTCGTGGCGGCGATGGCGACCGAGGAGAGCGCCTCCTAGAACCACCACCTCGAGGTCGCGCATCGCCTTTTCGAGGCCTGCTGCGGGCCATGACGATAAATATGGTAGAATCACTGTGTGCGAATACAGGGAGGCGCCAACTGTGAACTATGCGACTACGGCTCAGATATAATCAACAAGTTTACGAACCAAAGAGTGGATGCAAATGGAAGGTAAAGCGCGACAGGCGCGTTGATGAGCAGAAAATTCAATTTACGAAAAAACATGTGGAGTATCGCCGGAAATACTTTTAGTGATACGCACTTTCCCTCCACGTGGTCCGGAAAGAGCCTAGCTAGAATTTCTGATTACATCAGCGATGCTTATCGGTTAAGTCCCGGCTAAGCCTCACTACAGGGTAGGTGCTTTCTTCAGCTGCGAGACGAGTGACGCACTCTTCCTCCTCCTGTCCTCAGCACCAACCAGAGCTTGACCAGCCGTTCAAGGGTCGTGGGCAACGACCTCGAGCTCCACATTCATGTCAGGAACACCCAGCTGCCTGACTCCGATCTGAGTCCAGATAGGTTTGTGGTCGGGCATCCATTTGCGGAAGTTCTCTGTCATGAGAGCCGTGACCTCAGGCGTTAGGTCTGTGTGATAGGAATTGATACGGAAGACCTGCGACCAGCCCTTGCCGCCTGCGTCACGCAGGTTCAGGTCGACGTTCTTGAACGCCTGAGCGATCTCGTCGGCGATTTTCTTTGGAAAACTAAGTCCTGACTCTGCGTCCATAGCCCAGCCACCTAGAGTGTATTGTATCAGTAAAAGTTGGCCACTCAAGAAAGTTTGTGGGCTAACATACCTTGGCCTGAGCACTCGATGCGATCACCAATGCGGATGGCCTGGCTGTACCCGAGATTGTCTCGTACATACTCCCCGAACCCAGGATAGACGCTGTACTTGAGATGAGACATGTTTAGTTTTATATAAATTATCTGTGAGGCTAGCCCTGTTGAAGGTGGTTTCTTCGTAATGTATCGTGTGAAGTGATGATGTTCAGTCGGGATGATTGTGTATAATGCTACGAGTTGGAACATGGCCAAAAGATGCACAGCAAGAGCTCCCTTTTATAGATACTGATCCTGAGTCCGTCATGGCGACATATGGCTTACGGTTGTTGGCTTACGGTGGTGGAGAGGGCGCTGATAAATCGCAAGCAGATTCATAATGCATAGAATTGCACTGATTGGTGCCAAGACGAAGCGATCGCCAAGCCAAGTTGATCCGTCGCCGCCTCAAAGCCGGATGAATTCGGGAAGTAAATCTGTTGGTGATGCCCTCAAGAATCAACTACCCTAGACAGCAACACTCTTTCCTGCTCTCCATCGCCTCTCTCCCTCATTGTAGCCCAAATACTTGATATTACACTTTGATTGAAAAAAAATTCCATCGTAGAGAGTGGTCATACAAATGTCCTCTGGCAAGTTTGCGCTCTGAGTCAATTCAATCCTCCCGTTTGGGTCACCGGACAGCTTGATGCCAGCATGCTTCCGCAGGTGCCATAAGATGGTGATTCGGAACGGATAGATCCCGAGAGATGCTTGCCAACTTGCCGTCCTTTTGAGTCAACGGCTTGGTGCAGCTTGTGGGCAATGTAAGGCAGACTATCAGGATGCACTCTGCCTTCAACAAAACCAGGTGCCGCTTAGTGAGAATCCCGGCCAGACTAAAGCGGGCTGAGCCAACATCCAACCGCTTGATGTAGGCTGTGCAACACATCTCCAACATTCGGCGCGTATAGGCAAGGGCCTCTTGGGCTGATGACAGACAAGGGGAGCGAAGGGGCCAACACGTTAGAGCAAACGCGGAAAGCTGCAGCGGCCTGCGAAGGCGCGGTGATGGGTCGAAATGAGTCAGTTGGCCGAGCTGACAGTAGTGGTGCTCATGCTCATAAAGACCAGAACTCCCACGCAAACCACGGTGAAGACAACCACCGGAATCAATCAAAATGGCCTCCGATTTCGACGAAGACGAGTTGATCCAGCTCGCGTTCCTCCGCGACGAGGAGACTGATGCCCTCATCTCCGCAGGCTTGCTGAGCGAGGACTTGCGTCTCACCTCTCCTCTCGACGACGAGGTCGTCTTCTCCTTTGAGGAACTTGTCCTCACCGTCACCTCACATGTACACTATCCTGTGCGAGATATCGATTGCCATGTGGAAAACATCAACCTTCCTCGCGAGGTCGTGGACGTGCTCCGCCGTCAATTGAAGCAAATCATGACCAGCGCCCAGGAGACCAACAATTTGAAGAATTGGCAAGACCGAGAAAACGGAAATGCCTACGGCGTATTCGAGCCTGTTATGGCCATCCTGCAACTCGCGCAGACAACAGCGCACTACCTCGCCGAATACCGTTCACTCAAGCTCACCAAGGACGCCCCATCCGACGACACACCAGACGAGCACCTCTGGTTCCTCCCAAACGCAAAGCAGCCCGTCCAGATCGCCAGCCTGGTCCCTTCGTCGACTACAGAGCTGGCCTACCGCCTCCTGCACACCTCTCCCAAGCAGGTCGCCGCCCTCATCCCGGGCGAATTCCGCGTCGTCCACGTCGAGCAGGTCCTCCGAACAGACCTCGCCCGCGACTTCGAGCAGTTCCAGAGCAGCGTGCGCAGAAAACTGTCCCGCCTCCCCCACGATCAGCTCCGGCGCCACATCCCCGTCGAGCTCCGCAGCCGCCGCATCGAGGACATGGTCGACCACCTCGTCAAGCCCCGCCTGACCTTTCACGGCACCCAGTGCCAGAACGTGCCCAGCATCGTCCGCCACGGCTTCGTGGCTCCCGGCGCGCGCAACCCGGAGCAAGGGGCAGCGCAGAAGGTGCGCTGCGGGTCTACCTACGGCCGAGGGATCTACTCGTCGCCCAGTGCCGCTTTCTCGCTTACCTACAGTGATGGTAAGCTGGTGCGGGACTCGAACAAGGAGTTTTCTGGGCTTAAGCTGATCGTTTGCGCGACCATCATGGGTCGGCCGCGTGTGATGTTCCGAGATGATGAGTGGCGGGCCGAGGACAAGGCGTGGGAGGGCGCCGACTCGCATGTAGCCAATGGGGGAATGGAGTACATTGTCTTCGATGCTGCTCAGATCATCCCTGTTTATGTTGTTCACCTGGATTGGGGAGCCGACAACGCAGAGCACCTCCTCCCCGGTGCGGACAGCTGGGGTAATTCGTCGGATCGGTGGAAGCGGCTTGTCCGCAAGGCCGAGATGGCCCCCGGAGACAGGCAACGAGCGAAAGAGGCCGTCTTTGCGCGCGCAGCAAAGTACTTCCCTTACGGCTACGGCCCTGCATCCGGGAAGAGGTTTGTGGTGGAGGAGGTGGGTGAGGTATCTGACGACGAGGAGAACTACGGAGATTACCAGAACCTTGAAGAAGATGAGACCGCCGAGAACACCGAGTTTTGGTCTTGGGTCAAGGCGGGGGAGATGGAGGACGATGACCCTCTGATGGAGGGGATGCACAATGCGGATGAGTACCTGGAGAAGCGCCATGCTCTGGTGATACCACAGGGCTTTGCTCGCACTGCTGATGCCTGGGATAGCCTCGAGGTACCAAAGTCGAAGAAGGATGAGACTGGCGAGAAAGAAGGAGAGGATGTGGATGATGATGATCTCCATCTCGACCTGTTAATGATGGATTTGAATGGCGAGACAAAAAATGATGATGCTGATGATACCCCAAGCTACGAGGAGCTCCAGCCCTCGATGAACAAGAACCTCTAGACTAGTGTTATTAATACAATGATTATTGTATCTATCTATTTGAAGATTGTAACGAGAGATTCGGTGGTTGCTAAAGCGAGCTTCTTAGTTGCAACAACACTCGCCAAATCGAGAGAGTCGACACATTTCGCCTGCTTTTGTTTATCACACTAGAGTTAGACACTGACTGTGTAATATTTAGTTGCTTCACTGTGACTCTTCAGAATTGCAACCTGGGCTAAATATGTGATTCGGAGGTTAGGAAGTGAGAGCCAATGGGCTGCCTTGACAGGAACGTAACCGGCTTATGCACTGAAATACTCACATCGGTGATGGAAAATAGTCGAGGAACGGATTTGAATTGCTTCTGCTGCAAATTAATAACCCCCTGGGAACCAAGTCCCTACGGTAATCTTTCATTCTGATCTCGCTTCTTTCCGACTTACTGCCAGAAATGCACTGCGAGCCTAACACATGCTTAAGAAAAACCTCACTCGTCTTCACGCAACGAATATGAAAGCCTAGAAATCACCCGTCCAAGTGGAAGATCCAAGACGGATTCCTTCCCATCACGTAGTTGCTGCGCGAGACATATGTTAGACCCATTTCGGTAATCGAGCACTTGATCATTTTTAAAAGGCCATTTGTTCGCTCTCGGCCTGCTAACATACTTCGTTCCTGCAATCAAAATTCAATAGATGCCGATGGCATACTTCTGCATGTCGTTGCTTAATCTCATCCGTGACTCTCCTGTCAGAGTAAATACTTTTACGCCGCTGCTCTGGAATTAGGCTCCAAACGATGCTCCAAACTAAACGCCGAGTGAAACTGAAACTTGAATTCCTGCCCATCCCACTACCAAACAAGAAGTGAAAATCAAACGCACGAGTCCCGGGGTCTTTTGTAATCTACAAGTAGCTCGGGTACCGGAACGTCCTTTCATCAGCGACGGTAGCCGACCCTGCCAAACGCCCACATGGTGTCCATCATTGAGCCGTACTCCGGCCCAGGATACCCATAAGGATCTCCTCTCGGACCCCGACCATGACCCCCATCCCACATGTCTTGAGGCATGTAGCCCGGTTCCGGTCGTCTAGGAGGCGGGATGACCCTCCCATAGGCGCTCACGCTCTCTGTTGGATACTGCATGGCAGGCGAGGGAGACAATTCGGTAATCATCCGTGCGGGAAGCGTATCCTGGACGAGTGCCACCCTGGAATTCACCATGGAGGACAGTGCCGTCTCCTGGCTGCTTGTGCTGCGTCGAGCGATGGCGGCGTCAACCAACGCTTCGATATCCGATTTCAAGTCTGGAGACTTGCTGCGTGTCTTGTCCTTCTCATCATCGTCCGTCTGAGTCCCCGAGTCTCGGTAGTCAACTTTGGCTAAGCAGCCCTCATCAACCATTCTAGGCCGTTTGGGCCTAGGCATCCCAGAGCGGCTGGCTTGTCTTTTGCCCAGAGTTGAAAGCGGCCGTAAAAGGTCGCGGTTAAGAGGCGTGGCGTGCCTCGCGGGCTCGGGTTTGGGGCGCACGATGGGCTGCGGAGCAGGCGCCGCAAGAGGCTCAGAATCGTCAACTTCGGCCTTCTCATGTTGGGAGACGTCGCTCAAAGACCATTCAATCGGCTCGATCTTCAGCTTTGGCGACCCCTTGGCACCACCCTCCTCGTTCGACTTGGGAGAGCCTTGGTTCTCAGCAGCCATTGCACGTAGCTGCTCCTCGGCCCACTCGTCAAGATATCTTCTGGATACGTGCTGGGCATAAAGGTCACCATCGCGATGGCCCAAGACCGCTCTCGCTGCTTTTGCTGCGAGATATGATGCCAGGTCTGGTTTCGCCTCTTCTTCCGTCGCGTCGAAAAACCTCTGGAACCGCTTGCTCATACCATGGGCTGACCAAGTTCGTGCAGAGGAAGGCCTGTAGCGTTCTAGGTTTTGAACGATTTGGTTGTAAAGAAGCGGGAGCTTCTTTGCCTTTGGATGAATATGATTGATGATTGTTTGGTGGAATTCCTGATTTGCCTGTTCGGCCGTAGGCTGAAGGTCTTCGGGTTCCTGCGACATTTCGAATTGGATTTATATCTCCTATTGAAGGCGTTGCGTTTGAAGAGTTGGGGCTAGAAAGGCTGGGAGCTTTCAGGTTAACAGGAGATGTATGAAGGAGGTGAGAGGGTGTATGAGTCGGGGTTATGAGGGGTCTGAGATTAAATACACGCTCTCGGAGAGGAGTGGCTAGCGAGAAAAACAGCAGGAAAGAGGGAGGTTATGCAGATATTTGTCTGATCTTGTGTGTTTAATGCGTGTTTGTTGTGCACAGGATGTGTATTGGGGTGGTTGTTGGGCTCTCTTTTGCGTAGGTCTGTCTGGTTTTGGGGCCTAGATGTGAATATTTTGGGAGGAAGATCACGTAAAATTCGCCTATGATTTCACCTACGGTTGTGAATTTCACCAATATTAGAAGTGCTGGAGGGAACTGAGTCTATTTGATGGCTATGCCGATTGGAACGGTACGTAGTTATCGTGGGCTGATCAAAATGAAAAGGATTGGTTCTCTAGAAACCGAGGGCCTAGCAGTTGAAAGGCAGTCTACCGGGATGATGCATGCTTGTAAAGGGTAGCTGCCTTGAGCCTGGAAGCTTTTATCGGAGAGGAAGAGCTTAGTAGCCATGTTTATTTCGAAGCCTAAGCGAAATGGCTGGAAGAATGGCCAGCGCAGTGAGAGCGGTGTACGACATCAGATCTGCCGCGGTAAGCTATTATGAGCCATTTAAGCGTGTGTTGATAAAAATTAGTAAGAAATCACATAGAGAAATGGAAATAGAGGAGTCGTTTGACTTTCACGATGGTTGGTGGCGGCGTCGTGGACACGATGAGTTGGCGCTGCTGGTGGGAGATGAGAAGAGGGGTATCACGTGATCACGAATCAGAGCCCCGTTCTCTGGTGACTCCTGATGCCACAAGCCACACACCAGCCACAATCTAGACTGTGGCGGGGCATCGGGCCCAGAATCCACCTCGCAGCGTGTCGTTTTCAAACTACCCCCCGCCATTCCTTCGAAAGAATCGACGTACCTCCTGCAGCCTTCCCGTCTGGAATCGTACCTACTGACGTGAGGTTGCAACACCGATCCGGACATGTCCAGCCTACTCTCGGGAATGTGAGTCCTGCCCTCCCCGTGCACCCAGGCCGCCCGCCGCACCTGCACCGCCGCTTTGGGCCTCGCTAACTCCTTTTCTCTCAGCAACGCTCGCTTCAGGGGCGCGGGGCGCACTGGCAGAAGCCCCGGTCCTGGGTCAGAGGGGCCTTCTCAACCGCCCGCCGCTCCGCCACCTCCAGGCCCAGCGACCACTGCGTCGTCATCCATCGACGGCCCGGTCTCGAGCTGGCCCAGGCCTCTGCCCGCCTGGCTGAACCGTGCTTCGGCCAAGCACATTGTCAAGGGCAACTTCATGACCCTCAGCGCTCGGCCGAAGACGGTTGAGCCAGGCGAGTGGATCGCTCATCAAGGTTCGTCAATCTCACTGCCCGCTGCCTACTCGCTTGCTGATTGAGGCTATCTCTCATCTAGTGGTTGAACATTATCGTGTGCTCTGGAACTTTGTCCGTGTCATCCACGAGAAGGACGATGACGGCAAGACCATCTGCAACCGCACAACCTGCCCCAAGATGTCTGCAGGAAAGTGAGTTCTCCTATCCTTTGTCTGATTGAGATTCGTCGTGAAAGCCCTGCCGTTACTGCATCTAGGTCTCTAACATGCAAGCAGGAACCACTCCTACACCTGGTTGAACAAGAACCACGAAGCGGTTGAGCTACCAGCGTACGAGTACATCACTCTCATGCAGCGATGGATTGCCGGGAAGGTCGACGACATCAATGTCTTCCCCACCGACCCAGCGGGCGTCTCCTACGCCGCGGAATCCGCACCCGCCGAGGATGACTGGGTCGGTCGACGCTCTGGTTTCCCTAAGGAGTTCCTAGGCATCTGCCGCACCATCTTCCTCCAAATGTTCCGGGTCTACGCCCACCTGTTCTGGGACCACTTCCTGGAGCCGTTCTACCACCTCAACCTCGAGAAGTCTCTCAACAGCTGCTTCAGCCACTTCATCCTCACCGCCACCACCCTCGACCTCTTGAAGCTGGAGGACATCGAGCCCATGAAGCCTCTCATCGACCTCTGGGCTGCCGACGGCACCTTCCCGCCTGAGTCCAAGGCGTATACCTACGCTGATGTTGAGCAGGGCAAGGAGCTTATGGAGCTCAGCGCCGCCGCTTAGCTTACTGCTTCCATGGGTAATACAAGGGCCCTGAGAAGTTTGATGGTATTATATAAGGTACTTAGCCAGATGGGTGCCTTGGATAGGGCACCTTTGGATACGATACTCATGATCATAGCGCTGCTACCAAATTCATAGCCAAATTCAATTTTCCAAATGCAATTACCGCTTGCTACTAACGACGTGCCATAAGACCGTGATACTATTGCTGCCGGGGCCGGCTCCGGGGAGGTCCCTCTGCCTCGCCTTCATCATCTGCGTCCCGAGAGCGCCTTCTGTTCTCTAGACCTGCCGCCTGCTCTTCAACCTTTTTCTGTATCCGCTGATACCTGACCTTGACCCAATCAAATATCCAGGTCTGTCCCGATTCAGGTGTGGAGCGCGCCTTTTCAAACTTCTTGATCAGCTGGCGATAGTTTGGCAGTTGATCAAAGCGCAAATTCCGTGCATGCTCCATAAGGAAATGCACCTCCGGCAGCTCGGAACAAAGCTCGTCCAGCGTGATCTTCGCCCGCTGCTCCAGGCACAGGGAGTCTCTCGCATCCCCCCACGGCAAATCACCCTTGGATAGCTCGATAAGAGTGAGGCCCAGGGACTCGAGGTCGTCTCGGTATGATCTCGCTACGGAAAAAAGCTGTCAGCACATCCTTACTTACGTTCTCGCCCTTCTCATTAAGCGCTCTAAGCGCTGGGGTGCCATACTTCTTCCTCGCAGAGCTTCCAGAGGTGCGTAGCACGGTGTACCTAGCAGGCCGCCAACCCTTTTCACCTTCTCCTTGTGCTTGACCTCTTCAAATGTCTTGGCAAGTCCGAGATCAATAAGATACAGCGTGTTGCCGTTCTTGCCAGACCCCATGGCGAAGTTGGTCGGTTTGATGTCGTTATGGATGATACCCTTCTTATGAAGACCTTGCAGGCGCTTGAGCGCCTGGATGGCGATGTTGCATAGAGTATCTAGGGTGAAGGAGTATTTGCAGTACTCCCACAAATTCCATAATGACGGGCCAAGCAGGTCCGTCACCAGGGCATCATACAGCCCGCCTCTGGTCGTGCCCGTCCAATGCAGTTTGGGGTAGCTATGGGGAGGGAGCTTGCGGTATAGCCGTCCCTCAAGCTTTACCGTCTCCCCCCTGCGGGACGGTGAGCTGACCCCTTGGTTGACCTCCTCAAGTTTGATAGCCACTTGTTGATTGGTTTTCTTGTCGGTGCCTTGGGAGTTGCGTGTCAGTTTCTGTCGCTTGGGAAAGTCTGCGTGCGTAGACGAGGTGCGAGGCATGCTTACTCACCTACGTACACGCGGCTGTAGCCTCCAGAAGCAATTTTGTAGTCTATACGGAACCTTCCGTCGGCGATTGTGATTTCCTGGTTCTGCTGGTTTTCCTGGGTCTCCTGGTTCCCCTGGCTCTCCAGGTTCTCCTGGTCCTGTTGGTCCTGCTGGGTCTCCTGTGTTTGCTGGGTCTGCTGAGTCTGCTGAGTCTGCTGGTTCTGCTGGTCCTGCTGGTTCTCCTGGTCCTGCTGGTCCTGCTGGGTTTCCTGGCTCTCCTGGATTTCCTGGATTTCCTGGGTTAGACTGCGCTCATCGGAAGAAGTTGACGATGGAATGGGCCGAGATACTTGCCGTCATTGTTTACTGTTCAAGCAGATCGTTCAGCGAGATTTTGATGCCTTGGCTGTCGCAAGTAGTTAAATTGAAAGTTCGTCGTGAGGATACTTGGAGAAGCTCGAAGAGCCAGACTTTTCTCCATCTACCTACTAGAGATCAACTATTTATGGCTAATCCGTCTACTTCTCTGGCTATTCAATCCACAGCAGTATCTATTCTACGATCAACTATCCACTGGAGATCTCAAAGTGCTTAGTTCCCATACACAAAGGCGTTTTGTTCCTCGGACCAATCATTGTTGAGCTTTGTGTGCGCGAAAGGACAAACAAGCGGCTCATTCTTCGATCAAGATCATATCTGAGATTGGGAACATACCGACGTAGACGAATTGTGACGAACAAAGCTTGACGTGACTAGACTCGACTTTTATTTTCGACGCCCATGGTCGACGTCTGTTCTACTCTCGACGTCTATTTTCTACATCACGAGGGGCCAATGCGTCTCTATTCTCGGATCCCGGGGTATATCATGGAGTCGACGGCCAGCTCTTCACGGATGATATCCCCATATCCTCTTTTGATTCTAATCCCACTCATACCCGTTGCCACGTAGCACTAGACAGCTGCTGTGAATAATCCCCAAAATACGGAATACATAAACTAAAGAGATAGATACAACTCCCCACCATGGCCACTTTGCCAGTCGAAGAGGTAGTGCTCACCGAGGAGGTCCTGGAACGCTTTGAAGAGAAATTTCAAAACAGGAAATGGGACACCTTTGAACTCCCAGACGGTCCCCTGCCCACCCTCGAGAGGTTTGCAAGACATGGAGGTCCGGATCTCAGCGATCTGCGATTTGTAAGTAGCTGCCCCTGACCATTCTCCTCTCATACCACCTTCCTACTCTTCCCTCATCCTCATCCTCATCACTGACATGCCGTTCGTTCACAGGACAACGACGACCCCAACTCTCGGGAAAAGCCCCGAAGCCGCTCACTTGGAGTAGGCCCACGTTCACAGGACAACGAGCTTCCCAACGCTCGGGAAAAGCCTCCAAGCGGCCCAGTTGGAGGAGACGGCCCAGATGGAAAAAGCGGCCCAGTTGGACCGTCTAGCAACCACTTCGAGGGTATCCTCACCTCGTACAACATACAGCCTCTAGGGGAGGTATTATCAGAGCAGCAAGAGGCCACCCACGATCTGGACCGGATGGAGGCCTGGGTCAGAAACACCCTGAGCGAAACCGAGGTGCCTCACACCCCCCAGTCCAGACAAGCCTTCCTGCGTTTCCGCCCCCTCGGCGCATCCTATCTGCCTGGCAACGTCTTCGACGACTTCTCCCAGTACTTCTGCCTCCGGAGATTCACCGATGACAAGCCATCCGTCTACACGAGGCAAGAACTCAAGTTCAGCCCCGAGGCCTCAATGACGGACGGCAACACCGAGCCCGCCGTGGCCCAGTTCTGCGACGGCTCCGACGTCACCTACCTCACCCAGGACCTCCACCGCCAGCTGGCCGCCCTCGTCGACCCCAGCACGGACTCGGAGGGCCCCATCGCTCCCAACTTCTTCCTCGAGACGCAGACGCCCTCGGAGCCGCCCGCGATCCTGAGGAACAAGGCCCGCGAGGTCGGCGCGTACGGCGCGAGGGCCATCTACACCCTGCGCGGGCACGCCGACGAGGATAGCCTCCGCCGCCGGGACCGCAACGAGATGCTCGCCTTCACGGCCACGTTCGAGGACGGCAACCTCAAGCTGTACGGGCACTCGGTGGGATCGGCCCGGGCCGGCAGGCAGCAGTTCCGGATGCGCCTCATCGCGTCGTTCGCCGTCGACTCGGACGTCGAGACGATGAGGCGGGCGTCGAAGCTGCTGTGGGGGCTGAGGGAAGAGGCTATGAGGCTGCGGGATGAGGCGGTCGAGGATGCCAACAGGCGGCATCAAGAGGATGAGGTGAGTCGAGACTCGATATTCATTGGGTATGATGTATTAAATGATGACGATGACCAGGCGCCTTGAGATGTTTTGGTAGATGGGATGGGTGTTTGTTGTCTTCTCATTACCTATATTTTGTTTGGCGCTGTCCAAGTTTTCTTCCATGTATATTTGCGCAGAACAGTGTATCCTGTATATCGACATGTTCTCATTTGTGTAATTCACACTTCACGATGATGCTCCCACCCCAGTTCACTGATTCATTCCAACATGGCCTAACCCTCCTCCCGTCTCCCATCAGGAGCATGGGAGGCCGACGCTAGCAAATTAAAGAGGGAATCCTGACAACAAGCTCAGCTCATCCCTGTTCCTTATCGCGAAGTGGGCTGTTGTCAAATTCCGACGGCTCTTAATCGCCCGAAAATGACGCCATCAACAGATCTTCGTGTGATCTGCTCCGACATACCGCCAAATGCCAGTGTGAGTCTTTCAACAAGGATTGCCATGCTGCGTGGTGTAAATGCCTGTATCATCTCTACATTCTACTTATATACAGAATTGCTCAAAATATAGAAACAGGTAGGCAGACGAGACAATTGAGAGAACCAGCAAGAGGGAGAGAGCACAGAAAAAAACCCATACTAAAAAAAAAAATGCTGAACAAAAAGATACTACGCAAAAAGTGGTTCGCCATAGTCACATGCAACGCGGTGTCCTTTCTCCCCCTTGCCTTCCCTAACAATGCTCCCATCCGCATCATTGACCCTTTTCGCCATTGTTCCTTCTCTTTCATTTAGTCATTCATGCCTCTTACCACTTGTTGACCTTCAACATGCTGCCCTGCTCCTGGAGGGCCTTGTGCAGGTCGAAGCTGTTGAAGAGGAGGTGGGGCTCGTGGCCCATGCCCTTGCGCAGGCACTCGCTCTCGGCCTTCTCGTAGTAGTGGGTGAGGATGGGCTGGTACAGAGGGTGGGCGCACTTGTTGATGATCTCGCGGGCGCGCTGGCGGGGAGCCAGGCCACGGACATCGGCGAGACCGTTCTCGGTCACGATGACGTCGAGGTCGTGCTCGGTCTGGTCGACGTGGGTGCACATGGGCACGATGCAGGAGACACCGTGAGGGTCGGTCTTGGAGGGACGGGTGGAGGGCGTGTGCATGATGGAGTACTTGGAGGAGCGGAGGAAGTCGGCGGAGCCACCAAGACCGTTGAGCATGCGGGAGCCGTTGACGCAGGTAGAGTTGGCGTGGGCGTAGATGTCAACCTCGACGGGGGTGTTCATGCCGATGATACCGAGACGGCGGATGACCTCGGGGGAGTTGGAGACCTCCTGGTTACGGAGGAGGATCTTGGAGTGGTACTTGTCCCAGTTGTCGTAGAAGCGCTTGAAGCCGTCGGGAGAAAAGCGGACCGAGGTGGCAGTGGCGAAGTCGAGCTTGCCAGAGTCGAAGAGGTCCAGGAAGGTGTCCTGAATGACCTCGGTCCAGACGGTGAGATGCTTGAAGTTGGACTTGTCAAGACCGCCAATGATGGCGTTGGCAACGTTGCCAATGCCGGACTGGAGAGGCAGCAGGTTCTCGGGGAGACGGCCGTTCTTGACCTCGTGCTCGAAGAACTCAATCAGGTGGTTGGCAATGCGGACAGAGGTCTCGTCGGCATCCGTGTTGGGGCCAGTCATGTCGCGGTAGTCAGCTTCGACGATACCAATGATCTTCTCAGGAGGGATGGGCAGAGAAGTAGAGCCAATGCGGTCCTGGACGCCGGTGATTTGATAGGGCTTGCGGTGAGGGGGGAGCTCTGTAATGGTGATGTCGTGGAGACCCTCGAAGGAGGGCAGAGAGGTGTTGACCTCAATGATGACCTTGTCGGCAGCTTGGACAATCTCTGGGGAGGCACCGACAGAGGCGCCGAGAATGATGCTGCCGTCCTCCTTAACATCAGTCGCCTCAATAACGGCGACGTCCAGACCGCCGCCACGCTCCTTGCTGTAGTAACCCTGGAAAAAAGTGTTAATTCGTGGACCAACAGGCGCTTGGGAATGCCAATTGCGACGCTCAATTGACGACGCAATCGCAAAAGAAAGGCTCCGGGCTTACGTAGAGAAGATCAAGCGGGAACATGGACAGGTGCTTGTCGAAAAAGTCGATGCGACCCTCGTTGATTCCCTTGGAGATGGCCTTGCCGACCTGGTGGGGGCTTCGCTTCTGGATCATGTCCAGCTCCGCCCAGCGGTTCTCGGTCTCGACACCGGACGAGGCACTGACGAAGAGGTTGTACTTGAGCTTGCCCTGGAGGTTGTTCTGCTCGACGTGATCGGCCAGGAAGGTGGGAACTTTCCTGCAGGGTTGCACAAGAAGGGTCAGCACTTGCGATGATACGTTGCAGCGAGGGGGAGGGCAGAGACGGCCCCAAAACTTGGCGGCGCGCTGGGAAGCTCTGCGGGGAGAAAGAAGGGCGGGAAACTCACTTGGGATATCCAACACCGGTGAATCCGGACCAGCCAATGTAGGCGCCATGGGGGAAGTGGTGCAGCAGGTCCTCGGGCTTGCAGACCTTCTTGAGCAGGCTGGGCGAGCGAACGCGGGCCTTCAAGGCGGCCGAGGCGATGGGAGAAGCCATTGTGTGCGTCGGGGGCGAGAGCGGAGAGTGGGAGGAAGGGCTGCAGACAGCGGGAGGCAACGAAGACTGGAGATCGCAGGTTCGTGGGAGAGGATGAGGAGAAGAAAGGAGAGAAGGGAGAGGGATTTCTCAGGCCGCACACAAAGTTCACGATCAGACGACATGCCGGGGGAGCTGTTAATAAAGGTGGTGCCCATGACATGCAAATGCAGGCGGGACCCACGATTGAGGTGGAGCGAAGTTTGGGTGCTCTAGCCTCTACTAAGGTACCGTAGCTGTGCACTGGCTGTTTGCGCTGCTCTAGGCCCATCTGGCGGAGATTCGGATCCCGTGTAGTGGGTGGGGGTACTTGGCTCACAGGTACCTCCGGCTGGGCTTCAGGGTCTCGGCCATTACGTCGTCGGCGCTGGAGCCCTGCACGTAGCGGACGGGAGCTGTCTCAGGGCAGCCGGAGGTACACAGGCAGTATCGCATACAACACCAGCCCTCATGTACGTCTGTATATGCGGTTGGAGATACGTCTCATTGGGCCTTTTGGCGTCTGCATGCACTCCGCATCTTCATGGACCGTCCAGAATGGCCATCCTTGTCTTTTCCGGAGTAGCAGGCACACGTCTCACCGGCCGGCGACTGAGGCGGCTCAGCTAGCAGGTACTTGGGCCTGGGGTCAAAGATGGGGAAGCGAATTCACCGAATCACGAGGCCCGGCTATACAAGCAGAGCCAAGAAAGACTCTGCTTGCCCCTCTCGAGCCCGTTTAAGGCCCATCGGCCGTGACGAATAGCCGGGAATGCTGGTCTTGCTTCGGTATTGTCTGGCCAAACAGAGCGTGTTGTGGGAACCGGGCTTCCCTTGGACCGAGTCTGGCGGCCGGCGGATGCAAGTGGGACTCGCTGAGCAGCGCTGTAGCCTTCACCTTACAGCGGGCTCACCCCACCACTGGATGTCTCCTCCCGCGCTGCCACTGCCTCTGCCACGGCTATGAACAGCCCCTCGCTCCATTCCTTCTAGAATGTCTGGCTGGCTGGTGGTTCTCGACGCGACGACATGAATCATGCAGCTTCCCAAATGCTGGGTGACGGTGTCAAACTCTCCGTCTCTCTCGCTGTGTCACATCCTCGCTTCGCAGCAAGGGGCAGCTCGGTGTCGCCAATCTGAACGTAGGTGGCGGCATATTGATGCATGAATGCGACATTGAACAGACTATCAATGGCTAAATCAAATCTACACACCAGACAACCAATCTGGGCCAGATCACCACCACCATCTCTGCCCTCCCATGGCCCAGACTGGATCCCCCGCACCAAGGTTAAACTTGGCGATGACCTCACATGACCCTGAAAGTCTTCGCCTATCCACTAATTAAATACACGGTCCAACATCGCATCATCTGCATCAAGCCGTCTTGCATCAACTATCCGACTATGCAATCGACTTTTCTTGGAGATTCCGCAGAGCCTCCATCACCTCGTCCTTGCTCAATCCGTTCTTCAACGCCTTGCGCAGGACGCTCTGCTCAGACGGCGGCGTCAGCTCATTAGGCTCAGGCTGGTTCCTGTCCAAGTTGGTCGGGAAGGGATACCCCTCCCCAACTGCACCCACCAGCGCCTCGACCTCGTCGCTCCAGCCCTGCTCGCCGTACAGCCTGACCATCTCCCCCCAACACTTCTCTACTACCGGCGCCGTCTCGATCGTCTCCATGGTCTTGCCGAACGCGCTGCTGATCTGCAGCAGGTTCACCATCCGGTTGACGTCCGCCGACGAGTTGGCGCCCGCGGCGTGGAACAGCGCCGGGTTGAAGAACAGCCCGTCCCCCTGCGCCATCGGCACCGTCACGTAGTTGGCTTCAAAGTACGCCCTGAAATCGGCCTCGCACCACGCCATGTACCCTTCCTCGTACGTCTGGCTGTAGGGCAGCAGCCGCGTCGGCCCCGTCTCGAGCGGCACGTCCACGTGCGCCACGCCGCCCTGGAGGGTGAGGAACTGGCTGGAGAGGTGCACCGCCCGCGGGTACTGGGCCGCGGCGGCCTGCGACTGGAAGCCCAGGTGGTAGTCGCGGTGGCACTCCTGCGGGCTGCCGCCGGGCTTCACGTTGTTGACCTGGGCGGTGATGCGGTACCCGGGGCCGAGCCAGGACGAGGAGATGAGGGCGAGATACGGGTTGGAGTAGTAGGCGGCGAATGACTTGGGGTCGGCAAGGGCGTGCTTGCTGAACGAGTTCCAGATGCGGTCGTTCTTCCCGCCGGCCGCGAAATGATCGCCCTTTGCTGCGGCGTTTCGCTTCTCTGCCTCGATGATTGACACGTAGACGCCATTGACCTCGTTCAGGAGCGCCTTGTCTCGGTATAGTCCAGCTGTGACGAAGACGCCTGGGCCATGGAGTAAGACTTGATACCACTCATTCTGGAGCTCACTGCGTTGGGACGGGGAAAGGCCGGAGAACTTGGGTAGGTCGTAGATTGGGATGTTATTGGAAATAGAGCTAGCGAGAGGGTAATCGGCCTTGGTTGCTTTCCGTGAGCAGATGGACGCGAGAGTCTGGACGGAGAGTGTCGATGAGGCGGGGAGCAACCGCGACGTCGCCGCCTTGGGCAGCATTTTGAAAGCTGTGCGGGGCTGGCCGGTGGGAAATATCTACGGTAAGTACTCGTAGCTTCTTGGTCAGCTCGCCGTAGGTCTCAAGGGCCGACTAGGTGTATGGTCCCCAGCTGTAGAAAGTGCAGAGTGATGAGTACTCTTCAGTGTGCGACAGCTCACCCGTGGCGGTGGGAGAGCTTCCTTCTTATGAAGCTGCCACGAGCCACCACGATGCATGATTTCGCCGTTGCTTGCCTCTTTGGGCGCTACGGCCACGACCAGACGAGATCTGCAAGCCAGACCTTTCTTTTCTTACTGGTTTGCATAGCGAATCGCGGGGCAATGCGCCCTTGTGGGGTTGATCGTTCGGAAATATGCCCCCGAAGGTCTGACACCCACTAAGTTACTATTGACCACATGGTAGGTACCTAAGCAGTGAAGAGGTTGAATACACTGCAAAGAGAGTTTGGATAACTGCCGTGCTTTGCCATCTGTTAGATACAGTGCTTCGTGTTACGTGCTCTTCGTAACTTGTATAACCGACGGTCAGTCTGACGACTGTTCAAGTGCATCACTGTCGTTCTGATTGTGCCACCTGAAAACAGAATTCGAGAAATGAATCATGGTAACTTGTAGATATGGACTGATTGAGCATCAAGTGATCTCTAGTTTTGATTAGCAGATATTTGTTACTTGTGACGTTGGACGGAACATGGCAGATTCACGTTTCTTGCGGTTGTTTGCTACCACTGCCTTTTCACGTGTTTCGTAGTGAAGTACCTGCTCCTCGACTCAAAGCTTAGGGGAGATTCCCCATACATAAACACGAAAATTGTGCTTCATGATTGCGTTTTTCTCACTCTTCACCTCTTCATCCCGTAAATCTTCCCTGCTCTCCATGCTCATATCTCCATCATGGATCCTGATGATTGGCTCCTGCCCAGAGATGTTCCTTCATGGTGTTTCCCCCCAGAGGAGAAGCCCCTTACCTGGGGAGAATGGTTCTGGCTCATTGTTGAGGGTGTTGCTTCTTCGGCTCGGAAAGTCTGCTCCTTACTGTGCCAAGCAACTCTGAAGCTCACGATCCTTTTCATCTCAACTGTTGCCTGTGGCTTGATCATCGGTTGGTTTCTCAACAACGAAACCTACACACCCACGCCATCATCCCCCGAGTTCAGTGTATCCTATCAAGAGCACGTCAAGTTCACGTCCAAGGACTTTGACCATCATGGAATCCATCGACAGACCACAGACGACAAGAATGGCGCCCCTCGACTTGACTTCCCAGAGCCCAGACTTCTCCTAAGCCGCAACTGGAAGTTGTTTACTGGCGATACGTTCAACAATCTCCAGTCCGAACTTGCCTACCACGCCCACGAAACCTGGGCAGTACAGGCCAAAGGTCTCACGTTCAAGGCTGACGTGATTATACAAGGACAACTTGAAAGGTTCAGCTATTGCCAGGAACTCTGGCACGAACCGTCGAACATGGCTAATGAGAAACTCCACCTGGTCATCGCGATGATCAAGAAAAAGCGCGACGAACTCTCATCCTTGGCTCAGCGGATGGACAAAACCCCATGTTCGCGTTGCTCCCTTCAACAAACCACTCGCCGAAATGTCGAGGCCCTGAGCCACATGGCTTTCCTCCTTGGCCTCGCCGCGAAGGAGCAGGTTAGGAAGCTTGCGATTGACACATTTTGCTTCCAATCCGTTGAGCGGAGCTTGTATTTTTCGATGGGCGACTTCGACAAAGCGGAAGACCTTATCCCGGATGATGGAGCATGGAGCCTGTGGGACCACATACTGGCCGATGTAGAGATGCTCAAGACATCTACCGAATTTGCTGCCCGCGAAGCTAGCCAGTTTGTTTCCTTTTTCCAAAATCACCTTGATAGAGCCCGTTTGATCTATCACGATGTCCAAATGGAACAAGAGAACATGTCACGGTGGCTCGAGAATGCCCAAGGTCCCTGCGGAGTCTCTGAGAAGCAAATCGATGTTCTCGAGAAGGTTAACAATCTACTCAATCAAGGCCAGTTATTGTCACAGGGGACGGGTGGCCGAGTTCAGATGTAAAATATCCCTGAGGATTTGTGTATTGGGTTTTTCTGATACCATCTAGTTTGTCCCCGGCATTGGTATACGGATGATGGTCATTCGATGAAGGTATAAGGTGGCTATTTACTTGAACAAAAGGAATTTTCATACTCTTTCCTTTCAGACTTTGTGCCCCATTGATTCCCATGATATGTGCCTATCCTGACTAAGGAGCCTACTGACAGCCAAATCCTGTCTCGCCAACCACCAGACAAACGCCAAGGCCCCCCTGGCAGTTCAGAAAAAGCTAAAAGTAAGCTATGACTCGAAATCTGGGACTCGACTATATTCGATTTTGTCCAAATTGATATGCGTGTAGAGCAAAAACTCCCCCTTGTATATAGGGCACCATTTGTCATATCCCTGCCCGAAACGCCGCCCTAGAACGTCGTATACCGTCGAAATACTGTTGAGCATGTCTTTGGTCTCATTTCGGTCCAACTTGCTCTCGACAAGACCCTCGCTCTCAAGTACGGAGATGACTTGCGCTCTAAGGATACCCAAGGTTAGGCTGGTCAGGAAAGAAAGAAGTTTGGGGGAGTAACTTACATGAAGTCTCGGCAACCGAAGAATTGGCGATCATCGGAGATGAAAGAAAAGTAGATCATTCTCTTATTCACAATAAGGTTGAAAATTTCCCCGAAAAGGAGGCCATCCTTGGAACGGATCCTCAACGTACGCAATGAGCTCGGTGATCGGTGAGTCCACCTCACTAGTTTGATGCAGACCACTCCCCTGGGGTTGTGCTCGCCGTCGTGTGATGGCTCGTCCTCAGCGAGCTGGACATCAAGGCACAGACCTCTGTATCCCGAGACGGGCTCTTCAAAGTCGATTTTCAGGGACGCGTGGTTCAGGGGGAACTCTCCGGTTTCGGCTGTGCGGTGGCGGTTTGGGTCCAGTAGCTCGAGATAGATGGCTGAGCACCTTGCCGCGAGGAACTCAGTTGGGAAGAGGTCCGCGCTCTGGGTGATGTTATACACCTCCTCTTGAACTTCCTCAATATCGGGTGACATTTTTGCTGAGTAGATAGTTTAAATGGTGTAGAGTGGTGGTAGGACTGCCAAATTACAGTGTAGGCGGGTTGTAGGAGCTAGATTATATATTGATGGATTGGAAAGCTCAGATGAAAATAAGAGACACAAAATATTCTCATCACTAACAACCACTAAGAGATTAAACAAAGCTTCTCAATTCACTTACTCTTGTTGAAACGCTTCACAAACAGGAGGGGTGGGCTTTGTGTATAGGCTAATAGACCGTCGTGTTGCTCCTATCTCGCTCGTTTTCGTGCGTGTGTTGATGCAAGCAAGTGGGTGACATAGGAAATGGCACACCCAAATGAAGACCCAAATAATCACCCAAATAAACACCCGAAAAACATCTAAATATCTAAATAAATAGCTTATTCTAAGTAGAGATTAGAGAATATTAATATTCAGGCCTGGAAATTCTGTTCCTTTAAATTTCATAGCTAGCTATGAAAGATAACAGATCAAGCCTATGTCAATGGAGTGCCATTCCCAATGTCATCCACTTAACAAGACTACAGGCATAAGGGGAGAAATTACACTCATTAAGTTACACAACTTGGGAGGTAAAGTACATGAACTAAAAGCTTCGGGGTTGTGAACTTACCTAATTCAACCCTTTGTTCTTCCCATTGTATCGAACATAATTGTTTGACGACCATAATTTGGTACGATTGAATTTATGTGAGTAAGTGACTATGTATTAAGCAATTTCAACTAGAAATCTGATTATGGAATACTCAACACTCTTCTGTTGGATCGCTTTCATCCGGGGCTTCCTTATTCCCCCTTTCAATCCAGGCTTGACAAAGCCTCGTCCTACTGCCTAAGGTAACAGTAACCGACCCTTTATCCAACAAAGAGCCCATTCTTTGAAGCCCGCATTTACGCAAGAAGAGGTTCGGTTTCACCCGATCGTTCCTCACGGCGGTCCCTTCGCCACCAATGCCGAATCGTGAGGGAGAGAATCAACATCTTCACAAGAGCAGAAAGCCCATTGTTGACAGGCACCCAGCCAACCCCCTGATACCAATCCAGCAGAGCCTTCCAGCTCGACTCTGATCCGTCAAACTCGTCCCAGGGGAACTCGAGCCGGCCAACCCACGCGAAAGCATCGATCAAGAACAGAACACCCTGGACAGCTAAGCCCGACAGACTCAGAGCTCCGCGATGGGGGCGAGACCGGGTCGTCCTCACCTGTGGGATCAGAGAACCAAGGGACAACAACGTGATGATGGGGAACAGGAACCTGGAGTGGATGAAGGAAAAGAGCGATGCGACATCGCGGGCGGACGAGCCTTCCCCTGGCTCACTGCTGGGGCGAGGAACAAAGAGCGGCACGACTGCGGCCACCGCGACGCCAAAGAGAGTTGATGATGTTATTTTAGGCCAGCGACGGGTGTCGTCAGAGGGAAGGCGCAGAGACAGACCGGATCTATTAAATTGTTGTTAGGTAGTTCGACAATTATTTTTTTGCGTGGGATCACAAACATGGTGAACCAAAGCACGAAGACGCCCGCGAATTGGACAAGGTTAATCCAGTCCCCCGCCGTCTGGGACTTGTGGGTGAATACCCCGTTCTCATCGTTCACGGAAAAGAAGACAGAGAAGGCGAGCTGTTCGGTTGCATTGAGGAGGTTAAAGAGGATGTACCAGAGGGAGATGCCTGAGCTCTCCTTCTTGCGTTTGAGGCGATGCAGCTGCGGCCCGAATGAGATCCAGATGGCGATGAGAAGGATACTTCAGAGGTAATGTTTTGTTAGGTGGATTTATCGCGTGTCGGTAAGGTTGACTTACACTCTGGCCCAGTTGGGCACGTTCGGGACAGTCATGATGTGGGAAAATGATCTCAGCGGTTCAAGTGAAGATGAGCGAAGTAAAGCGTCTTCCTTTTTTTTATTTAAGCATTTTGAAGATTATTATCTGGAGTGGCTGTGTCTTAGATTTTCAATCGCGACATGGTTTTGCGCCTTGTTGTGCGCGTGACAGAGAATGATCATGAGGCATCTGGAGCCCACCCCATACATCCAAATCCACCAAGTCGCACACCCTCTTCTGCCTTGTCAAATGATCACACCTAAGGTAGCATATAAAATGGAAACACATTCCTCAGCTGGAGCCCTGGCAGGAGTTACTGGTAGCCTCGCCGTGAAACAGTAGCATTCGCTGGGTGGAGGTTGCCAGAGTAGTACCTCGTGATGGACAGGCTGAATGAGTATCCCTGCTCATCCTCGCCCTCATCTGCATCAGCAGCCTTCAGTAGAGTCATGGCTTGCTATAATCCATGCTAAATCTAAATTGCAGCCAAGACTGCCGTTCAATACTGTCCCTGAAGAAATACTAGATTGTATTCGGTAGCTAGAATATTTTGTCTCCAAAGTGCAGCCGCTAAATGTAAAAGTTTGAGCAACACGTGAACAACACATCTCAAACTCTGCCAAAGTGTTCGTTTCATCCATCCGTCCCTTAGGTAGTCTCGATACCAAGGATTAAGTTTAAGTCGGGAGTCCCCAGGCCAGCCTCTTCGTTGTAACCGATATGCCAGCGCCAAGGCCAGGAAAGGCGATGATAGCAAAAGGAAGAGTTTGAGTGCTATAATTTCTTTCCTATAAATCTCGACACCTATCCCTCGGAAACAAAAACACAACGTAGATATAGATCAGCCTCACTATAATGTCTTTAGGGAGGAGCATGTGTCATCCTGAGAGAATGGCGGATACGCCGCAGCGATAAATGTGCCATGTCTAACTTTTCAGTCTTCAAGGTTTAAAGCTCCAGGGAGCATTATCTCCCACATCGTCTCTTCTCTTTCCCAGGACCCGAGAGATAAGCTATTAAAGTTCCTAGAGCTTTTGCCTCTGCTCTCGCCCCATTGCGCCACCGAAGTATCTCTAATGTCAAGTGTCGGTCTTCATGCTGGACAAGGTTTTGCCACGGTATACTCATTTCATTTGCAAATTTTCATCTTTGGCACTGGCCTATTTAAACCAAGCTTCCGGTCCATCTCGTTTCGCTCTAACCTCTGAACTTTGCTTCACCATCGTCGCCGCTCGATGCACCCCGGGTTGAAACAAAACCCATCATCTATCTCGTCACCATCACCACTGCCTTCGAAGGTCCGCGGGTGAAACCCACAACATCCTCCAACCTCAACGTAGGCACACAGCGAAAAAAACACAGCTGCTTCCCCTTCGCCCCAAACCCAAAGACAGCATGCATATCCGCAAGGTGGCCGCTGCCCTATTTCTGGCAGCATCCCCCTGGCTCGCGGCAGCAGCCCCGGCCCCGGCCCCAGCCCCGGCTCCAGCTCCTCCCTTCCACCTCAAATGGATCCCCTATTTTGACCCCATGTTCAGATACAATGCTTCATTAATGTACCCGGGCGAGATTGAGTGCCTTCATTCGACCCAGGCGGCTGCAGGAACCCGATGGCGCATCAAGTGGAGGGGGTTCTGCGAGGATTATGAAGGGGAGTGCCTCCGCGCTCGCATCCTCAATTATGCCGGCATTCTCGACAACTGGGTAACCTGGAAGATCGATGAGGACGACTGGTGGAGGGCCGATTTCACCCTCTTGGGCTTCTAGTAAGACTCGTCCCCTTTCACCTGAACATTGACCTACTGTTTGCTAACGCAGCTCGTTTCAGTAAACATACGCGACCGCAGGTCGAAGAAGCCCTCACTGAGCTTAATGGAAGGGAGATGAATTGTCCTTAGTCGGTTGGAGCAAACTTAACCTCCCTATCTGAAACCAGATTGGAGGTTGGATCTTGCGGCTGGGGATTAACATTTGATGTTTCATCCCCTCAATCCTGTTGTCTTTTGGAAATGCCTGTCTTTGGGGAGTAGAGCCTTTCGTACTTTACGCTTTAGTTAGGAACTATGAATTTTAGCCCGTTGATCGCGTGAACTATGAGAAAAAATAAGAGTTAACCAAGAAGATAAAGTCAATATTCATATTCCTATGACTTTTAATCTTGTCTAAATCTCTGGGTTTCTTCCCCAACACAATAGGTGCACCATCTTCAGCTGACGTGGAATTGATCCTCGTCAGCATGTAGCTAGCGTGTAACAAATTAGTAAAAGAACCTCACGAGCAAGTGTTCTGCAGGAAGGCTACAAGAAGCATCTCTCACGGTTAGCGATATTCGTAAACGTCAAGTACTTAGTGAGATTTCCAAATTCGTATTGCTATCAAGAATTATAAAGAAAAGCCAGAGTCAGGATGGAAGTAGTAGTTAAAAATAAATCATATCGACTGTAATAGGAAATCGGTGGTTGTTTTAACGAGGGTTGGTTCGCTTTCGGGTGTGATATCTACCCCATTCACCTCCCTTCTAGTTCAGCCTGGTCGGAAAATAATTCCGACCACCAAACCAACCATTTGTTTCTTGCCGTTTCAGGCAAGATCGCCTGTCTCTTCAACGGCGGTCCTTACTGATTTCGGGCTGGTCAGATCATTCCACCGCCGGGAACCGCCTTCGCCTGAAAATATGTGGGAAGCCAGCGGATCAGCCCTTGCTGGATCGACTTCAGGCACTCTATAGACGGCAATCTCCTGACGAATAGCAAAAGATAGCCTCTTATCTGGGTATCTCTTGGGTATCTCCTGTGTCAGATAGCTCTGTAAAATGGTTTTTGTTTATGCAGATATATTCCTGCGCACTCCAACACCGCCTCCTCAGTATTCGCCCAGGAAGGAATTACGTAGCCGGTTGGGCAACCTTTAACACGAGAGCTCCAAAGATGCAGCGCAAATGTATGCTTCAGCTGGACCAGCTCCCTCTCAGCAATCTTGGCCATCCAGGCGTGTTTCCGCATCGGCCACCAGTGCAACTTGGCGGTCTCTCTCGCCATAACCATATCGTAGTGGTTTACCCGATCATCGATCTCTTCGGTAGTCCGCCCGAGGAGGATCGCAATCTGCTGGTTATCGAGATCCCAGGGACATTCCTTGATCGCGGCAAGAAGGTGGTCATCGTATAGAAACCATGGAGTGTTCGCGCGGCTGAGGAGAGGGTGCCATTCACTTACTCTCTGCAGGGCAATATATGTGGTGGCCTCGTCTCTTTTAACCGCGTACTTGAGCTGGATGTTTTCGGAGATTTTATCCTGGAGCTTGAGCTTGAGCCAGTGTGTGAGGCGGATGTGGTCAGATGTCATCTCGAGGCCCGAAGGCCTGCAAGAGCGGCGGCGAAGGTATGTCATGGCCTCTTTATGGGAATTATGGTTCCTGTAGCTTTTTTGTCAACTACCTATCTATGTTGCCAGCCGGATGAAATCACGTTCTTAGCGAGGTCAAGATTTCCTGTAGGAGGGAATATCAAGCTTTATAGATGGGTTGGAATGTCCTGAGAGGGTTCGTTGGCTCCTCGCACTGCTTAAAATAGACACAGCGAGTGACTGAGTAACATGGGCCACTGAGAACTGGAACAACATAAAGCAAGTAACAGCAATCCCTCGGCCGGAGCAGCTCTTTGCCAGACACCTTTATGCCAAGCCTAGGCTGCTTGTCAGTGACTCTGTGACAGTCTAGCTGTCGCCGGACAATCACTCCCCCCAGAAAACGTGATTGACACGAGACAATGAAAGCATCACATTGACAAACATACAAAAGGCTTTGTTTAAAAGAAAGACGGACAGAGCCCCCCTTTCTGCCCTATCCTCATGCGCCTCTTCGAAACCCGAACAAATAAAACATCCATCCTATTCACTTTCTCTTCGCAGCCCACCTCTGCACGTGAAGCGCCCTGACCTCGTCCGCCAACTCAAGCACAGGTCCCTCAACCTCGACACCAGGCGCAATCTCTCGGATGCTCAAGGGAGCGACCTTTCCCCCCGTCACGCCGTTCTCCTCCTTCCACTGGCCATACTGCTCCGTCGAGGTCGCGTACACGATGCGGCCCAGCCCGCAGTAGGCGTGGGCGGCGGCGCACATGGCGCAGTGCTCGCCGGACGTGTACACGACGGCCCTAGCGCGCTGCTCAGCGGTGAGGTTGAGCTGGGCCCAGCGGGCGAGGGTGAACTCGGGGTGAAGCGTGGGATCGGGCTTGCCTGCCTCTGACGAGCTCAGATCCTTAGCGCCCGTGACGGTGCGGTTGCGGTCGGATTGGAGGACTGAGTCGGTGGCGGGATCGACGAGGACGGAGCCGAAGGGGTCATCGCCGGCCTCGAGGGCTTCCCGGGCGAGGGCGATCGCTTGGCGGAGGTATTCTATTTCCTTGGGGCTGGTCATGCTTCTGGGGTGAGAGGAGGTGAGGAAAGATGTTCATTGATCATTTTCGAATGTGTCAAACTCATGGAAGCTAAAATAAGCATATCGCTGCCTTTAGCGGGGTAGGGCGCTGTAGAAGTGGTGGAGCTCCCTAATGGAGTCCACTGGCGGGGTTCTGCATCCGCCTAAGCTCGGCGATCGGCCTTCTATTGTCCCGTTCAATCAGGGCTGCTTCCCCATGACATTTGATGATGGAGAGATGAGAAAGTTTGCGGTAATACTGCCATTGGCTGCTGACGGTGCTTCATCAAAACAGACAACCTACTCACCCTCAAAGTCTGATCCCATTTGATCATCACCAGATTCCGGGCTCATCACAATTGGAAACGCGATCATGGCGCACCTCTTTCGCAACTCACGGTCAACCCTCTCGCGGCGCATCCTTTCAGCCTCACACCCACGTTCATCCATATTCCCCAACCTCTCGAGGAACCCAGCAGCAACGATCCTGTCTTGCCAATCACGGCCAAAATGTAGCAAAAGCACAGCACCAGCATCCCCCTCCTGCAAGAGCACAGCAGCTACCTCTCCCTGCAAATCGGCCAAAGCCCCTACTCCTTCGACGCTAAGCCTCGACTTCTGGAGCTCCAGGGCGACATGGAAACGGGCTGGCGTCAACACCCTTCGATGCCTCGTTGGCTGTACCGCGGGTGACTTCTCTGCCATGTGGTATCTCCAGGCATTCCACCCAGAACTGGGCATGCAGGCCATTATGGCTATCTCCAGTAAGCCGGCCTCGGCATTCCTGACTTTCTGACTTGATGCTAATATTAGTCCACCTGAATAGTGGCCAGCGGCATTTCCACATCATTGCTCCTCGAGACAGTCCTCCTTCGCTATGGAAAGGACCGTCTGCCGTGGATCATCGCCACCAAGACGGCGGCAGGCATGAGCATGATCTCCATGCTGACCATGGAGCTTGCCGAGAACGCTGTCGACTACAGCATGACCGGAGGTGTCGTGCAATTCGACAATCCGGCATTCTGGACGGCTGCCCTGCTTTCTATCGCCGCAGGGTTTCTAACACCCCTTCCATATAATTACCACAGACTGCGCAAGTACGGAAAGGCATGCCATTGAAACAAGGCGGCTGCCTTTTGTTTGCCGACAGGTCTTTAAACCCATATATAATTGTAGATTATGTATATGTATCCTCTTAATATGCAGGTCTCGCATCTATAGATCGCTAAGTAGATAGAAAGAAATCACGACTCATCACGCTCAACATGAAGGAACACCTCCCGGCTGCTCTCTTCCAACTTCGAGGTCCTCTGCGTAGCCACAACAGATTGCCTCACTGCGGTTTCCACCGGCGTGCCGCCACATACCACCACGGCCATCCTGCCCACCGAGGTTTCAATAGCCCTTCGCACAAAGCCCTCAATGTTTGGCCTGCCCTCTGTCTCCAATATCGGCCCAATATCGATATTAACCATCTCTTCTTCCTCGTCGCCGTGCAGCTCTGCCTCCAGATCCATGTCTTCCTTCAACTCTGCGTCCTCCAATCTCAGACTGTCAGTGGAGAGACGGGCCAGATCCGCCAGCGCCTCTCCCTCCTCTTCCTCATCATCTCTGGCCATGAGCCTCTCTTGACTATTCCTACCCCTCGGGAGGCGGCCCAGCGCGGAGCGACCACTACCGCCGCCAGCCTTGCCACCTGTCGTCGCAACCTCGACCCGCACATCGATCCCGAGCTCCTTGGCGGCGGACAGTGCCTTGGCCACCTGCTTGATGTACGCATTGGCCTGGGCTCTGCGCCTGACCACGTAGAGGGCAGTGATCTTCCGCACACACCCGGGATTCTGCGCCGTTAGTATATCTTCCAGGATGGGCGTCGTGAACGACCCGCCCGTAGACGACGACACGAGAATCAGGTTGTCAAACTGTCGCCAGTTGGGCAGGTTGCCGTACGGCCCGGCCAGGAGCAGCCTCAGCTCGCTCTCCCGCATCGACCCTCCCAGCCCGCTGGCCCACTCGTTCAGAGTCTTCGTGAACCCCGTCTTCGTCTTCGCCAGCAGGTGGATGTCCTGCGTCGGCCTTGTCGGGTCGGCGACGTTGGCGATCGTGAACGGGTGGGGAGACTGCCTCTTCATGCTCGGCGTCCATATCAGCACGTGCTGCCCGGGCGTCCACCTGAACCCTATCCCCCGGATCCTGATCGACGTCAGGTCCTCGTCCACGGCTTCCACCTTGGCAGAGTAGGCGTACCGCGGCACCCTCGACAGGCCCGCATCCGTCGCGGGCAGGCGGCCGAACTTGACGTTCCTCCAGATGGGGTTGGCGGCCCGCGTGACCACATCGTACAAGAAGACGGCGACGGCGCACCAGACGCTGAACAGATGGTGGCCCGGCACGTGGAGGAGCAAAAAGACGAGCAGCACGACGGCCGATAAAATGTGCTGGGCGACGAAGAACTCGTAGCGCCAGCGGCGGACGGGGATCAGCGAGCTGACGAGCGTCCAGACGAGGACGAGCCAGGCGGCCATCCCCCACTTCACCATGGCGACGGTGCGCAGCTCCTCCCAGAGGAAGCCGGCGGGGAGCCACTCGGCCAGGAAGAAGGACCCGTGGACGGTGGCGGTGGCGAGGAAGACGCGCGAGGCCCAGCGGTGCAGCCAGTTGAGGTGGTTGTACGAGGTGCCAACAACAAGGCCGATGGGGTTCGTCCGCGCGGCGAGGAGGAAGGGGAGGGCGGTCTGGGTGGTGGTGATCCAGGCGGCGCGGAAGCCGAGGCGCTCGAGGTAGCGGTCGTCGTGCTTGATGGACTTCCAGGTGAGGAGGGTGGTGACGAGGCCGGCGTAGGCGAGGACGGCGAGGATCTTGCCGACGGGGAGGGAGGCGGGGATCCAGGATGGGAGCTGTCGTCTCCAGTACGAGGCCGAGAGGCGGTCCAGGACCCTCTCGAGGAGGGAGTCCTGGGCGGCCGAGCTGGATGCGGCGTCGCGGCGCTGGAGCCTGATGCGGGCGACGCAGTACTTGACGAGGCGGAGGATGAGGCCGACGACGATCAGGAGGATGACGGTGTACCAGACTACCTCTGCCAGCGCGTGGTTCCGCCTCGAGTCCCGGTGCTGTTCCTTTTGGGCCTCAGTCTCCTCATCTTCTGATCCGTGATGATGGTCTCCATGCCGTTTCATCACCCTGGCGGAGAAGATCTCCATCAGCTCCCGGAGTTCCATCTTGGTCTGGTCGCTTAACGATGGTAAATTAGATTAGATTTCTCGATGCGCCCCGCACTCGCTGGCATCATCGGAGAGTGAAGAGTCGATGACCAGCTTCTTGCCACGAATGATGATTAAATCTCTTCCTGGCGGTTTTGCGACTGCGCCCCGGATCCTTCGGATTGACCCACCAGCGACTGATCTGCGCACATCAACCAGGAGCCGCACGCAACACCCCGGATAACGATGAAAATGATGGTTAGTAATTGCGAAGAGTATAATTAGGCGACGAAGGTCCAGATGGTGTTCTTCTCATGGGGAAGAGGGGCCATACTAGGCGTCGGATTACGAGCAGCGCGAAGATGGCCCTTTTGCTGCCGTAAGACATGATGACGAAAGAACTCTCTCAAACTGGCGCAGGCTTTAATTAGTCAGATCTCGGCCAGACATGAATGCACATAGTATAATTTACATATATGCATGTACGGGCAGTCAATGATTGATGAGAAGTCCGAATATATTAAATTGCTCTTGAGGTCAAGCCGTGCATTCGCGTGCTACTACTAGGATCCCGTTCTCAACCCTCCCTGCCAAACCAGACCATTAATGATCCATCACTCATTGCAAGGAATGGGTGTTGTCTCTCATGCGCAGACCAACATCTGAGTACAACATCATCAGTTCATTCACAGGCCAGGAACCCTTCAAGAACCAGTCGGCTTGTCGCGGATATATTCCCATGCATCACAGCCCCAGTGTTCACTTCTCTTGTTCTAAGTCGATGGTGGCTTTGTTTCGTTCAGCCCGTGCTGTGTTCCATCTGTGTCTCTTGTTGTTCCCTCCATCCCGAGACTCTGCTTGGGTTTGGTTCTTCCTTTTCGTGAGGGTTGTTGTAGTGGTGTTCGTAGTAGTACCACCACCGGCGACTGTGGTGACGGTCGTCGTAGTCGTCGTAGTCGAAGAGTTACTAACGGTGGTCGTAGTTGTTGTGGTGGACTCAGTAGCTGCATCACCGCCATCATCTCCTACTGTGGCGTCCGCGACATTGTCCGTGCCCGAATTTGCGTCCTTGGCCTGGAGTTCAGGTCCTTCTAACACATTTGAATCTGTGGTACTGTCTGATTCTTGAAATTGTGCCTCCCCGTTGGCATCTCCGGCTTCTCCCTCTTTCAGCTTGCTCATGAGAGCTGCCCAGCCCTGATCAACGAGCGTGCGAAATTCCTTGGCCCTGCAGACCACTATGGTTGGTCGCTGCTTCCTACACCACAGCCGGTGGTCACTTGCGAAAAGAAATTCCATTGCGGCCATAGATTTGCGCCATTCAAATTCCGTGCTGGCCTCCAATGGTTCTTCCACCCAGGGTAAGCGGAGCACGAGGTCTTCCGGGAAGTTCCCTCCTCTAGCTTGTTTGATAGAGTCTCGAAAGAGATCCCAGTTGAACATCCACAGAAATATGCCTCGCTTTTTTCTGTGTTCCTCATCGATCCAACAACTTGTCCATTCCCTCTTTGCATTCTCAACTGTGGTGACAAACCCCCAGTCATGAAATAGGCAGATTGAAAAATGCTCTGAACGAACATGGATGTTTCGGCATACAATATCTTGGCCCCAACGAGTCTCACCATCTTCTTCGTTTTCGTGCTTCTCCCAAAATTGACATTCTTTCCAACCACCTCCACGCTTTTTCGGGTTTCGCACTGCAGGAGCCTGGCGTAGCACCTTAGACGCAACGGGGACTGACATCATCTAAATGGGGAGAGTGGGCGATGGCCAAGAGTGAAGGGGAAAAGTTGGTAGTGAGTTGAGCGAAATGAATTTTTTAGTTGCAGGTAGAAGAGTGAGCAGCAGGAGGTGGGTGAACGCGGATCCTTCAAGGGAAGTCACCAAGTGAGAAAGTTCTGAGAAGGGGCAGGTGCGACCAAATTTGCACGCGCTATCGATCGGATTAACAAGCCGTACTCCAACCAAAAGTCGCTTGATACCTATAAAAAAAAGACCAAGCAAAGGACTAAAATGCCCAGCACTACTTCATCTGCTCATACGAGACCCTCGTCTCATTCTTTACATGAATCCCCTTGAAGTCACGATGCAACCGCTGTCCATCCTCAGCCCTCACAGAGCTGAACGTCTGCGGGCCAGTGTACCCTCTCGGGCGGCCAAACTCGTCCGAGCTTATCGAGCCAGTCTCGATGTCAGGGAAGTTCCTGACAGAGCAGCCGTCGTCCATCTCGTGCATGGTGTTGAATCTGTTCAGCTTGAAGCCGGCGAGGCTGCCTGTGTCGGACCTGGTGATTGGGCTGCTTCGCGGGTCGGAGCCCATAACAGAGTCGGGGAGCATTCGGCGGAAGATGGGTCGCATGAGAGGGAGGCATGCTGGAGCAGAGGGACATGGTCAGTATCTCTGTTTTCGTTGGAATTCGAGAGGGGAGAACTGTTACATACTGGATACGATGGCAAGGTTAACCTCCATTGTGGCCCATATGATGATGGGGGAGATTTCCAGAGGCATCTCGGGGGAGTTGGAGTCAAACTTGGACGACTCAATCAAGACGCCAATTGAAGCTACGCAGACCCTGCAAGCAATGATCGGTAAGTCAGAGATTATTAGCAAGGGCACATTGTAATATCACTCACAAGATTCCGAACATGAAGACACCAATCACAGCAATCTTCTGTCCCAACTGCAGGCGGAGATTCTTCACCTGAACGACAGGCAGCACAAGGATCAAGACATCGATAATCAGGTGAACCAGCACCGTGCCAAAGAAGAACTTTGAGTCGTCGATGTTGCACACTTTATTATCCACCGTCAAGTCCCAGAAAGCCTGCACCGGAACGCAATGAAAGATGGCCATGGGTGTGCGGATGGCGAGCCAGGCGATCGAAGCTCCGGTCAGAATCTGGATGGGGATACGGATCCCCGAGGTGCTGAACAGCCGCCAGTAGAAGCCGAGGACGGAGAGCTTTGAAAATGTCAGGGTAAAGGCGTAGATGATCTCGCCGATCCAGAGAAGCATTCGTGACTGGTAGAAGGCGTCCTCCCTGCTGATGTTGATGACCTCGAGAGGCCGGCCCAGGCCTGCACCCAGGGTCCATTCGATAACAACACCTGAAAATCCAAATGCGCACAGCTATCGCGGTCCAGGTTAGTCGGTCGGTCGATTGGGTGTGGCGATTGAGAAGAGAAGGGAGTGATTACATATGCGAGGAGGGCGAACCAGTCGTCCCACCAGGTCTCAACCTTGGTCACATATCGAGCTACCAGTCGCAATACAATAAGGGTTGTGGCCAACAGGAATGTCGTGATAGTCACCGCATAGATGACAAGGGTATTATCCGGCATCGCCATTGTGGAAGAGCTGTGTATATCGGTAAAGCAAATGAATGAATAGAAATAACGCTGCTGCTGATAAGGTTCACCAAATGGCGAGAATAAACAATTCAAACAAAAACCAGGATCTCCTCGTCCCGCCCCATCGTTATTAAGAAAGAGATCATATTAGCCGACCAAAAAGGCCCAGAGCAGAGCCGGAAACGGGAGCGGGAACATCTTAAAGAGAGCCCATGTAATAATATGCATCCATCAAGAAACGTTGGAGGGATCTACATCGTCCAGTGGCAAAGCAGAGGGATGGCCATGACTCGAGACACAATGCGGCAAGCAAACCGCATCGGCAACTTTGCAAGCATGCCCCCGGCTAGATCGACCGAGAAATATCCATTGACCATGCGCTACGTGTGCGATGCTGCATGTAGCAGAATTGGAAGCTCGCTGCATCCGGCGACGGTTTGAGGTGGATCCTCGCCATCACCATCATCATGCGGTTGGGATATGAGCAGCGCCAAAGCACATCCAGTCTCAATACAACAGTAAATAGTCCAGCAGGGGTCAGGGAGCAGAGCAGCGGGAGGTGGCGACAAGCATCAGTGCCCAAGGGCCGAGAGACAACCACTCTTGACCGACAAGCCGGCGGACGGACGACAGTTGGCAATATTCCAGCAAATGCATGATTTGGATCAGCCAGCCACAAAACCCTCGGGCATGATCAGGATCAACGACGCATTCATCAATCTACGGCCCAGGCGGTCGGATGTGGACAAGGCGATGTGTTCACCACCAGCGTTTCAGAGCCGAGTCAAGCATACGCTGTCCATCTATCGAGCGTCTCAACCGAGCTCGCATAAACCACGCGACCACTAAAGCCCACGGGGAGGGGAAGAGTGGATGCCGGGAAGCAGATTTATGCCATAGAGCCGTCGGCAATCATCAGAGCGGACTTGACGTGGTGGACTGAGAATTTCCATGGTTTCCATCAGCATGCAGCAACGGCCTTCTGGGCGGAGAGGGCCTCAAGCGAGCTCGATTCCAGGCAGGCTAGTCCCTCGACGGATGTTCCATTCGACGGCACCTCGATGACGGGCAACAATAAGACAGCCAAGTATGAAAACAGAGCTCGAATGCCATCCTCCGTGGGGCGAGACACGGCAGAAGGGGTGACGTGTATGCGCAAGACAGGGCACCGGTCTCAGCCGAAGCGTCCAATATTACACGCGCCCTCCAATGCTCAATGGCACTGACAACACCCTCTTCGGGACGACGGTGGCTGGAACCGGCCGTGTTCATTGGGGTTCGTCTGGGCACGGGGCATAATGGACGACGGATATTGCATTCTTGCAGCAGATGAATGGATGCACCAATCGAACCCCCGAAGCCTGCAGCATCTCAAAGCCGCTGAAACGCCGGGGGACTGCGGGAGCCTGTAGGCGGCATGACTGCTGTGTGCTCTGTGGCTTTGGCGGCCTTCACGCACAGGCCGAAAAATCAATTGTCAGGACGAGGCGGTGGCTGATGCTTCTTCTCTTGATTCACTTTCATCTCAAGGCTCAGCTGCGATCAGCGCCTGTTCCGGTTCACAGCGACAGAAAAGGTAGCTGAGAGAAGGGTGTGATCTTCGTGACATTTCCCCCAAATTTCCATCAATGCACGCGCCATCGTGTTAATTTGATACCAGGCTTCACCATCAAGATCCTAACCTTGCGTCCAGCCCAGTTGGGTCAAGGGGCAGAGCACGTCCAAACAATGCGAAACGCACCTTCAACGCCTTCGGTGGACTACCAAAACTACCATTGTGTCGTCGATTGAAACCCGGCCAGGGAGATCTCGCACTCATGACTCTAGCTCTGCCTGGTCCGTGTTAGGCTCCCGTCAGAGCCGTAACATTTGCCTCGCTCAAACTCTGATAAGTCTTCTTCATGCGCACATACGAGGCACGATCTGAGGCTCCAATCGCTGGCCAATAATTCTAGCCGAGTGTTCATTACGGCTACCCTGGCTTCTCACCTGTATTCGACACCAGATGATGCTCCCTCGCGAGAGAGAGCATGAGTAACAGGACACATTTGTGGATCTCACGCCCGTTCATCGACGCCCCCATCCTAATCAACAGAGCTAGAGCGTGCCACCGGTCATGGTATTTTGGGCCGCCCGAATCGCGGAGCGTGTGTAGACAAGGCTTGAGACGAGACGAGTGACTTCATAATCATCGTCACCTTGACCTCGTCTTGCAATAAGCATCTTGAATGAAGGTATCCGTCGCCCGATAAATATCGGCCCCGTCGTGTCTCAACTAGATAGCCGAGACATGTACTCAAATTCATCTCACTTCCAAGAGCCGCCGTACATTCCATATCTTCTATAAACCAAATTGCCCGTGGGAGATATTTGTGAGAGAAGTGAGAGAGCTATGCAGGTTATGCGGCAGCTGCTGAAAAAAAGGGGGATACCTAAACGCCAAGAGATCCACAACATTATGCTATTCCCAGCATCACAACACGGTCTGCACATCAAATCTCAGCCTTTTCACCCGGCCACGAGGCTATGGTCCGGCCGTACAATCTAATCGTCATTTTGAGTGGGAAATTATCATGGCCGCTCATGAAGTGCGGCAAAGGCATGGCAATAATGTGAAGCGAGACAAACTGTCAATAGATTCATGGTGAGCCGAGACCAGCAGGATAATATGCATAAAAATGACTGCAATTAACATTAACTAATATCTTTGAAATGATTTATCGACAGAATAGAAATTTCCCCCTATCCATTACACTGTGACCCGAAGGCTCGGCTCTCCCACGCAAATATTACAGCACTGCTGGCAGCTCACTTCCCCTTTTGTGCGTGGGCCAGACACTCATCCCTTCATCCAGCAAACTGCACAGATGACTCACATCGTTTCCACCGCGACTTAGATAAGGGAAACAGCCAACTGTGTGGTCGCCGCCAGCTTGATGTACTCGTTTTGTACGTCGTCCGCGCAGACGGGGAGCTGCTTGACGAGGCCCTTGTTGTACTTGTCGATGCTTCCCTGGAACACCCTCAACTGAGCATGCAGGTGTCCCTGGAAGTTCGTGCCCGTTGTGAGTTTCGCATGGTCGAACAAGGCCTTGACGATTTGGTACTCGAGTGTGAGGAGCTAGAAAGGCCGGTTGGCTACATCAGTACACGCAGCCGCACCAAGGGACATCACACTTTTTGGCCACTTACCTGCTCGTAGGAGGCGCATATCTTCTGCTGCTCTTCGATGGAGTAGTCATATGCCGGGATGATGTTGAAGACGACCGACCCAGCGGCGTTTTTCTCAGAGAGCTTGCCGAAGTGCTCGACAATCGCCTACGCGGGAGCTTGTCAGTTCCATCAGGGCTCCAGATTTGTGCTCAGGGTGAATCTGTGCCTACCGGCCCAATAATTTGGATGTTCATCCCACCCTTGAGCTGCTGCACTTTGGCAAGCGTCTGGCCGGCAGCTGTTACCACCGAGTCGACTCGCTGCTCGATGTTGCCAGCCGAGTAGATGTCTGGGGGGCTTGGTAGTGCTGAGACAGGATCAACAGTGGCCTGGGCCACAGGTGAAGCTGCGGTTAACACGGCCGAGGCCAGTGTGAGGATCTGGAAGCGCATCTCGGATGTTTGAGGATGGTCTTTCTGCTGTTTTGGGAGAAGTGGCTTGTTGAAGAGCAGGAGGCTTGGGGACGACTTGAGGTGATAGTGTGGCCTTGACTTTGGCTAAGTACTCCTTTTCTTCTGACAATGACTGAGTCCGTTTTCAATCTCTATTCACGATTCCGGGAAAACATAACAAGCCACCCTGGGCCTCGGCCGGGTGCATTCCTAGAGTTAATTAGGATGAAGCCGTGTTGGGATGCGTGCCGAAGCCTCGGGAGTCCCATGACACTGGGGATCTACCCAGCCAGACCCCAACCCCAACGAAAGCGGCAGTGATAAAATTGTGCCATCGCCACGCAGCTGGTCAAAGCTCCCAGATGCTGACCACATCCAACGGTTAAGCCAGGGTCTGAGGGGGGATGAGCACACATTTCTCCCTTGTCTCGACCTGTTAGGCTTGGGATCGTCGACGGTCATCATTCCAATCGGCAGAGTCCAGTAATTCTTATCAATTGAGGGTCTTGGCAGAAGCACTCACGAATGCAATCTATGCAATCTATCCCGAAGTAAGATTGGACTACGATCTACCCGTGATCTCAGTCAGACCGATCACCACCTAGCAGTGTCCTCGGCTTCGCGGCTGCTCCGACTGCTCGTTCCGCGGGGGGTTTGACTTGTGTATATGTGGGCAATGTCTGAGCCGTTGTTGCCTCTGCGGCTTCACCTGTGCCCACGTAACGGCATCCTAGCCATCCGCATAGCCCGTTTCTGCCGGGCATTTCTCTCTTTCACCCTAGCAGCCAGGAAGCCATCTCTCCGCTCATCAGTAGACGTGTTCGATCATACCCGTGATTGCGGGGCCCTGGATTTGATTCGTACAGACTTCCAGCTTAGATGGCTTATGTCTTTGATCCCTAGAGCAGGCGTCATCCCTCCCATCCGCGTTCCTATTGTGTTGGTTAGATCCCGGCTTCTTTTTCTATTACTACTGCATCTCAATGAGCGTGAGGTATGCAATGTTGTGATGACTCTATTGAGTTCACCGGGAACTAATTTCGTTCCGCTTGTTGTTGTCTAACATTTGAATGGCTTGCAGAAGTCCCGTGTTGTGTATTCCTCTCTAGTTCAAATCATCCCTCTCAATCTTTCTATAAGAACAGAAATTCTTCTCAAGAGCCCCCGCTTTCCTTCATTAGTTGACGGGATCTACAAATATTGGAATGATAGATGCTCGCTGCCCCAAAACCATTGCTCAACTTGTCATCTCAAAGAACCCGAACGTTTTGTAGAGGTGTGGCCCTAAGACCATATCCAGGTTACAGCTTGTTTACGAGGACGCCAGGCCAAAATGGTTTGTCTAACCCAAAGAGAGGTGAAATAGAGCCACAAGGATTAGTAGCGATTATACACATTTTCGCCAGTAAACTACAGGGCCAGATGCAGATTCCTCTGGAAGTTGCACGAGAGCCAATGAGTTGCGCAGCTACCAGAGGCCATTCATGAATAGCTCTGTCGTGGCTGCTGATATATCTTGTCCCGATGTGAATATGATGGCAACCAGTGAAACCACCTTGGATGTCATTGTAACACCGCTGACTTCTCAATGCCACTAGTACGCGGCTTGGTTCATGTAGTATTATCTTCTATTATTTGAAAATATAATGCCATTAGGGTTAAGCGCCATATCGTTTCCGATGAGTCTCAGGCCACTAGATGGCTAGCCCCTGTGTACTGTCAACGATGCAACTAGTCTTAGATTCTCTCAGTCCAAAGAATATGGCACTATCTGTAACTTCTCAGTGAGCCTTTTTGGGCGTTCCACGCTCGATCACTGTTAGACCGGCATATGGGTACCCATTGGACGGAGTTGCCCACGCAACAAGTCTCAGTATCATGATTTGCGCCCCAGATCTAACCGCACCCTCAAGCTGTGCCAAAATAACATTTTTCTCATCTTAGAGTCCTTTATTTTCTTTAGCTACATATTACACACCCGAAAGAAATGGGGGAAACGCAAGCGTTGTCTATGTAACAGTATGAAATGGCGCCGCTTGGGCTTGAAACTCTTGATTCATTGTAGTGCGACCCCTCATCTTTCTTTCGTGTTAGAGAAGTCATCGAATCAGAGATTACCAAGACCGATATGAACTTAAAATTATCCAGTTCTTCACCCATGGAAGACAAGGAACAAAGAAGTTCACATTACACCCCGCAAAGAGGGATCTCTCTCTTCCTCTCTCGCGCTTTTGTGGGCCATGGACTCAGCTATAGCTTGCTATCATAATCCCTATTACTGGCCTCTCTAAGGGCATTGATATGTCATTAGAAGCCAGTAAATGATGGCAGTTAGCCTCCAACCGTTGACATGAATATTGAGGTCGCTGATTTGTAGTGCATGCCTGCCAAGGTGGTGGAATCAGCTTCCAGATGAATCGGGGGTTCTATGTCCCTGGAATGTCTCTCTTGTCCCCGATCTTGCGATACGTTTGTCTTCTCGAGTAATTATCGAAAGCCTTCCTCACGAACTAGTACGCTCACCTATAAATGAAGCCAAACTTTTGTATGGGCTGTTTCGGGGAACTGGGATTGGATTGATGTCTTCAGCAGTTCTACGATCTCGCGATTTACACAATCGGTGATGCGCACGACTGATGTATGTGAACCCCCATGGGCCTCCTCGCGGATGCAAAATCCGTGAATATCCAATTTAGAATACTAAAATTATAGTCATAAAGGCGGTATGAGAATGAGTATGTAGCCATGGAGACGGTTTATCCGCTTCGTGCAGTCCTTGCCTAGTGTAGCCACCTACCCTGTATCAACACCATACCCAGCCAGGATTACTACAGGCACAATGTTCTAACACTGTTTTATCAAACGCCACGATTACACATTCAGAGATCATTTCGATAACCATTGAGGAAGCATTTGAAACACTCTATCAACCGCTCTAGGTCCGTTTTAAACCGGATCACCAGAGTAGTTGTGGTGCAGCATGATGTTTCGGCATCAACGACGAAACTCCACTCCAAACCGGACCTCAGTCACCTTGAATACTGACAAAGCACATACACAGCCCAACAAAATGACCAGGCCGCAAAATGACATATGAAGAAAGCTCTTGTGCCAACAATGCATGCATGGATAAGTGTCCTAGACGTGCATGTATCGGGTAGCTGGCACCACCAGAAGGCCCTCACCGACCAAAATACGAATTCACCAACAGCCACAACACGTGCTTATCGCCGGCCACAAATGCAGAAGACGGAAGCGAGGCCCTACATGCATGCATCACGTACGCGTATTTGGAGAATCACATCCACCCTGCACTTGCAGCCAACCAACGGCAAACCGAGCGCTGGGGCCGCATTTTCGGCAGAAACTGCGAGGCCAACGGCGACCCGATGATCGGAGATGGCCTCCACAAGACGCAGGCAAGCAAACCTAGTGTCAGAAGACTTTTTTTCCCCTTAGTGTCGCCTATCACCAGCGCTATATTGGAGTCATGGGGGAGACTACGGGCGAAGGGTTTAGCGTTGTGGCTCGCCCAAGTGCGTTGCGCTACTGTAGCGTGTGTGCGTGGTTTGCTGTGAGGTGACGCTGGTAAATGTGTGTGAATCCCGACTGATTGCCGTGCGATACAACCCTACGGTGATACATACGCATGTTATCCTGACCTTCATCCCGTTTTTGCCACTTATTTGGAGCTGTCTGGAGAGAGGGGCGGCACTTCATATTGAAAACGTGGTGCCTGTCGAATAGGCGGTGAAGTAGGCGAAGGGCGAGTCTGCGACAGACGTGAAATGAACCAACATCAATGGATGGATGGCACCCGTTTCTAGGCTGTCTTGCGGTGGCGTGCGGACCATTATGGCCAGCGACGGTCGTACATACATACACGTACATTCATGCAGCGACGTGGACACGACGCGACACAGCATGTCATGTAATGTAATGTAATGCAGCCGCCTCAGCACATGGTTGGGCAAGTCACGGCGAGGGAAAGACGGGCTCCTCCGTCTCCAGTACGCCATGTCACGACAAGCCGGTCTCTAAGCTTGTTTTAGCCGGGCGGCTGGTGTGCGGGCCACGATCCCCCCTCCCGCATCAAATCACGGTTCTTGGTCAATGCCATGTGAATGCCGCCATCGATGCATAAGAGGGGGCCCCTCTGCCTGGGGGCGAATCACCGCCGACCGGCTGGGGGGCTCCTGATGGTGCTATTTACGGGTGGGGAGAGAGGAGCAGAGGGAAGCAAGGTACCGGAACGGCAGAGTAGCCGACAACTGGCCGGGGGGAAGGCTATGAGTCTGTGGATGAGGAGAGCAAGAGCAAGAAGGCAACAAAAGTATTACCCGACAGCTTCCCTTTACGAGGGTAGCATAGCCCGGGGTGGGCGTTTGCGTGACACAGAGGAAAATAGGACCTTGTACGGAGACTCACGCGCTCGCAGAATTTACCTTCTGACCTTATCTTGCATATCCGTGTACAGATGCACTGTGTCCCTTGCTGTGCATGCACAATTTCTTTTCCCTCCTAGAACTGGGAACCGAGGACGCAAACCCTCAATCATAGGAGCCGGTGGTATTATCCCCCCCGGGATGGATTTGCTCCAAGTCTCGGCGATCTGGCACAACTTCGGCGTCTGGTAGGTGGTATTATTATTATTCCCGGACCCGGTTGCTGAATGAGGGCATTCATTTGACCAACAGCGAGAACGACCACTTTTTGCTCGTCCAAGAGGCTAGAGCGCTGCCTGGACTCTGCTCAGCCAATCGACGCCTCGCCGTCGCTTGCAACAGTGAAGCCACCTCTTGCGCGCGCGTACATATACGCGAAGCCCTACCTACTGCCTAGCCGCTGACGAGGCCATACGCGGCACAAAAATAGAGTCCTTGTGAAGGTTGGTCGATTGGGTGATGATGCATCACAGGAGGGAGGGGCAAATGTGGGTTTGGGGTGTCGAATGCAAAAACCTGTGCAATGAAGTGAAGTCTCGTGTGTCCCTCTCTTAATTCTCCTGTCTTGGGTCGCATGGGGGAAGGATTGGCGCCCCTACACCCCGTGCGACTTGGGGTCGTGATGTAGCTGCTGAATGTGTGTATTGAGATTTGATTCTACGATTCTGGACCCCGGTGATTGGGTGCTACGGGCAGGCAGCAGGCAAAGCGCAGCATATGCCGGCTGTTGGTGGGATTTGTGAATATATCATGAATGGTGGGAGCGTGCAGGGGTGGGTGAGACAAGAGGTCGAGCTGAGAGTGAGCTGGAGGTGGGCGAAAAGCATGTGAAAGTAGGCTGTAGCCAGTCATATCGTCGGCATATCATATGGGATATGGGGGAAGCGAAAGGGAGGGCTGCGATCAGATCAAGTGAGGGTGAGATTGGCATAGGGATGGATGGATGGCATCACCAGCTGTGCCCCCTGAACGGGGCTTGGATCTACGGCCCAGCTCATCAAGTCGATTTGGCATTATCACAAGCCAAATCTGCAGCATCTGCCGACAGCCGGTGCGAGGGGGAGAGAGGTTGGGCAGCAGGGGCAGTCATGATGCTGATGGTTTCAGCAGTGTCTTGGTCGTACATGACTGCGCCCGCCAGACGGAGACGAATGTGTAAATAGAGTTGATGGATGGATATTCAGAGGCAGCCTGCAGCGACATCGGATAGTGCCGAGGCGAGAGTCTGGTGACTTTTGTCCCAGGCACGAGACGGGCTGGCCGGTCATTCATCCTTCGCCACCAGGCTGCATGTGCATTCGACCCTCCATGCATGCATACCTCCTGTGTCGCAGGCAAATGGCTCGTTGGAAGCTATACAGAGCTGGGCCTAGTTACTCGCAATAGGCTTCCTTGTGCCGCACAGAGCTGATCTCTTGCAAGGGTGCATCAGCAACGGCCCGAGGCTTATTTGTTCGTTCTTTGTGAGCTTGGAGTGGTATAATATTTATGCCTGCTGGGCTCTCCCTTCATCCAGTGATGAGTAGTGTTTGAATGTGAGGGCTGACGGAAGGAGAATCACCTCAAGCCTCTCTTGGAATAGCCAGAGCTATCTTTGTCTTGCCCTCAGCTGGAGTGGCTTGGTCACATCACATCCATCGCATCACCTCGCACACAGCACATACCGATAGACGTCAGTGTCACTTACACTCGGGCTGTACATATTTCAATCATAACTCCCCTCGCCCCTGGCATTTGGTGATTTAGACTTGATATCCACCTCCGCGTTGTTGGACGTTGATTAATTCATTTATTCAACCCCAAGACAGCAGGCGTCAACCACCGAACAAAGACCTACCTGATCTGACCGTCAGTTTATTTTGTACTATTACCAATACAATCCTGACTCTTTCCAGCCAACATCATCGCATTACGCCTCGCCGCTTGTGGCCCAAAGCACACCATCTGTGGACCGGAGCTTCTTGGCTCTTGGCTCCTGACTTTATCAAGTTTATCCACGCACGCTATTGCGGTTGACTCCATCGTGCGGTGGAGCTGGGCCAAACCCCTCCCCGCGATCCCCTTGAAGCGCTCCACGGCTTGACGCTATTCCCAGCCTTTCTTCACGCCATTCCCACGCTTTGCTGGCACCGCGCCGCCGCTTGTGCATGTGCAGCCGCTTCTGGACGAGCACCGCTCGATTGCCAGCATCTGCAGGCCGTCGTTAATTCCCGCGGCTGGCCAGGATCCCGCCAAGCGAGCCAGTCCCCTAACCCACAATTGGCCTCACCGCTTCTCCCCTGATCCATACTCCCTCCCGTCTCGTGAGTGACATCTCAAACGTGCAACCCCATTGTTTTCGCTCGCCCCCCGGCCCTGGCCTGTCTGTCTGTCTTGCCGCCTGCTGCAAGGTTAGCTAGCCTGGGGCTTTTTGCAGTTTTCTCAGCTGCCGCATGCATTGGCTGCCTCTAACACGACGACTGACTGACAGCCGCCTGCACCAGACGGCGACGCAATTCCAGCCTGCAGCTCAAAACGACGAGGGTATCCTGCTTCATCGTCCCTCCCGAGCCAGGCCCGGTCTCCTTTGCTCGTCTTCATCCTTGCCTCGCCACGGCACTTGGTCACTAGACTCCAGGTGCTACTGCGAACCAAACCCACCTACTTACAGCTCCGGCGGCGGATCCTCGCCTCAAGAGCCCCTCACCCTCGTCCCTCGCCCGTTGTCGTCCTTCACCTGACTGGACGCTTCTTGTCTGTATCGTCGTCTCCCGGGCTCCATCGGCTGTCCCCTGTTGCGCCGCTACTGGCTTTGCGGCGGGGAGTTTTCTCAAAGAGGGCCTGCACAGAGGGTCGCACTATCTTGTCTCGTCTTGCCAACCGGGTTGATTCATTTATTAGTCCTGGCCCAGGTCGTCAAGCATATGCAGACCGCAACTCTGCCTCTCCTTCTGCCCATCCATGTCTCATAATCTCGAGGTTCCATTCGACGCATCGCAATTTTGATAGTTGCCCAGAGGCGAAATTACGGGACTCCTGATAATCACCTACAGCTTCGGTCTGGGTCTTTGATGTCGTCTCCCGCCTGTGGCTGGCTTTCACCGACTTTGGGCGCCATAACAAATCTCCCGATTCGACTCCTCGACGATTGCATCACCCGTCTTCATTAACCCGCCGCCTTTTATTCGCTCGCTCATTTCATCTCGCTACTTAGATAAAGACGCCGTCCCGTCCGTTCTTTCTATCCCATCCGATCTCAGGTCAGGGACTTTGGTCTCTTCCATGACACCAGCCTTGATCTCATCCACCCCCACCCCATACTTGATATTCAATAATAATACTCCATCACCGTCCACCTCGCACATCAATGGACCATGGCTGCTGGCCTAGAACATAAGCCGAGCATGGCGGCGTCCATGGCCGCCTCGGTCGCCACGCAGGACACCACCTACCACAGCTTCTACGACGTCGAGATGTCCAACACCCCGCCGCCGCAGAAGCACAAGACGCCCGAGCCCATCGTGCGCAACGTCTCAACCCGCAGCAACGCCACGGCCCGTCGCCACTCTCACGACCGTCCCACGACCGCCGGCCAGATCAAGCGGCAGGACTCGGGCTACGGCTCCAGCTCCGTCTCCTCGCCCCGGCCGTCCACCTCGTACTCGCGTCCTGCCGCCCCCCGACGCTCGTCCACCACCAACGCGCACACCTCCTCCTCCAAGACGAGCTCCGGCCTCAGCGTCCTGCGCAACCGCACCCGTCCCTCCACCCGCCGCTCCTCCAGCAAGTCCTACCACCTGCACAACACCAATAACACCTCCTCGTCCCTGTACCTCGTCCGCCCCGGCCACACCCAGCAGCAGAGCCCCAACCAGTCCCTGGCCGCCTCGCCCAACACCTTCTTCCACTTCCCGAGCCCCAACCCCATGGCAGCGCTGGCGCCTCCTCCTCCACCCCGGGAACCGACGCCCGCGCCCTCCATCCCTCCCCAGGCGCAGCACTACTGGACCAGCGACCGCACCCGCCGCCTCGAGTACGCCGCCATCGACGCCGCCAGCCGCGGCGTCAAAGGCTGGATCAAGCGCAACCTCATCCCCGACTGCTTCGTCGCCGAGGACCGGCACGTCGCCTTCGACGACGACTCGGGCAGCGTCCGCCGCTACCGGCTCGAGCTCGAGGAGGAGGCCCCGGACGAGAAGGCCAAGCCGTGCCGCCGCAGCGCGTCGTGGCACTTCTGGAGGAGCAAGGAGCATCAGCATTCTTATTAAAGCATTTTCACCGGCATTTTTGGCATTTTTTACTGCATCATACCCTTTCCCTTTGGGAGGGGGATCTGGAGTTTAACCTGGCATCATAGGGGGCCATTAGCTAGGGAATTTGGGGTGGGCGGTTTCAATAGAATTCGCCCACCCTTTCCCCATCGCTTATCCTTACCCTGATGCCCTTTTGATATTTACTTTCCTATTGTTGGTTTTATACCCTGATACAGTTCTAGTTTTGCATACCCGCAAGATTTAGTAAGGAACAGAGAAGAGAACGGGCCTGCATATGCATTCTTTCGCCACTACCCCGGCGAATGATGCTTTTTTATGTTCATTTCGCATTTATCTTAGGACCATTTACTGGCGTTATATACCCCCGGGGGAGAGCCCTCCCTGAATCTTTTATTTTGGAGAGTTCAATTGTAAATTTGTTTGCGCTTTTTGCGCCATGGCAGATTGGGGAGGGCTCTTCCCTTATTTGCATCTGCGTTGAGGATGAGTTAATTGATTGACGTTGCAAATGTGTATTTGAATACCTTAGCTGAAGGAGGGTGTTGGATAGATACTTGCATGTTTGGATGTGATATGTCTTATCAATAGTATTTGAAGATTGTTCTTTTGCCAATTGTCCTGGTGTTTCGATGTGTGTGTTTGCCTTTGAGACTAAGATGGCGCGCCGAAGAGCAGGCTCACGATCTTGCCGACACATTGAACAGACAAAAATCTGAATAGAATTGAACGGAGGGTCTGTAAGGTTAGATAAGTCTACTCTTCCACTTCGCGGCCACTTCTTTAGCGATTTCGAACAGGAACGCTCGGGAAACAAGAGGCTCGGTATTGAGACGGCCACTTACGGCACAACTACTCGCAAAGAGGTTTCTACCATTACCGAGGTAGATAGCAATAGAACACACAGAGTCAAGTAGTAGGTACCGTAAGGTGCATGCGAGATTTACTAATAACTTCACTTGCGCAAATGGAAAAGAAGGCTGGTTTAGGAGGAAAGTTGTTTCGTCTGAATTTGTCGATGGCTTCGCCTTACTCGTAAAGCCTTGTGGTAAACTGGAACTACGGGACCTGGGAAACTCGGCCTAGGAAGAGCATACTCTTGAACAACTTCAACCGGGAGGGCCAAATTCAATTCTTTGGTAGCAAATGCTGGCAGTAGAGTGGAAGTGAATGAATTTCCCTCCGCTGGCTCTGAATTGCTGAAAAATTATGCGGATATATCTGTCGAGGGGATCAGGCGTCTTAAGCAAAAGCCTATAATCACCCATGTAAATATAGCATCTATATCAGTCGAGTTTATGACAAATCTTTTGGCTTTGGAATTAAGTGAATTTGGAATAGTTCTTATATAGTAGGACTGGGTGGCTGCTAGATATGATGTGGCGCCTGATGGATTTGGATGCATTACAATGCCTTAATCTCTCATTCATGGCTCAAACTAGAAGAAAGAGATGACACCTGGGGTCCTTGATAATGACGAAACTCACTTTCTAGGCAGTCATGTAGTGTTGGGAATTTTCGACTTCTCTGGTAGGCTATCAAGCGACTGTCCGCCCATAGCTTAGTAGCATGAGGTTTTTAATCAAATGAACTTCCATGCGATTCCTTTGAAACATTACCTTAGTCCCGTCCGTTTTGAGGCGTTTGAACTGATATTGCTCAGCTGAACGTGTAAGCCTTTGCAGTGTTCGCTAGAGACGCAGACCAATGTCCGCAAGCTGGACAGGGCGTGAGTTCCATCTACAACGAAGTTCCTTCAAGAACGAATCATAGTAACAACCCGATGGTATCCACAAGAAGGCTTTTCAAATTAAATAAAGTATGAAAGAAATTATGCAACCCTTAGCGGAAGTGAGCTTTAAACTACTTGAAGAATCTAGAGATACTCCCGTACCAGACCTGGGCCATATGTCCACCCCGCCCACAGGGCGGCCCCCAAAACTACCCATGAGATAAGCCCCCTTCCAACGAGGATCCTCTTGACCATTTTCATCTGAGCTGAGTCATTGAGACGGGGAAATGGTCGACCATCCTTGGGCGGCGCCTTGCCAAGGGCCTCGCAGACCGGGTTCCAACCATCTGAGGGGTACCACTCTACAACCTTCCGCCCACGCTTCTTGGCTTCCTCTCTCACCCATTCATTGTGCAGGTGGTAAAATTGGGTGGTGTATAGACCCTCGATACTGGGAAATCTTTCCTTGAGACGCTGGTACGCGCGAATGTGCAACCAATAGTGAAGCCGGTCCGTCTGCCACAGAAAGGTGGGCACGTAGTACCACATGGTCCCGAAGAACTGGAGGCTCTGTCCGATGCTCTGCAGCCAGGCCTCTGCGCTCTGACGCTGGTTCAGGATGACGATGGCATCCGGGTACATGTCCATCAGGTCGTCAGTAAAGACCCATCCAGGGAAGTCGGAGGTGGCTTGGTAGCCGTCGAAGGCTTTGTGGAGGATCTTCTGGCGCTCCTTGGTGTTGGTTTCCTTGAGGGCAGCGAGAATCAGCTTCTCGCGATCGGCGTGGGGTGCGATGTGAGCCATGTGCATGCATGGCTCGTAGCCCAGGACGTCAGACTCCAGGGCGGCCTGGAGGGAACTAGTGGCGCAACGGGATAGGCCGGCAGCAATGACCTTCATGCAGGGGGCCTTTGATTCGACCTTGCGGTCGTCAGAGAGGAAACGCATTTTGTGAGTAGCTGATGAGGAAGCTTTAAGGGGAGGGCTGTAGGGCTGAGTGGGAAGAATGACTGCCAGGTCTGGGGGAAACCCAACCGCACAGCCCATCTTATTTATAACCCGGCCATTTTACAATTTAAGCCACGCCAGCCAATTGCCTCAATGGTTCATGGGGTCGATGCAATGAATCTGGATGCTGGTATCAATATGCGTTCTGGTTTGATGGCTTCCGGTATCGTCAGCACTAGTGACGGTGATGTATCCCAGTTGAGAGTTGCGGATGTCGGAGATCTAATTATAATACTAGCCGCCGAACCGGCTTATTTCCAATGCGATCAAACGAAACCTGTTTTGACCATTTTTAAATTAATTGAGTTTTCATCTAGAGGCGGAAATTTCTGACATTGTTTCCCACTTCGTAGGTGGATTGTATGGCAACGTTTCATGAATGACGAACTCTCTTGGCATAGCCTGAAGGTTGGCGCCATGGTGGTGGCACATGGTTTGAGGAGCAACACGACAAATCTCATGTGGTTGAATAACCGACCGCTGGAAGTTGAGAAAACTTGTAGCTAGTTGAACTTTAGATGGCTGTGAATTACGTTTATGGAGCCGATAACAGTCTCTTTCTGCCCTTTAGTTTCCTTTCAGGTTGATAGATGAAAGTCCGAGCTAAGCCTAAAGTAGGGACTGAAATTGAGGCATCGACTCGTCTGGGCTTGTCGATATCCTGAATACTAGCGAGAGGCCATTTAACTAACGAAGAAGAAAAAGAAGTTTGCCCTGTGTTTCACTAGACGATACCTTCAAATCGGTGGGAGAATTCAACGCTTTCATATGATAGCCCTGGTTGAAGCTGGAGCCTATTGTAAAGTTAGGAATGGAATGTATGCTGCTAATAAAATATTCATTTAGAAGAGTCTTTGATTGATATATACTATCTTATAATCTAGAGTCAGTCTACTGGAATGATAGAGGCTCTTGTTTTCGTGAGTGATGTTGGATTAGGTCAATCTTGAGCGTGAGCTAGACCCTGAACGATTCTTTTAGATGTTAGGAGTCTAGTCGCCTGACGGTTAGGTTTTCGAGTTCCATTCCGTGTCCGAGAATGCTTTCATTGAATGAAGCTGAATCCTAAAGCCCGTTATGAGAGCCTTCTTTAGTGGCGTTGACGTCTCATCTCGAGCTAAGTTAGCTAGCCAGATAAGATGATGCCGAAAAGGGATATTATGAAACAATTTCTACGATTCGATATAGCATGAAGCGGAGAATCAGTTTCCGTTTCGTGGTAAGCTACATTTGGCTTAGATGGTATATTGAAGGACGGTGGAAAATCGCCAGCCAAAGGCCGTTCACGGGTAGGGCTGTAGAGTAATTGTGGAACTACTTATCTTTTTTCAAGTCGTGCTCTTAGCCCAAGCCATCGGTCGAATGACACGCATGAAGGCTCAGCCTATCTGCTTCTTATCACCTCGTCACACCGTTCATTTCTCCTTCCCTTGTTGGTTAGATTCCCGAAATCTCCGCATTTTTGTCAGCAAAGAGTCCGTCAAACGAGCTGACGACAATCCGTCCCTTCTCCATTGTGATTGACTCTATCTTCTTAAGAAGTCCCGGAAACAACATTGTATCAAACATATTCCAACCAAGCCAACCATGCATGATGAACTAAATGCTCTCCTCCCGCCCAGTCTGCTCCAACAGGCAGCAGAGAGCTGGATGGCCTTAACCAAGACTGAGGAAGTGCCTGACTTTGGCAAGGCAGTGAAGAAAATGCTCTTCTCACATGACGATAAAGTCTCTGCAATACGACCCAAAGTATGGCCTGCGTTGGAGTACATTAGCAAACTGGGACCGGACCATTTACCAGATTGGTTTTCACTTTTGCCCCCAGTTGATAGCCCTGATTTTCCCACGCAGGCGCTGGGGCTGACAATGGTACTGGACCAAGCTCCACGCAACTTCTTCCAGGGTATAGATCAAAGATGGGTTGGCGGCTACTTCGATGATATTTCCCTGGGCTTTGCGCGATCGCTTCAGAAGCTCGCACCCGATCTACGTCCAACCTCATGGAGCCGCTGGAGGGACACCGCCAGTTTCGAATACTTCATCTTTGCACGGATGAGTTTTAGTACCCCATTTGTTCATAACGAACATGCAAGCGAGGAGGCGATGGCGTTTACTGATGAAACAAGAACTTATATTGAGGAGCGATTCAATGTCCGGGACCCCATCCGGCAGCAGCCAGAAAGACGTTGGGATTTGCTGGGATTTCCCAAACTCATCTCCTCTGGTGGTCCGGAGGGTGATGTGGACATTGTCAAGGGGGGGTTTTGGCTGTTGGAGCTAATGGATGTCCATAAACCCCCTTTGGACGAATTCGGCCGCTATCCGTACAGAAACTGGCATCTTGGACGAGATATGACGGCCGAGGAAGAGGCGTGGATCCGAGATGCTGACTTCTTCAAACCACCACCAGAAGAGGTCTGCAAAAAGATCAAGGAGGATATTGAAGCAAATATCTGGTCGCCCCTTGGAAGCGGCGGGAAGCCAGATATTTAGGGAAACATACTAAGAAAGACAACCACAACCGTTCGAAGTTGATCAAGTAATATGCCCCTGTGACACCAAGATCCCGACTCTCGAAAAGTGCAACTTTTCTGGATATTAGAGAATGCCTGAAACGGGGCATCGGACTCCATGGTCAAGAATTTTAAACCGAGAGCATATAGGGCAAAAGATTTTTCATTGCTTAAGCCTTCTTCGGCATTTCCTAACTTACAGGTAGGATATTCTGGCGCTCTACCCTGAAACCAAATCTTTGTTTTTTACTGAAACTTTAAGTTCTATAATGAGGAACTTTAATATACCATTTAGCAGCCGTCATGGCCTATTTCTATAACCCAAATGTCCTTTTCTTTTAAAGGAAGCCGTCAACGGAGGCCACGGGGGGCCCCAAGGGATCAAGGAAACGCTTGAAGTCCCAACTTTTAATTTGCTTTGACTATTTGCTTTGACTATGCAGCGAGATTGTGTTGCCTTCCCTGAAGAGGTCAACGTTACGATTGGTACCTTGTCGTAAAGCGCCAGCTAGAAACAACCCATGACAAAGCCATCTTAGTATCGGAGGGCTCCCTGAGCATATCACCTGCACAAAATTATGTAACGACTATACGCATACCGCTTTCCAAACGTCTACCATAAAATACAGCATAGAATCAACGATATTGTCTTGTTGAATCACTATTCTTACCTAGTAACCCCATATCATGTATAAGATTCTTAGCAGTGGCCGTCTTCCTCCACAGCGTGATATCCTCGGCAAACCTCAATCACAGACCAACCAAACCTATTCATCAAATGGCAGAAATACACAGTCACTCACCAAGACGCAACGAAATTGAGACTCATCTGTGTGCACCTCCGAGTACGAAAAGCTGTCAAATGGGTAGCTACGAATACATCTGGAGTCGTTCGTAAACACGGCTACCTCACTAGGGATGATGATACAAACATAGCATCCACCTACCAAACAAAGTAGACATAGTCCGAAATAATCGCTACTAATATCCCCATTGCTTCATCTAAAGAGTCATCCAGTTCTCTCCGACCGCTGGCAGCTTGCGCAAGTTTGGACTAGCCGACAGTGCTCCCTCCTTTAATCATATGGGTTGTGCCGAGTCAGCCTCAGCTACTAGGCCCCGATAAAAGTCAAGCAATTTTAATCCTCTTAAAGTCCGACCTGACTGGAAGATTAGGCCATCTAACACGGTCTCCGTAATGGGCCGTCAAATAAGGACCAGAAGCACCGTTTAGGGCGACTCAGAACTTCAGGGGTTGAGATAAAGGTATTAACATGTGATGTCAGTGAGGCATCACACCTTGAAGCAGCATTGGTATCTATCCAGGGTATGCCCCCTATCAGGAGTGATCAACTGCGCAATGCAGCTTCAAGATGGGATATTCCAGAAGCTAGGCGCAGACCAGTGGAACTCTGTCCTCAGGTCGAAGGTCAACACAACAAAGAACCTTCATCAATATCTTCTGTCAGACCTAGACTCTATCATTTGTCTCTCTTCTGTCGCAGGCATAATTGGGTCCCGAGGGCAGGGCAATCACAACTCCGGCAATACATTTCAAAATGCTTTCATGCATTATAGGCGTAGTATTGGGCTCCCAGGCACAAGCATTAACCTCAGTCTAGTCACAGATATAGGTGTGGCCACTGAGAAAAACGAAGCATTTCAACTTCTCAGTAGCGGAGGCCTCGTAGGTATGATCGAATAGCATGTACTCATTGTAGTGCGCGCGGCCATGGCTCAGCAGACGCCCTCACAATCCATCATTGGTATCTCTCGTCAGTCCTATTTCAAACGAGCCGATATTACCGAGCCGTACTGGCTAGCCGAAGCTCGCTTCCTCCCACTCAAGGCCGACAGCGAACACGGTCAAGATTCACAGGGCAACGGAGATTAGAATTTCGAAGCAGAGCTTTCTAGGGTGTCTTCGCTGGCTTCGGCCGTCGAAACTGTTCTCACAGGTATAATGCAGAGGCTGGCCAAATTGACGAATCGTGCCCTGGAAGATCTGGACTCGAGTCAGCGCCCTCTGTGTACGGAGTTGACAGTCTTGTCGCGGTCGAGTTGCGGAATTGGATTTCTACCCAGCTAAAGAGTAATGTGTCCATATTCGAGATTGTGGGCAAGCGTTCGGTTGCCGAATTGGCAGCAAACATCGCATCCCAGTCGTCATACTTACCTCAAGGAGTATAACCACTCAGTACAGGTTACGGGTGTACACATCTGCGGTTCTCACACAACTCATCATTGGTTCTGGTTTTTGAAAGGAGTCCATACAGCTAGGCTTTCTGGGCTTGTTTTCAAACTCTCACGCCACTAGCATGCCATATCTTTAGTTCCTACACTTTCGAGTTCGAAACGTCAAGTCGGGGATCTATGTAGCAGTTCCCACGCCTGCATCAGCAAAGTACTGGGGTGAACCAGCTGATTAAAAGCGCCAGCCCTCGACACACTATTAGTGTACACTCTGGCGCCAAGTTGCACCTCCAAATCTTCGACACCTCCAATTTTTGACACCTATGTATCATCCCCTAATTCAAGTTCATCAACCGCGGAAGGGCGCTAGAATCAAAATGGAAGCGCTATATAGTTTTATCATAGATACCAGCGGATAAGAATAAAAATATACTGCAAAGCAATAGCGTCTAATTACATCTAGCATCAGCGATCCAGATATTATCACAAAGGTCAATAAAAAGGCTCCTTACAGAGATCCAATCAATATAGCAGAGGAAGTTAAGTTTGCAAAAATCTAGCTTTCATAGCGGGTTTGATACATACCAAACGAGTTTACTACGCCCCAGCTGCCCGCAAGTATTATCCAAGAACACAAAACCTATGCCCAAGCCTGGATTCCGCCGTCAGGAACAGCGTCCGGAACAGTCATCTTTTATCGAGATCTTTAGTTCGCTTTATCTGCGCTGGGCTGGACTTTTATCTACGGGATCAGGTGCTAAGCCTGTATAAAATCAGCCGGAGACTAAAGAACTCTCCCGCCAGTCACTCGGGTCAATTGAAAAGCGAGTGCATTTCGTTTGTACAACAGCGATTAGCCCATTCTAAGCAAAATTTTACAAGGCCTAAAGCTGTGGGGGAATGCTGGGTTGGCCGACTAACTATTGGACCCAGATTCATTCCTATTCCGATCAGCACCTTGTTTTAGCTTCAACATGTGAAAATCCTCCACCGAGCTATATTGTTACTACGAGTTGGTTCTAGGAGTGAATAGCAGCGTTGTGGATCTTTTTATCTCCGATTATACCAAAACCCTAGGTAGACAGCGGTCTAAGATATCCTTGCCGGCCGATATGATCGATTGAGCATTAATAACTATTTTGCTTTGACTCATCCTGTGGCGGTTCAGCGAATTATAATAGATAAGGGTCTCGGGTAGGTCAGGGATGTAATCAATCAGAGGTGTTCTGAGTGGGATGATCAAGTTTTCTTGGCACGTGTACTAGTCACAGCTAATGTGCGAGCACTGAAGAGCTAGTCTCAATAAAGGTGGTAGCAATCATGTTAATCACTGTCTAAGACAGTGTTTTCTAGCTAAGAAATGAATACCTATATATGATAGGAGACTCATTGAGGCTCAATGGGTGACTTACTCGTGATTGGCGAAAGAAAGTGGGACACTCCACGTGACGTCCCGTGGTCGGTGATAACACACACAACTGTTTTCCGCACCTACCGAGCCTGCACCTAACTCCCTCAAGCGCCCTACTAGAAGATAACACGCGAGCAAATTCTGGTTCTAATAAAGGCTAGCTGCTGTCTAGTAATAGCCCCCTAGAACCAGATCTTCTATATCTTTATTTAAATAGGTTAGGAGGTATAACTTTCTCCAGCAGTATTAATTTCGCTATAGCCAATAGAACGTCTGTTTTCTTCCCCTTCCTCCCTACTCCCTACTGAGTGCCATTACCATCACCCTAGTAATCTCTCAAAGAGGCCGACGGGGATGGATTACTCATCTATCCCTATCGTGTTCGCTCTCAGAGTAAGACGCTCCCTTCACTTCACTTACACTACTCCGTGCTAACCACCTCTGCTCTACTTACTCATACTATTCCCGACCTCATAAGCAAACTAACCGCCGAGCACCCTGGCGGGTGACGTAGCCATCGCCATCATCATCCAATGCCTTATCAACTGGCTCATTGAGTCAATCCTCATCACCACAGATCTAGCTAAACAGGGCATCCCACCCCGCCGCTGGCTATTCCTCTTTGACTGGCCGCAGCCGCTGAAGTTCTTTTCCAAACCTATTCCAACAGGCCGTAAGGGGCTTTAGGATAGCCTTCCTAAGCTTCACCCTCTTTTAGCCCCTTTCCGTCGGCGTGCTGACCGAGCTGGGCCCTACTAGTGTCGACGCCCGTCATAGTCATGTTTTGGCTGGTCAAGGCCGGGTGGGAGGGCAACTTTGTCCCCGGACGCCCTCAGGTTTAATTTCGCAAGAAAAGGAGTTTGAGATTGTTTTCACGCGCCGCATTCTTTCGGTTTATGCTTGGGTCTTGTCACAATTGGCATTTTGCAAGCGCAGCATTGTTAAGCGGCGCTGGCGATTATTTGGAAGTTTGGAACCAGTGTTCAGGGGTTTTGTGGGCTGCAGATTTTATGGCGTACATACCTCTAATAGCGAAACGAGATCATCTCATTCTTGAGCGATGCAAAGGGTGAAAAGTATGGACATAGCGAGCACTACGATAGATGATCGATCATATAATTTCTCTCATCAGCGCGGCACAGAATTTAGATTGTAATATTGACAGAAGCAATGGCAGTTTAACATTTGATGGTGTACATTTTGAAGGTTTGATAACTAGTTGACTTGAAAAAGATTATCAATATAAAGTCTAGCACACAACTTCCATACAGGATAGCATAGCGCGTTGGGAATGCAAAAAGATTGACAAAGACCTGCTACTATATCAACCACAATCTAGCCTGCCCCGACTGTTTTGATAAGAAAGATATTTGTATAGCACTGCAGTCCCCCTCTGTGGCAAGTCTACTGCTTGAATACCTTAGACATGGGAATCCCCGCTGAGGGGCGCTGGTTAGTCGTAATCTTAGAAAAGGGCGTTTTTCAAGCAATCGACAACACTGCTTCCAGACTCCGCCGTGGTCGAGAGACAAGTTAACGCCCCGCCAACGGCAAACGGACCAAGCGCCGCGACGCAAAGCGGAATGTCCACGATAAGCTTCGCTGCATCATCATTCTCGAGGTTGGAACATGCGGGGGGCAACTCTGCGATGCAAGTCTCCTTGAAGGCATTCAGGAGACAATTGACAATATCGCTGCCTACCGAACTGACTGAGATGGAGGTAGTGACTAAGCACTGCGCTGCGTTACCTACGCCATATGCCCCAAGGGAAGCAAGGCAGGTTGGAATGGCTGTAATGAGCCCCAGCCCATTGCTGTTCTGAAGACCACTGCAAGTTGGAGGGAGCTGAGTAACGCAGGTCTGTCCCCCAGTGCTCGGGGTACAAGAGTCACCGCCCCCATTGCTCGATCCAGGCGATGAAAGGCCGAGGGCCGTCTCGAGGCAGCTAACGACTCCTGTGCCGGTTGAAGAATCGGTAATTGAAGAGGAAGAGAGGCAGGTGAGAGCTGAACCAACTGCAAACGGGCCTAGCTTCAGTGTACATATAGCAAGATCCGGTATAAGAGCAAGTCCGGTCGTGCTCTTCAGGTTTTCGCATTCCTGGGGGAGGGTATTGATACAGCGGCCCTCAAATGCGGTGGTCAGACAGTTGATAATATCACTTCCGGCAGTAGATAAATTGATACTAGACGTAGTCAGACAAGTCGCGACGTTACCAACAGCAAATGGACCCAGCGCCGCAAGACACAAGGGAACAGCTGGGATGAGAGCAAGTCCTGTGAGCGACTCAATTTGGCTACAAGCTTGAGGAAGCGCCGTCACGCAAGCTGACTGAGTGGGAGAACCGGTTGGAACGCAGCTGGTGGGTGTCGACGTTCCAGAAGGCGACGTTCCAGAAGGCGACGTTCCAGAAGGCGACGTTCCAGAAGGCGACGTTCCAGAAGGCGATGTTCCAGAAGGCAACGTGTCGGAAGGCAACGCGCCAGAAGGCGATATGCCGGAAGGCAGTGTGTCGGAAGGCAACGCGCCAGAAGGCGATATGCCGGAAGGCAGTGTGTCGGAAGGCAACGTACCAGAAGGCGATGTGCCAGAAGGCGCCATTCCAGAACGGGATTGTGTTCCAGTAAGCCCATCACCGCCACCACTTCCGGTGCCCGCGTCTGCGCCTGGGGAAGAGGTGGCTTGTGAATTCTTTCCCGCTCCAAGGTCGCCATCAGGGCCCAGTCCGTTGCCGTCACTAAACCCAGGAATATCCCCGTCCCCAACCACAGCAATCGGAGAACTACCAGGGATAGGCTCCCCGCTAGGCCCTGTAGGAAAGAGTGTTCTTGTTGGTGGGCTGGAATCACCGCCAGGTACTGTAGTTATCGAAAGATCCTTGTTAAAGCCTGGTGCACCGATAACAATAGTAGCGGGCTCTCCAGGACGTTGAGGAGGTAGGGTTACCCTTGGGCCATCTAGCTCAGCCCCGGGGAGTATGATTGTCTCGAGCCCATCAGGGCCCAGTCCGTTACCATCACTAAACCCAGGAACATCCCCGTCCCCAACTACGACGATCGGAGAACCACCAGGGATAGGCTCCCCGCTAGGCCCTGTAGGAAAGAGTGTTCTTGTTGGTGAGCTGGAATCACTGCCGGGTAGTGTAATTGTTGAAAGGTCCTTGTCAAACCCTGGCGCACCGATGATAACGGTAGCGGGCTCTCCAGGACGCTGAGGAGGTAGGGTCACCCTTGGGCCATCTAGCTCGGCCCCGGGGAGTTTGATTGTCTCGAGCCCATCTGGGCCGATGTAGGCGTTGGCGGTTGGCTCAACTGGCTCACAAATGATGACGGTGCCTGTACATACAGCACATTCCGGGTGAACAGTTGAAACAGTAGGGTAGGGACCGTAGCCCTTTTTTGTTGTCATTGTTACAAACTCGGCATCGTTGGGCTCATATTGAATAAATGTGGCAGGGCAATCGCTGCATGCAGGAGCAATGGTCTCATTCCAGCCCTCAGGTGCATGAGTTGGCAGTGTGAGAGTAACTGGGGGCGGAGTGGAACAAGCGGTGGCCTGAGCGGTGGTCTGTGGCGGGCATTGGTTGTAACACGCCCCGAATTCCAAGTATATCATACTGGTAACCTCAACAGTAACGATATCTGGGTACTGCTGATATCCGGGTTTCCCAGCTAGTGCATGACCAGTCAGGAGCGATGCCAGGCCAGCTGTCCAAGACATGGCTTGAATGAGATTGATGCCTTTTGCCATTTTGATCTATGTCTCCTGGAAGGTGTTCTATGATTAGGTGACTAGAAGCAAGTAAATGATGGTCGATGTGTGCAAGCTAAAGCTATTGGACATCTTGGGGATATTGAGTAGTGTTTAAATAGTCTGACTGGAGCTTACTGAATCTGCAGGTGAGTAGGATAATAATGTTGCATTCCGAAAGGTGAAGGAAAGAAATTTCCAGTAGCCTATCCTTGGAATTCGGCTTCTAAAGAAAGGCAATATCCCAGCTGCGTGGAAGGATTTTTCAGTCTTTTCCTCCCTTGTTGTGGATCAGTTCAGCTGTCTTCTCTCATTTTCAGGTGTGATGAGATTTTTTTTGCCCAGCAATTGGCTGATATCTCATGGGCCATAATTCGGCAGGCAATTTCCTTGAAGCCGGGAGATTATATAGGCAGCGTCTAACAAAAATGCCTCTCACGAAATGAGCGATTCAACTTAAGACTTCACTTGCCATAGGAGATAGGAATTGCCTGGGCCCACCAATTGGTCATGGAGGGATTCAATGATATGCGGCTTCCTCGACGGCAAGAGTCCAGAACATCATATAAGACACGAGTGGACTGATGTTAGAAGTGACAAAGTGCTACTTGAGTTTGGTGTTTGGAAGTAGCTTTTGAGGAAGAGGGTCGCGGGGGCTGTAGAGTGTGGAGGATCTCGATAACTGTAAAAGCTTGGATCATGATGGGGGGCACTTAAGGTACGATCTAGAATGAAGATTCAGTGTTAAAAATTCTCTGGTGCGATGAGATATTCAGTAAAGAAGGAGAGGTAAAGGAAAAGAAGGGGAGAGGGAGACAGGAGAGAAAGGAAGGGGATAAGCGACGCGTTGAGCCTGTGCGCGCCTGGCGAATCCTCACTTCAACACACCATTCCAAAGGGCCTTACGCAACTGGCTTGACTGCTGGCTCTGCTCTACTCGGCGCTGAAAAACTAGTACGGAGTGAACTGGCGGCTTCAAAGGCGGAAAATGAACGCCCGTTTTAGTGCCATTTGTGAGTCACCGGACACGTACTTGTAGCTCTAGCTTTGCGTTTATCCTCGATGATAAAATGAAGTGGCTGGTCCCCGTGGAAGAAAGAACTCAATGACAGGATGGAGGCTTATCTAATGCGTGTGGGTGCCATGACTTAATCTGCCATCAAATGGTTACCTGGCGAGAGCAATCAGCTGGAGAGACGCGCAATGTCCACTTCCAGCTTCCAACGTGACGAAATAGCACAGTACTCGCCTGCGATCTCAGATATTTGGTGCATGCCGCTTTCTTTCTTCCTGTTTCCAATTTAATCTCTCTTCTGTAGCTAAAGCGACGACTGACCAATGTAAATCTGTAGCGCGTCATTAAACTGGTCGTGAAGATTGGGCTGGGATATCGCAACTCTTGAACTTCTGGGAGAGTCAGCTTCCTCCTACGACATCGCCTGTAACACTGTAATAGGTTTTCAGCTAATCTACCTGTAAAATACTTAGTACGATTTCAAGTATGCGGCCAAGTCAGATCCCTTTGGCGATCAAGTTCTCTTCACAATCAATGATGAGCTAGTCACCCAGCATGCTAGATATCCCGTCATGTCCTTTATGTGGTGCGCTATTCCAAGTCCAGACTCATATGACGGATGAGACTTCATATTGTAGAGTATGAATTTAGTCATATGGGATTTCCCTGTACTATTATCGTAGTTCCAGCCAGTACAGCGAGCAACGTTTCCGGTCAGGTCGCTTCGTTATTGACACCTTCAGTGGCCACTAGCCTCACAAAGAACAATGACAAGAAGAACCTTGGTAGTAGTTTTCGGGGCTTATATCCCGCTCTTTCCGTCTATTACTTTCGCCTCTACGTCTCTTGTAAAGATTTGCGTGATACGGAAAGGGCGACATTGAGTATAGATATTATGAGATTGGTTTAATGTGTATTGCAGTGTCGGACACTCTGAACAGTCAAAGGTTTGAGGTAATGAAATTTGGTATGATATTTCATGTTTTGCGTTTTAATTATCACAAATTGAAGTCCAGCCTATGCATGATAGCTGTGTGGCCCCTGGATTCGGCTCGGTCCTTCACGGTCGGTTTCCACATCGGATAAGTCGATGCCCGCCCTTCCCCTGTGTAAGCCTGTTGCAGATCGGTTAGTACGATGCAATGGCCTCTTGAAAACATTAACCAATTAGAAGCTGTCAATCTGTAAGCCTTGGGTCTTCTTTATTAGTGCCCGGTTGCTTCCCCACAGGGTTGATTTCTTTCAACTTGACTGCAGAGGGAGTGGAGACAAAACGAGGTTGCGATTTGATCGTCAGCCGTAGGAAGCCTCCTGGCTGGATAGTAAAGTGTTTATTAATCATGGGCTTTACCCTAAGGAGAGGATGGCGCCAGCTGGTCGCTCTTTGCTGGCCTGGCGTGCTGACGGCTGATAAATCATCAGCAAGCGTGGAGGAATCTCGCTCCCCGGCGCCCGCGCGGCAATTACGAGATCAAGCCAAGCTGAAGAAGTGGGGGAGGATTAAAGCTCCCGCCAGACGCTTTGATACTGGCTCTCGCTCGGGCGGGGGTCTTGTCTCTGTATCTGGCATGCATTCTTAACTCTCAGATATATTCTCGTCGTCCCCCCTCAGTCCCCATTCCGTTCATCAACCTGAACATCCACTTGGGTAATCTAGCAATCATGGCTTCCATCAAACCCGTTCTCATCTCTGGCGCGGGCCTTGCCTCGCTCCTCCTCGCCCAGTCATTGCGCCTGTCCAATATCCCATTCCGCATATTCGAGCGTGATGCATCCTTGGTTTTTCGCGCGCAGGGCTACCGACTGCGGCTCTCCACCGAGGGTCTAGATGCTATTGAATCCGTCCTCGACCCGCCCACCTGGAAACAATTCTGGGACAAGTGCGGCAAGACCGCCGGGCTGGGCTTTGCCGCTTACAATGCAGTCACTGGAGAGCAGACGGAGCACAAGGTGGCCGAGAATCTGTCCTCGCGGGATGGAAAGGTCGTCGGTATCAGCAGAGGCGACATGCGCAGGATCTTCGCCTCTGGATGCGACGAGTTCATCGAGTGGGGGAAGAAGGTGACAGGCTACGAGCTGACAGCAGATGGTGTGCAGGCCGTCTTTGACGATGGTACCAAGTCCGTAGAGGGCTCCATGCTCATTGGCGGCGAGGGAATCTACTCCAAGGTTGCCAAGCAGCTCTCCGGTGGCAAGCTCAAGGTCTACGATACTGGGGCCCGTGGTATCCATGGACAAGCACCCACGACCGCCTTCAAGGGCCTTGGCGAGGGCGTCTTCCGACTTTACGATGAGACCAGTCATGAGAGCGGCTCCGTTTTCCTCATCACAAACGTCCGGGCTGGTGATATGGACGACCCGAACATCGAGTTCGGCTGGACAATTGGCGGCGAGCCGGGTGTTATTGAAGCCCCCAACAATGATTTCAGCATCGTTGGTAAACCGGCAGCCGATATCGCTAAGAACCTTACCAAGAGTTGGAATGCCAAGTTCAAGCCCCTGTTCGACAATATGAACGAGGGCGAAGCTGCTTTCTGGAAGATCACCTGCTCCACTCCCAGCGGTGTCCCCGAGTGGACAAACGATCCTCGAGTCACGGTCATTGGAGATGCAGCGCACTCCATGACTCCGGCTGGAGGCATCGGGGCCAACACCGCTGTCAGAGATTCCGCACTTTTGGGGCGACTTCTCAAGGAAGCTGGCGGCTATCGGCCAGGATTGACGGCTGAGTATGAGAAGGAGATGCGGGTGTATGCTAGTGAGGCTGTGAAGACAAGTTATGGGACTGCCACTCAGGCATTTGGAATTAAAATTGACGAAGAGACCTCGGCTACAGTATAATGTGATTTCGTTAGAATAATAAAGACAAAGGCTTGGCATTAATTTGGTAGAAAACACGACGGGCTAGACCACAGAATATAAGTACTTGAGAATAAGATCTGTGCAAGACTTTTCAAGCAATTAATTTTATTAAAGGGCAAGTGTGACAAAACAATGGCATTCTACGAACACATGACCAGGTTAGAATAATTCATATTTTCACTTAACCCTTACCTCGTGAATTGTAATGGGTATAGACAGCAGGAAAATCTCAAATCTTTCGTGTCTTTTCTTTCTTCACAATTAGGGTGTGAAGATTTGATATACTTTGTACCTGTTCTTCGGTGATTGAGAGGTATTTCCAGCCGCGATAGTCAATGAAAAGAATGAGACGCGTTTGACCGCAACTCAGTGCATAGACGGCTATGAGTATGTCGAAATTATATGTAAACTATTCTACTGCTGAAAGTCAACTCAGGTTCATCTGCAACACATGGCATCTTGTTTCAGAAATAAGGTTGACCACTACTGCCAAAGGGTTCTGCTATCTTCTTAATACGGCATTACTCATCTCAAAACGATCTCCAATGCAGAGAAACCACCCATTCTGCACCGCCGGCCTATTCCGATATCATTTCCTAGACGAGAGTATTCGGAAGCATGCGCCCATTGGACCCATCACCAAGGAACCCTGCCGTTCGATCCCAGCCAATCGCTATTGTGGTGCCCCTGCCCTTAATACTCGCCTGCGACAAATCCCCCTTAGAAATCGTTCGTTATTTTTCATGGCATCATAAGCTCGCGTATAAGTCATACTTCTTACTACTGCGCAACACTATTTGTGGTTTTGTAACTTTAAATCCATTGAAAACAGCTTTCCAAAAGTGATTCAGAAAATCATTGACGCCATGGTACAACATGGATGGTACAACACGACATTCGCCTGCTTTAACCCACAGGCATCCAAGATCGTGGGGGTCTTCCACATGGGACTGAGCTGGGATATTTGGGCCCAGGTCGAGCTTGGTCTGGCCTGCAAGAGGGAGAGCGACAGAAACAGAGGAAAGGACGCCACGGTACTGTCCGAGTTTACACGTCAGAAGAGAGTGTACGACGGCAGTAATGGGCGATGTGACTTCCTCGCGTCCTACACCATGACACAGGGGGGCCTACGGCTTCATTATTTTATGGACCTGAAGTGCCTTCAGAAAAACAAGCTGCCTGATTTTCTCAACGCCGTTGCACTCGACATCGACAAAGCCAAGGCAACAACGCCTCTCAAGGAGTGGTCAGATAATGTGGCATATGTGGGCGGTCACGTTATGGCTATTTCTGTCAGCCCAGTCTCCGATAATCGCGTGGAGAGAAAAATGCTCCAGCTCGCAGAGAGCAAAGGAATCACATGGGAGGGTAGCGAAGGAAGAGGGCTTCCTCTCGGCGAGGAAGGTACCGATCGCGTCATTCTCTGGACCTGGAGTAGGACCTTCATCAAGACGGAGAAGGCCCAGCAAGCAATGGCATCGTACGTCGACTGGTGGAAACGATAGCTCACCCAGGGGGGCAAGATGTTGATGCAAACGTCTCGGTTTCGAGTGGTATGGTAATATTTATATGAATTTGGAGGAATGAGGGAGAAGACTAATCTTGGAAGCATCGGCACGATTTTCCAGAGCATTTCAATAGCACCAAGGCCAAAAAGCTAGAGAATGACTGTTCTGTACTTTCTTGAAGCGTTTAGCTTTTATTGACTAAATTCGCAACCGCCATTCACGTCAGTAGTATTAAGACTCTGAGAACAGATCATCTCAACTCAAAGATTTCGTGTGAGAAGTTTCGTGTTTGATTTGTAGGCCATGGTCAAGGTCCCGCTTTATCTCTTCAATTTGATCAACTCTCATTTTCATTAGGTACTAAGTCCAAACTAAAATTGTAGGAATCATAGGCTGAAAGCAAATATTTGTTTAAGCCAGTCAAAGTAACACAATGCTTTGGATCACTGGTCCAGGTCACGTTGTAGGATATAAAAGATAATGACTGTGATAATGTCCCGCGTTGGATCTTTAACTACAGGGATTATCGCAAGAAGTTTGCAACCTGGTATCGAAATTACAGCATCCTTCCAATTGCACAAATGCCAAAGTCTTGACGTTAGGTGGTAGTTGCCCGAGCGTGAAAGCATTAGGTACCTACTGAGGGCTGTGTATACTGAGGTTGTGCATATTGAATGGGGTGGTATAGCGAGTGGCTGAATACCTGCATGACACTTGGGCAGTCGCTAGGTATATACAGCCCTCAGGATACACAGCCCTCAGCATGCACAGCCCTCGTGAATTGCAACTGAAATCGGTACTGCACCGCCACAAGAGGGTATAATAGAGGGCATAACAGAGGACATGATGTGATGGCGCGTTGTTGGGCTCTTGTTTGATGCCTGATACCCGCGGGCTCGCTGTTTGCCTACTGGCTGACGGTTAATGCAGGCAGAATGTGTGGCGTATCCGTGTAGAACGGAAGAAGTAGCTCCCCTACTCTCATAGGCTAAAAGATACTTCCTGCTTATTCTAAGAAGGAGACAATTAGCTGGTATGATGCCGATTCAACGTTTGTGTTCCATTAGGGCTATGTGCCTTGCCTTATTATCACTTGATATGTGATGAAAAGATAGTGAGTCATAATCCTTAAATACCTACACATAAGGTACCTAGTCTTGATTCGCTATGCGTTCGGGGCCTTCAGCAATACCTGTGCTCTTAGTAGATATTTTTTTTTAAACCGCCATCGGCCCTCTCAGTTAAAAAGCATCAGCTACATTACATACCTGACATACCGCGTTCACTTTTCACAATCAGATCCAATGTCTGAACATAAAATTCCCCCATTTAACGGCCCCGAATTCCAGATACGCCTATTGCGGCTGTCTCCGAAAAACGCTGTATCGTTTAATGCAACGCTGACGGGAAAACGAACCAGACTTCTGCTGCAGGGAAGCCTCGAAGTATTTGACTTCGACTCGGCACCGCCATTCATTGGACTTTCGTATGTATGGGGTTCACAGGAAAACAAGCAGCCGTTCTTACTTAACGGAGATGAAACCCATATAACCAAGAATCTTGCAATCGCCCTGGAACATCTACGAGATGTGCACCAGGAGATCACGTTGTGGGTGGATGCGCTCTGCATCGATCAGAGAAACGACCAGGAGAAGAGCGACCAGGTCTCACGTATGCGTGATATCTACAAGCGAGCCGAATCGGTGAGAGTCTGGCTCGGTCCGTCGTCGTATGGAGTCGATCTTGTCATGGACAGGTTTGAAAAGCTCGGCCGTGGGATACTCAACATGGGCATGCAGGAAGCCGTGTTCTCTTCCCCTCTGTGGGATTTTAACACATTAAAGCAGGTCCTGGCGGATAAACCTCAAGATTCGATACTTCCTCTCTTGGACATTTTTTGGAAGTTACAGGGCGCCTTCACAGACTTGACGTTAAGAGAGTGGTGGTCTCGCATCTGGACGCTGCAAGAGTTTGTCGTGGCTAAAGATGTAGTGTTCCAATGTGGAAAGAAGCTACAGAACCTCGATGTATTCGAAATAGCCGTTGTTTCAGTTATGAAGTTTTTCTTTTTTATGAAGCTGAGTGTTTTTCAGACCTGGCGTGAAAAGAGGATGCAGCCAGACAATTATTCCTACGAGCGAGGCCGTGGCTTGATGCGGGTCCAAATAACCGAAAGGTTTACCATTAGACGTGGTTATGTCGATACCCAGGACCATTCCAGACACAGCATGGGATATCTTCTCGAGACACTTTACGTGACATGGATCAATGGCGGAGAGCTCAAGGCAACCGATCCAAGGGACAAAATCTACGCGCTGTTGGGCTTGGCCTGGGATTCCGACTCACTGGGAATTATCCCAGACTACAAAAAATCTATACAAGATATTTACACTGAAGTGGTGGGGAAGGTCATAGCCAAACACGACCTATCTCTTTTACTTAATTGCAAGTACAACCCCAGTTCAGGCCTTCCGTCTTGGGTACCTGATTTTCGTCAGGGGCTAGCGATGAGCGCTCGATTGACCCTGGACGATGAGTTTTGCGCAGGAAGTGCTGGAATCGTGGCAAACGGTGCTCAGCCTTTAGATGGCAGTCCAAATATTCTGGGTGTCAAAGGTTCACGTATTGGGCGGGTCTTAGATACCGGAACTTCCCTAATGATATCGGAGCAAGATTCACTCGACTTCAGCGGAATACGTCGCTTCATTTCAGAAATTGAGGGCTTCCTTCTACAATCCGCTTCCATGGATATCTGCCCTTATGGAGCTACAAACGGTGATTACGAAGGTCATGGTCCAACATGGCTACAAGAGGCTCGTTACCGTATCCCCGTCGCCGATGCCCAGACCAATGCGGATTTCCATAGTGTAGGCCGCGCGACGGCGTCGAGCAAGGCCAAATTTGACAGTTTGATGGAATTTTACCGGCTGTATGATGAGATGGCGGGACAAGGCCAAAGTCTGTCACCAGCTCTAAAGGCATCCATAATGAAGGTGTGGGAGCTGGGATTCAACAAGTGGGGACACTACTTCGGCATCGTTCAAGATAACCATGGTCGCAAACCTTTTATCACAACAAACGGGTATGTGGGAGTCGGCCCTGAGGAGATGGAGGTTGGCGATGATATTTTTATCTTTCTAGGAGCAACAGTACCATACGTACTGAGAGCCGCGCAAGGGAGCAGCAGGTCGATCCTGATTGGCAATGCGTATGCCCATGGAGTTATGGACGGTGAATTTATGGGGAAACGTCCATTAATAGACTTGCACCTTGAATAAACTATTTTATGTTAAGGCCATTAGGTCCTTCGAGGCGACCATTTGGCACCAGTTTGAGGCTAGCCATAAGGTTACATAGACTATGTTGGCCGAGGGGCTTCGCTTCACGGCGAAGACAATCTAAGAAGAAAAGGATGAATAATGCTCAAGAATTATTTCGAATGCCGGCACTAGTTTGGAAATCATTCCCACCAGCGTCACAGGAGTATCCTGCTCGATCTTTTCCCACACTTCACTTAACCTTTCTGCTATAAACTTGTCCACAGTCTACTAGGTGCATCAAACGTGTACATGCGGACGTGTGTCTGCCTTGAGCTCGGTTCGTACGGTGTCAAAAATCTAGGGCACCCCACAGTGTACGACTGTTCCGAGATCAAGATCTCGACAAGTATTTCGTGTAGTCTATTTAGGTCAAACGTTACCCTCTCCGAACAATTAAACTCTCAAATACAATCCCCCCAAAAAACCGTGTTTGGCAACAGAAATGATCTCCTCAATAGTACAAGATAAAATTGCATCCAACTCTGAACGTAACTCCATTAAGCACCAGCTTAAATGTTCCCAAGTAATGGTGCGCCTTTTGTCCATTTCCTCCCCTTGATTTCTGTCAAAACCCAGCGGGCTAAGCTCCCCCTGGATAGACTAAGTGACCCCTTGTGAGACGGTCCTGCATAGTCCGCCCAGACCGGTAGATCTGGAGCTTCGTTCGTGAGGTGAGGGATGCGAAAGATGGTCCAATCTAAGCTATCCCCTTTAGAGACCACCTCTTGAGCAATTTTCACCATCTCCGCGTTGCCTTGGGGAGCAAAGATGACCGGCATCAACCCATACATTGTCAGCCTCCAGGTGGAAACATCCTGACCCTCCACCCAATAAGATGGCGTGGAAAGAGCCATGAGATGACGCACCCCCGATTTCTTCATGGCGTCAATTATGACTGGGAAACTGTCGGCGATCGGCGTTGGTTTCGCTCTTGTGATCACCGCTGATGCTGACACGTATGCTCCAAGAAAGGAAACTACAGTAGTGACTGAGTGTTGTTGCATAGCGGAGCTGAGAGTCTCATAGTCTGCGAGATCTCCTGATACAACACACACTTCTGCACTCTGGATCGCAGTTTCTGGAACTTTGGCCTTATTGCGGACATATAGTACCAGTTTCGGGGGGTCGGCTAGCTGCAGTGTCTCTTCAATGAAGGCAAGCCCAGATTGGCCTAGATGTGGTTAGCAGGCGTTCGTCAGGAATCGAATCTTCATCTAGCCGGTGAATCAATACACGCACCAGTGGCACCTAGAACGAGAATAACGTTGGAGTCCATAATGAGGATGGGAGGATGAGAGGATGAGATGCTATCGTAGAAATCTGGACTGGAAGTTAACGTACCTGCATGATATATATGCAAGAGAGAGAAAAAGTGCCTCTGCGATGCAAAATGGAATGCCCTCCTAAAATGGAATGCTCTCCTACCGGATTTGAGGTTTGTAGACCGGCGCGGTCCGGACTCCGCGCCGGAGCACAACTGTGGATGAAGGCCCGCCGCACTGGAGATTATTTCAGATAACTTATTACCACCTTTCGCCGCACATACATGATCCACAAGAGACAATCTCGGAAATTGCTTTGTAATCGATTTCAAGCACCATTAAGCCCTTCCGAGGCGTCGACACTACGGACTCCGAGGAGGGTGTGAATGGCTACACAGCCCTACCACTATGACGCGGCTTAGTAGGCCTATATGCTTATCCAAATTGATGATGCTCTGTATTCAGATGCTTCTAATATATAATTTTATCTAGATATACATTATCGCATTGATCTAAGCATACTAATATTTGATAATGGTACCGCTCTTAACTTTTGGAGATGGCATATCAGCCGCATCGAGGGCAAATCTCCTTCGATTAATCAGCTAGGGTCATTTTCGGCGGAACAGCCGTACCCTTTGGTTATTGGAGCGCCTTCTTCTACAAATTTGGTCCAGAGTCTACGATCGGTCGGTGGCTTTGGACACCAGAGGGCCTCTGGCCATTTACTCTTCGCAACACTTTTCCCAATAACCATCAAGCTGTCTGAGGTCATCTTGAAACTAGTAACCTTGTATAGACCCGGCTCATGGATACTTTGTCCACGAGTGGATTCAGCAGCTGAAGAGTGGGTAGATTAAGGTTGTCACTCAGCACTTATGGCGAGTATTCTTGGTTCTCTAAGGAGAGGAGGAAATAGAATGAGATTGGAAATTGACATGACCGTCGCATGCTTTTTTTCCCTACCACAAACAGGTTCTTTGACCCGACTCGTTAGTCAAATATCAAGAATTCAAATTAGGTGTTAGAACCATAAAGGGAGTCTTGGTTCCTACTAGAGGCTAGTAAGAATTTATCAGAAATAAATTGCTATGAAATTAACACAGTATCGCCACTGAAAGATGAGTATGTGTCGCGGACATGTCGCGGACAGTAATAGGCTTCCAGATGAGCGTGTGTTAAGAGTTTCGTTGCAGGAATCCGGCTACTTGAATCTAGATTTGGTGAGGTTACACAAAGCTGTGAACATGTCCGGGATCAAGTAGTGTCGGAAAAACAGGGACTACACAGTCACCTCGATAGAATTATTGTAGCAGACAGTTACATTAGAATGCTTCCTATAGTAAGCAGATAATATTCCCTAATAATTGCTCGATATTTTCTTTTTCTTATTGTTACTACTATTGTCTATTGATATAATGGCCTATATTGGAACTGAGGATTAAAACATTTTGCTATCCCTGTTATTCTGACACCCACTTGAGGATAACTTGAAGCGCGATTTCTGACTGTGGGGCTTTTCTGCCTTACGCTTTGATGTGGAGGCCATCATCGGCTTGCTGTAGCCGTTTGTCGATCCAGAACACTCCCTATACTTGCGTTTACTAAGGCTCTATTGTTTAGGAGTATGCTTTTTAGAGGCATAGATCTAGTGATGAGATAGATTCATGGTTTGTCCCAAAAAATGCACCCCGACAAAATTGAGAGCTGAAGAGCAAACCATGCTCATTTGGTTCGCATGCAGGGGTTGGCGTTAGCCGCATGATGCCTTTCAGCTGAAGGTGCATGGGTGAGACCTTCCCCGCCTCTTGCTTACCATTATCTCTGTTTTTCATCTGTTCAAGTGTGCGCTCAACCCAGAGTCGTCTCGTCTCACGTGGCTGCTGAATGTCGTATGAAGGGAGAGTTTCTCAGATGGAAGAGCGCAAGAAGCGATACGGAAAGGGACCAGAACAGAAGCCATGGGTCCTCTCTCGGGGATGCCAGACGCGGTCCAAGACTCGAGGATCGAAACTTCTGTCCTCAACGGAGGCAAGGAGTTTCAACATGTCAAGTTCTCTCTGGGCAGCAGCGTGATGAGGAGGCGTTTGCGGAGCGAAGAGACATGGAGTCCCAGGCGCCTATTGGGAAGAGGCTCCTTTGGCCAGGTGTGGCTGCAAGAGTGTGTGGCGGGCAGTCCGAGACGGGAGCTTCGTGCCGTTAAGGAAATTATGAAACACCAAATGAAGACATCTTACTTATTTCGAGAACTCGAGACTATCGCTAAGTTTTCCCAAGACAAGGTTTGCACATTGCCCTAGGTCTTATTTAACTTCCACATTCCTGACAAAGTGCAGTACGCGCATTGCTTTGTTCGTTCCTCTGGCTGGTTTGAGGATGATTCAAGTTGGTTCATTGCCATGGAGTATATGCCCTATGGTGACCTCGACCAAGCTGTGAAAAATCCTCTTCGGGAACCGGAAGCGCGCCAGATCATATTTCAAACCGTAGAAGGAATTTCCTTCATGCATGGCAGTGGCTTTGCCCACAGAGATCTAAAACCATCTGTAAGGATTTCTCAAGGCCATTTGTCAAAGACAATCAGGACATGAACTCACGAGCTAATCACGTGAACCCTTAAGAATATCATGGTTTTCCGTCCTGGCCCCTCGTGGTGGGTCAAAATTACAGATTTCGGCATAAGCAAGCGGACCAACGACATGGCGACAGGAACTCTAGAAATCGGAACTGTGGCATTTATGGCACCCGAACTTCGTGGCATGGATGGCCTCGAAGAAGCCGAAACCGCTGGAGGATATCGTGAATATCCCAATGCTGTGGACATATGGGCTATTGGAGAAATTACACACCGTCTTTTGACGCACGAACCTCTATTCGCAACAGGCCGGCAGCTGTCTCATTATGTCTTCCAGGGGGCTTCCTTTCCATCCGAAAAGCTCCGAAAGTTTGGTTCCAGTAGGGACGCAGTCGAATTTTTGATTCGATGCATGGATGCCGCTCCAGCCAGAAGATTGACGGCTCTTGATGCATTGAACCACTCGTGGCTAGCCAACCACGAATTCATCACAGAACCAGAGCACTCCGAGCCTCCCCAAAAGTAAGAAGACCTCGTTGATAGTGAACTTGCGTTTGATTTGAGCTAATAAACAATTTCAGCCATACCCACACCTACAAGGAGAATATCGAACCATCCCAGTCATCAGCCTGGAGTGACGAACCATCAGCGCGGTGGTCTGACGCATTGCCTTCTCAGCAATCATTTCTTGCTAAAGAGAACCGAAGCGTTTATTCAACTGCTTCAGCCGAACCATCAGCAAAGTGGCCTTCGACAATTGGTCCTCAACGTACTGTTCTTCCAACAAACAATTCTTATGGTACAAGCGTGAGTAACGAGCCATCAGCGCGATGGTCAGCCGCGCTACCCTCGCAACAGCACTATCCTACTCAACAGAGCATCGACCCTTATGAGACAAGAACTGTGATACCTGTCGCCGAGCTTGAAGACCGTCTCCCGTCCTTTCAAAAACCTCCATCACCACCACCATCCTTTGCCTCGCCTTCAGGAGACAATATCTTGCGGGACCAGGAGCTGTTCCCTTGGACCGCGCCAGGTGGCGAAGGCCGGCATACTCAACGACCGCTTTCCCCTCCCCCAACAATGACGGAAGTATCAGTAGCTCCAAAGCCCACTCCTTCTATGTCTCGGAGTTTCGAGCCCCGGATTTCGCAAGACAGTAGTAATACCAACGTTAGAACCGAGACATACTCTAACGCGGTATCAGACTTGGTGCCGTGCCCTGTCCAAGAGTGCCCTCACCACAAACAAGGCTTTGGCTCGGAAGGTCGCATGAAGCGGCATGTGATCACTCAACATCCCGACTTTAATAAAGCAAGACCCGAATCCAAATCAGTTCGCAGGGCATCAACGGGGTTTATTTGTCCCGTTCGAGAGTGCAGGCGTCATACCGACGGCTTTGGTTCTCAGGGTCAGTTGGGACGACACATGGCAGGAGCCCACGGTGATCTAAAAGCACAAGGTACAGGCTTCCTTCGCCCTGTGTTTTCTTGCCCTCAAAAGTTCGAGCCGCTATCTTCATTAGCGCTTCTCAACCGCCATATCGAACAAGCTCATCCGGGCGAAGCAGGGGAAAATGTCACAACAGGCTGGCCGTGCCCTATTCAAGATTGCGACTACAAATATCAAGGACTTTCCACAGCATGGCTACTTGTGCAACATTTCGAGAGGGCCCACGGAGGAGAGAAAGGGCTTGGAGCAACAGAGTTCACCTGCACTATTATCAGCTGCCCTTATCACAAAAGGGGCTTTTCTTCACTCGTCGACCTCAATCGCCACATGGAGAGATCTCACTCTTCTGACGAGTTAGAACTTTCAAAGAGAGGCTTCACCTGTCCTGTCCAAGGCTGCGATTATCGGTACCGAGGGTTTTCCTCAGAATCACGTCTTTTGGGACACATTGATAAGGTCCATGGAGCACCTAAGGAGCCAGGGTCATCCGGGTTCCCTTGCCCCGTCGCTACTTGCCCTTACCAAATAAAGCCCTTTTCTTCAATTGTTGGCCTCAATTGTCACATTGAAAGATCTCATTCTCACGAACTGGCACTTGCTGTGAGAGGCTACCCTTGCCCTTTCCCAAGCTGCGATTTCCGGTATCAAGGGTTTTCTTCGCAAACGCGCCTAGAGCGTCATGTCAAGACTGCTCATGAAGATCAGCAAAAATCGCAGTCAGATACAGGTACTACAAGTCATACTTGTCCTGTTAAATCCTGCCGTCATTACCGCCAAGGTTTTGCTTCGGAATCGCGACTGAAACGTCATATTGACAAAGTCCATTCGAGCAGCACAGAGAACCAGGAAGGACCGCAGTCAAAGCAGACTTGGAAATGCCCTACTCTCGGTTGTCCTTATGCCTACCAAGGATTTCAGAATTCAAGAGAGCTTCAGCGTCATCGTGCGATTGTGCACTTCGTGAAAGACTGAAGTTCATAGGGCGGCTACTACTGCTTCTATATGAAATATTGACTTATTATCACAAATATTGACGTATAACACAATCTCACACAAAAACGCGACCACCTAATGTTGTTGATCTAGGTACAAAACAGGTATATTGCATATTTACAAATGTGCCAAGTTCAAAGTTCTCTTTTCTTCTTACGTCTCTATAACTACACCTCATACCTCCATCTGTTCTACTGCCGCAGGTTGTTCCCTTTGACTATTTTGTCTCTTCCAAGGATAATCAAAGCGATTCCAATCAATCCAAGGTGCAATGACAAGGAACGTGAGGACCTCTACGACAACTATAGATGCAATGTTAGTCTGTTACAGTGCTGTCATGATTCACTTACCACTGGCGACAAAGACTTGCCACCATCTCCAAGCCACGTCCTCCCCATTTGCGCGAGGGAACTCCAGAGTCGGGACTGCTAGAAACGTGGATGTGAACGATATAGGCGTCTAAAGAGGTTATGAGTAAAAGCTTATACGCTCATTGTAATGGTGGAAAAGCTCACGAAAATGACTGTAATAATAGTAAAGATGAATAGCAGCTTGCTCTGCCAAGCGCTGTCCTTGGCTCTTTGCTCCGCTTCGCTTGCAAGACTGCGCGTATCCCTCACAATAACTAAGTTTCCCTGCTTTTGTTTGAGGTCAAGTAGGTGATTGAGCTGTAGGAGGGGTCTTCTGTTAGATCTTTTTATGCGGAAGCCGACAAGTTTCATTATGGGATTGAGTGGGAGATACTCTTACCGAATTCTCTACGGTAGTTGCATCTGCGACAAGGGACTTGACTTTGGAGATGCGAATTCCAATACAACTTTTCGTATAGTCCAGTTCATCTTCTTCCTCTCCTAGGAGCTGCGCTTCTGCGCTGTTAGATCTTTCTTGATTGATATCAAATTTCAGCTCTTCATGGCCTGCGTGGTATTGGTCAATAACATCCCACTGGTCGTCCAAAACCCTCTGGATCATTCTGAGCTCATCCTTGACGTCTTTGATTTCGCAGAGATGCTGCATCTCACTCGTGATGTCGCATATTTTACTTTCAGTTTCTAACATTCTCTGCTGGTGCGCTTTTATGCGGTTGTGTGGTACGGTCTCCCTGCTCAAGCTGATCAACTCGTTTTGCAATTTGTAGAAGTTGGCGTAGCAATTTGCATCTGCTTGGGCCTAGGTTTACACAACAGTCAACAGGATTCTCAGTGGTCTGATATTGAACGATGGGTCTCCTACCCGATACGCAATGCTCTGCTCAAAGATGTGAAATAGATTTTCGTTTAGCCCGGCGTTAGCCGGTGCGTCCACAAACTCGGTCGTATATTTCAGAAGACGGGATACCATCAAACCCATGCTTAGGGGTGGGTGGGTTTCCAGACCTTTGAAAATTTGAATCGAGAGGTTTGGTTGTTGGACTTCGTGTCGACGGTCAGGAAATGCAGTTATAAGGGTCACTAATGATATCAGCTACAAAAGCTCTGGTAATAGCTTTACAGCTACTTACTGGCGTCAATTTTCCAAATCCACATCTGATTCACCATTAGAAGTCTCTTGGGGCTTCCAGTGATCGTCGTTGTGCCATCCACTTCTGGTGGAATCACTCGTCCTCTTTGTCGCTCTGGTGTCCTTTGTCGCTCTATTTCTCTTTGTTGCTCCAGTTTTATCTGGCGTTCGACGTGTTTGATCACGACCTGATCCTTATCACGCTCACTAGAATTGTCAAGGGATAGGTAGTAGGATTGGTCTAGCGTGCACGGCGCATGAAAGCTGGCTAAACTGTTGTCGGCTTTATGATATAGTTTCATTGAAGCCTCCTCATTTTCGAAGCCCTTCTTGCAATTATCGGATGAGCATCCTTGTTTTTGAAGAAAGCATTCGAGGCTCTCTGCATCGAAATATGGGATCTGGATTGTATATCTTAGAATGTGTTTGAAATGCAACGGTTGAAGGCTAACTCACAACTAGAGAAAAAATCGATCCGCGTGACCCGGGCAAAGGCGTAAAGGAAGGCTTTCTAAAACCAGTATGTAGCACCTGGCCCCTGATCTGATGGTATGATTCTGTAGTGAACGATCTGATCCCTTTCCAATATATCTCAAATGTTTCATCGTCCATGACGCTCAATGGGCGGATCACGTCCTATCCCACGTATTAGTATCATTTTCGCTCATAAGAATATGAGTACGAACTTCAGCCCAAGTTTTCTTTATCGTGTTAGCGTGTTGAAGTCCTCCTGATCGGGGTCAAGGGTTCATCGACATACGTTATTGGCTGAAAGGTGTGCCCATCTCCAGTATTTTCTTGGCTGAGCGCCATTATAACCACCCCTCGCCCAGTTTTCACATTGTTTGACTTGCTCTCTTTGAATTTGAGAGACGGATGGATCGTATATGAAGTCCCAAACGTAGGTCGGAAGTGTCTTAGCCTCGCGGCTAGAGGTGAAATATTGAACCCGCAACGGAGAAGCTTTCAACTGATCACTCTGCCCGTTGTTGAGATCATGTGGCAGTGGAGGCCATGCCAATGCTCTGTTTGGCCCTTCCTGAGGAATAGGTTTGTTCAGAAGGATCAATATCTTCTGAAGATAGCTCCGCTCAAAATTTCCAGCCAATCCAAGCTCCTCGAACACAAGCTCTCGCACGGTCAACTTATCAAATGCCCTTCTGTGCTCCGTATCGGCTGCTTTCCTCAACAACAATGCCACGATTCTGACGTGGTTCTCGTTTAGAGTAGGATCATTTCTTCGAACTCCTGTAAAAAACCGGCGATGCTCCCGGCCTCTCTGAATTGCTGCGTGTAGCACCGTCGCACCTCCATGTGCAATCCTTGCATTGACGTCGGCTCCCTTTTCGATGAGCGTCTTGGCTACCTCGTAATGACCAAAGCAAACAGCCTCATGCAGAACCGTATACCCGAGCCGATCACGACTCGTATGCGGCACATTTCTACCCAATAATTGATTCAGTACTTCATTTTTACCTTCTGCTGCAGCCGAGAAGAGTTTTGTGATGTCATTATCAACAATGTCCAGGGGTAGTGCACCCTTTTCTAAAAGCTTGAGAGTTATCTGGTATTGCTCTGGGTCGGAGGCGGAAATCTCCAGAGCAGTTTGCTCGTTCTTGTCCTTCACCTCAAGGTCAATGTTATGCTCTAGGAGGAGATCAACCATGTTCTCGAAGCGCTTTTCAACAGCACCGAAAATGGCTGTCCTTCCGTTCTCGTCCACACTATCAATATTTGCCTTCTCCGCTAAGGCATCCGCAACCTTCAAAATATCATTCGCGCGGACAGCTGCTCGAAATTCTCGGTCTCTTTGATCACCTGCTAGCTTTGGATTATTTATGGTTTTCATATCGACAACTAGCTCGCGGTCGCCATCAGCGATGACAAGAACACGAACAGATCCGCCAGAGCTGTGGCTGGCCGAGATAGCCTGACTGATTCGGTCATGGAGTTCAGGCTGGTCAATGACCGGGATCCCTCCCCTGGTATCGTTAGTCTCCGTCTGAACGACCATTTGGCCATCTTTTATGCTAATGGCCCGGTACTGTTTGAAGATGGGACCTAGCATAGTCTGGATGATGACACCAGGGACAGGGTTGATGACGAAGGAGGATTCCTCATGGAGCTCCTTGGTAAAGATGTCAACACCAAGGTAGCGATATTGGCCTGTGGTAGCATTCGTCGTGATGCGCAGGACGAAGCAGGGATGGCCTTGGATTATAATGATGTCACCTAGGCGGATATGGTGACATGGAATAGTGAGGGCAGTAGGCGGATGGGTCTCAACAGTATCCACGGAACTCGATCGTGTCTCGTGTGCGGCATCAGTCATAGCTTCGGAACGCCTAGGATGGGTTGAGTCTGGCATGGCTGACCCGGAGGGAGATGCCTCATGCTGGCCTTGGCCTGGTGAGCGCTGTCAGCCGGCTCTATTCTTGAAACTTCCTCATAAAACCTTACCATCTTGTTTCTCATGATTCATGGTGTTGCTTGCCTTGAAAACCCGCTCGAGTTTGCTTAGAAATCGCGACGAATTTGGAGAAGAGCAAACCACCAAAAATGACTGAAGTTTCAGAACGGTGGGAGCTGAGTGAAATAATAAAAAGCACACGAATAGAAAAATAAGAAAGTCGATTGATTTCCAATCTGATTGGGCTTACATGCATGAAACTTAAACCCCTCACTTCAGCTGCCCACTCGTCAAAGTAACTTGAAAGACGGGGCTACTTCTTACAGGGATAGGGTAGAGATACAGATCTTTGAAGAGGGTGATTCAAGTTTCCTGTGCCGGCGAAAATCGGCCCTTGCCGCTACTGTAAATTCCGTTCTACTACTCGAAAATACAGATTTATCTAGATGGCAGACGCCGAGAGCGGTTGCGGCGTGCGAATCAAGAGAACCAGCCTGTCTGGAGCATCCTTCGGCACCCATACTTCCCACAAGGGTTATCGAAATCGGCGACACGACTCTACGTCTCATAACACAGTTCGACATAACAGATAAGGGCCGATACGCAACCCTTACTCATTCTTGGGCACCCGATATACTTAGGCTAACGGAATCAAATTACCATAATTGGAGAAATGAGATCCCTGTCGCGGATCTTAAAGGTAACTATAGAGACGCAATCGATCTGACAGGACGCTTCCAAATTCGCCACTTGTGGGTGGACGCCCTGTGCATCATACAGGACTTAGCTCACGACTGGGAGGTTGAAAGTACAAGATTGGCGGAATACTATGCGGACTTCAGCTTGAACATTGTTGCTGGGGCAGATAATCCACTACATGGCATTTTATTCCCTCGAAATCCGCCCTCGCTCCGTACGGTCTGCGCCAACAAGTCAGAAGATCTATACCTCGGCTGGCTCGGTACCGAATCCTTCTGCGATCCGCAAGGGATCAACGTGGAAAGATATCCTGATGCCTGGAAATATCAAACTCGGCCACATTCACGAGCGTGGACGGTGCAAGAAATCCGTTTGGCTCGTCGCAACCGCGTCATCCAAGTAGACCAACAGACGGCCATGACCTCCGGTACACCTTCACTGCTGCTATCATCTCAGCTCTACATGCAATGCCAAGCGAAAGTCCGGTGGGAAAGTGGCAGAACGAGATCGGTATCACCGAAGATCCCAGCGGATTGGTATCAACTGGTTGAGGAGTTTTCAAACCGAAGGTTATCCTACGAGGGTGACAGACTGGCTGGCTTCTCCACCATTGCTAAGAAGCACGCACACTCCTTTATTTCCTCGCCAACAGATGCAATCTATCTAGCAGGTTTGTGGACTGGAAACCTACCACGGAACCTTCTGTGGCGGGTGACTGAGGCAAGATCTGGCTCTGATATCTATTACACGCCGTCTTAGTCTTGGGCCAATAGTCAAGGCGAGGTTAGGCACGAATGACCTATAGACGCGACTGTCTACGCTACAGTTTCCCAACGGGATGTTGAGCCTGCAGGTAGAGATCAATGGGGAAGTGTGCGGAGTGGTTCGATAATCATATGCAGCACCTTGGCGCAGGTTGAATTTTCCGAAAGAGGGATTGGTTGTGTGGACAGATGACATTACTGTCTCTCCGAATCAAGACTCAGTTGGAATCAGGGCCCGGCAGTTTCTGGATAGCGCCAATAGTAGGACAGGTGATTGTCCGTTCTACGCTTTGAAGATCACTCGCCGAATAGCTCTGTCACTCGAAAGAGATTGCAGAGGATCAGGGATAATGATGAGAGCTGGGTGGATAATCATTGCGAAGCAAGATACCTCAGAGTGGGAACGTCTAGAAAGAAAGAGTGATACATTCATCATATAGCACGTAGGATAAGGTATCCATATTGCAATATTTTATAGTGTTAGACTCTAATGCCAGTATAATTAATCATTAGAACTCGCATGTATAGCTAGTGCACTAGGCACATATGTAAGCCAGTACAAGACATTGGAGATTTCGCTCTAAGAAATGTATAAGGCAAGGCAAGGGAATTCCTACTCAATAGTGAAGTAGGTATAGAACTAAGTAGATCTCTAGAAGAATGTGTCCTAGTCGGCATGACTATATACTTTCCTGGTAGGAATCCCGTCAGCCTTGGTAAGCTCTTCTAAGGGTGTATAGCCTTAGGCTACAGGATCTTGCTCTGGAGCAACTATCACGTTGACTAGTATCGTGCATCTCCAGCGAAGAGATGCCAGGCGCAAGTCTTTGAGTTGAGCAGTGTCCGAGAGAGGATACGCCGGGATGTGCCTAAGCACATTTGGCATCGTTTCGCTCTCATACCCTTTCCATTGGGTGTCTAACATCAGGCGTAGAATGATTCCGAGGAACTCGGACTTGCTACATTCTACATTATTGAGCTAGTCTTGACAGGGTTTTTTAAATTTTTTAAAAAAAATCACCTGCCAGGTCAACCACGGGCGGGATTTAGGTGTAATGCCTAAGGAAGTGCGAGAAAATTTGCTGATTGTTTGAAAGATTTGGGCGGCCGAGAACAGATTTGGTTATTCGTATTCTGGTGACGATCTTTAGCCAATTTTATCCTCTCCAAATCCGCCCTTCATCTTTATGCCTTGGCTCTCCGCCTCGCCTTGCTTGAGTGGGGTTTTTCTACTTACCAACGTCAGACCCAAGCACACAGCCTCCTCTATTAAATGGCAATTGCCCTCTCCATGGGCACGAGGTCTCAATAAATTCTCATCACTACCCAAGGTCTTCGGGTGTATGCTCATCCGAAAGCCTAGACAACTCGGGCAATAGGAAGGTACAACAGACTATCAAAAAGCGACATTATGTCGAGCATCGCCCAGGTGCTCGTCGAGCGCTATGTTTCACCTGAATTCAGGCGCGAATTCGTTATCCATCTATTCCTCTACGCGGCGCTGTCATGGGGCTTAGGAAAGGATGAATCGCTCGACTGGGAGCTGCTAGCTCTGGGTCCCAAAGGTGCCCTGCCGCCCCCAAAGCCCATCTTGTGGACTCTGGGGTATAACAGACTTGCCGTGTTTGCCTTCCTTGCTTTGCTTTGTATGGCACCACGACTATGCATGTCACATCAGACAATAAGGGTTCACGGCGGCGACAACTGGTTCAGGTCGAAAGACTGGATATCGGGGCTCGTCTGGGTTCTGATCCATCACCACTCCAAGATGCTGTTCCCGCTTTGGGGCCAATGGACCCTTCATATATACACTTACTTTCACATATCGCCCTCACCCCTCTCGCTCGCCGGTTTCGAGTGTTTTCTTCTCTCTATACTGGGCTATCTCCTCGCGCTCCCCCCAGCACTGATATATGCCCTCTATCGAGCGGCTGATACTTTCATCCATCCGCTCATACGATCTCGGTCACGGCCAAGCCATGATTCAGGAATTCTCGAAAGCGAACGCGCCTCTGTGCTCTGGTTCTTACGCTTCTATGTTTTATTGTTGATCCCAGAACGACATTTCCCCAATTTTTCGGCTGCGTTCGCTCTCTGGTCGATCTGGGCTTTGATATTCTTCGCGGTGGCCTTTTCGCTGTCGCTTGCATTATGGTGGAACTCGCAGTTCCCTCCAGAGTCATCCTGTTCTTCGCAAATCTCGGGAATGGCACCGCAATTTCAATACACACCGCTAGCCAGCAAGTCGCATATTCGAGTGCTCAAAGTGCTGCCCAGTCTTCGAGGGAGCGAAGAAATAGCATGCCAGTTACTGCAGGTCGAATTGCAAGGCTCCCGACCATCGTATGATGCGATTTCATACCATTGGCAAACACCGAGACAAGAACCATCCAATGGTGACGAGCCAGAAACCAGAATCATCATGATCAACGGATTCCACTACAAAGTATTCCCAAATGTACTATCCATTCTAAAGGATGTTCGGAATCGGGTGTTTCCTAGGTACATCTGGATTGATTCCATCTGTATCGACCAGGATAATCTTGCCGAGAAGGGGATCCAAGTGGCGATGATGCGGTATATATACGAGGGTAGCTCACATGTTGTCATCCATCTGATAGAACCCGAGCCACCTCGTCGCGACGTGTTTCAACTTCGCAACATGGTGTCCAAGCTACGTGACAGCCGCGCGCTGCAAGACTTCTCCTACGACGACAAACCTGGAGAACTTCTCTCTCTCGGATCTTACAGCGACTGGGCTCACATGGAGAGCTTCCTTGATGACCCATGGTTTGTCAGAGCATGGATTGTGCAGGAAGTCGCCGTAGCTAAGCAAGTCCGGCTTAGGCTAAGAGGACAGGAAATCCAATGGGGTGATTTTGTACGCGCTTGTGCTGTGTTATCGCGGACTGGAACGAGATGTTACATCCACTACCGCTACCTCCTGGAGGGCAAGCCACTTCCCACCGATGCCGTCGTTGGGTCAAGAATGGCCGGCGTTGAGAGCACCCTCGTGCTTGATAATATGAGGGAGTGGTACGCCTCAGGCCAGCTACTCCCACTCTTGGATACGATGATTCTATGTCTCAGTTTCAAGTCAACTTGGGAGGTTGATAAATTGTATGCCCTACTCGGTGTCATTGATAAAGAGGATCGGGATAGCTTGAGAATCACCCCTAACTACACAAGAGACAAAGAAACCATTTTCAAAGCCCTTGCCCTTCAATTGTTGGGGAGAGCTTCTTCAATCGATGAACAATTCCGGATTCTTCGCTTCGCAGGTATCGGCCAGGCGAGGAACATGAGTAGTCTGCCATCGTGGGCCCCCGATTGGACGGCTGGGTTGCCGACTTGCCCGTTCGTCAGTCGCGACGATGAATTCAACTACAAAGCATCAACTCGAACGGGGAGTAAAATGCGTTTCAGACGGCCTAATGAACATTCTTCGTCATCTGATGGAATTGATGAAGGTCTTGGTGCCCTCCTTGAAGTGGATGGTCATCTCGTTGACCGCATCGTACTGCTCTGTGAAGTTTCGGAAACACCACCGCCAGAGAACACGACAGACTTCCCAATCCGTGATGCCCTCGCCGCCGTAATGTCTCACAGTCACGGACGCGAAATGTATCGCTCAACTAGCCAGCCAATCGAAGAAGCGTTCTGGCGGGCTCTCATCGCAAACCCACATCTACGCCGTCTGCCAGCAACTCACGATATAATGAAAGCCTGGACCCTGTATTTTAAGGGTTACGAAGCTGCTCGCGGTGGACTCGGCAAAGCAGAAGCTGTCCCAGGCGCGGCGCAGGACGATGAGGCATGGGATCTGCGACTCATTTTTAGTGCCATTTGGTTCTGGCAGGCCGATGACGAGGACCTGCGCTTTGCGCATGTGCTTGCGACTGACTTGTCAAGACGGTGGCCTGAGCACCGACATACGTTGCGAGCTACTAGTATCCTGAATCGGCCTTCAGACCACATGGAGGCTACTGATGTGCGCATGTCGGCCGGTCGGCAGTTTTGCGTCACTGAGAAGGGATACTTTGGACTCGTGCCGCGGCTTGCCGCCGTTAATGATATAGTGGTCCTGTTTGACGGGGCAACGACGCCTCATGTAGTCCGGTCATCAGATTTCAAAACGTACAATGCTGAGGCAGCATCCGGGGATACTGATTTCCTTTGCAAGCTTGTGGGCGAGTGTTTCATACATGAGGGTATGGATGGACAACTCGAGCGCGACTCTAGCATTTCAAAGAAAACTTTTGTAGTAGAATAGACCGCAAGACATTAGTATATATTACAGCTCCGTATTCATTGTGTTGAGATGTCAGGCCTGGTTCTGATAACTTCTATTGTTGTTTTTCACTTTACACCCAAACTCTCCCGTATACTCGGACTCTCTCTCTTGTATCGCATTAACCACACGCCTGTTTATGTCGTCACTTGGTATATTCCGTCTGTACCTTATCGAATATGCGCCAACCATAATTTATTCCACCTGCGCAAGGACGACCGATTTCTTAGGGCGCATCCTCCCCTTGCCAGCCCGACAAAATATTGGCATGATGCTCTATGCTTCGGATGAGCCCAAAGTCATTCGAGTCAGCCCTCATCGGTTGATCAAAGTATCCTACAAGCCCCGTGAACTCGAGGCTATGCAATACGTCACAGAGCGCACATCAATCCCTGTACCAAAGATTTATGTTGTGTATCATCACGAGGGATTCCTTTACATCCAGATGAAGTTTGTCAGAGGAACAGACCTAGCTATCGCTCGGATGAACGAAGGTCCCTTACCCGACAAGCCGAAGGAGTCGATCATGGAGGACATCGGGAATTATGTCGCCCAACTCCACGGGGTCGAACCTCCTGAACCTGGGACAGTCTGCTCGACGCTGAGCAAGCCGGTTTATGACTACCGGATTAGGCCTCGACCATTCGGTCCTATGAGCCATGATGATTTCCATTCTCTAGCACGGGGTAACTTAGTGATCGAAAGGTGTGCAATAGCGTTTGGTGATGAAGCTACTAAAGTTCATATGGGCTCATACAAGACACGATTCACCCACGCCGACTTGATCCCCCGGGATACATGGTACGCAACGGCCGGGTTATCACATTTATTGACTGGGCCTTTTCGGGTTGGTAGCCGGAGTATTAGGGATTCACCAAGGCCCATTATGACTTGTTCCCCTTGGCAGGTTGCTATGCGGCTTTGTATGAGGTTCTACCTCGCTATGATACAGAGCTCGTGGCCGCGCGGTCGCTTTAGACCAGGTATGATGAGCCCGGAAAACCTGGCGGCTAGGATATTTGCCGGGAAATATTATTGTCGGACAAGATGGAACAATACCTAGACGAGGCAGCTGCTATTGTTTTTATCCTGGGTGGCAATTGAAACGTAGCGCTTATTGTGCACCGTCGTAGGCCGTGGTTGAATGTTGAAGGTTGTCACGCTCACTTTTCCTCCCCTTTGTATTCGCACACATTGCTTTGACCCATGTTTACCATGCAACGATCGCCATACGCAAGCGCCCAATCTCGAAAGGGTTCGATGGCGAAGGTCCATGCCAGACCCGCGTTCTGTAGAGCGCCGAGCGCGGCCAGAGCCCAGGTTACGCAGCTTTGAGGTGGTGAAGCATCCTTGGAGGGTAGAGGCACGCCCGCCAGAATTGTGTCCAGGTCTGATTTCGAGAGATGATTTGGCAGTTTACCCACGATGATACGGCCTATTAACTGACCTGTAGCAGAAGGGTCGATATCATGTTGGCTGCGGAAAAACCAGTCGAGATTTGGGTTGAGATCCTCGTGTGTTTCAGGGTCAATGAGTAAAATGTCGGTTGCGTCGTAGGCGCTGCTTAATGGAAGTCGATGCCCCTCACGCGGCTTCTTTGGCATGATGAGGATGCCCCAGTGATAGGCTTCATAGCCGAGTCTCTGGCGATTATCTCCAAGGGAGAGTCTGCCGCGGTGATATAATGCGATAACAACGCGGCGCTTATTCCTCATTTTTTCCCTTGTTGGACAAAGTTGAGCCTTGACAGCGGCTGGAGCTGAGGGAAACTCCATTTTTAGGGCGCCACATGCTTTGCCCCTCATTTTAACTTTCCAGGCACATCCCATCTTTTTCACAAACACAATCGACAGCGGACATATGTTTATTTAGGTAGGTAGCCAGAGATCAGCCCATTCTAATCACATCTACCAGCATCACTTTTTCAACTCAGCATCACCACCGTCATCATTACCCTCTCGTACTTTGCACTTGAAAATGGACGTACAGTTGGAGAAGACACTGGATCTCACACACAAAGAGGAGACCATCTTCAATGTTTTGAAGAGCACACTTCAATATCCCGCCAGCACAGAAGCAGGATCTCAGAAGCTTGTTTATGATATCATCTTCTTCTGTACATCAGCAGATGAGCTTCCATTTTGGGAGATTTGGCCTGCCGTCCTCGCCCTGGGTTCGTGCATTCAACCTGGTCACCAGTGGCAGGCTACCCTGATCCAGTCCATACGCATTATGCGTCAATTGGATGTTTCTGTTGCCCATGGACCTGGGGTATGTCCCCCTAGGGAGCGTATGTTGAAGGGTTTGAGGGAAACATACCTGAAACTAGCTTAATAAATCGTAGGGCTCATTGAAGGATCTTTCTGACTTAACCTTGACTCTTGCGGAGTATTGGCAAGGACATGGAAGTACGAGGTCTGTTTTCCCCGACTATGATATTTCTTGCTAATACTCTTTTCTTAGACCCCATTTTCTTGGATCCTCACCCCCCTGAGACTGGTATACTCGAGAGGTGGAAGAATTTGAACTCATTTCTTGCAAGGCTGCCCGGGGACGATTCTATCTTTTTCGTTCGCTTGGCACTGGGACAATTAGAGGGTGCTCTAGAGGTACCACTTGCAGAGTCAGATTCCCAATTGCCTTGGACGGAGTGCAAGATCTGGACGGGGACTGAGTGGATCATTCACTGCGGACGTCGGATTTTCAAGGCCGTCGCCTCCAAAGACAGCCCAGAAAACACCATTCCGAACCCTGGCCCGTTAAGTGGTGATATCCCTAAGCAAAGTGTTGAGAGATGGGAGTTTTGGAAGAAGCGCTTGGCACAGATTGCTGTGGATTATCCCACCACTGCTAGTTGGATCTAGCAAGCCTTGGATGTGATGAAGGAAGTCGAGCAGGGGAAGAAGGAAATATAGAGCAGCAGCAGAGTTCAACTAGTTAGTAGAATTCAATGTTCTTCAAGAATGACAATAGCCAAATTTGATGACACGGAAACAAATCTGCAGATCTAGGACTTTCACGCGCTATTGTAATATTTAATTAAAATCAGAGAACTAAGACCCAAGGGCTTTGTCAGGTAATATGCGTGCCTTGCATTAGCCTTTGAAATCAATCTTAGAAACAAATGAAAGAAGTTCACACAAATGTGCAGCCAGGGGTTGAAATTGGCTAGGCTTACATTGACGAAAACACACAACTTCAAGTTCTCAAGTCCTACTCACTCCACCGCTCGTCTGATAATACACACTTTAGGGCAAAGCGAAGAGATTAAAGAGGTACTATCTATTTCTTTTCATATATTGATGAAAGAATCAAGCAAGCCGCATACATCCCGGCCAAGGACGCCTCGTTAATTTAACAGACATCATTTCTGTGGCGGTGCTGCAACCTTCACCCAAAACAACCCCTGGAAAATCGGGGTTGCTGACCACCATCTCGCCCACTTCAGCCTCACTCCTCCAGTGGGCGTAATCATAAAGAGGGTCTGGCCTGTAAAAGCGTGATGCTGGGCACCAGTATGGACGGCTCTCCCCTCCCTCCATTCACCAACGTCGCATCGCTCGTTACCGCCGATGCAGGCTCTCACCCTTCTTGGCGCCGTCGCCGGCAGCATCTCCGCCGCGTCCGACGTCCTCACAGCCCTTGATTATGCCGTGTCCACGGCGGCAAAGGTCAAAGATGCCCCTCAGCAGGCCGTCGCCACCCTGCGCGATGTGCGTATGATGCGGTCCAACATGGTTCGCTTCCAGCAGCTGCTGGACAGCCAGAGCCATCTTCGCGACAGAGGCGTGTACATTCCGCTGGACGACACCCAGAATACGTTTACGGATTGCATCACATCCCTAGACGAGTTGGAGAGTCTGTTGAAGCCACTATCGGACCCGGATCTGAAGCCGTTGGATCTTGTCGCTCGGTTGGAGTGGGTGATGAAGGACAAGCGCATCGAGGCTTTGTCCAAGCGAGTTCATGATGCGCAGTCTTCTCTAGGCCTCATGCTTACTATTCTTTCCAAGTAGGGGACATCCCCAATTTCTTTTGCTAAAACCATGATTATCAAGGCTAACTATCATCAGCGAATCTCTGCTCGAGGTCCAAAAGGCTCTAGCCGGGCTCTCTGAGCTCACCAAAACAATTAGCGGCAACGTTGCCCATCTAAATCGGCGTAGCATCAGCACCAAATCAGAAAGATCGCTTGCGAAGGGAGACGATGAGAACGGGGGCGACAATAACTCTACCATTAGACCTCTCTCAGCTCTCAGACGAGCATCCTATGCAGCCTTGGTGTCACGGCCCGATTCTGTCATCATTCCGAGTACCGTAGCGGAGGAACCTGTCGAAGAGATGGATGAAGAGAAGGCCGTCAACGTTGTGGCCCGGTTTGCCTTTGAGGCTGCGCTGGAGAGCTCCCGGGCGTACCGACGAGCGCCGAAATGGGATTTGGATGACGTTTCCTTTCGCTCGTCCGTTATGAACCCACACGCCTGGTCTCTTTTCTCCAAGATGTCATGTCTTAGTCTGGGCGATGTTTCCAGAATCTCCGTCATTGCGTTGCCGCTCTTCTCCACAGATTTACGCAACTCTCAGCACTACCAATTCGGGAGCACCGAAGAGGAAATCGACCCCATCCAGTCCGAGAAGGACGAGCGAGACTTTCAACAGCCACGTCCGACGCTTCGCGTCACGCCTGTTCCTTCTCCTACGCCTCTACCGTCCTATGTTTATGGCCCAGTGCCACCTACCCCCTCGAAGACAGGCGCTACTCGCGTTCTCAACACTTTGAAGAAGGCTCTAAGTCCAGTCACAAAGGCACTAGATCCAGACAGGAGGTCGCCCGACTTAGGCAAGAGGTCGCCCAGTCCGATCAATGTCCCAACGGCACCGCACACTCCCTTTGGGCCGGCTTTGTCTCCTACCTTGAGCCAGCAACCAGACGATGCGAGAAGCATCAGGTCGGAAAATTCGGTCCACACTTTGGGCGATCTGAGTCAACTAAAGCTCAATGAAAATGAACTCTACCTCTTTCACTCGAACGGAGTGCCCTGCCACAACGTAATACTGGAGTCCTTCGACGAGGACGAGGTATGTCTATCCTGCGTGGTGCCCTGTTAGGAGTCTAAAATGTTGAAAGGCTGACGATCAGAAGGATATCCAAAACAAGATGGGTGCGGGTCAGTTAAATCTAGGTAAGCCAAAGACATCTGTACCCTCAATCACTTTAGATAACAACGGACTGATGTTGGTGAAATGCGAAGCCGCCTCCCAGGGTTATCTGGATATGTTTCGCTGTGGCAAGTGCAAGTCTTCGCTCGCCAATATGTCTAAAAGGGAGTTCAATGGGGTGCCGAAATTCGAGATTTGGTGCGGCGCCCAAACCTGTCTGGCCTCATCAGGGCTCAAGTCGTGCCCATGTCATGCCAAGATTGTGGAAGTGGGCTTGCCAACAGACAAGTATATCGGCTGCAGGCTACTCTTCGCGAAAGAGGTCAAGTGCCCACGTTGTTTCAACCTCTGTCCCGATTGCGTCCCCGTCAACCACGAAACTTTCCCGGAGGGCTACGGGATCTTCGAGCTCCAGAGCGTATATCTCAAGGCTCAGCGATGGTTATTCGCAAATGTTTGGAGGGATGCCGAGACATCGGAGTGGGAGAAGCAACTCAACTATCACTTGTCCCAGATCGAGATCCGATTACGCCTCTGCCCAGTCTCGAATCCTGTTGTTGAGCGGTTCAAGTGGATTCTAGACACCCGGCAAAGGATCCTAAATTGGAGGAAAGGCATTCTACCTACCTGGAGAGAGATGAACAACCTTGTCGCCCAGGGATCCGACTTCTATAAAGGGCCGATGCAAAACATGATGGATGTCATGGAAGAGTCGGATGCTTTCCTTGAGCGCGAGATGGATCAGAATATAGATCTTGTGCCCGGATTAGCGGAAATTAGACGGAAGGACTCAATCGAGTCTGATTCAGATATTGGCGAGCAGTGGTTCGCCATTATAGGGAACGGACACATGCCAAACGACAATGCGCCAAACGAGCTGACAGTCGGAATCGCTCTCTGAAGGGATTCTCCTTGCTTCAAGTGATTTTATTTCCCTCATTCTGTACAATATACCAGGTTGGATTGGAACAGGCGTTATCAAAACAGGCATATTCCTTTATTATCAAATCCTTGGCTCAAATAACAATCCTAATGTAGAGGGTGAGCAGCATAGCGGTTGCCTCAGACTTTTACAACATGATAAACTATAATACTTAATTTTTAGAATTCATCTAGGTACTTTTGACGAATAATAAAACCAGTATAGCCAAATATACTTCAGGTTGAGAGCGAACCGAGGTTGCGTTCGCCACTGTGACTCTCTTGCCCCCTTACCGGGAGGCTCCCTCATGATCTTACAGCGGCAGCTTTCGCAACAGTGGAATCGGAAAACTTATCTTATCTCAAAATACTTTTCTTAATAAAGGCTAGATGCAAGTCATGTGATTTGACGAAAGGCATTAGACACAGGCTACATGTATCCTTGAAGCTGCTATCGAAACCTATGGAATCGCATCCAAGTCGACAAATCAAACGGCAGGACGTTATTCTTCCCCGTACCAAGCTCTTAGCCATCTTTCCCATTCAAAGGCGGGGAAACTTTAAAACAACTGATAGGATCAGTAACTTATTTGAATGACCTACGCCCACCTCTTACCACAACGATCTACTGCAGAGGCCTCCAACGGTCAACCAAGACTCTTCATTTGCAGTAAACTGTGAAATGCAAGCATTTCTCACCATGAAATTGTTTTTCTCGTCCTTCTTTTAGGCCGTCGTTACTAGAAGTTCATCAGCCGATATCTACCCTGGAAGTAAAGTTAAATAAAGGCAACCACAAGAAGGGAGACTGCTGAGAATCTCCTACTTCTGAGGACCGATATGTGGCAATTTTATCTTATAAGTTAATAGCACCACGATGCCTAATGACGCTCCATTCCCTTCCAACTTCATCAAAAATATTCCAAGCTGTCCCGACCAAGATTTCCTTTGAGGTGGCAATAGAAGAACTGGCTATCTCAAATGATTTCAATGAACAATGGAAGTCTCCTAGGCCAATTCTCAGGGGGGAACAGTTTGATACCCTAAATTGCATGTCACCGTGGCGCAGCTTCTTTCAATCCTAATCAGCCGAGGCAACAATAAAGCCCTCATAACCTCTCAGCACTGACACGCCCTCGTGTCCCTTTAACAAGTCAACCGAGCTAGATTGCAAAGTTTGATGTCAGCATATCCGGGCCTCCGAAACCCCTGATTCTGCCTTGGCAGAGGCTGAGTTAAACGAAACAATCGTGGTGGACTTTGTGGACTTAGGCGCTTACATCCACCAATGCTACCCTATACTAGCCATGTAAGACAAAGTCTTTTGAGGTAGTCTTTCGAACAAGGCAGTGCAAAATCGGGGTTTATAGAACACCGAATCTAAGATGCGCACAGGAGGTAATTCGGCCGTCATAATGATTGATGTTGGATTTGGTAGAAAGGGTTGCGAGAAGTTCCATGAAAAAGGCTTTCTGACTAGGCAAGTGGGTGACACTGAAATTGAGATACACACACACTAAGCTGCTTATTCTCCACTCTACAACCAGTATTATCATATTATTGAGTGCTAGTAATACATGCTTGAGAGATAATACAACAAACATTATCACTTTCTTTCGTTTTATGCTACTGAATTTCTTGTTTCCTCTTCGAAAGTAGAACCACTCCTCCATTGGGTGTCTCACTTCTTATGTCACCCACCTGCCAGGCTAAGCTCTGCTTGCAAGGGTTCGTACACATGAGAGGAGAGAGGCCTGAAGTCGAAACAGAAGAGGAAGGCCTTCATTTTCCGACCGATTGTTATACTTAAGATCAACGTATTACACCATTGATTGGATAAAGACATAACCTAAATTTAAGTGGTATAGAGTCGTCTAAACGCACAAATCTCTTGCGCACTGCTAGCAATGCGTTTATGATAGAGAACCCAGTAACTCCAGATGCGCCTGCGATCGAGCACCTAGTTTTAGCCGAAACGGCCGATTTTTGGTTTGTTGAATTTGTCAAGTCCGGCATGCTGGAACGTGAATGAATTGATTTCAGGGCGGTGATGCAAGGATGAGGAGCGTTGGATGTATATTTCTCACTTGAGCATATACTATCAATAAAGATCAATTAAATTAAGAGCTAAAATCAATTTAAAATAATTCTTTTAAGTAAAGATAACCTAAGAATATATGAATCTCTCTTTGTAACAGCATCGGAGTATCGGCACTTGAAGGCCTGGGCTGACATCACCGACGGGTATACGCAACATTTCCGTTAACGAGTGGACCAGTCTTGTCTCGTAGGGATAATTCGGAAGTTGTCAAAAACGCGCACCTGGGCACGTAAATAGCCTTCCGCTCTTTGATTTGACTATTGACATCTTCGATTAAAGACTGGAGAGGGTTCGATCTGGCTACACTACAGTTTACTGCTTTATATCTTCTACTTATCAGCAACCATGTCTGTTAAAAGGGAGCCATCCAGCGGCTACTTACATCATTTCACAACCTATGACTATATCTCTCCACTGAAGCTGAACCTAGCCAACAAACATGTTCTCATCACTGGCGCAGCTTGGGAGGACGGAGTCGGATATGCCACAGCCACAGCTTTTGCGCGTGCGGGAGCATCTGCGATCGCAGTGGCTGACCTACACGGTGTGTCTGACGATCTCGTCGCAAGGTTGAGGGCGGCTGCGACGCAAGCCGGACGCCCTGAGCCTCTGGTGCTGGGCTGTACGGTCGACATCGCCAGCAAAGACAGCGTCCAGGCATTGTATGACGTAGTGTCACAGGGGTTTGGCCAGCATCTGGACATTGTCGTGAACAATGCAGCCTACATGGAACCAACCAAGCCGCTCCTCGACTTGGACCCAGACGAGGCCTGGCGACCATGGGAAGTCAACGTCCGCGGACTCTTGAACGTGACTCGCGCGTTCCTCCCCTTGCAGCTCTCAACCCGTGCGAGTGCCAACGGCTCATGTACAATCATCAACGTGGCCTCTTCAGGCGCGCTGAGCGCTCGTCCCGGGAGCGGGAGTTATCGGAGTTCGAAGCTTGCGGTTTTGAGATGGACCGAGACCTTGCAACTAGAATATGGTGATCAAGGACTATGGACGTTTTGTGTCAACCCAGGTGCAATCAAGACGAAGATTACTGAGAACGCGCCCGCGCAGGTGCGAGATGCATTGCCTGATCGTCCGGACATAGCTGGAGATACAATTGCATGGCTGGCTGCTGAGCGCCGGGAGTGGCTGGGTGGTAGATATGTGAGTTGTCCGTGGGACATGGAGGAACTCATGAATAAGAAGGACGAAATTGTAGAGAAAGATGGGCTGAAGATGAGGATAGTTTTTTAAGTTGATGCAAATAGCAATGTCGCTACTACCATCGCGTGTAGGTTGGGTTTATAGATAGTCCTAGGGATAATGTTTAGCTTAACTAAACATTATTACAGTAATTTAACAGCTTGATATATAGCTTGATAGCTGCAGTCTTGAGTAGGTGAGTCAGATCCTATCTGCAGCGATGCTGATGAATCTGATCAACAGCTGCAGCCTCGAATAGGCAAGTTGAATCCTCTTTGCCGTGATTATGACAGATGTGATCAATGGTGTGCCTGTAAGCCGGCCAGTCAGACCTGGTAGTTGGGAGTAGTAATAGCCGTAATTCACACCAAGCTAGAAGTACCTTTTCTCTTAATAACCTTGACAGCGTATACAGTCCGCATGTGAGTGAAAGTATGTTACTGAATATGGTGTTGGCACAGCCATACGTTGTTTACGGTTTCCACACCGCTGTCCATACACGACCTCCACCCGGGTAGGTCACTACGGTTGGAACTTTCAAGGGTTAGATTATACCTCGTTCTCGTCGAATTTGATCCTAAAGCAAGAGAGATGAAAAGTGGAAACAGAGGACGTTGCTTTGGGGCTGTGAAGAAGTAAGCCCGCTCTAGGCTTTGATAAAAGAGTTTTACAGTGGTGTGTTTATTACCCTTGCAAAAAAGTAGCTAGTATAGCCGACAGTTGGTATCTTCTTGTCTCATCGCAGCCCGCCAAGCCTCGCCGATGATGCATCCCGTGGGGTTCGTGATGTGGTCACTCCCCTCTCCCTGGTGACGAACCATTGGGATGCGGCCGCTCCCCTCAAGGAAGGTTGCTATCGGGCCGGACCATAAACGACGGTGTAGGTAGATACTGGGGAGGATTTGACTTTTGGCAAGCAAGGTTCACCGGGTAGCGGGACGAGGCCTCACTTGGAGGACTCCTCTGCCGGAATTATAGGCTATCAAGCATGGACTACGCATTGGGTTTGCCCCCATTGAGGCTGTGAAGAGGGAGCTTGGTCTTTACGGTAATTGTGGAGCTCGAGAGGGAGTCTGTTTTGCCACGGCCATGTGAATATTGCTGCAGCTAACGTGGTCGATCATGAGGAGGTTGGTGGGAATGGCGTCGAGATGGCGGCATCGTCGATATCGCCATGGAAGAGGCAGCCAACAGCTACAACTGCGATAGCCTGATCCTATGCCAAGTGACGAGATGAATTATTGGATTATTACTTGTGCGTACATATACCTGCCGTTTCCACGTCATCTAGACCTTATTTGGCGGTGGCTGTGCAGCGGAATCGGACAGCGTATTCAACATCCGGTGCATGAACGGGAGCCGAATGTTGGCTTGGCCCTGATTAGGCTCGCACTAGTTGTGCAAACTGGATTCACAAACGATCCGTGTCTCATCTTGGCTTGTCTGTTGTTGGGCAGTTGGTCGTGTACTTTGGTAGACGTTGAAATATGCCCTTGGCTCTACGGAATGTGGGTTCTTAGGAATGCAGGTTGTGGGGAGTGGCATGAAGCTGGAAATGAAAGTGGCCCTCTATCTGGGCGCAAAGGCCTTTCGAAATGATGATTAGGCCCTCTTGGGAGACTGGGGTATACTGTGATGAGATGAGGAGGGCCTCGTGGAGAAGTTCCCCAGGGATGCAGTCCCGGATGAGGTAGGTCCTCTTCCGCTTCGATAGAGCTACGAGAAATTGGAAAGCGTCTCTATTGACGTAATGAGGCAATTACAGGTTCTGAAATTGTCCGTTCTGGGTGGGATGGTTGAGGGGAAGATTGACCGCTTACGATCAGAGTTCTCACGGGAGAGGGAGAGAGGCCAACCATCAGGTAATACGTACATTAGTACTCCGAGAATGCAGTTAGTATGAGAAGTTACATACGCAGTTACCCAAGGGTACATGGCCGAGCAGCCAACCAGATCGCGAGAGGGGCGATATTATGATTCAGTTGTGCAGAGAGAAAACCCAGTTTGCATGGCATCATCGAGTAAAACAGCGATGTGCACTGGACACAGCCTCAATTGTGGAGAAGCTGAACATGATTTGGGTTGCCAAGCAAGCCAAGATACAACATGGCAAATGCACTCCCACCTCGGGATCGACGCACGGCCCATGAATCTTCGGATTGTGGGCGGGAGGCATCCGTCCACACTCTCAAGACTCTGCTTACTCACGGCTCTTCGCGGTTTTGGGGGAATCTGGTTGCCTGGAGGACTGGACCGCACCAGCCACTGCCTGCGCCACAGGATCCCGGCTGAAGATGTGGCTTGGTCCTCGTTCTCGACCGTGTTTGAACACGCATGCAGTGGCGGATTATGCCGATGCCCGACCACACATGCGTGTCGTGTCCATGGCACGGAGAAGAGATAGAGATACACCTCCAAATGATCGGCGTCCATGGTGCGGATGATACCTACATGCCCGTGGACACGATGTTGGTGGAGTGGGGGTTTCGGCTGGCTCGCATCACTCATCTGGGCAGCGACGCTGGGACAGATGGCCGGATGGGTAGCAATCAAGCTTGGTGACCGCATCGATGACATTAGCGCTGCACCTGAGCGCAGAAATGATGTCTGCTGGCTCGTCGGTCTGCAGCTGGCTGGGTGCTTGGCACGATCGCACGACCCTGGCCGTGGGCAGACAACTGGAAATTTAGAATTAACCTTGTTTTGGCCGCCGTCACCTCCCAGATGACGGGACTGGTCTAGCACACGAGGGAATGAAGCCACCGTATCAGCGGCTTGCGTGCCAAGCTTTGATACCCTGCATCTGCAGATGGGTGGGGAGCAGATTGAAGCCTCTAGTTGCGGAGGTAGCATCCTATTCAGTCCAGTTCGTCTGACGAAGGGGACGGACCCCAACAGAACCCCGTCGCCCACTTTTGTTCTCGAAGGCGTTGGCTTTCTGTATTTCGGCTGACCAATTTTGCACATGGCCGCCTGACGGCAGGTCACAGCTTCTCATTAAGCCTTGCACAGCCCAAGGTTTCCCTTAGTATGACTCCGAGGCTTCGTGGCTGCTCTCCATTTATTGCCAGGCGTCTCGCTGTGCTCAGGGCTATGGCGACGGCGGCTACAATGGAGCCCAGGTCCCAGGCTTCAGCGTCAGAGCCCACGCACGCGTGTGCGTTGTCATCATCATCCCAGACATCATTCTTCTGAGGCGGCAAGAAAACAGGCGGGCGGGGAGCGAATGAGGGCCGTGCAGCCTTTCTTTCGGACGGTCGTGCATGAAATCACTCAGAAGGGGGCTGTGCAAAAAATTCTCCACCACCCTGGCTGTAACTCATTACCGCAACGACCTGAAGGGTCAGTCGCGGAGCAATCGTGATTGGGTCGACGGGAGGGGAGTGTTTTGAACCACAGATGCTGGCATTTGGGTTTGCGAACGGACAAAGAGAGAAAGCTTCTATCCCGTAGCACACGCTTCTCTGCTGACACGATGTTAGTTCTTCTGCCAGCAATTAAGCTTTTGGCATCTAGATTGAGATCTCCAGGAACCGCTGACCGTAACTGCTGCCAGCGACAAGTACCCAGAGGTAGCGCTGGGAAAGCCGCCCAGGGGAGCCAGGGGAGGACACGGAGATCGCCTGGGCGTCCGCTGGACTTGGCTAGAGGCCTCCTCTCCCAATCCTCGCTAGACGCCGTGCTGGCCAATGGCCTTCCCCTGCTGCACTAAGCATATTCAGTGGACCCAGCCAAGGGGCGGTAGTGGGCCTCAGTGCGCAGAGGGCAGGTACTTGGAGGTACCTGATCCTACCAGGGGCTACCACAGTCTTTTGCTGTGCCGCGACTTGCTCCTTCAACCTCCTCTTTGCCATCGCCATTCTCCCTCGAAAGACAAGCTTCTGTTTCTTCCGCCAACATCTCTGCCCGATGGCTAGACCATGAACCTACGCTATCAATCGAGCTCCACTGTCTGGTGACCTGCCTCCTTTGATCCCAACCTACCTTACTTTGTTACTTGCTATTGCCACTCCTTACACACCTCTTCGTTCTCAACAAGCTCAGCCACATCACGAGTGTGAGGAACAGACTGCTGCGGCTCAGGCTGCCTCCGGATGTGGGTATAATATATCAGTCCTCCCACCTTCCGACACTCTCCTGGCACCTTTCTAGAGCACAGAATATCTTCAGACTCTAGTTTCTTGGGCGTTACCACACGCTACAACGCCGTCACAACGCCATACACCATGGCGACTCCCAGTCACAATCATAGCGACAGCCTGTCGCCAGCTGCCGCAACATTACAAGTCGACTCTCGAGAAAGGGCACATAGCAATGCCGAGACTGTCAGATCAGGCGTTTCCAGCCATCACAACAGCAGTTTGTCGCCATCGTCAGCAACACTCCAGGTCGGCGGCCCTGGCAGAGAGCGCGCTTACAGCAACGCCGAGACGGTCACATCCGGCATCTCTGGCGTTTCCGATCCCTTCTTAACACCTGCCGCTACGAGCGTAATATCGAGTTTAATCGAAGAACCCGAGATCGCATTACGACCAGACCCCGGAACCGAAGGCGATTTCCACGTTGAGAACAACCCATTCGGCTTCGCACCAGGCCATTTCAACAAACTCCTCAATCCCAAGTCCCTGTCGGCCTACAAGGCCCTCGGCGGCGTGAAGGGGATCGCTTATGGGCTACAAACCGACCTCCACGCCGGTCTCTCAATCGACGAGACCAACGCCCCCTACAAGACCACCTTCGACCAGGCTGTCGCAGCCGGCTCCTCCCAGCAGAGCGAAAAGCCCGTACCTCAACAATCGACACCCAGTACATCCTCTGAGAGCTTCGCCGACCGGATTCGAGTGTTCAAGCGCAATGTTCTCCCCGCGAAGAAACCTACATCGCTCTTGAAGCTGATGTGGAATGCATACAACGACGCCGTCCTGATTCTCTTGACTGTCGCTGCGGCCATCTCCTTGGCATTGGGCCTGTACGAGACCTTTGGCGTCGAACATGAGCCGGATGCACCCATGCCTCTCGATTGGGTCGAAGGTGTGGCGATTTGCGTTGCCATTATAATTGTCACAGTTGTTGGAGGTCTGAATGATTGGCAAAAGGAGCGAGCTTTTGTGAAGCTCAATGCCAAGAAGGAAGACCGAGAGATCAAGGTTCTTCGTTCTGGAAAGTCGTACATGATCAACGTTCATGACATCTTGGCCGGAGATGTCTTGCACCTCGAACCTGGAGATCTTATCCCCGTCGACGGTATTTTCATTGATGGGCATGACTTGAAATGCGATGAGTCCTCAGCTACCGGTGAATCTGACGCAATCAAGAAGACTGGCGGCGAGCAAGTTATGAAGGCGCTCGAGGCCGGCCACAGCAAGGCTGACTTGGACCCCTTCATCATCTCGGGCGCCAAGGTCCTTGAGGGTATGGGTACATTTGTCGCAACCTCTGTCGGCGTTAACAGCTCTTTCGGTAAGATTATGATGTCTGTTCGAACTGAAATGGAAGCCACTCCTCTGCAGAAGAAGCTGGAACGCCTGGCCATGGCTATCGCCAAGTTTGGTAGCGCCGCTGCCGGCCTGCTGTTCTTCGTTTTGCTCTTCCGCTTCATTGGCAACCTGCCCAACGACGATCGTCTACCCACACAGAAGGCGTCCGCTTTCATGGACATTCTTATTGTCGCCATCACTATCATTGTCGTTGCCGTCCCCGAGGGCTTGCCCCTCGCCGTCACTCTCGCACTCGCCTTTGCTACTACAAGAATGCTTCGGGAGAATAACCTAGTTCGAGTTCTTCGAGCTTGCGAAACCATGGGAAATGCTACTACCATCTGCTCCGACAAGACCGGCACCTTGACAACGAACAAAATGACTGTTGTGGCTGGTACATTCGGCTCTGCTAGCTTTACCAAGGCTGATTCCGAGAAGCCCGCTGACCTGACCATTGCTGAATGGGCGGAGAGCCTTCCCGAGGATACCAAGAAGGCCATTGTTCAATCCATTGCTATCAACTCGACTGCTTTTGAAGGCGAGGAGAATGGTCAGGCTACCTTCATCGGATCCAAGACTGAGACTGCTCTGCTCCAACTCGCTCGTGATCATCTGGGTCTTGGTTCCCTCTCTGAGGCTCGCAACAACGAAGAAGTTGTCCAGATGTTCCCGTTCGACTCCAAGAAGAAGTGCATGGGTGCCGCTATCAAGCTGCGTGGCTCTGGAACCTACCGTCTCCTTATCAAGGGCGCTTCCGAGATTCTTCTCAGCCACTGTACATCCAAGGGTGATATCAACACTCTTGAGGAGACTCCCTTCCCCCGTGAAGAGCGAAAGCGCATTCGGGGCATCATTGATGGCTACGCTAGCCAATCCCTCCGCACCATCGGCCTCGTCTACAAGGACTTCCCCTCATGGCCTCCAGCTCACGCTGAAGTGGAAGACGGTCACGCCGACTTTGCCTCACTTCTCAAGGGTCTCACTTTCTTTGGTCTCGTCGGTATTCAGGATCCAGTCCGTCCAGGTGTTCCTGAGGCTGTGGCCAAGGCCAGACATGCTGGTGTCAAGACTCGCATGGTTACTGGTGACAACATTATCACTGCTCGCGCGATCGCTACCGAGTGTGGCATTTACTCCGAGGGTGGTGTTGTCATGGAAGGCCCCGAGTTCAGGAAGCTCAGCGACGAAGAGTTCAAGAAGGTTCTCCCTAATCTGCAAGTCCTCGCTCGCTCATCTCCGGAGGATAAGCGAATTCTTGTGACTAAGTTGAAGGAGCTCGGTGAGACTGTTGCTGTCACTGGCGATGGTACCAATGATGCTCCTGCTCTCAAGGCTGCTGATGTTGGTTTTTCAATGGGTATCTCTGGTACTGAGGTCGCCAAGGAGGCTTCCGCAATCGTCCTCATGGATGACAACTTCACCTCCATCATCACTGCTCTCAAGTGGGGTCGCGCCGTCAACGACGCTGTCCAGAAGTTCCTGCAGTTCCAGATCACGGTCAACATCACTGCTGTCCTCCTCGCTTTCATCACTGCTGTCTACCACCCTGAAATGAAGCCCGTTCTCAAGGCTGTCCAGCTCTTGTGGGTTAACCTCATTATGGACACCTTTGCTGCCTTGGCACTTGCGACAGACCCTCCAACTGAGAAGATCCTCGACCGACCCCCTCAGGGCAAGAAAGCTCCCCTCATCACCACCAATATGTGGAAGATGATTATCGGACAGTCAATCTTCCAGATGGTTGTGACCCTTGTGCTATACTTTGCTGGCCATGAGATTCTTGGCTACGATCGCTCCAGCGAGGCGGATCAGACCGACTTGGACACAATCATCTTCAACACTTTCGTTTGGATGCAGATTTTCAACGAATTCAACAACCGACGTCTTGACAACAAGTTTAACATTTTCGAAGGTGTTCACCGGAACATTTTCTTCATTTTGATCAACATTCTCATGGTCGGACTGCAGGTATGCATCATCTTTGTTGGATCTCGTGCTTTCCAGATCTCCGAAGATGGTCTGAATGCAACCCAGTGGGGCGTGTCCGTTATCACCGCCCTCTTTTGCTTACCTTGGGCTATTGCGGTTCGCCTCTTCCCCGACGAATGGTTTGCCAAGATCGCTCGAGTCGTTGGAACGCCCTTTGTTATTGTTTACAACGCTCTGGGCAAGGCTTGGCGAAGCACCTTTGGCCGAGTCTTTGCTCGTCTTAAGAAGTCAAAGAAGACCGACGAGGAGACTGCCGAGTCTACTGAGCCTACTGTTGTCCCCGAGGTGAGGGAGCCCGAGCCAGAGTCCGAGAAGAAGGGCCCTCAAACGGCACAGCAGAATGTCCCCGCGATTCCTGCCATCATTGCCCCCGAGCCTGAATCTGAGAGTGACAATAGCCCAAACCAAGGGCCTGAGATTACTATTTCTTCAGAGAAGCGACCTGCCTGATCTCACTGTATACCATACATACATCATATAAGGCGGCTTTTTTCAAGCGATGGATCTTAATCTTAATGGGGGCATACATAGAACGGAGACATTATTGAGATACATAGTACCATCTGTTTTAGTTTTTTTCTTTTAGTCACAGAGAGCGAAGGCGTTTGGGAAATGATTTTTATTTTAGATATCCTTAAATGACAAAAGCAATGAGTCAACAACTGGAGAAGGACACACTGTATCACTAGAATTTGACTGTCTGGAAAGACGATACTGGGTAGATAGAGAGAATTACAGTTTATTTGTCGATCCTTGATAAGTTCTTAATATCGTTGGCGGACTGCACTGCTTCTCGCCTGTGTTTCCATGCGACTATCAATTGCATTGCCTGGGTATTAAAAGAACTTCATTGATTTGTCTCCATGTTGTAGCGCCAATGTAGAATTAAGGGGTTCTCCAGGCCTTACCTGAGTTTCGACTCACTCCTGTCTCGTCACTGATTCATACAGCATCACTTGACGAAGCGGCAAGTAATAAGGCAACATAGAAAATTTGGATTTGATCATTGTAAAAGAGGAAAAAATTAGACCAAATCGAAACAACCCGCCTGCATTGTTTGCGGTTCATCGTCTTTGAACCAAATCCATCTCGTTCTTTGTATACACAAACAAGGATAGAATTTAGAAACTCTAGGAGACAAACGCTCGGTATTTGGCAATCACCAAGGCATAAGAAATTAGACACATATTAAGATAAACACATTTCTAGGTTTGGAACGACCATTTTGTCTTTATTTTTGTATTCTTTGTGGGAAACGGCGTTGGGGTCGAGTCCATCATTAGATGTGCATGTGTGATGCAAGGACAAAAGAAAGATCCCCAAACTGCGAACGTGATGTGATGATAAGATCGCTACATAAATACTTTCAAACGTTTCAAGTGCTCCCTTGAGGACAAGATCTCTGTTTCTGTACGACGGGATTATACATTCACACGATTTGAGCCGTAAAGGTCGACATCTTCAACCATGTGTTTCGAATTAGTAACACACAGAACGGACTGCGAGACCCGTCGCATATCAACTCTATCGGTTAAACAGCCGGAGTTCGCCTTCGACATATACCACCCGTTTGAATGGCCGCCGAATTGCCACCACTATACCGAGGGGAGGATAGGGGATGTCTGCTGTAGCCATGGCAACTGCTGCGAGCTGAGTTATCGGGAAGTATGTGTCTATTGGGTTGGTCATGGAGAAGGGATCATCAAATGTCGAGGGTTCAATAGGCGGCTTCACCTCGTTGTCCCCAGCAACGGTAGCAACGATGAGGTTGACACCCAATTTAGGGATCCTGTCGACGACGCCGTTCGGTTGACTAAGGAGGAGGAGGAGCGTCTGTACCAGGCGCAGGTAGCATACATCGACGCGGGAGTGAGGGTGAGGACGGTCCTGGAGGACAGCGGAAGCGCGTGGATCACGAACGTGAACCCGCCGTATGATTGGAGGACGATCATCAACACAGGGGCGAATGGGCGTCTGCTTCTGCACTTTGACGCAGAGGAGAGAGGGTGGAAGAGGGTATGCCCCACGCTGAAGAAGGAAGAGAATCCGCTGCAGCCTGAGGTTATGAAAGACACGGAGAGCCAGTATCCATACTGGTACAAGGTCTTCAAAGTGCCTCGGTCGGGTAATGAGGGTCCCCCGAACGTTGGACCAGATGGATCCAGCATCGGCCAAACCGCCTCTGCGCGATCGTACGGGCAATTTGCCTCTGCGCAATGGTACGGCCAGCCAGCTCCTGCGCAATCGTCAGCATCAGGTGCCGGAGGGGACGGAGTGGCTGCTGCTGACATGGTTGGGGGGCTAATCAACCCTCCTGGGCGGGATCAGAATGGCCCGGTGGCCGAGCCAGTTGATGAATCACTTTTGTTGGGGTTTTTGTTCGAGTCTTCCGAAGAATATGTCCCGTATTCTCCATCAGAGGGACCAACCCGAATATTCAGTCGGAGTCCAGGGGAAGGGAACGACGCCGTACTTGAAGTGGATGATGAGCAGGGACCACCAGCAGCTCCTGCGGCTTTGGGCGGCTTGGCCCCGGCGGCTGTACTTGGAGATGGGCTTGCAGGCGGAAATGCTCAAGTGCCCTTCGGGGAAGTGTATGGGCAAGTGTATGGAGAGGCCCAGGCGGCGGTCCAGGCACTAGCGAACCCTCAGTGGTCTGTTGAGCAGTTGAGTGCCATGAGAGATGCGATCGTTCAGCAGCCCGCAGAGACTGCCCCGGGTGTGAGAGTAGAGAACGACTTGGTTGGTATTCCGGTCACAGGACTGGTGTGGCTTCCAGCCCAGGGATTGTTGAGCCGATCGATAGGTGACGAGTATTATGCCGAGTTTCACCTTGACAACGTTGATGGTCGCGGACACCATAGAGAGGAAGATGGGATGTTACGACTGCCGGCACGCATACTAGGGCGTCTGCTGAGCAATGTACCAAGAGATATCCCACAGGCAAACCTCCCTCAGGTTCACCTCCCTCAGGCTCACCCCCTACAGGCTCACCCCCCTCAAATTCACATCCCACAGGCGAATCTCCCACAGGCGAACATCCGACCAGAGGACATCCCATGGCAATCCGTTGAAGATGAAAATGGAGACGGGCCGCCAATGTCACCCTTGACAGACCCTGATGCCACTGGGGGTAGTGGTGAGGGGGGAAGCAGTACGAATACAAACACCACCCGAAGGCCAAGTGATGAGGGGGATAGCAGTACAAATACAAACACCACCCGAAGGCCAAGTGGTGAGGGGGATAGCAGTACAAATACAAACATCACTCGACGGTCGGGTGGGAACCAGGGAATTGACGAACCACCATCCATCCATTCACCAAGTTATGGGCCGTCGCCGTTACCAGAGCCAGGAAACGAGGCAAACAGGAGTCAGCACTCTGGCTCCCTCCCATCCGCAAACCATTCAATTCTTCGGGAGGGGGGGAATTCGCAAGAGGGGACCACCGAGCTCCTGTCGGACATGTCGAACGGCGCGCTGCAAGAGCTGGAAAACGCTCTAGACGCGACCAGGAGCAGCGTGCCGCGCAAGACTCGGAAACGAGCAGCGGAGGAGGACCACGACGAGGTGGAAGAGGAACCGACCCCTCCACGGCCGACGGGAAGGCAGCCGGCGAAGAGGCGGCGCGTTGAAACGCCCGTCGAGGAGCCGGTCGAGGAACCTGTCGGTGAACCTCGGTATAGATTTCGACAAAGGCGGAAGGTGAACTACAAGTACAAGTAGATGGAGCGTAGTTCTTTTCATCGATGTGCTTGTGATTTTGTGATTTTGTGTGATTTTGTGCATTTGTTTTCTTGGAGCCCATGGGACTTAGACTTGCAAGTGTTTTTGGGGCGTTGAGGATTGTTTTATATACCGTTGGGAGGATATGTTTATTATCGGATTGAATATGTCTGCATAGAGTTCGTATACGTAAGTAATGCTTGGTAGATTGATAGAGAAAAGCGGCAATTATGAATATTTTCATTGTCTGCTCTGCTTCAACATTAGTAAACAGGCGGGCGACTGTGTTTCCAGTGAAGAAGAAAGCATTGAATGACCTTAGTAATGGCGTGATGGCCGTATTCACTGCAATCTGCGACACAAAGAAGCAGGTGGGAGGGAGTGTTCGTGAGGCATGAGCGCATTTGGACGAGTGTTTTGTCGTTGGAGCGTTGAGCCGCCGCCGGGGCTGGAAGGGCATGTAGACGCAAAAGAGCTGTTCATTCCCCTTGATCGACTGTGCTCCAGGTTTTGAAGACAATGAAACTATGTCGATACCTCTGGAGATTACATTTGATCAATCGTGGATGTGTGCGGGCCGTTGCAATTATGATGATCGGAAATTGCACGTCAGCCTCAATCGCGGAATAAACAGTCCATTTGGCAATTCTCATTCAACAGCATCAATCTTAGGACGATAGGTAATTAACAACATTAAAACAAGCCAAGAGATTTCCGGAGGTGCAAAATAACAGGTACGAAACCCGACTTGAGCACGTCCAGCATATCTCGTTTTCTTGTCGAGGGGGAATAAGCAACTCAAAATATCCAAATTATCCAGCAACACACACACATCACGAGCCACAGCCACCTAGAAGACCCTCGACTTGACCCTGACCTGATACCCAATGGGCCGCACATTGAACCAACCGTCCATGCCGGCCTTCTCGACGTCATAGTGGGGGTCGACCTGCTCAAAGTCAACCTCCCTGAGGAGCTGCGCCGTCGTCTGCACAAGCCACTGCCAGGCGTAGTGCTTGCCAATGCACTCCCTCTTGCCGTTGCCGAACCACCGGGTCGCGGCCTTGGGGAGCTTGGCGAACGAGTCGCCCATCATGCGCTCCGGCTTAAATGTGAGCGGATCCTCGAACAGGGCCGGGTCGCGGTTGACGCCCGAGAGGACGAGGATGAGGGCCTGGTTGTGTGCGACCTCGTACTTGCCGCCGCCGAGGAGGATGGGCTTCTTGTCGTCGCTGGGGATGGGCTCGATGTTGAACCCCGGGGCAGGGTTGCCGAGGCGGAGACCCTCGCGGACGACGCCCTCGACGTACTTTAGCTGCTCGAGGTGCTCGAACCTGAAGTCGCCGTCGCCGAGGACCGAGTCAATCTCCTGGCGGGCGGCGTCGATGACGGAGGGGTTCTTGAGGAGGTAGTAGACGATGCTGGTGATGGTGCAGGGGGCGGTGCTGCTCCCGATGGGCATGGAGATGATCTCGTCGATGACCTGGGAGTCGGTGAGGGGCTTGCCCGTCTCGGGATCTTTATGGTTCATCATGGCGGCCAGGAGGTCCTGGCGGTCGGTAGGGTTCTTCTTTCGCTCCTCCACCACGTCGGCGGCGAACTTGCGCATGGTGGCGCATGACTTCTTGAACTTGCTTCCGTGGAGAAGCCAGTTCAGAATTCCAGGCCGGGTGGGACGCTGGACGGCCTCGGAGGTCGAGTCCTCCATGGCTTGTAGCATCGGGTGGGCAGGGCCCTTGAGGCCATCGAGGCGAGTGCCGTAGAGGGTGTAGGCGGTGGCTTCGAGGTTCAGTCGGTTCAGCTGCTCGACGAGGGTGATGGTGTTATTGGATCCGAGGTCCTTCCACTGCTGCACGAGCTCGGCAGTGATGTCCCGCATCTCGTAGAAGTGGTCAGGCATGGTCTGGGGCGAGAGCTTGGGGGCGATGATGCGATGCGCGATGCCCCAGCTCTCCTCGTGGTGGAAGGCTGTGAAGAGGGCATCGTGCACGGCAGCACGGATCTCGATGATGGGACTGCTGACGAGCTTTCTGAATCGCTTCTCGTCGCAGATCTCCTCGGCCAGATTTGCACCGGCGACGAAGACAATGGTGCGGCCGAGGATCTTGACCTGGAAGATCTCTCCATGTGCCTCTGCGAGCTTCTTGAGGGAGGCCCATGTATTGCTCGCCTTGATGTCAAAGAGGTTTCCCACAATGGGGAGAGGCTTTGGCTGGGGAATTGGTGTGGACATGATGTCGGACGATGGAGAGGATGCTGTCGATGGGTGATGTTTGTTTACTGTGCCGGCACGGGGGGACAAACGCGAAGGCGGCAGAGCTCCAGCTCACGAAGGAGTAGGACGGCCATGATATGCAATGTCCTATATGCAACTCACCTCATAGGCTCGTTACACCGCAAGACAAACACTCGGTTGATTATGACCCGCTCTCCACGTCACAAGTTCGCGAATGCCCAGTCAGTGACTTGGGCTCTTGTCTCACCTACCGCCACCAACGGAGGCCAAGTCCTGTCCTGCGCAGTTCAGCTGGGCAATAATGGGAAGCTTATCCTTTCTGGATACCAGCTGCAGGCTAGGAAGGTTTAGTCCCCGCGGGGGGAGAGTACCTCCATGCAGCTGTACATGTATTGGCATCAGATGTGACCATCCGTTGGGTGGGAGGGAAAGCCATCAATGCGACCTGAGGAGAAGGTGGCTACGGCCATATTGTCTGAGGACGCGTCCCGGTGCTTTCTATCCCTTGAAGCGGCTCCTCGTCCGCGAGAGATGCTCTGGCAAGAGCAAGATGTTGCGACAAGATACTTAATGATCTGCCGAGACGGCATGCATTAGTGGGAAGAGGCCGCTTTCCGTGGAATCAGGATCAGCATACCAATCCGATCCAATCAACCAGTTGGAGTGGCTCCTGTAACCCTGCACCCACGATCGAATCACCGTCCAGGACTCGACCGGCCCAGCAAATCAGGCCTCCTGTGATGGTCATCTTGTCTTGTCTCTGGGAAATAGACTGGAGAGAGCTGAGCCAGCAGCAAATCTGATTTGACACCGACTGTAGTGCGGAGAAGACCTGGGAGAACCCTTGCTTAGGTCGAATTGCCATCACTGTTTTGCTTTTTTTCCCTTGCTTGCTCCGAGACCATCATTTGAGGTAAGACATTTGAATGGCTAGGGCATTGAGGACAGCGAGCCAAGTCCAAGCACGCGGGGCAGTTTTTTGCATGTTGCGTCGTGGTGTGTCGCATCCCATGCACCTGCTACCCCGTCCTGCCCGTGTCGCGATCGCTTGCAGTCTTGGGAATGCCAATCCAATGTTGACGAGGAGATGGATGAGAGCCGGCAATCAACTGAGCAAGACCGTCCCAAGCTGTGTCCACTCCACTGGCGCGGCCCGCACTGCACTAGCAGACTCGCTAGGGACTGCTAGGGACTTTAGTAGGCAGCAGGGGACTGCGAAATTACTGTCCAATCTGCCAATGTACATTGGTGGGATCGGTGAATTATTCACAAGCTCACTGTGGCTGGCTGCTCTCGGTGCATTCATGTAGGCTCTAATCCCCCGAATGGACCCAACAAGCTCTCGCCCACCACAATGTTGAGGAGGTGGTTGGCCGCACCCGAGGTTGCATCGGCTCCCAGGTCCGACGAAGAGGAGGCTGGGAGGAGCAGCAGTATGTCATAGTGGTCAGTGTCTCGTGGGAATTATGCGAAGATCGTCAGACCGCATCACCGCCTACTGCCTTGCGCAGGATGAGAGGGGAACCCACAGCCCACAATTGCAGCATGTATGAGATTATTCCCAGAATGTTCGTTGGAAATTTTTAATCCAATCTTCTTTGAATCCTGTGATTTCAGGACATCTTTACCTTCTAACGGAGAAAATGAATTGGCTATTTCCTTGGGAGGCGAGACCCAAATTGCTATGTAAATCCCAGGCCCAGGCAGTGTGGAAGAAGCTAAAGATCACCACCTGCAACAGGTATCAACACTTGAATGGGCGAGCCGTCACGCGACACGGCGGCTCCATTGATTGGATCGATGTTCCTGCGCGGACCCCAAAACCAGACGCATCGAGAGGATAAAAAGGCAGGCGTCATTTGACTGACTGGAAAAGGCCATGGAATTCCTAATTTCCACAGATGCTGCCTCTGTATGGGCTTTGTATGGCTCGCTTTCAGGCAACTATAGCCCCGAGGGAAACTGCCCTGCGAGCAAATCACTATCATCAAGGTTACATAGCCCCTCTGTGGGTTGAAAGGGCACTTTGGTGTAGTAGGGGCGAAATTCATGCAGTGCAGATGCTGCAGATTTGGATGTTACCTGAAGTTAACAAAATGCCTGGACGAAATCCCGCAATCATGGCCATCTCAGTAGGCATTCTCCGAAGATGACTCATGTCAAGAGTCCGAAGGAAGAAGAAAAAAACCAATGACTGTATACTTGTGCTTCCAAAATACTTGGATTTATCAGCTGCATTATGTCACACTTGGGGGACGAGATCACGGCCCAGGTTGAGTTACGGCCTCTAGCCTCAACGACGGAGGTTCCAGAAACCAGGCAAAATACCAAACATCATGGTCAAAGGTTGAACAGCGAGACTGTCTCGCTTATCAACGATGAAGATCACAGCCAGGACCACAACGAGACATCTACGAAACCTACCGGCCTGGTAATTCGAGATACCGCACTGCCAACACCCGCAACAGACCCAAAGGACGTACGCAGCAATGTCCAGTCCAACGCCTTTGTGGCTTGGGGCCTCGAGCTGGCTGTTCTCCTGCTTGCTTTCGGTGTCTTCGGGGCTATGATTGCCATCTTGCAAACATTCAGAGACGCAGAGGTGCCTAGATGGAACGGCACCAGTAGTGGAGGCATCACCCTCAACGCGCTGATTGGCGTGCTCGCCACCATCTTTCGCGCATCTCTGGCGTTTGTGGCATTCGAAGTGCTCGCCGAGTTGAAATGGGAATGGGTGACAGCGCGGTTCAGGCCATTGAACGATGTGCAGCGCTTCGAGGACGCCACTCGCGGTGCCTGGGGATCCATGATGCTTCTGCCGGTCGTCACGATACGGCAGCCGCTTAGTATAGTCGCCGTCATTGTGGTCGTTCTGTCCGTCGCCATTGGGCCCTTTGCTCAGCAGGCCATGCAGACATACTACTGCCTCCGAGTCGCGGAAGACCGGCCTGCTACCGTCCAAGTGGCCCATCGCCTCGATACTGGCCGTCTTTTCTACGCTCAGCGCCCATCTTACTATGTCCTTCATGTTGGCCTGCAGGCTGCCATGCAAGATGCCATGGTCAACCCCTCAAACGACTCCAACGTTCCCTCCATGTTTCAGTGCCCGACCGGCAACTGCACTTTTCCTACCTTTGCCGACCGCTCAGACCAGCCCGAAGAAGAAAGAGCGTCTTACGCAAGTCTCGCGATGTGTAGTCGCTGTGAAGATGTCTATGACCTGGCGATGACGACCATTAGAGAGCAGGCAGGGAATGATACTGGCGGAATTTATATCCGGCTGCCAGTCTCAAATTCGACCAGATTCTCGACCAAAATAACCGATAAGCTCCAGGTGAGCCCTGGCGGCCCAGTCGGCTCAAATATCTCGTATCTGGACGCTGCAGTTGTTGGCGACCTTGGTTGGGCCAGTCGGGTTGTGCCACAAGATTTTTTGGATGTTGCCAGCGAGTCCGCTGCCAATTTCTCGATATTGGCCTTATCGCAAGATCACTGTGGCACTCTTGCCAATGGCAGCATCTCATGTCCGCTATCTGATGCAAAAGTCATGTCTCTATTCAATGGGGCCTGGGGCGAGCCGACAGATTACGTCGCAGCGGCTTGCACGCTGTATCCATGCATCAAGTACTACGCGGGTACCGTCCAGAACGGAGCTCTCTCTGAGACGGTCGTGCGGTCCACGCCGCTTCATATGGCAGACCCTGACGGGTGGCAGAAGCTGGATAGTGTCCAGGTCCCATGCTGGGCGAACGGCACGCTTTACACTTCTTCAAACATGTCCTCCGCGTCTGAAGAGCTGCCTCCCAGTGCCAAACAAAATGTCTCTATAGATCTCAAGTTTTGGCCACATGATACCGTCGTCTCATTTGGTGAGGCCAACGTGACGACCCCAAGGGACTGCGTCATGACCGTCGTCCAAAGCTTCCTAGCCGCGGTTCATGATGAGCTGGTTAGGACATTGCGAGTGAATTGCCTACCACAAGGCCATCAGATGAAAACCGCCAGCTGCTTCGCGGTCGACAAAGGCGAATTGAACACAGGAGTGGCTTCGATCGCAATGGCTAGCTTGCTACGCCCTCGCGTTACCAGCGTAAATACCATCAGAGAGAACATTGACTCGCTGAGCATGAGGATAACGACTCATATACGCCAGTTCGGCTGGGGCCGGTACACTGAAGATCCATCGACCGTCCGGGGAGAAGCTTGGGAGAGCCGTACGTGCCTCCATGTGGCATGGGAGTGGTTCGCCCTCCCGGCGACGTTGCTTGTCCTGTGCACGCTGCTGATGGCGGGGATTGTCATAAGAGATTTGCAAGCAACTGAGGATAGCGTAGTATGGAAGGGCTCGGTACTGCCGTTTTTACTCAAAGACCATGTTACAAGTCTGGAGATGTCGAACCTGAAGACGCTCCATGTGGTAGCAAAGGATTTCGAGATCAAGTTGCAGAAGGCGGACTAGCCTGACCTTCTGCAAGCAGGTCGTCGCCTATCGACCGACGTATTTGGAACGGAATCGACGGAGAGTTGAACATAACATTAAAAGAATATCTTTACGCACAAGTTGAAACGTTCTCCACCTTCCATTGCGGTCCTTCGTGAGAGGCTCACTCGGGGAAGTTGGCAAGCAACTGATAAGATAAGATGGACGCTTTTTGCTTAGTCACTCCCCCCACCTTAGTCAGCTCTTCATTTGCGTCCTGCATCACGCGAAACCCCTGACACGTCTAGCACCGTTCGAGCTTCAATCCCAAGAAGCCACCAATTCCGCTGTCTGTTCTTACCGTCCGCTTCGCAATCAAGCCAAGATGACGCGCGCACAACAAACAATCTCCCTGGCACTTCTTGCCTCCTCTGTATGCCTCGAAATCCAGCCAAACCCGCCCAAGATCTTACTGGAACCTCTTAGCTAACCATAGTGGGCAGCTCTACCTCGTCCTCTTTCTCGAGCTGATCCCGCTCCCCGCTCTCGTCCAAGAGCAGGTCATCCCCGTGGTATGTCAATCTACGCTCAGAAGCTCTTTTTGAAATACCTTGGCCTGCTCCATGGTTGCGCATGGCCCCTGATAACTGGGCACCAATCGAGACAACTGTCGCTAACCTTGAACTGAACAGCTCCCCTTCTGGGCCCTCATCTCCTTCGGCTCTCTGCTACTCTTCCGTCTCGGCCTCGGCGTCATGACCTTCAACGACGTCCCCGAAGCTCACAAGGAGCTCATGGCCGAAATCGATCTCGCCAAGGCCGACCTCCGAAGTCTCGGTGTCGATGTCGACTAAACCATTCAGCCATTTCACGGACAAGGATAGGAGAGATTTAATGATTCGCCATATCACTGCATGGGGCTGCCATATACCACCGTTGTACGATTAGGCGAGGCGGCATAATACAATGGAGAAAAATACAATAGATGTGACAACGTTGAGAGATCATGCAATGACATTAATGTGTTCGGGTTTGGCTATATTATTCGTGACGTCGTGCATAGTACAGATTTCAACTTCGAGGGCCTACTTCATTGGCTTGATTCTGCACCCGTAATTACTGGAGAGCTTAGAGGGTGCTTCAATTGCCGGCAAGCAGAGCGACCACTTTGCGCACTGCTACGTTGGGCTCCTCTCCGCCTTCAACTAGCCCCTGAAACAAAGATGGCAGCTTCCCGAAAGCGCCCTTGCGATCAACGCCGTGCCCTGATGAATTTATGTTAGCTAATGTTGGATAAAAGTTGGAACTGGGTATCATCTTACAGCTACCTGGAATGAACACAATGGCTGACACTTTGCTCTGCGCTTCGCCGGTCCAATCGAATTCCACTCTCCAGTTAAGGCGGATGGAAGCTGTTGACCCCGCTGAAGGGACCTTGATGTCAAAAGACTGGAGGCCCATGAACGGGAGCAAGTCTACAGTTGCGTAAGAGAGCTCGTCATCCTCACTGCCCTTTGCCGACCCTTTCCCTCTGGTTTGCCTGGAAGCCTTGGCACGCACGTCCCGGCTCACCTCGAGAATCGCAGCCTTGGACTGTGTCTCCTGTTGTAGTTTTGACCAGAACTGGGCTCTTCGTTCTGAAATCCGTAACCACTCTGCCATGGCCCATGTGATAATTCCAATATTCCGTTCCATGCTTCTGTTGCACTCCCCCTGGCAGATCTTGCGCAGGAACGACTCGAGTTCTGGTTTGGCGGTTGGCTCCAAGCCACTCACGTCGATGGAAACAATCTCCAGCTTGAGCGTGTCGAGTATGACCTTGACGAGGGCGCTAAATAGAGCTGGCGACTGTCGAGCCTGAAGCCGTACTGAGAACTGTTGGCGCAGAGGCTCGTCGGCAATTCGAGGTAAGGTAGTAAATTCGGTGGATATGCTAAATGGGCTGAATAGCTCAAGAAACGGTAATTCCTCAGCTGCCGACATCACGACCGGCCGATGGGAGTGGACAGTGTCACTCGCTTCCTCGTCTTCTTCGGAGTCGGGGATGACAGCGACTACAGGTCTTCCCATGGGCACGAGCGCCAGGGGGTCCAAGGCTGCTTTCGCCAGTAGTTCTGACTGCGAAGGGAGTGACTCGATCGCGTCGGGAGCAAGATGACGTTTCAATAAATCGAGAACCGCATCGTCATCCGACGCTGTAACCTTGCGACCGGATCGGAGCATCACTCGTATGCGGTCATTTTCTCTCTCGGCAAAGTCCAAATCCCTCTTCAAAGCTTGGAGTTCCTTTGCCAGCTCATCCCTTTTTCTCTTCTTCTCGCGATTGGCGTCCTGTGGTTTGATCCCACGGATGTTGGTCGATCTCTCCCTGAGCGCGGCTCCTTGACCAAGTTGCCCTCGACGCAACCCCGCCTTTTTCAAGTTCTTGTTGAATAAGCTTACGTTCTCGGTATCATTCTCCCCGGGACGCGTTGGCGGTCGTTTCAGCGGGGAGCTACTCGGGGGTTTATTCCTTCCTCTCCATTTTGACGGGCTGCTACTATGAATACCTCGCGGAGGGGTTGAGGAAACGGCGTCGGGTACGGAGGGGGGCAATTCTGGCTCGGGGGGAGGAGGTTTCGCGATGCCAGTCTGCGGAGAGCGACGAAGGGTGTTTCCAAGAAACGGATTGAGGTCTGCCTCTGCGTCGGGAGCTGGTGGTGGTAATGGGCGGGGATTCGGTCTGGGCAGCGATCTTCTAGGTGCTGCAGCCAACCCCGTCTTAGCTCCCTTCGTACGTGGCGGGGGCTCAGCGCTTTCTCGTTGGTCTTGTTCTGATCCCGCCGTAGTGTTATCGCCCGGAGCGTTTTCGTGAGACGGCCTCGTTGGCGACCGTTTGCGCGTAAAGGTGGCGCTCTGCTCGCTCGGAGGCAGACTCAGGCGCTGGGGGGGTTGTCTGAGTGGGCTATTTCGCGATACGGGTGGTCGTTTCGGAGGAGATTGGGACAGCCGTCTTTCGAGAATTTCGGGGTTGAAGCGCGACATGCTGGACCTTGTTGGCGAAGCGAACGACGGTCGTTGCCGCCGCGGCGATGATCCGAGCCCTTCGGTGGGCGCGTCTCGTGTTGGTGACGATGGCCCGGACAAACGAGGCGATGTACGCCGCCTTTTAGGCGAAGAGCCTTCCATCCCAATTGTCAATACAGGTCTATAATAGAGGTTCAAAATATCCCATGTTGATATTTCTTGGTAGTAATGCGGGAAACGGCGGAAGCTTTGTTTACTTAACGATTGTTAATTCTTGACCGTGTAAATCAGTGGTGGAGCGCGTTCTGGCAGGCACAGTAAACAAAGTGGGGCATTTAGAAGCGCCTGTCAGATGTCAGATGGACGGGATCATGTATTTCGAACCGGCAAAGGTGGACGGCTCAAGATGTGATGTAGATATTCTGTCTATCTAGAAGTTCTATGGATACAAGATCAAATATCCTATTCTCATAGGTTAACTCGCACTATCGCAATACAAACTTTGCGACCGACGACAGCTTTCCACCACCAGACCGAAAGTGTCACGTGCGGGAGTCATCCGCTGAAGCGGTAGATCGGCCCTGGCAGCTATGACGTCCGTTCGTTCTCCGAGCTGAGCTGAGAAATCAATTCCCACATTGCAACTTGGCCCAACACACTGTCGACTGGACAATTCCAGCAGTCTCATTCTGGCTTTTTTCTTCTTCTTGTTTTTACTCTAGCGGACTTCATAGATCAGCTGTCACCGCCTCCGCCAGAGCCAAATGGCTCTTCCTTCAAGAATAACGCCGAGGGGCCTGCGACTCCTGCGCCCGGCATCCAACCTCGGTCGATCGTCGTTTTCAACCTCTGCGACGCGGAGGGAAGAAGAATGGCCGCAGCGGATGCCCCTCGGAGCATATTACGAGAGCATTCTAAACAACCGGACGTCATATCCAACCAAGCAAAAACGCGAAGAACCTCCGAACACGGCCGACCCAGAGGTTCTGCCAAAAGACAAAAAGCCACTGCGATCTCCACCGACCAAAAAATCACAAACCGATGGCACCGCGAAGGCTTCATCCTCTGGCGCAATTCCTGCCGCCCCGACCCCAACACCGCCGCCGACCACTGCAGCAGAGAAGGCAAAGATCATCTTTGGCACACGTCTTGCGGGCCCGGAAGACATGGCCGCGCGCGCCGAGTCCAAGAGATCCCGATCCGTCTTAATAGGCGATGTCCTTGTGCCGCCGAAGCCTCAAGAACCCGACAATTGCTGCATGAGCGGTTGCGTCAACTGTGTGTGGGAGCTATACCAGGAGGACGTCGAGGAGTGGCGGGCCAAGAAGGCGTCAGCAGAAGCGCGGCTCAAGGCCAGTCAGGAGGCGAGCGACGCTGCTACTCCGAAGTCAAGCCTCAAACCCGCGGGTGTCACGGTTGGGGAGGCTAAGATCGCCAAAGATCTGTGGGATGACGATCTGATGCAGAGCGTCCCTGTTGGCTTCCGAGAGTTCATGAAGATGGAGAAGAAACTGAAAGAGAAGCATGCACGTGAGCGCAGCGGTGGCTAAAAATCTGCTTTTATATTCCTCATTTTCACATTGAGCCTTTGCACTTATCATGTATAGATATCCAGCGATTTATAGACTAGCACTGATACATCTAGACGAATATAGCATCATCAGAGACTCCAAAGATGGAGCTTTTATGTTTCTAGCCAGGACTCACAACTATCAGACACCCATCCATGGTGCGCTGTGTGTTTTTCCGGTCAGCATTGCCAATACCTACTAAGAAGACCTTGATTTCGCTCAGAGAGGTTCCACAGGCACCGGCGGATTCCGATGGCATGAATTTTGAAAATGGCTGAGCTTAGCTGCGCTAATTGAGGGAGTGAGATCATTGGAGGGGCACATCGAAAAGTACCAGGCTTCAGTGTGGAGAGAGGAGGGGCAGCGGAATTTACTGGCTGCTGCCCTCAGGCCTGGCGCTGGCTGCCTGCACGATCGACGCGGGGCTTGCACTTACAGCTGCCCCCTTTGGGAAGAGGGCAAGAAAAAAAATCCTTCTTGGCGGACCTCGCTCTTTTTTTTTTTCTCTCCCTTCTTCTTCTTTCTCTCCTGGGTAACAACTTGCAAATACCGACTCTCGTGTGTTGCTCCCGTGGTCTCGATCCCCCGTACCACGTCGTCCTCGAACACGAACCTGCTCATTTGCCACCTCTCGAAACATCCGCGCAACCCGATCCATCGTCCTCCCAGATCAACGCCGGCCCTGCTCTCGACAAAAACACCGCCAAGATGGTCAAGAAGATCTACGTCACGTACAACGATGTGAGTGCGACGCCCCTGGCAAGTCTGCGATTGATCAAGTCTCTCCAGACTGTCGACCGCCTCAGTGCAACCTAGCTGCGACACGCCAATCTGCCACCTCGGCACAAGTTTCGCCGTAGCTGACTCTGGGTTCCTCAAACAGGTGCACAAGCTGTGCAAGGAGTCGGCTGAGAAGCTGCTCGCCGACTTCCAGCCTCATCTGATGGTCGCCATCGGCGGTGGTGGCTACGTTCCCGCTCGTATCCTTCGATCCTTCCTCAAGAAGCCCGGCTCGCCCAACATCCCCATCCAGGCCATCGGTCTGTCTCTCTACGAGGCCCTGGGCAACGATACCCAGGTGGAGACTCTGGGTACTAAGGTTACCCGCACTCAGTGGCTTGACCTCAGCTCCCTGGGCGAGATGGAGAACCTGATCGGCAAGCGCGTCCTCATCGTCGATGAGGTCGACGATACCCGCACTACCCTCGAGTACGCCGTCAAGGAGCTCGAGAAGGACGTCGAGCTCGCCCGCGAGCGCCTGGGGGGAAACCAGCCCAAGGCCGAGTTCAGCATCTTTGTTCTGCACGTAAGTCGCCCCGGTGTTACCCCTCGTTCGGTGATGCTCGTCGCTCTTCGTCATACTGACTTTCCTGTGCCATGTAGAACAAGGATAAGCAGAAGAAGGGTGTTCTCCCCCACGACATGGTCGCCGCCGGACGTTATCTGGCTGCCCGTACTGTCGGAGACGAGTGGATCTGCTACCCCTGGGAGGCCATCGACATCGAGGAGCATGACAGGCTCGCCAAGGAGAACGGCGACACGATCTAGACGGTTGTGGGAGAGGGATGATAAACGCAAAACATAAAACGAGCAAAGGCTGGAGGGTAAAAAGGACTTGGGCAAGAGGGGAGAGAGCTCGATGCCGTGGCGTTATGACATTAGACGAGATATGAATTGCTTTACCACAAGACAAAAAAGATTTCCGACAGCGTGAGCGTGACTCCATCTCTTTTTTTGAGGGAGGGTATATGGCACTTGGAGTGTGAAGGCTCTCTGGTTGAGGAATCTCCCAACTCGAACAAGCCGGGTTGGTAGGAGGAAACCCCTGGCCCGTTGCTAGTCGCACAATGATGGCCATGGCGGGGGTTATTGTTCCTCCTCACCCCTCGTGGGTAGGATCGAGCGCCATCAAGAATCGAGGCGCAAGCCTCACACGATCTCTGACACGATCGTGTCATTCCAGGGAATAATGTCTCGCCCGCCAGGGGTTTGTAATTTCGGGGCAGACTACCAGTCCAGAGCTACCAAACTGGGATTTGATGGCTTGGGCAGGAACGACCGTGGCCAGGAAGGCACTAATATACCATTGAGGCCAGACGAGATTCTGCTCCCAGTCAATGTTGCTTTGACATCCATCCCCCAAAATTGCTGCGGCCCAATCAATATCGTCGCATCTCTTTCATCTATCGCCCATAGAAAGGCACCCGAATCATCTCCCCCATCCTGAGATTCTCATTTGTGCCTTGCTCCCTTGGACGCATCGAAGATCGGATGGCTCGCCAGCTCACCTACCGCCCCTCGTCCTTCCAAGCTTCAACTAGATTGGGCGACGGCAATAAGCAATGACCCTCAGACAGCCAAGACGTGGAGGATTGCCTTCGCTTTCCTGAAGTATAAGCCAGCCCATGTATCTTTAGCTCGGTTCCGTACAACCATTTACGAGCCTGCCAGCAGCCGACACGTTTTGCGACTCCGTGCGACTATGAAATGGCCAAGACCACGAATTGACCAACATCCATCCACCGTCTTTGCTTTGAGTCGCTTGAACGACCCATCACTTTCGAGGAAACAAACCTAGATTCGTGAATCGCGAGAGTCATTCTATAGGCGCTCGGCATGTGAGGAAGACGTCGACCACAGGACTTGGCATTAACAAGCGGCATTGTTAAGATAACAATCCGAACGCCCCCTTCGCATTGGCCAATTTGCTCCATAGTCAACATCCATGAACCTTCCTGTCGCTCGCCCACGCCTGTCGCTATTACCAAGGTAGCATGCTATTCGTTAGCTTCTTGCTTGTTGTCAGGCCTGGCCTGTTATGGGCAGCCTCGATGAGCAGGACGCAAGTCCGGTCAGATCATGGTTATCAGGTAATTTTAATTTTAGACACAATACGAGATCCAAGCCCGTCACACGGAGAAACAGACTATGGTCGAGTCGTATTCATACATTAGATCACAAACGCGTCTCGAGGCAAAGACCCAATGGATACGTTTGGGTAGATGCCTAGGGTTTGACCGATGATTTCCAAGCTTTTGGCGCTCCTCTACGCTAATCCCACGATTTGTGATGCCCCAGAGCCGTGAAACAGGCCTCAGGTCAACTAGCACCGAATTTTCTTCACCCACGATAGTCCTGTGGTGGTTATTTTGTGTGTCATACATGAGTAGCCTGCAGCGGGTATATCACCTTCACTAAAACAGCACAGTTCATCAAGAGCCGCACAGCACTACCAACAGCCAGTCCCTGAAAAGGTCATAGAGACTTCACTCGAAGGTCGCCCCAGAGCTTACAAATCAAGCTCGAACTAGTCAAGAGCACCATTCGGTAGATCACTTCGTTGATCCAAGGGCCAAGGTTGCAGCCGTCAAGCATGCTTGTCTCAGGATCCATGTTCAGCCAATGAGCCTCTTACCCCAGAGTGTGCGCACGTGTACATATGACAGACAGCCTCAACGTATGGCTGCAAGGATAAGCTAAAGGTCTATGACCCCGATCAATGTTGGAAGTACGTTAATACCCGCAACTGGTCGATCTCCCTGCAACGATCCCTATCATATTTCCGAAGGATTACTGCATCGTACTCAACTCATAAGTCAGTCGAGAAGCATATCAAGCACCAGATTAATCACCTGTCTCGGGAAAAAATCTTCACGATGACCATGACTTGCATGTCGATCCCCAATGGATTTTAAGGGTATGCGCCACTCGCCCGAGCAGCGAACCATTTTCACATATCCCTCGTGTCACGACATTTTGACACAACACAAAGCAGAGGTCTTGCTGGAGCCCAGACACCTTTCTTACGGCATGACACAAAAGTTCTGGTTGATCACCTGCCAGGGCGCCAATAATACTAGAGCCACTCTTACTCAGAACTTGATAGGGCCCAACCAGGTTGGCAGAAGGCAGCGCCAGGGTCGTTTCAGACTCGCTTGGTGTTATGATCGGGAGCCTCCGGGGTCATCCTGGTGACTCCCAGCTTAGCACCGAAGCAAGGCATGGCGGGCAGATCCTTTCCCCTCAAATCAAATGCCCGAACGCAGTCTACAGCCCATATGAGCTGGTATAATCTCGGCTCCTCATCGCATGATCACGATCATTGCCAAGACTGTGTGGGGTGCTGGTGCGTCTGTAACACATAGCGCACCAGCTATGCTGAATCTACAGGCACAGAACTGTCATGTCACCGAAGTTTGAGACAGATGGGAACTTGAATTGGAACTTACGATAAACATTACGGCAAATTCCTCGTGATTTCGTCGAGGAATATGGTTCCGATATCGACCATTCCCTACAGCATTGCCTCAATGGTGTAATGTAGCTGCTACCCGCCAGGCTCAAGCAGGCTTCATTCGCTTGTCAGCACGCTGGGAGAACTTTCTTTCACATATAATCGTCAGTAGTGGATTCTCGGAAGCCAAGAGCGACAGATTGACAGATCTTGAAAGCTGTCTCTTCGGCGCTCGCTGAGACAACGCTGTCAAACCCCGTCTTGCTCAATCTTGCAGGCACTTATTTACGAGAACCTGTGCTACGGGCCTGTAGTCTGTGACTAGATTACACATTTGCTATGGGCCCTGTCGGACCCCTTTCCAAATCCCCCTCCACACACAGATTGCGTGCCAACAGCCCGATATTGAGAAGTGGCGGACCAATTTCGAAAAGGTTCCCTTTCCCTAAGGAGAATCATCACTCCGCAAAAAAAGCCTTTGATTTATTCCATTGTGACGAATAGCCACCTCTGCACTAAGCTTCTTCATCTATACAATGGCCAAGGCGGGATTCCACTTGGCTATAGGTAACACAACAGGAGGTCATCATCCTATAAACTCCTCAGCCGAGTCTTGTGCTTAGGGGGTGTTGTTCTGTATTGGCTTTTGAATGTGGAACTATACCCATTCGCACCCTCGGCCTATGGATTTTCGAAAAGCTGACCCTGATGTAATATAATGGCGTTGGCGGAACCTCAGCCGGATGACGAGCTGTGAGATCTGCGTGGAGGTCTTTTTGGCGTACTGTAGGGAGTATCAAGTCATTACGTCTTGTCCTTGCCCCTTTACACAAAGAGATTTGGTGGCTGAAACGTGTAAACAACACGAGAGGGAGTGGTGGAGACGCCAAAGGCCGCCTCGCTGGCAACTGAAGAGATGGCATAGATAGCATCACGCGCCTTGGGCAGCCGATTCGGACATTACGAACATCATTCCGAGGGTATATAAACTCTACGACTACAGTCGTTTTAAAGTGTATGCACTCCACTGGATATTGGTGCATCAGTCTTGAAACCCTCCTTCACAATTGACCGTCATGTCGATGTTCCAAATGTATGGGCGGTGGCCCGATGTTGTTATCATCCTTTTCATATTTCTTTTTGCAAAAGCAGCTATCAAATACACATTCCGCCGGAGGATAATGAAGCAAGAAGGGTGTCAAGCTTCGTGCAAAAAGGCATTTGTTCGAGACCCTTTCATCGGGCTCGACTTTGCCTATGACCGCCTGTTCCATGGATCCCCAGCAAGGAACCTGAAAGGCTCTTTGGAAATGTATAGACGCCTTGGTTCCACGTACACCGTCAATCGGTTGACAACACAGACGGTCTATACATGCGATGTTGGAAATATCAAACACCTACTGGCAACCCGCTTCGATGACTACAAACTCCCAGCTGTGAGGGTGTCTGTTATGGGTGACCTACTGGGTCCGGGAATCTTTACCCTCAATGGGCACTCATGGTCTAGCGCACGTTCCCTCCTTAGGCCTGCCCTGAAAAAAGAGAGGTTGTGCGGTCTATCAAACATCCTGGAGCGTCACATTCAGTCAATGCTTAGCCAGATCTCGTCCCAGGGCGGCTCACTTGATCTGCAGCCTTTATTCTTTAGTCTCACAATGGATATTGCTACCGAGTTCCTCATGGGCTATTCCACGAATATGCTCAATAATCCGGATGGGAGTGCGCAACAGTTCGTCGATGATTACATGGTTTGCTCCATTGAAGCTGCTAGGAAGATGACGCTTGGCCCTCTCCAATTCCTCCGGTTCAATTCTGAAGCCAAGCAATCAAAGGCGAGGGTATTCAAGTACATTGATGATTATATCGAGAAGTGTTTGAAGCGGATGAAGACCGGTAACTCAACGGTTGAACAAAGCAACCTTCTTCAGGAATTGTCCGGCGCTATCAAAGACCGCAAAATGCTACGCGATCAAGTCTTGCATATTCTTCTTGCTAGCCGAGATACCACAGCGAGTCTCCTGAGCAATCTCTTCTTCGTGCTTGCGCGGATGCCAGATGTTTACGCCAAATTGAGAAGTGAGATCATGGCTGCGGTGGGTGACTCCGTGCCAGACTTTAGTCAATTGAGGGAACTCCAGTACCTTAGATGGTGCATTAATGAATGTAAGTATCTCGGGTGAATTTATGCTTTTATTCCTTCACCCTGAGTTTCATGCTAATTGATTTTCCAAGCAGTACGTCTTCATCCCGTCATCCCTTCCAATGCTCGAGAGGCAGCCAAAGACACAGTCTTACCTGCCGGCGGCGGACCAGACGGCGGCTCGCCACTCTTTGTCAGGCGTGGCACAATTGTTCTGTACCATGTCTATTCGATGCATCGAGATCCTGCGGTCTACGGCAACGATGTGGAGGACTTCAGACCAGAACGCTGGGATGGGCTGCGGCCGGGATGGGCGTTCTTGCCATTCAGCGGTGGGCCGAGAGTATGCATCGGGCGTGAGTGTCCCCGAACTCTCATATTTACGTAGATTTCAAGCTAATCACTCATTTTACAGAACAAATGGCATTGATGGAGTCGTATTATATAGTTGTGCGGCTGGTTCAGGCTTTTGAGAGTCTCGAGCCGACGGATTACAAGCAATGGAGGGAGCTCTTTGCTCTGGCGACGACTTGTGAGAATGGAGTTCACGTGAAACTGCATAAAGCGTAATTGCCTACTCAAGCAACTTCTTTCAGTCTCTATTCTTTGAGAAGAGTTTCCTCTTTTTGTTTCTCGGGGCTTAGATAGTTGATGAAAGTCCGCAACGTTAACAAGAATTGGCCTAAAGTGCATATAACGTGTCATCAACTGTATGTTTCTTCCTCCCGCGTAAGGTCAAGTGGATGGGATAAACTTCAATATTAAGTTCTAGCTTCAACATTAAGAAGCGCTATCGTGGTTACGAGAATTTAAGTATACGCTATGCATATCTCGGCTATAAATTGTACAGATAAGGATGCGCCCTGATCTTACTCGCAGGTCGGATCAAGAGGTGAAAGTCGAATGCCCCAAGGAAGTTGATTCCAAGGTTGAGGATTTAGGTTTTGAGTCGTCATTCATCGTGATCCAATGGACCATACAAGAAGCGAATAGAACTGGTAAAAGTATTAGCCCTGTATATTGGCCATTGTATTTGTCACTTACGATCGATACAGCATAGAAGGAGACATATCCAGCCTTGCTGGCCTCCCATGATAATCATGACCAAGCCATTTCTACCAAATGATGGAGTTAGCTTGGCTGGTTCTGGGCTAACGCAGTATTGCTGAGAACTGGATTGCCGCAAGAACATACACGACGCTCGTAGTAAGGACGGCAAACCCCCCGATGAAGCTTCTAAGAGCAATTCCTCGGAGTCTCTTTGATGCAGGTGTCGGATTGATATCTCTGAACTGATACAGCGCTACCAGGATAGTTAGACTCAGTTCCGGTTTGAAAGAGGGCTCAGGTGCACCAACTTCTGAAAGGGATGAAAAAAATTATAGACAGATAGATATCAACGATTGTGCCGAAGACGAGGAATGGAATGATGCTAAATCTCTCCATTCCGATGACACACTGGCCGTCATCGAATCTCGCAATGCGACTAGCAATGAGTCAATCCTTTGGTCATGTGGCGTGGAAACAGGGAGGGGCATACTGGAGATAAAGAAGAATGGATATCCCAATGTAGCCCAGAGTTAAGGTAACAAAGTTGAATATGTACAACTTACTGTCCAGTCGCCTTTTAATCATACCTCGGACAATGTGCTATGATTTGTGGTAAGCTCTTTTCCTTCAATGTCATCGGAACTTTGTACAGTTCAGTTTCAAAAGAAAATGCTTACAGCTCTCTCAGTTAGAAATAGATATAGCAGCTGTATGTCGGCGTGAATAAGGTCCTTGATCCGTTCATGATTTCCCACTTACAAGCTTCATCTGTGTTAGCCGCAAGGTATATTCAGGTCCTGTTTTGGGTGTTTACCTTAGTAGAAAGGTAGCAACCAAGGCATACCAGTATAGCCGCGCTGCAAATTTCTAGGCTCACATTGGTTCCCACGGCATGCTGCATGATTCCCACAGCGAATACAAAGAGATAGGAGTCGAGGTATAAAGCCAAGGTAACTGCATATTGCCGTTGTTAGAGAGGGCTTGTCTCGTAAGGAAGTAGATTTCTCGCCTACGCCATATTGCGTATGGGACGTTTCTCCAATTCTTAATCCTGGATATTTTTCGATCTACCCTTGCGATTAGTATGGCGGATTGAAGGTGGCTCGTACACGGGGGCAGTACTGAACAAATTGGAGATCACCGTGAGTACTACCATCGTGACCACCAAGCCCATAACCCTGGCAGCGACAGGGACTTCAGCCGGCTCCTCCATCCTGCACTCGTTCCTCGCACCTTCTCGATAGGTGAGTAAACGGAGATGCCGGCGTTACGATTCGTGCTAGAGAACTGAGACCATTGATGAGCAATGGTCATGCATGATATGAATGTCGAGGATCAAGGTCAATGAAATTAAGTGTAAGGGCAAAGAACCACCACACGATCCGTGCGGTGGCAGGCAAGCTCTTTTGTGACGAGCATCTTGAACTTTATCTCAGGTTTGAATCTAGGCTTCTTCACGTTCACATTCCAGTGCGGAACACGCATCGGGTGGGCGTATCCAACTAGCACGCCCGGCCACCATTTCTCAAGGCCAATTTACTCGTATCAGGTTACTCCTCGTATACCTCGTATACTAAACGACTATTAAACATACAAATTAGATTTAATGTAATTATACGAGCCTTTTGCTCACGGATGATGGGGGGATCCATGATGAGGTTGAATCTATTGACCGCTTCCGGGAGAATCACCGTCTATCAGTCAGCTGACTACCGAAGCTTTTCCTCTTCACACAAGCGGCTGATCTTAATTCTCATCGGCCAAGCCTCTAGCGAAACTTCATTCCCAGATGAGTAATGCTCAGCCACACGAGAAACGGCACTATCTTAAAACCGGGCGAGTCAAATGAGGTGTTTGGGGACCAGTTGAGCGGTAGAATTCCATGCCTTCTTAGTTCTTCATCAGCAAACCATTTAACGTTTAAATCCGCGATCCAGCCCATTACATAGTTCCGGGCTTCAACAGTAGTTTACTATGGCTTGAAAATGAACCAATCGCTCGACAAGATGCACGATCTGGGCTGTGGAAAGTGGCGAGTTGCTTTGAATGCATATTCTCCTCGACCCTATTATTTAATACGTTTCTCTCTGCTTTCGCTTGGAGTTTCTCTCTTTGCATTTATCTCAAGTCTTTGCTCTTCCTCTTCTTCTTTTTCCTTGTACTCCCTCGGGTTTGTGTGGAAGTCATAGCCAATGCGTAAAACTCGTGACGAACTAACCTCAGCATCGTCATCGTGCTTGAATTTATGCTTGATTACAAATATGTGAGCCATCCAATCCTTCCGAGTTGTTAAGGCATGTATCTAAATTGACTGATGGCAACCTTAATTATGCAAAGCATGGCAAGCGTGGGCTTGAAGTCATCACAGTATCCAGCTTCATGGTGTAGTCCAATTCATAGCTCGTCTCCAAATCATTCTGGGCCCATATGGCTTGTAGCATTGATTCCAGTCTTGAAAGCGGGTGAGGTTGATTGGCATCACCACTCCTTGCCAGACCCAGAATCAACGTTCGCTCCTCGTCAGACTGCGCCTCACTCCCTATTATAAAGAGCGGGAACGGCATCTCACAGTAATTCATCTGTAACAACACGGAAAATGCTCGTCGGGTGTATAAAGTAACCTTCTCCGACTGCCCTGAGGAGCCTCGAGCCGATCTTTCAATGTAGATGAGTAAAGCCAATTTGAACAGTTCAAGCTGAAAATTGTCGTCCCATCCGCGAATTGAATTCCTGTCTTTTTCTGTATTTTTATCATTTCCGACAGAATAATTCTCGATCCGATACTCCCAGTTCTTGAGTGATTCGGTGTATGCTGGATTATGGTATCCTACATCAGACGGCCGTAGAATGCCGTGAAATATATCTTGGACGAGTTTCAGAAAGTTGTGGGAGTTTTCAGGTAATCCCATGCTCTGCGGGAGTTTCAGCGGTATAATCCCCTATAGATGAATGCGCCGCTTAGTTTCGCCCCTCACTTACCTTGTGGGTTGATGGTGAGCACACTGGCGGAGGTTTAACCATCCGGGAATCTGGCATTTCAGATCCGGCAGAGGTACTGATTGGCGCCATTCTTCGCCAGTGCCGGAGAGTGAAACCCGTGAGGGAGCCGTAGTACGAAGCCCAGTCGTGTAGCATTGATCCGTCACTGCCGAGAGCTTCAAGAATATGCAAAATGCGATGCATGAGCCGCCCAGAGCCACAGAGGAACCAAGTCCATTGGCTGTCCGGCTCTTCATTAGAATGGATCTATATAGACAGTCAGTAACGATTGCTAGAGATAAGATAGGTAGATTTCAACATACTTCTAATGTAGTCAAAATCATGCCAGCGGCAATATGTCGAACCGCTTCGGCGTCATCGACGCCATCTATAGAAGAGGACTTCAAGAGAGCAACAGCGGTCAGCTTCAACTGCATTGTTTGGTACTTATTACCATTTTTATGCAGCGAAGCTACAGCCAGCATTGACCATAGAACACATTTCGAAGAAGACGTGGTGTCTAGAAGGGCCAGCCGGAACAAAAGGCCGCAGAGTTCTGAACGTGTCTGATTAAAGGTGGCCAGGGTATTCGATGCGACAGACTCAACTAGCCAACGTTAGCACTTTCCCGAGAATAAAAGCCCCTAATGCTTACAGTAAGCTAGGAGATCAATTTCTGTGCTACGAAGTTGAAAGGGTTTCCAGTGAATGGTTACAGGGCGATTGAGTGACAGCAGATCCCGGTTGCTTTCACCATGTACTAAAACCCATTAGTATTGCCAGCCAATTACTTAGCATTGCACTTATAAAGCACGGCCTACCTTGTCTTCCTGCAGATTTCGAGAGATATTGGTGGATCTCCATGTCTAAAAACCCAGTATGTAGGAAGATGGAGCCTTGGGGTTTACCGCCTGTAGATCCACGAGACGGATTCCCTATGAGAGAGCGTTTGCTCTTTGCTCCCGGCCAGGAAAGTTTAAGCCCATAGCCTCTGCACTCTCTGTTCGAGTGGGCACATTTCTGGCATTTAGGCCGACCCTCGTCACAGCGAATTTTGCGATCTGCCAACGATTAGCAAAGCATAGGCAGAGTTATCGTGATTAGTTAGGAACCTCGGCATGTCCAGCACCCGTTAGACGGCATGACAACGATATTCAGGGATCCCCACGTGCCCAGTCCAATAGAAAATAGTAAGCTCTCGCGCGAAGTTCCCAAATGACCGGTTCGGTAGAGATACAACCCGGACGTGGTGCTGTGTCGTGATGAGATCTGCGCCTCATGAATTATTAATCAGCACCAAATAGACAACAAAGGAATGTGGGTCGACGTATTAGGCGAGTCCGATCCCCTGCACCTACCTACGAAGTAGCTTGATCCAGCCATCTAGATTTGGCCTTATGACAGGGCAAAGGACCGAGGCCAATGTTTGGAAGCGTGGCCAACCATGCCTCCAGTATAATTGTACATGAAATATTCTAAACGTTCATTCAATTCATTTTGTTCGGAGATGGCCAAGAATCAGAGAGTTGGCACAAGCGGAGGATTCAATTCTCAAGCAAAAGAAAGTACAATTTTTGTGAAATTTTCGTTTACAGAGCTTCTGATAGAACATTCCTCAAACCCTAGAAATATTGGAACATCTTATTATTATGAGGTCCCATGCATGCGTTTTCACAACTTTTTCACATCCTTCCAGGTACGGTGATGTCTTGATTTTTGGCTACGTGAAAGAAAAACCACGATCTAGTATAGGGTAGCTCAAAATTAGTGTGACTGCGAATATGAAGACAAAGAGGTCTTCGGTTGCATGCTTTGAGAGATATCACGGAGCTCTGGGGATAACTTGGTAAGTAATAATAGTGATTCAAACACATCCTATACTCAAAGCCTGTTACTGTATTACGAATGAATTTTTAGATACGTATATACAAATACCATGCAATACCCGATTAGAGCTCTCTTTCCGTAGGCAATATGCCAAGGCTGAATACGGTACAGGGGTGATTGTTAACACTGGATTGGAACGATCAACATAATTCAAAAGTTCCTCGGCTCCGTCTTACCTGCACAAAAGGACACAAACATTTTAGGAAGGTGTGGAATGGAAAAATATGTCGATGAGAGAAAGAAATCGGAAGGCATTTCCCGTCATTATTAAACTCAACCTTCTAGGCGCACAATTTACCTCCACCTCCCAGTAACGGCAATCATGAGAGTGAATGATGTGACAGTGGCATTGGCGGCAGCCGTTTCGGTCGCCGTCGCCCAAGTCTTCCCGCCACCAGGAGGTCCATTCCATGTGAGCCTGGAACACTTGGAGCTGGTCGACGAGAGTCGACAGGATCCTTTCAATTCGACACACGCTCGTCGAATGATGGTCACGCGATTTACGCCAGTGTCCAAGAAACACTGCAAGAAGTTGTGCAATGTGCCCTACATGACGCCCGAGGTGGCCAAGGTCGAAGATGAGATTCTCGGCCCGTATATGGAGGGTATCGTCGAATCCCCCGGTGACATGCTTCTGGGTCTCCAGCTGGAGGTCTGCTGCGAGGTACAAAAGACGACACCAGCCAAAGACTTTCCAAAAATCCTGTTTGGGACAGGTCTGAACACTACACGGAGCTTCTATTCTGGCACCGTGCAGCAGATTGCGAGCATGGGCTACGAGATCGTGGTCATGGATCATCCGTACGAGACCGATGTGGTCCAGTTCCCGAACGGCGACCTCATTCTCGGCGGTCGCATCGGACGGGACGTGGAAGACCTCGAGGATATCGTGTTCGGCCTGGAGGTTCGCACCCAAGACGTCAAGTTTGTGCTTGACACATTTGGTATCGAGAAGACAGTCTACATCGGGCAATCCTACGGTGGAGCGTCTGCCGCAGCAGCTCTGCTCAACGAGACGCGTCTTGTCGCTGGTGTGAACCTGGACGGTGCGCTGTGGGGAAATGTCCAGTATACTGGTGTCGACCGACCATTCTTATCCTTTGGCTCCGTGGGCCACAACTCGAGCTTTGAGAGCGACCCGAGCTGGGCGAACTTCTTTGATGCCATGGAGACTAACCACTCGCGGGTGTGGAACAAGGAGCTCAGCGTGCTTGATTCGATTCATGGAGCTTACTATGATTTCTCCATTATTGGAGATGTGACTGGGCTGAGAGAGAAGTCGGTCAGCTTCTTTGGGAAGATCACGGGAGAGAGAATGGACAAGATATTGAGGGAATATCTGAGCGACTTCATACAGTTTACTCTGCTAGGTTGTAGTGAGGGCCTTCTCTCAGGACCGAGCCCTGAGTTTGAAGATGTTCTTTTCATTCGATAGAGTCCGCAACTACTCTTGGACATGCATCTCACTTGATACTGAACTTGAATGTAAATGGTATGCAAAGAATAATCATATAATAGGGTCTTTGTTCCTCAACCCAAGTGATGTCTCCTTCCACATAGGAGAGACGATGAAGTTGCTTCTGTGTACTACCTCTCAATTAGCTGTACAGGAATTGGGTTTACGGCTTGCAGCTGGTAGGTGATAAAAGAAAAAAGTGAAAACCCGAGTTGTAATCTTGGACTCTTCTCGAGTTTTTAGTGACTCGCCGCCCTGTCGAGACTTAACTTAATGCTCACACCATTCTTAGACGAATGCCGGGAACCCTAAACAAACACCATCGAAGTGAGGATCTGGACTTTAAGATCTGTGGTCGGGTTAAACTAGACCATTGCCCCTACTTACGTTAGCCGTCACGGCAGAGAGATTCGAGACCGGCAGGTTGATTTGGTGCCAAGAAAGTCGAGAACGGTGGCAAGACAGGAACAAGGGAAATGTAAGGTGGTACGAAAGTGAACCAGGCCTCTCTGCGTAATGGTTCTCGCGCACAGGTCAGCTGAAGCCATTACTGCTTGGAGCTAAGATCGAGATACTCTACACGCAGAGACTCAGGGGGAGTATCCGCAAGAAGCGAATCGGGTCGAGACACTGAACGCTCCTCTTCTTTTTCACGACGGAACTACCCGTAAGGCCTCTAGGAACGGGTACAGTGTTCCGCGACCACTAATGTGGTTATCGCGGACCGTTGTCATAGCTAGAGACACCTTTTGCCACTCGTGGGATAGACTGGCGCTAAGCGCCGCGAAGACTTTCAGCAATATTTCACGCGCCACCCTTAATAAATCTGTGTCGGTGGAAAGGGGCTGCTGTGCTCCGCAAATGCCTCGACTTCGCGGCTGTAGCGGCGGGTTCCAGTTGTTTGGGTTGATTCATCAGGGCACTACTAGGCTTCACGAAGCCGCTCCTTTATACCTTCAGTTTAAAGAAGTTGTTAGAATCAAATCAAAGGCTTGATGGATTCTGCCTTTAGGTCGCACGCTCCCAGCAGGATCTTGAATCATGAAAGCAGCAGAACCCAGAAAACACGGGGGGTTTGGCTCATGATCGATCGGAGATCCGGATAACCCAGCGATTTGGTTTTGGAAGTGCCCACTCACACAAAGGGCGGAGGATATCTTCAGCAGCTGCAGGGGTGATTCTTCTCCTAGCTCCAGTCTAGTGCAGGCCTTCATTGCATTAGTGGCTGAACGGTGTTCGTTGCTTCTGGACACCACCACGAGGAACTTCCTTTCTCCCATTACGAGCCAATATTTGCCTCGAAGAAAATTGCAATACCAGGCAATATTACTGTTGAGCTTGGCACTTGGGGGATTGGATGTCCTGAGGCCTCAGGTGTGTCTTGGCCATCCGTCACCTGAACTGAACCAGGTTGTAAGCGAAAAGCAAATAAGTCAAATTTCGGCTCCCCAGAAAGATCATTCCCCAGGTCGACTTTTAGCCCCTAAATTATTAAAGCTCAATGGCCAACCGACCTAGCCAGCTAATCGGGTCTGGTGGCTCCAATGTATGTTGTTCCAGCCAGTGGCAGCTCCCTGAATGCCGAGCATTTCTCAAAGACGTTCGGCTTCTCGTTGTCCAGCTACAACCAAATAGCCGCTGCAATTTTCTCGAGGAAAAGACTAAACGGCGGCCGGTAATAGCGTTGCAGATGAAACGCTTCTCTGGCGCCAGCTCCAAGATAAGGCGGCAAGACAGGGAAACTCGAGCCCATGGTTTCGACGCCAGTGGAAATGATTAGGTTTGTAAATTTCTCAACGCCACCAAACTAGACGAGTTCTCATGATAAAGCTGCGACTCCGCTCATGGAGAAGATCCACCACATCCTGGCGATCTGCCGCGGCCACCTCAGCCAACACATCCACGCCCGAGTCACACAAGGCTCCATCTCAGACCAGAGTGATGTTGAAGCGGTAATGAGTAGTTTACGCTCAAGGGGGCGAAGAGACGTGGATATGGGCTGTGTGCAGCGGCTATGAAAACCCGCCTGCGTGGGGGTGTTCTACAGCCAGGATAGCCCCTACCAGGAACGAGAACGTCCGCTCTGTTAGCCAGTTGATAGTCAGCGAATGCACCCATAACCACGTCTAATTGTGATATGTAGTGACCGCCCGAGATTGTATCGTCTAGTCACAAGCCTCCCCATGGTAGCTGATGCACGTGGGCTGTACTTGAATCCCTCCAGGCAACGAACACACAGAAGCGCCCTTCTCGCCTAATAATGATTATCCAAAATGCAACATGCGAATTTTCTTATTATACGGTTCACAGAAACAAGGCCTCTCGTACATCCTTCTGGATATTGCGTTCATGCAACTCTGGTCCAGGTGACGATAGATATACCGGCTGGCGCGGCCGAAGGCCCCAATACCATAGGTATATGATACGTGGACCATTATCGCATATGTAGATTTGGCGATGCAATGAATTGCTTCCAGTGCAAACATTTTGCCAAAGACACCATTTCCATTGATATCGATGTGAGGTTGGAGTCACGTGTGAAATGACGGTGATCAAAGTCCTAAAGGAGAACGTGGCTGTCACATATCAGTTCTGGGCTAAAGCACATCATGCATGTCTCAAGTATATCAAAAGGACTTCCGACAAGCACATACATAGGCTATAGGTCACGCGATCCCTGGCACATGCAGATAAACTACAACGACATTTGCCCAGCTTCATATCATGTCACAGCTATTTTGAATACATTCTATAACTACTACTTTTTTGAATGACGACGACCAGCGAGTTCTTGTGTCAGCCTCAACACCAAAATTACAGCAAGTGGGCAATGTTGATTCCTCCCCACCGATCACTAATGGCACTTATTTGCAAAGGTTTATATTTCTCTCGGTTGACGGAGAAGAGGCGAGGCTGAAGCCATGCCTGGAGTGGAGGATATGGAGTGAGCGCGACCTCTTCCGATCCCATTTAATTAAACGTCACAAGTTGTCACGGAGGGGGTTTTCTAGCTGCAAGAGCAGGGTATGATAGGGTGGATGATCTTTCAAGAAGGCAGCCCGAAGGCTACGCATATAACCCTGATACTTTTAGGCTGCTTGTGTCAAATATTTCGTTGAAATGCTATGTGAAGTGGCACAGGTCGCTTTTCGACATTGCAATTTATCTCTTGATCAATTGGCTCGCCGATATGAACATCGGCGTGCACAAAATAGCTCTGCATAACGAACGCCCTTGTCTGAAATAGCGGCACCCATGACACCGCGCTTGCTGGCGTCAACTGCCTTGTCGATAGTGTTCCACGTTGTGATCACTGATGATATCGAGATTGTGCGGCCCAGTTATGTTGACACTTACCGATCTGGGCCTTGCTGTTGACGATCTGTTTGTAACTGCTTGGGGTACTGATCAGCATCTTGTTTGCCGTAGAAATCCAAAGCTGGCGTGATTTCCTTTCGCCGTCGGTCAATCCTGCCTGCCAAGGATTTGATAGACGGAAAAGGAAAACGAAGCAGCTTGAATAGGCAAAGAAAGGAGTTCCCTTGCCTATAATTGATAGCATATTCTTCTTTCGACTGCCAATTCCAGATACGTCGGTCCTTTTTCAGCAATCAACAGAATTTGGCCCAGAAAGGACCAGAACCCAGCTAGTGAGTGGGAACATGAACACATTCTCCTTGCAGATCACACTAACGACGGTAGAACTGACTAAGAGCGTAGCCAAAAGACGTGCGACAACTGGGGCTCGCAACTCCACCATTAAGGTTTCGAAGATGCTGGGGGTCGGAAAGCGATTGCCGGCTAGGGAGAAGGGAGTGACATTCTCTCCGACGAGGTGCAGTTCTTCATTATAGGGGCTCCTATAGGTTATATAAACGGAGACTATTATGCAGACTTCGAGACAGTCAGGGGCTGTGGCAACACAAGAGACGGCCAAGACAGCACCGCATCGCGAATCTCCGGATGCAGGCAGACCCATCAAACGGAATGAGACGTTACCGGTGCCGGACACGCTCTTGACGCCCAGCAGACGATGCAAACCCTGACGACCTGCATTCAAGGGTCCCCAGCGCAGGAAGGTGGAGTATGATGCGATTTTCTTCAAACGAAACTTGGCTAAGATTTTAGTACAGGAACTTGACTCGTGCAGGTTAACACAGTCCAGCCAGCAGCTGGATCTGGCTAGAGGGTACGGAATATCTCCGTTTAACATACTTGCGCTACATAATTTGGAGTGTCGAGTTGTCGACGGCAAAACAACCCCCGCGATATACCCGTCGGCGTCCAGATGGACGGACTCTCCGGGAGGTTCAGGCAGGGACACTGGGTGCACCCTGACCTCCTGAAGGCAGAACGAGGGTCTTAGGGCGCTCCAGAATCCCCATAATATAACTCGCCTATACTAGATCTTTACTAGCATCTGGCCTGGGGGATCAGCTTCCCCCAAGATTCGGCTAGCTCTTCATTCCTTCGAGCTTCTCGAGTCTGACTGGCGGATAGACTTGCCGGCTATACATCCGCAGGCCGAACAGAGATGCCAGAAACAGGTATGAGGCCCAGTAAATTGGAACAGACGCCACTGAAAGGATGCTTGGCGTCTCAACCGATAGTTTCTGCGACCGCGCCAGGTCTGCATGCTGGTCCTCGCTTAGTGGGATTGCCGCTGCCTACTGGCTAGCAAATTGATGTTGCACACAGCATCTCCGTGGGTCTCGCTCTTCATCTTAGGTGGCCCCCCTGCCGTATATACACACGGCTGCTCTCAAAAATAGCGGGAGAAAACTTTAAACTGTTCAATCGTCGCAAACCTTCTTCGGCCTGACGTTCTCATGTGTGGTCGACGTCAGTATGGGTATGGAGAGCTATGATGCCTTCCGCGCACGCCTTGATGGCGCTGCCATCTCTACGTTCATTTTAGCAACGCTCGCCGTACCTGCGAAGCTCTGGTGTCGAACCAGAGTGGGCGGGTGGTCTAACATTGGCATGGATGACTGGTTGTCGATTGCGACTCTGTTCTGGATGAATGTGTTCTTCTGGATCACCATGATCGGTAAGGCCATACCCCCCTTTCAGCCAGATATCGTTCTGCATTTTGGTTTCCATTACCGGTCCAGTATTTCTCATAGCATCGCCAGGTCTACGGCCGTATCTTGGTCGCGATGCCGGTGTCGATGTCCCGATGGATGAGGTCGAATTGTTTTCCAAGTGCCTCTTCGCCGCCGCCCTGACGTACTGCGTCGCAATCGCATTCATTAAGTTCACCATCTTGGCCTTTTACTGGAAACTGTTCTCCGTTACTGCCCGAATACCAATTATGGTCATTTTCGCCTCCGTCGCAGCCTGGCTCATCACTTTCGTACGTACTCTTCCTCGACCACCTCCACCGACATACGAAGCCGGAAACGCAGTGGGGGTAATTGGTGATACTAACCTCTTCTTTCATGTAGCTGTGTCTTGGAGCTTTTGGTTGCCAGCCCATCAAGGCTCAATGGGACTTTGTGGCAATGGCAACAGCCAAGTGTCTGCCGCAAAAATCGATCTATCTGGGAGGCTCCCTACCGAACGTCATCATCGATTTCGTCCTCGTCCTCATGCCTATTCCCTACGTCTGGGGGCTCAACGTCCCTCTCGGCCAGCGACTGATCCTCGCCAGCATGTTCCTGCTCGGTCTCTTCGTCTGCATCGTCTCCATTATCCGACTTACCGAGGTCATGTCCATTTCGACGAGCGACACCAACATCACCTACAATCTCAGAAACTTCATGCTCTGGTCCGTTGTCGAGATCAACATCGGTCTCGTCTGCTCCTGCCTGCCCAGTCTCCGCCGGCTCGCGAAGACTCTTGGCCTTGGCGCTCTGTTCTCCCGAGGCTCCAGCGCCAACAAGGCCTCTGGCACCCCAGGTGGCAACACCCCTGCGCCGACGACTGCGGGAGGGAATACGGGAAATCAAAGCAATGGCGGTGGTAGCCGGTTCCACTCGATGTTAAAAAGCAGGGGCATCTGGTCATCGGTGGCAGGTCTGACAAAGTTGGACAGCGACGAGGAGTACCAGATGATCGACCATCAGCACAAGCACGCGGCCAATCCGCAGGGTAAAACTACGACCGGAGTCACAGGCGAGCGGCGGAGCAGGGATACAGAAGACGACAAGGAGCACAGTGTACGGACGATGGACGACCAACCAGGCATAACGGTGCATCACGACTGGAGTGTTGTGGTCGATAACAAGCCGAATGCTACGAGATGACCCAAAATGGGAATAAAAGGAGGTAGAGTTTCATCCCCCTAGTCCGGGGAAAACAGTATCGGGCCCGGGTTTGTAATTTTGGCATGCATGTACTAGATATTATGATCATAATAGAATATATTATAAGCAACCTTCATGTACCACCAACGTATTGACGATTGACCCGGTTACCACCTACCTTAAGCGGCAATTGGCCTGTCAGGAGCTGTGAACAAGCCGATTCGCTGCCCAAGCTCCTCTGAGGTGCGGCACTTCTTCGGTGTCCATAATCCTTCGCGCAGGAAAAGCTTGCCAGTGCGCTCTGGCCCGTTTGTTGTATTGAGGCCTCTTATAGCTGGCGACGGTGTCGATATACTTGCTTTAACCTCTTTCAACCTCATTCAGTTTCCGGTCATTATCCAGCTAGCCAATATCAATCGAGCATTATTAACATTAAACTGCTGCCTAATAACATCAGTTCACTAATCCTAGCAATTTATTGAGTAAATCGTATTCTTTCATCCTAATTTGCTATTTCATCGTCTTTGTCTTCTTAGTTGTATAGTAATAACGCGTATCCATTAGCCACGGGAATCAACGTGCCCTCCTATGTTCTTGAGGATTATGGAATTTGTAAGGTCATGCAAGATAATAGAAAGGAGCTATGTCAATGAGTAATTCCGGGATAACTTTATTTGTATATTCTCCTTTTCTCCTGGAATCACTTGTTCTCCTATTTTCTGTAAGATCAGGCTACACGTGACTAGGTCTCGACGCCAAAGGAGGTGCATGTCTGACAGGCACAAAAAAAGGCATCTAATTCAGATTCTCAACACCATACAGATGAAGCAACAAACGCCAATGCACCCATAAACATTTAACTTCGCCCCCGATTGAGACTTGTTCTCGCTGCTTCACTCAGCAGGTGTTGTTGGCTAGAAATATGCCTCAATCCGAAACAGCCGCTATGGATACACGTACGGAAGATCAGAAAAAAAGCGCGTTTGGTTTAACATATGTCCACGAGCCCCAGGCAGAACACACCCACACCATCATTCTACTCCATGGGCGGGGTAGCTCGGGCGAGGAGTTTGAAGAGGAGCTTTTCGAGAGCCGACTATCCGACCAGTCAAAGACTCTGCCGCAGAAATTCCCCAGCTGCAAATGGGTTTTCCCCTCCTCCCCGGAGGTTTGGAATCCGGTATTTCAGGAGGATATCTCTGCTTGGTTTGAGGCACATTCACTCACCGACGTCGATGCTAGGCAGGACTTGCAGATTCCTGGGATCAGACAATCCGTCGAGTATGTATTGACCTTGCTGGGTCAAGAGATTAATGCCCTTGATGGGAGGGCAGAGAGAGTCTTTCTGGGCGGCATCAGTCTAGGAGGGGCCGTGAGCATGTGGACTCTCCTATGTTTGTGGAATGCGCCGGTCCCCAGACGCATCGGAGGTTTCTTTGCAGTTAGCACATGGCTTCCCTTCTCCAAAAATATCAGCCGAGTTTTAAATGAGGGCGAGAATTCCAGGTCAGAGTTGCCACGTGATGGCTCTGAGTCTGATGCGTTTGTCGAAACCATGCTCTCATTTGCTATTGTCAAAGCACAAAATTCTTCAGTTCTATCTATACCAGTTTTCCTAGGTCATGGATCAGACGATGCATACGTTGATGTCAACTTAGGAAGACAAGCAAGGGACTTACTACTCCAAGTCGGGTTCGAGGTGGAATGGAAGGAGTATGTAGGGGCAGAACAAGAGGGACACTGGTTAAAGTGTCCTGAGGAGATGGATGATATTGCTTCCTTTTTGTCTCGGAATATCATATAATGATAAATATCAAGAACAAGAATCTAGTAGCCCAAGATTGAGTGTTTTCAAACCTAGGTGTGGGCTACAATCGACAACATATCAGACAGCGTTATAACGCTTGACGATTATCTTTCTTCTCAACTCAAGCGAGTTGTACTTCACACTCAGTATCCCATGGAGTGAAGCTCAAATATTTCCATAATGCCAACTACTGATATTCGGCTAGTTGCTTGGGTAGACAAGTCATGCTCGCTGTTCAACTTTGGGCTTATCTGAAATGCTGCATGGTCTTTGCCTGTGCAAGCCAAAGGGCCTCATCACAGTAGTAGTTAATGCTATGAGCATTATGTTCCCATCTAAAGCTCCGTGTGAGCGTGTTCTGATACTACCTAATCCCCTACTCAATTAATACGCAACAAGTGGAGAACTGAAGGCCAAGAGAAACGAGTGGGGAAAGAGAGGCTCAGGTCATCAATTGGTGAGAGCGGAATCAACACATTGAGTACTCCGTGGATACACGTGTTTGTTTGGCCTGTAGTCAAGTCCGCCGAAATATATAATATACAGGTTTGCCCAGGTTACGCCGACATCGAAACTCCTTACAATCGTTGTGTCCTACTAAATTCCAATTGACAGGGCTCATCAGATTCGTAATTCTTTTGAACTCCAATCACTCTTCACCCCACACAACTGCTAATTCTCACCATGGCGGCAACGGAGATATCGCAGCGCGAGGTGGACAAGGCCAAGGCACTCACCAACGCTCCTGTTTCCGTCGAATATGACAAGATGATATCCGGCATGTTGTAAGTTTGGACAGAATTTCCTATACCATTCAATAATAGAATAGTAGAAGATGTAGCAGAGCCGTGGCTAACCGTACCCCAATTCAGATACAACTCCTTCGTCCCAGAGCTTGAAGAGGCTCGCTTCAAGGCCCGGCTCGCATGCCACAACTACAACACCACATTCCCCGCCAAGCCGGAGGAGGGCTTCGCGGGCCTACAGAAAGCGCGCGCAGCAGCGCTCAAGGACCTCCTCGGCTTCATCGCCGACGACGAGATCTTCATTGAGCCCCAGCTCCAGGTCGACTACGGCTGCAACATCCGTGTCGGCGAGCGCTTCTACGCCAACTTCAACCTCCACATCCTGGACTGCGCCCTCGTCACCATTGGAGACCGTGTCATGTTCGGCCCGAATGTCACAATCAGCACGGCGACGCACGAGATTGAGGTCGAGAGCCGCCGGGCCAACATTGAGTTTGCGAAGCCCATCACCATCGGGGATGATTGCTGGATCGGCGCCAATGTGACCATCCTCGCGGGCGTCACGATCGGCGTGGGATGCACGATTGGGGCTGGGGCGATTGTCACCAAGGATGTCCCTGCTTGGAGTGTTGCTGTGGGATGCCCTGCCAGGGTCGTGAAAAAGGTCACTCCAAGCCCTCTACCTACAAAAGAAGCGTGATACACAATCCGACGAATAGGAAATCCAAGAACAAGAACAGATAAACACTAATGACTAACTGAAATTTGAATACATTTTCTTATACCTTTACGTGGCCATCAGGTAAAAATTTTAAACCTGCTAACTCCTTGCTATAAAAGTTTATCTCTCCATCACGATGTTTATTCTAAGTTTGAGATTATGTTTTTGACTCAATAGCATTGACTTTGCTCATTTGTTTGTTTTAATTAGCTAGATAGATATTCATATTTTGGTAGGTACAATGAGTCACCATCAGCTAAAGTTAAAAATGCAAAGCAGTAGATTATAAAACAGCCCACCCTCTCTTCCATCCTTGCTCACAATAAGTACACATACAACATTCTACTATTCTTATACCTTGGTCTTCTACCCTGACGAGACGGTCATCACCATCGATTTTCTCCTTCAACCTTATGCAACTGTAGCAATTTCAGGGTTATCTAGTTTACAAGATGGCATGGACCGAGCTGCCTACAGAGATAAGGCTCATGATCCTCGTAGCTCTCGTGGAAGACGACGATTGCAACTTTGCAGACTTGGTTGTAGTGTCTAAGGAGTGGCAGGGAGCAATCGAGCAACACAATTTCAAACAAATCAGACTCACACCGTCACGTATCGCTGAGCTCGATACGATGACACTTCGCCACCGACACAACGTACGTTACTTGTGGTTTTGCCTAGAACTCGAACGATACGATTGCCCAGAGTGAGCTCCCGAGTATGGGCCTATTTACTCAATAAGCACCAGCGACAATACTCTCATAGAGGCAGCATTTCGCCACCTCTTCTCAGTCATCAGCACTTGGGCACCCGATAGCCGTCTGACACTTGATATAAGCGTCTACTCAACAAGCGACCGAGACCGTTGGTTCAAATATCTGACCTTTGAGCCTGATACCCCGCCAAAGGCAGGCAGGCATGATCAAGAGTTGGATCCAGAGACAGTGCTAGCTAGACAAAATGACCACAGACATCGATGGGATAAACGTGGTTCTTTTACAGTTCATCCAACTGGTTTTTCTCCAGTTCATACAGAAGGTTTCGCTCTGGTTCCTCTGCAAACTGCTATTGAGAAAGTCTTTTCCCCGATCATGGGAACTGATGATGCCGATGTCGATAACAATGACGATGACGGTGACGGCGACGAGCCAGAAAACGAATGGTGCGGGCAGTTGCCTCAAGTTCCAGCTGTAAAACGCATCTTATTGCGCCAACAAACCCGCCGTCGTTGGTCCTCTGAAGGCCTTGCTGAAATCTTTGCTCATCTCCCTAGGCTGAGTGAGCTTTGTTATGAACCTTGGAGAGATTGGGATGATATCCGTCAGGTATGGATGGATGACGGTGAGTTTGTTTTCCTTCCTACTATTTATCTACGCTACGATATCTTGTATATTGTATTAGTTTAAAATGAGTGCTAAACTTCCTAATTAACAGATTTTCTTGATCTTCTTCAGTCGCTGCCCCTTAGGAGGCTGACTAGTCTAAGTATCTTCGAGAATTTCAACCAGCGGTATAACCACGCCTATCTGGCAATGGATTGCTCGGATATTCGGACTCCAAACCTTAATATTAGTCAAATGCTTTCCAGGATCAGTATCAACTTTGAACATCTCTCCGCGTCGTTCATGGTGGATGCAAGCGAGTTCTTTGATGTCGAAGAGTACCAATCCCCTCAGAGGTGGCCAAATCTGAAGTCTCTGGTACTTACCTCGCAGCTGCTTGCACCAGATAAGAGTCATACCAGCATTATGGATATGCTTCGAGAAGCGGCATTGAGGAGTGCTTGTATGCCGCAGCTCGAGACCATGGAGATATGGAATGGACGAGAAGGTCTAGCGGCACTCTTCAGATATGATGGACGGACCCGACCTTCCACTCTTGAGTGGAGAAGCACCTGGGATGTTAAGCTGGGGCTCTCCGTTATCCGGGCTTGGGAAGCAGCTAGCATGAAACGGTCGGGTCATGGAGTGGAATTGGTGTACAGAATGCTTGATAGCGAGAATATCCTATCTCACGCTGACGCTATACTCGCACTGGATTTTCCAGAGCTCGTCATTCGGCCTGTTTCGTTGCATCAAATCCAGAGGGAACACAGTTGGCGCCGCATTGCCCTGACATAGGCCAATTACTTATCCGAGGCAATGAGAAGAGTTGCACGCTTTTTTTATCTATAAGACTTTAGCATGACCCTTATCGATATCTCAGTTCCGCTATCCTCGTGATGGATAGAGTCTAGTTTTGAGGATTGAGGGATTTCATGTTACGGGCAACTTGTAGACAGTTTTCAACGTCTTAACGTCTCTCCCAAGTCGAAGGAACTCAACGTGATGGAAAGCACATGGACATAGATACCTTAATCGTCAATCAGTTTCAAGAATAAAAGTAGACGTTAGTGGGATTGTTTTGTATGATTATCTTTAATGAATCAGTAAGCTTCGTGATAGATCGCGCTTATATGAGCAACCACTCTCGCGATGCTCTCCCCGTACGACAGTCTGCTTGTGCGAGCCAACCCCCCTCACCTGCTTCCGTACCAACCAATACCATAAGATAACCCTCTACATAATTTCCCATACTATTTGTCAGCTCTATCTATGGGATATCCCCTTCAATGGGATATCCCCTTCAATGGGATATCCCCTTCAATGGGCTAACCTTTCTAGATAGAATAGAATGTACTAGCCCTTGTAATTGATTATATCGAGAACCCCGCTTCCATCACCGAGCCCCATGCAACTCCTCCACTCATGCCCGGCTGTGGCGTTCGATCTGCCGAGGCTGTTTTGGGTCTCTTTCCCATTTTCTAATTTCAGTGGCCGTTGTATCCGTAGCCTTTAAATAGGCACAGGGTCGAATAGCGTAGATGAAACTAGCATAAAGCGGCAATGGTAACGCCACTCAATATCGTCATCTCTTAAGAACAAACTCCAAGCTAGGCGCTGGACCATATTCCACTACATTTCACTCCGTTCCAAACATCATTGATTCACATTCAAATATATGAAAATGGTCCATCTTCCGAGGACGACCCCAATCATCGTCGGCGTCGGCGAAGTGAAGAACAAATCACTTCACCTCAACGACGCCATCGAGCCGGCAGAGTTAATGGCTTCCGCAATACGAAAGTCCTTCAAAGACACAGGAGCCAACGAGAACGATGTCCGTTCAGCAATTGATGGCTTGCTGGTCGTACCACCATGGACGTGGCCATATGTTGATTTGCCGGGCGTGATCTCTACGAAGGTTGGCTTCTCGCCATCGCACTCACAGGTGGGCGTGCATGGAGGACATCAGCCCAACGAGTGGTGTGATGAGGCCGCAAGGCGGGTTTCCACAGGGGAGAGCAAGGCGGTGATCATCACGGGGGGTGAAGCTCTTGCATCACGTATGTCAGCTCATTAAACTCCTCCGAGTACTATTTCTTCTGACATATCTCGATAACTATATACACAGTGGCAGCATGTGAGAAGGCTGGCAAGATCCCTCCGCCAGGGTGGACTGAACCAGATCCCGAGAAGAAAACTGTACGCGTAGGTGATCTTTCAGCTCGTGAACGAAGTAAGGAGCCAGAGTTTATCTCATTGTGCCGTATTCTAATACGATGAAACTTAGACATCGGGACAAAGCACTCCATTGGGTTGCCCATTCATATCTACCCAATGTACGAGAACAGCCTGAGAGCATATACACGCCAGTCATTTGGAAAGAACACTCTTGAGTCTGCACAACTATACGAGGCCTTCGATAAAGTCAGTAGTCAGAAAGAGTACAGCTGGAGGAGCGGAGAGGTTCCGAGAGACTCAAACGAAATCGGGACGGTGACCGAGAAGAATAGGATGATTTGCGCTCCTTGTAGGTCTTACCTTTGCCAAATGAAGAAGCCTAGGCCAGGGTATGCCACTGACTCTGAGTAAACTAGATCCTCTTTTGATGAATGCTTTCAACACCGTGAATCTTGCAGCCGCATGCCTCATCACTTCTGTCGATCAGGCTGAGAAATTAGGCATTCCCGAAGAGAAGTGGGTTTATATCTTGGGAGGTGCGGGTACTCACGAGAGGAAGCACTGTAAGTGAGAACGAATTCGGCCTCACAGTATGTGTCATACTCACGTCTCTAGTTTGGGAGCGGTCGAATTTCCACTCCAGTCCCGCCATGGAGCAAGCTCTCGATGCTACTCTGGAGGTGTCTGGCGTAAGCAAAGACGAGATAGATGCCTTCGATATCTACTCGTAAGTTCAATCTGTGCAATTATTCGCCACTGGTTTCTCTGTCTTACCGTTCTACCTGATTAGATGCTTTCCCATTGTTCCCAAGCTGGCCTGTAGGCACCTGGGGCTCAACGTTGTTTCTCCATGTAAGCCAATAACACTTCTCGGAGGCCTCACTTCGTTTGGCGGAGCAGGGAATAACTACTCAATGCATGTAGGTAGGATGTTAAGTGATATCTATCATAGTGTCGCTAACGAGAAACAGGCTTTGGCGGAAATGACCCGACAGATAAGGAGTGGCACATTCCAGAGAGGACTTGCCCTAGCAAACGGCGGCGTCCTTTCTCATCAATACGCCTTGTGTCTTTCTTCTCAGCCCAGGAAAGGCAAGGAAGTGTATCCCAGGAAGAATCCTCTACCGGACATTGCGATTGGGGAAGCTTGGGGAACCCCATTTAAGGAGGTTGCGCAGGGCGCCGCACTTATCGAGGTACGGATGTTCAATGTGATTGACGACCAGTGCTGAGTATGGCTGCTTACAGAATTGACAGACTTACACTGTTGAGTACAACCGCGACGGCCAGCCAAGCATAGGACTCATCGTCGGCAGGCTGAAGAATGGCGGGCACCGCTTTCTTGCCAATCACGGGGACGACTACACGCTTCAAAAGCTGGCAGACCCTACTCGGGAGCCTATCTACCAGCAAGGCAGAGTAAGCGGCAGTGATGACGGGAGAAACTTATTCTTCTTCTCGGCCGAGCCTAAGATTTAACGTAAGCGAGATGCAGTGAGGTCTAGATCTAGTCTTCTAATCTATGTACATGGAACGGATTATGCCATGTCTTTGCATCCTCAATGTCGTGTCTCTCATTTCTTTTCTGTCTGGTCTTCAATTCACTCTATGAATCAAGACCTGGGCAGTTCTCAGAGTTCTCAGCGGTAATGTCGTCGTAGGGCGAAGGCACCGTCCAAATCACATCGTAGCGATCTTCGGGGTAGTTTTCAATATCCTCGGCACCAAGCGCCTCAAGAATGTTATTCATCTGACCATGCTGCCAGCTGTTCGTCGAAGGGGAACCACGGTCAGCGTCAATTGCGCATAAGGGTTGGGGGGTGGGTATTACCAGAGAAGAATGTTTCCAGCTCCGTCGTAGTTCTTGATCAGTTTCTTGACGCATTTGCTATCATCACGGTCGCAAGACGTGTCTACCTCGAGGCCAAGATCGCTGGCCACCGGGGCGACAGTGTCGTAGGGTCTCTTTCGCTTGCCGCCTGTGGAGGATTCCAAATCAATAAATAGCTTCACCAAGGTTGGGATTGATTGCAAGGGTGGAAGTAGACTCACTCTCCTTGTATTCTTGGGCGATGACATATCCGATGTTATACTGCGACGAGCTTCCAAAGACGGTCCGCAGGCATTGTGCGCGCTGCTCGCCTTCTGGGCTCAATCCGACACTACCATCGTCAGGCTTCTCGCCATGACGGATCATGTAGAGGGTTGGCTTGCAGGCAGCCAGCGACGCGAGTAGCAGAATCGCGAGAACCTTCATTTTAGCGGTAGCTGAACTGTGTAAAGTGAAAATTGACCAACTGGGCCGGTGCGTGTGACAGGATCTGGGATATTATGTCAGATCCACCAAACGGCAGGCTTCTGAAGAATCGCTTCAGGCTTCAGGCGCTTCCCTGTCGTGGCTCCCGACTAATAAACGGAGGCACGATGTGATTTTAATACTCACGAGACCAGCAGCTACTTCCCTGCAAAGCCTTAGCTGAAGTGAGGACAACTTGAAAGTGCGCATGTGCAGGCCCTGGCACGCAGCTTGCCCACGTGCAATGTTTACGATCAGTCACTTGCTCCCATCCCACGACGGGTTGACATGGCATGCAGATCAAGCAACAAAGCGGGACAGTATTCTGGGGCTTTGTTCTAAGAACCTTCCTGTCCCGTTCTAAACTCACTTTGGATGCCGGCAGTGACGCAGTGCGTGGTCCAAATATCGGATGCTTGCTCTGCATTATTACGAGGCCAATCAATCAAGGCGAAAGCTACGATGGGAGGGCTTTTCAGTGGGAAAATCAGGCGATATTGACGAGCCTATATCATCCGTGGAGTCTAACAAACAGGTAATGCAGCCTAATCCTTTCGATTTAGACAATGGACATATTGGACGATCTCGGTGAGGCCCCAACGGCTACGAAGACGCGGCACGCATGAGCGTGCTGCTACGTTTACGGCGCTGCATGGTTCGCGCTACAGAGGGTATGGGCTGAACCTTTCCTTCGTAAGTCCAGGCATGCATGTAAGAGGGATACGAATTACGCTGGCCTACTTCCGTATTGGAAAGGCCAAGCCGCCTGGGCGACGAGACGACGCTCGCTGAACTCGGGCCGTATGCAGTTTAATAGATCCAAGCGAACACAGCATTATAAATGCTTGTTTGGGTTAATAATGTGTGTGTATTCAATCTCTTGTGGTTTCTTGTGTCTGCATTACTGTGGCTGCGAGCATTGCACATTATCTTCGCCGTTGGACTCGACCTGGTCTAGCTGCAATGCTCGCAGCCACAATAACACAGGACACATGAAACCACAAGAGATTGAATACACACACATTATTAACCCAAATAAGCACTTGTGATTGGCCGTATTCGTTTGTTGTTGTTTTTTGGTCTGCATTATTACTTGTCTCCGTTGTGCGATTCAAAGTATCGGCCAGACGCCGCCGAGGGTAGCCAATGTAGGAAATCCAAGCGCCGGGAGTCAAGGAACCAACAGCCCAGGACTCCGCGCTACACCAGTCCATGTACGGGACAGAAGGATGCCCTTATTCTTGAAGGATCGTAACTGTTCGATCGAATGCGACATCTTGTATATCCGTATTGTATTGGGCATGGTAGGGTGACAGTCGCGACGGGGTGGAATCACCAGGTTCAAGCGATGGCCGTTGGAGCGTGGTAGTGCATCTTGAGCTCCCCCAGCGAGACACAGGCGCCTATGCGCGAAGTAAAACGAATCGTAACGAATCGTGCAATGATCGGGGCAATCAGAACAAGTCCTGACCTAGATTGCAGGCGGTCACAAGGTGATTTCGATGCGGTCGAGAAGTCTCGGGCGCGGAGGGTCGGTTCGTGAACTGGCTCAATCGTCGCGGTTCGATCGTAAGGCTACGGAGCCTGAAACACCCACAGTCTGATCAGCTGGCATCGCACACACATGCAGGTCATGTCATGGCCGGTCGCAATTGAATGGTCGAGGTCGCGGTTGTGACCAGGGGGTCGAGTGGCGGGAGTGAAGGTCGTAAAGCCTGTGTGGGAGGCATTCCGTGTTTCTTGCAGCAGCGAGGATTTAGGATTATCCGAACCGCTGAGCCGAGCCTTCAGCACCTGGACACGAGCTCCAAATTCTATATTACTCTTCCAAGGTTTGTCGGTAACCAGCACACGGGACTCACACTGCTGTCTGTATAGACATGTAACGGCCAGCGATGGGATCATACGAGCATTCTGACCTTACAAATTCACCTCGATTTGCGAAGCACCTTTCCATCATGGCATATCTTCCATGAACTGTGATCGGAAATGCGACTCGTTCAGGACTAGTGTTCCCTGCCATTCAGGGGTCTCCACTGCCTGTCAATTGAATCGGATCATGCCTTCATCAAAAATTGACCATTCTCAACCACAATGAGCGACAAGACTGGTCTGGTAACAGGTGCAAGCGGGTACATCGCCCTCCATGTCGTTGGCCAGCTACTCGAGGCCGGCTGGACGGTCCACGCGACAGTGCGCAGCCTCCAGAATGCTCGCAAGGTCCAGCCCCTTCACGACCTGAGTGCAAAGTATCCCGGGAAGCTTCAGTTATTCGAGGCAGACCTGCTGGTCCCGGGCTCGTTCCTGCCAGCAATGAAGGGCTGCGGCATAGTATTCCACGTTGCGTCGCCATTCATCATGCCTGAGCACACCAAGAACCCCCAAAAACAACTCATTGAGCCCGCGCTTCAAGGAACTAGAAACGTTCTGGGTAGCGTCAACGAGACCGAGAGCGTCACGCGCGTGGTCCTGACTTCTTCAAGTATGAATCATCCATTCTTCGCTTATTCCTATCTCCACCTCTTCTCACGCATGAGAGCTTCTGCCAACTGCATGAATCGGGTTACTGACCTATATCTTCAACCACAGCCGGTGCCATGTACGGCGACAAAGCCGAGGTGCTCAAGATGGAGAACCAGACGCTGCAGGAGAGCTCCTGGTCCCAATATGTCTCCATCAGCCACAACGCGTACCAATATTCCAAAGTCGTCGCAGAGAAGGAGGCCTGGAAGATGGCGGAGGCTCAGGACCGATGGGACTTGGTCGCCATGTGCCCCGGGATGGTCCTGGGCCCCTCCCTCACATCTGGCTCCGTCTCCGGCAGTCTCGACCTCATTGACCAGCTTATGAGCGGACACGTCTTCTTCGGAGTCCCGGATCTGCATTTCGACTTTGTCGACGTCCGGGACGTGGCAGCCGCCCACATCAGCGCTGCGACGACCCCCACGGCGCGCGGGAGGTACATCATCTCGACGAGCGCGACCACGCCGCTGGTGGAGGTCTCCAAGGAAGTGAGGAAGATCCACAAGCACCCGTGGCTGCTGCCGACGTGGAATCTGCCCAACATCGTCTTCCGCTTGGTTGGGCCGTTCATGGGGCTTTCTCAAGCGTGGATGGCTGGCAACCTGTCCATTGCCTTCAAGGTCGACAACACCAGGGGCATCAAGGAGCTCGAGATAGAGTACCGGCCCCTACAGCAGACACTGACTGACCAATACCAGGCGTGGGCGATCCTCAAGAAGAAGAAGTAGACGGATGAAATGCATCGAGCCATCTACACGAAGCTTGGTTCCTATCTTGCCAACGCCCAACACAAGGACTGCTAGTTGTTCATCTGCTTAGTCGTATCACTTATTTATAAATGCTAGCATAGATTCGTAATAGATTAATGTAATGGAGCCTTCCCTTTAGTAAGGGATGCGATGCCGAGCTATGTGAAATATGTCTGATTATTTAAGCCAACGATATTCGATACAATCCAAGGGCACAGAAATAAAAGACAGGGTGTCAACATTCCGTGACACTCAGAGCTTGGCCCCTCTCTTAAGCGCTATCGCCATCTCCTGTCTTACCGCCAGATCAGTGATGATCTCTTCACTCCCGCCCCCAACGATGTTGACCCGCACATCACGACTTATCTGCTCGACGCGGCCTCCCAGCCCTCCACGCTGGTATCCAAGCCCTCCAAAGATCTGCTGCGCCTCGCGCGACGCAAGCTCCAGAAGCCGGCCGCCGTGGACCTTTGCCAGCGCGATTCTCGAGGCGACCTCAGGCCCCATCTCCCCACCGTTGACCTTGCAGTGGTATGCGATCTGCTCGATCCACGCCCAATGCGACTCAATGTAGCGGGCCAGCGTGGCCAACTTGTGCCGGATGACCTGATGGGAGAAGAGCGGTTTGCCAAAGGTCTTGCGGTCCATCGCGTACGCCCAGGCGTCCTCGAGGCAGATCCGCGCCTGCGTGTTCATGCCAGCGGCCATTGTGAACCGCTCCCGGTTGAAGTCTAGTTTAGACCCCAGGTCAGCTTTCTGGCGGACATTTCGCCCCGGCGTGCTTAGAATAGCCCTTACTTATCATTAAGTACTGGAAGCCCTCGTTCTCCCGCCCGATGAGGTGATCGGCAGGCACCCTGACGTTCTCCAGCGTCACCCAGGTGCTGTCCGCCGCGTTCCAGCCGCTGTTCTTGATCCTGCGCCGGGTGACGCCAGGCGAGTCGAGGGGGATGACCAGCATGGAGACGCCGGCGATGCCAGGCCCGCCGGTCCTCACGGCGGTTGTCATGTACGTTGCGCGGATCGCGCCGGTGATCCATTTCTATTTCAGTCTGGCGTTGGCAAAAGATCATACACAAACCAGGAGTGCGAGGTCGACAAACCTTGTGGCCATTCACGATATACGCTTGGCCGTCCTCGGTCCTCCTCGCTGTCGTCTTGAGATTGGCCAAATCCGAGCCACCTAGCGAGTTTCAGACGTTGGCAGACTGAATCACTGCAGCGGGTGTTTTAACGGGCTTACCTGTGGGTTCGGTGGCCCCCAGGCAGAAGCTGATCTCTCCTGTGAAGATCCCCGGGAGCCAGTCTCGCTTCTGCTTCTCGGTGCCGTGGACGATGATGGGGGGGATCCCAATTGATGTACCTCCAGACAGGCCTACTGTGACTCCGGCGTAGCCAATCCTACTCACCTCATGGCTCACCACGAGAGAATGGAAGATGTCCCAGTCTAATAAAAAAGGATAATTCCTCGGGTCAGTTTATCCGTTGGTTCTCAGCATGGAGATGGACGCTCAAACAAGACCTCGTGTTTACCTTCATGCGAGATACCCGCAGGCAGCCCAACAGCACCAGAGTATTCGCGAGGGATGCCCTGGAAGGCCAAACCCGAGCGCGCGTAGTGCTTCCTGGCCTCGTCCGGCACGTGGCCGTTCTCCTCCCACTCCTCTGCGTAGGGGACGACGTGCTCGCTCAGATACTGGCGGACGTAGTCGCGGACGCGCCTGTGGCTCTCATTGTAGTATGGCGATGCGAGGTCGTTGCACCACGCAGGCTCGGCGAACGGCGCAAGATTGCCGAATAATTCGTGATCTCGCGAAGGTGCCATTGTCTTGAGTAGTGTAATTGCCTGAATGAGGAGATGAACAAAGAAGCATTCTCACCGTCGGGTAAAGGACAGTCATGATGATGGCCGTGCAGCTGACACCGCGGGGAAACAGACGGACCGGGGTGTTTGTGCCGAGGCATCTCTAGCATCTCCAGCACCAAAGAATCACAGCGACCTGGCACCTTGCACTTCACCTAACGGAAATGTTGATTCCAGCATCATCATGTCTGATTGATGCAAAGAGTTCTTTCCATCTGGGCGTGTGTAGGGTAAGGCGGGTTCACAGGAAATTGCCTGGCGACAACCCGCCGTGGGGAGTTCCTTATCTCTTATCGCATCCTGCAGGGTCAGTGTTGCTCTGGGCTCGTGCGCCTGGAACCAGGAGATGAAGGAGCTGTCAGTGCCTGACTACTGCAGCCCAACAGTGAATTGCCGTCGCCACAGTCAAATCACAAGCGGGCATTGTGAGACATGCATCTCTAGCTCTGGCAAATCTACCTGTAGGCCACACGTGGCGTGCGTCCGTTTAAGAGCGTCCTGCCTCTTCTCAGGGTCCTTACAGCCTCGCCTGCATCATGTGGAATATTGTTGAGCCAGCGCTGCAGGCAAATGTGCGGTCAGTTAGCCCTGCTCTCCATATGCTCCATATGCGAGCTCTGGTATGATGCAGATACAGGGGGAAGGAAGCTATTTTTCCTGTAGATTTTTAATTTGTACGCGTATTTTTTATCAATTGAGAGCTGAGGGGATATGCGGGGCCTAGGCTGGGTTGGGGAAAGGGAGAGGGACCAGCCAGGGCGAGGACGAGGTGGGAATGGGCCAATTGGAAGCGAGATAGATCCGGGTTTGCAAACCTGCCCAAGCAACGTGTCAAAATCTGTTGATAGCAGATGCCGAAGGCTGTGCTTCTATCAGGAAGAGGCAGGTATCCCTTGACGGTACCAGACCTCGGATCGGCAGTCCCTGCCACCGCCTCCTCGCGATGGCCTGATAAGTTAGGCGCCAGGCACGTGCTTGTCGCGCATCACAGCAGGATGCTGCTGGTGGCCTCCCGTCTTTGGCCGTGGACAGCAGGAAGGCGGTCGATCAGTCAGTGACAATCTCACGACGAGATGGAGCTCGGGGCAACAGGCTGCTGGCCCGCCACTAGTACCTGGCTCGTGTTTGTTTCCGACTCTGTGCCACGATGGAAGACGCGGTACGTACCCAGGTACACCGTACACAGCCTCAGGGCACGACACGGGAACCAGCACAGAGCACGCACAGAGTCAGTCAGGCCAAGCTCGGCGCCATCTCAAGATTGTCCCCAGATCCCTGTGGGCCGGTCTAGCCCTTTCGCTTCCTCTCCATTGACAATCTCGGCGGGTCAAATCTCAATTCCTCCCCAACAATTCATCTGTCCTCTGTCCCAAGGGCCCTCTCCCTTCCCACGGCTCCACAGAGGCGGGTGTGCAAAACTTCAGGCCAGTCGATGCGGTGTCGGGCTGTCGGCAGGCATTGACCACCGCCCGGATCAGATAGAGCATCTGAAAAGAAGGTGAGAGATAGAGAGTGTGCTTCCGCTAGCGCATCCGCTTTTTCGGTCGCCAAGAGGTCGGAGTTTTCAGGGTCCTCTCCTCAGGGTCCGAAACTGACTAGCCAGGGACCAGACGCGACCACTTGGCTCGCACCGGACAGTCCAACGGCTTGCGATTGCTATCGCGGAAGAGGTAAGCGGCGGTCTAAAGGGAGTGTGCTAGGCTCGAAAATTTCACTTTGTGGTTTGGTTTCTGTGGACCACCCCTTTTTATTTGCCTCACGCAAGTACCGCCCGCGGAGGCCTGGCCCTTATTTAACTGAGAATTCTCGTGGGTTGGAGCCTTCTCCCCTTCCCTTGTTTGCTTCGACTTTCCAATCCAGCTTCTGGACTAACCTCACAAGCATCATTCAGTGAGCAAGGCACCGGAATCATGATCACTGTCACCAAGACCAAGGCGGGCAAGAAGGCCCAGGCCTCAACCACGTAGGTGACAACCCATGCTGAGAAGCCTCATCATCGGCATCTTCATTTCGACCCCAATTGACTGACTTGAGATGGACACAGGCTCGTGGCGGAACCTCAGTTCCCTGACATCAACACCATCAGGAATGCCATCCCCAAGCACTGCTTTGAGTCCTCTGCTGTCATCGGACTGTCCTACCTGGTCCGTGATCTTTGCATGGCTGTCGGCCTGGGTTATGCTGCCGTCACCTACATTCCCACCATTCCTGACTTCTACCTGCGATCTTTCGCCTGGATCGTCTACGGCTATGTTCAGGGCCTCATTTGCACCGGCATCTGGATTCTGGGCCACGAGTGCGGCCATGGCGCCTTCTCCAAGTACCAGACCTTCAACGACGTTGTCGGCTGGTTCGCTCACTCCATTCTCTGCGTCCCCTACTTCTCCTGGAAGTTCTCTCACCACCGCCACCACCGCTTCACCGGCCACATGGACAAGGACATGGCTTTTGCTCCTCGCACCAAGGCTGATTACCTGGAGCGCCTTCTCTCCAAGTTCGACTTCCTCGAGGATACCCCCATCTACCACATCATCTGCCTTTTCTTCCACCAGACCATGGGATGGACCTTCTACCTGATCTTCAACATCTCCGCCGGTCGCAACAGCATGCAGTACAAAGCTTCTCTCGGCCGCCGCAGCCACTTTGACCCTTGGAGTGGTGTCTTCCGCCCCAGCGAGGCTCCTTTCATTGTCCTTTCCGACATTGGTCTTGGCCTCACCCTCTACTCTCTGTACCGCCTCTCTTTCTTCGTTGGTGTCCAAAACACCGTTCTTCTGTACGCTCAGACCTGGTTCTGGGTTCACCACTGGTTGAGTGAGTTCTTTCGCGCATCCTAGATTCTCAGATTGGAGAGACACGGCAATTGACTGACATTTCAACCTTTAGTCGCAATCACCTACCTCCACCACACTGACAAGGATGTGCCTCACTATGATGCTGAGCACTGGACCTTTGTCAAGGGCGCCGTTGCCACCATCGACCGCGAGTTTGGTTTCGTCGGCCGCCACCTCTTCCACGGCATCATTGAGTACCACGTTGTTCACCACCTGTTTCCGTACGTTGGATTTCTCCCTTGCTGGCTGTGCACAGATTGAAATGATTATGTACTAACGCGCCCCAGTCGCATCCCCTTCTACTATGCCGAGGAGGCCACCGAGGCCATCAAGCCCGTCCTTGGCGACCTTTACCGCCGCGACGAGCGCAGCTTCCTGGGCCAGCTCTGGGACAACTTCTCCAACTTGAAGTATGTCGAGCCTGATGTGGCCATCCCCGGTGCTATGAAATGGGTCACCCGCGCTTAATTGAGCGTCCACCTACCCAGCGCTCGAATTTCGGCGAATGGTTGTTTTACGAAGAACCGACCAGGGAAACAGAAACACCCTGAGTCATCCACGAATAGTTTGTTGTCTATTGTGTACTGGAAAGAATAAAACGGTCGGGCACCACGAATAGAATTTTCCACGATCACGGCGTTTGATGAGGATAGAGTTTCTGCATTAGACAAATCTCACATAGAAGAGGCCCAGTCATGAATCAATAGAAGGGCGTTTTTATTCTCCGCAAAATTACTGAATCCTTCCCTTCCCTTTTGTTTCTTTCCCTTGCTCGAGAGTGATTTATATACTGATCTGCAGTTTACGAATTACTAACCATGGATTATTAAGGGTATGCAGACTCGACATGAATGGACAGTGCCATGACGGCGCCAAGCGATCGATGCGCCTCAGCTAGGCACATGCGTTTCTGCCTCGTTGGGCGCAGCCTACGACAACCCCATTTCGGATGCTTCTCGCTGGTCGGGCGTCTTTTAAAATCCCACTTGGACCCCGCGCGTTGCAATATCGAAGATCAATCAGCACCAGAAAATCTTCGGAAAGAAGAAGCTTGCATCGATCTAAATGATCCAAACACCTGCCTACCACCACCACGGCTCATAATCAGCCACGCAAATAGACAGCATGGCCGCCGACGCCGCTTTGGAAAGCCTAAGATCGCTGATATGTGCGCTCGACATCATCTTTGCTATCGTCTCGCTCTCCAGTCTGTATGTGCCCTTATTCTGGAGATCGTGGACATATGAGAAGGGTAGCATCATCCGCCGCGATCTCTGGATCGCTCGCTTCATCGTCCTCTCCTCGTCGTACCGCCTCATCGGATCGATCTTCTCCATCGCCAGCCTCACTCGGAATCAACAGCGACAGACTCTGCTCCTGAAGACTATCCAGGCCGTCACTGCCACGCCTCTCGAAATCAAGCTTTACAAGCTCGCCAGGAAAACATGGAAGAAGGCCGTGAGGAGGCAGGATGGGGGAGATGGCCCGGCGTCCGACGTAGTAGGACTCCAGCCTGCGGTGCCAAAGAGCCGGGAGGTGCTGGTCGCGGCCAACGCGCACCGGGATCACTACGAGCGCGAGAAGTTTGGATTTTGGACGGCCTGCCTCTTCCACTTCAAATGGGTCATCCCCGAGGGGATCATGGTTGTCGGCCTCGTGCTCAGCTCGATATACCTGGGAGAGGGCCCGAAGGATCGCCTTGCACCTGCGGTTCTCATATGGATCTTGCCGTTGGTGGCGGTGATTCTCAGCCAGGTATGGAGGCACTGCCGGCGCACTGAGACTGAGGGTGTGCGGGAGTTCGCTGGCTTCACGAAGCCATGGGCGGTTGGGACCATGGTGGGGTATCTCATATTCATCGTTGTGTTTTTTGTCGACTTGGAAGAGAGGAAGGGGTATATTAATAATTGGACGGAGGTATGGATACAGCTCGCGGAGGCATTGTGTGGAGGTGGAGGATAAAAGGCCTTCAAACATAGTTGCTGTAGTATAGAAGTAGTTTCTACAATATATTGGAGCTACGAGTTCGGAAAATTTCTTAGTTTATTGTGGCATAGGCTACCTTAGTCTGGCCACAGATCCTATATGTCAACAGTGAGATTAACTTCAAGGCCTTCACCGTGGAGGGAAGAGTTCTCGTACGGTTATCGCGTTTCACCATCGTAGCACACTCACGGAGAGCTGCTCTTTTGGACATATCCGTTACATTCACTACAGCTTTCGGTGACCATGCTCTATCGCCTATTGCAAATTTAATTCCGAGAACCATACGGCGAAGAGAGGTGGATGGAGATGCATTAATCTGCCACCCAGTCTGTATCATTTTGCCGTCTTGATACTGAGACGGGTCATAAATCCATGATATGTCTCTGGCAACTGTGTCAACGTCCATGGTCTATTTGAGAATCGAATACTACCCGAAGAAGTCGAGGACATCGGAGGTGCATCAATGAGGAGGAGTCACTAGTTGCGAACCCATGCTTAACGGCCACGCTTCTTTTCAAAGAACATTGTGGTTAAATTCTGCAAATGTAGCGATCGATGCGTGTCATCAAGGCTCTTATAGCTTATTTGGCAACCATCAAGGGGCGCATGAGTCTGAGTCGCCGAGAGCTTTGAAAGTAGCCCAGGACAAGGATGGGGAGTATAAATAAGCCCCCTCCCATTGTGATTCAAAGCTCAAAGACAGGCTGAAAGTCAACGATAACTTGATAATTATTTCCACTGTTCAAACCCTTATACTGAAATACTTAAATTTCTGGGTTATTTTAGAACGAAAAAAGAGCTTATCACACAATTGAAGGTCAAGATATGTATTCTGTTCAATTTCTGCTGACATTTATCTCAATTCACTAGAACGGTAGCCAGCACCACTAAATGGCAAATAACTGAGCATACTATGTCCAAGCTCTTAGATGTAGGAAGCCTCAACCAAGAAGCCAATAGTGAACTTAATGTGACGAAGAACAGCATCCCACTGGATGGATTCATAGGTCTGTAGTATTGGTTAGAATTACTCGCAAACTTGTGAAATGCATAGGCTAGAAACTTACGTCACGCGAGGTGTGGATGTTTGGGTTGCTGTTCTCAAAGACCTCCTCGTTCACGAAGGCGGCGGCTGTGCGAGACATTAGCTTACTCCATTTACCCATCAATGCCCTCCAGAGACTTACGGAAACCATTCGAATTAGCACTGGCGTGGTCAGAGCAACCATAACCACACCTGGACGATGAGGGGGCCGATCCGGTGTACTGGGTGGCGACGACACGGACGTATGAGGTAAGGGCGGAGTTGACATAGTCTGTGTAGACCGCGACCTTGCCGCTAGGAGAATAGCCGGTCATGTCCTGGTTAACAAACGCGAGGACGTTCTTGTTCTGCGTCTTGTACTGGGCGTAGACATCCTTGGATCCGAGAAGACCACCTTCCTCACCACCGTACCAGTGGAACTCAAGGGTGTTCTTGGGCTTGTATCCTTGCTCAGCAAGGACGCGGAGGGCCTCGAGGATGGTGACTGTTCCGGAGCCGTTGTCATCAGCTCCGGGGCTACGGGAGCTTGATGAACCGGTAGTGGAGTCCAAGTGAGCTCCGACAATAACTGGGAGACAAGTTCCACGTTAGTATTGAAGAGAAGTTTTATGCGGAGCAAGACATAGTTCTAGATGTAATCGCCGAACTTACCGAGATCGCTAGTGGTACCGGGAATTGTCGCAATGATTGATGGCTGGTTGAAGGAGTGTGTCACTTGGCGGACAGTGATGGCAGAGTTGGCTGAAGCAACACTCTTCACTGTGTTGAACAACCATGTGGCGGCCTGAGTGCCAGTGGAAGACTGGTAGTGGCGAGTGTTGTAACTGCAAAAGCGTGTAAGAGAGAGATGGAGTACCCAAATAGACTTTGTGCTTACTTGGTGAGGGTTCGGAGCCAGCTCTGAGGATTGGTGTTGCTGGCCTTGCCGATTAGGCCATTGGCCTCATCAACATGTTCGACCTTGGAGGGGTAGGCAACAGCCTGGATGGAAGCAGCATTCTCGGCATCGGTCTTTGAGAGCCTCGAGAGAACATCCACGTCCTAAAATGGTTACTCGAGTTAATCACTGTTGCAATAAACGGAGTTGTCAGGTGGATTTAAAGTCAGGCTCGAGGATGCTTACCCTGATTTCCGTAATATCGATGAATCCAATCTTCTTTGCTGTGAAGTTCTCATACTTTTCCTCCTCAGTCACCCACTGTCCGGGGTCATCCTCTGACGTCTTAATTAAACGAAGAGACGATTCCCTAACGATCTTCTCACTAGGAGCCGCATAGGTGATCTGAAGAGATGCCACAAGGGCGACAACGGCTGTGCTAAAATGCATGATGACAGTGAGTTAGAGGGAATTTGACGGGACGTGAAACATGCATTCTAGGGGCGGCGATCAGGAACCGGTCTTTATATATAAACTGCAGGGATTGCATCATGTTTTCTTTGTTGTCATTGTTTCCTCGGGTGGGCCCGTCAGCTGGAGGGAGGTTTTGGAATGTCATGTCTCATGCATACGGTAGCTGCCTGTTTCAGAGTCGATGCATCAAACCTCTTCTTCTGGCTGCACTTTTGTTGCTAAACGCGAGCTTTGATCTGGTCTCGGTCCCCCTAGCAGGGCCATTCAGGGCAGTCATCGGCGTAAGTAACAGGCCTCCTGGTGCCCCTGTGTGTCACTTCCTACACTAGCTGCCTCATCTGGTCAAGCTCCCACTCCCTCCGGCTGCCTAACGTGGCAGTGAAGTGCAGCACAAGCTTATCCAGCACAAGCATAACAGCGGCAAGGAATTCGTGATACAGTAGTGGAACGGAACATCGCTCGGAGGGGGTATACCAGCCTGTCACGCTCTGTACAGATGAAGACATGCTGTTACAGCCAAGAACTATTGAGTAGTAGTCATTGCTCTTGCTTGAACGCTTCAATACAACATGAGCCGCACCGCTTTGCCAGCGCTAGCAAAAGTTCAATGTGGGTATTGATGATGATCCCTATGAGAAATCTCTGGGCATAGGCTAGACTTATTAAGCCTGCTGATCAATCTACTCTTGGTTCTGATTCATCATATTTCCAACAGATTGAAAACGACATAGTACTCAAGCGGCTGAGATAAAACATGGCACACTAGAGCTCTTTTTTGTACAAACTAGAGACCTCTTTCTCTTATTAATATTTCAAACAATAACAGTGAAATAATTGATTACTCTATATTAATTAACTTGATATTATTTTGATAACTGGGTTAATTATTTCGATATTGTGTCAAAATCAGAGGCGGTATGGAGGCTTGGGTGTGCCATGTTTTATTTCAGCCACTTGGTACTTTAATCCTGCACTATAAACGTGACAGTGGCCTTTGGCCAATATCCATTGTGCCCCCGTAATAAGAGAATGTGAATTATTACACTGGCTTCTGTCCAACAATGACCAAGCATCGAAACACAACACCTTGGTTCATGGCTTCGTCCTGAAATCTTTCAGGCAAACGATCATAAGTTGATTCGGGTAGCTCAATGCCAAGTCCTGTTTCCACATTGTTAGGTTTTGCAAAGTGGATGGCATTAGGAGGGAAAAATTCTTCTCACCTTTTGCAGCTTGTGAAATAACTGGGATAGTAATCTTAAAAGGCTCGATTGAGTCTTTCCGTTCCTGTTCGCCCTCGATCAATTTCCCCATGGGCAAATCAATAGCCTCGACAGATACATTTGCCAAGCCGGCTTTCTTCATCGAATCGGCAATCAATAAAGTGAACTGAGATCCCATGCCGATCTTGGCGAACATGCCAGATAGGATGCTATTGACATCCTGCCATGCTGGACCTGCATCAGGCCGATTTGGGTCCACGTCCATTTCTTGAATTTGAAGCCATCCTCCTGGTGCCAGGGTTGCTACGATGAGAAATATGTTAGAATGGGAATTTCAGAGATACAGTCTTGTTATCAAGCCGGAGCTCCCTTACCTGTGAGATTTGCCACAGCAGTGTCCAGGCCCACGCGAGCACACCCGGGCAAAACATATCGAACATGTGTCAAATCAAATGACCCGGCCAAATCACTTGCAGGAGGCTCGCAAATGTCGGCCTGAACATATCGAATGTTGCCTTGCGGCGATGTAGGTAGAAATGGGCCCATGACGTCGGATCCTACCAACTGTGCAGAGGGCGAGACCTGTTTCTGGAGGTCACGGAGCAGGGTTCCTGGAGAAAATAAGCGTTTAGGAAGTCTTCGAAAGATGTAATTCGTTTGACTTCCACAACAGGAAAACTGTTGGTGAGCGAAGGGGAGATGGCTTACCATCGGCACATCCCACGTCTAGAACACTGAGGCCGGACTTGTCAAGTTCAACAGGAGCGAAGACAATCTTCCCCTCAGACAGGACTGAATCCATCTATGCTGTTTTTGCAAACGTTCAACTTCTCGTCCGTGCTGGCCGAGTAGGTACTCTTGATCCTCCTTCGCCGCCATGATGTTGGCCTCAAGTTGTTGACAGGGACTTTATAAAGGCAGCTGATATAGGGTCGGACGATTTAAGTCTGAATGAATTATACAAGCTTGTGGTTCTCTTCTTAGTAGTACTTTCAAGTCTTCGACTAACGTAATCCACAAGTGAGCCGATCACACAAGTAAGCTGATTACTTCTATCCAGAAATTAGAACTTCCTCTTTATAATTAAATAACTTTCTACTATAAAATAAATATAACTTTATATAAAGTAAATATTATCCTTATAATCTAAGCTCTTAATTAAAATCTAAAATTAAGTATTAGAGTAGTAATAAAAGTCTATTAAGTTCTATATATAATCCTTTATAACTAATATACTAATTATATAGTAAAATATAATATTTAATTAAAATTAAT